AAGCCGGCCTTATCATCAAGCCAATTATTAGGTCCATTGGCGGACCTAGAAGTTTTGTAGTGGAAGTGCAATATTGACTAAGTATGAAAAATATTTTTCGGAATAATTATTTTCTCAAGATAATTTTTGGCGATTTTTATTCCTTACACATCAAATAAGAAAACTTGATTTTGTGGGATTTTAGTATGAAGTATATATTGACTTAATGAACCATTATTTTTTGCCTAAATCGTATTTTGCACTAAAACCGAATTTTCATATTTTGATTAGGTGGGAATTTGATTTTCTAGTATTTTTATTTGAATCCAAATGGGGGGTAATATAAAAATAAATAAAAGTAAAAGGACAAAGACATTTATGTTGAAAATGGAAATAAGGTAATCTGTACACCAGTCGAACAAATGGGCAATTTGAAGCACCTACAATGGTTTTCCCGGCAAGGATTTAGGTCCTTGCGCCTTACTAGGTCCGTCAATGATTAAGTCCTAGCATAGGCTTAAAAAGAAAGATTCTCATATTCTAATAAGTCAACTTTTTGCTAATTTCACCCCATTATTTTTCCCACATCACCGAAATTTCAAGAAAAAAGAAAAATTACTCACATTAAATTCTTGCACAAATTGATCTAAAACCTATAAAAAAAAAATACTTGTTTCTTTACTCTTGTTTCTCTATGGATCACGAAGTTATAACTCATTGTATATTCGAGAGTTGAGAAAAGAGTTCGAACGAGATTTTTGTTTTCGTCTTCTGGTGCTGAAGTTGGGAGAGGATTTGGTGTGTGTAACATCACTCGTTATAATTTTGATTCTTGTACATTTTATTACTTGCTTTTCCAGTATTCTATTCAAGCTACATTATTGTTATTTCATACTGATATAGTAGCACGTCCGCAAACACGTTCTAGTTTCTAGACGCCGGCGGAGAAAGTAGTGAAAGAAAGATTAAGAAAAAAGGGCATCACGCATGCACTATCCCACATGCAAATTTAGTTGGACACTGATTCAATTCAACATAGATCTAGAGTTGACAAAATCAACGTATGACTTGTAAATTAAAATGCTATATATTATTATGCAAATTTCAACCCTAAAATTAATCGTGTAAAAGATATTGGCTGACTTGCCCTCCAGTTGTGCCAGAAATTTCAGAGAAATCCCATACATTCATGATCATATGCTCAACTTTTGATCCAATGTTTCAGTGAATGCTAATTTAACCTGTTATTTCAGAGCTCATTCATATTCAATCTCATATATATGGCACTTTCGTGCACATAATTGTTGAAAATATTCATTTAAAATGTCAAATAATCTCCAAATTAATTGTATGTTTTATGCAAATTGCAAGTAAATGTCAACAAGCAATTATATGACATGAACCCAAGTACTTATATAAATATATATATATATATGCGATCTTATCAACTTGGTTTATTTTGATTTATTTTAATTTTCATGTCAGTGTCAATTCATTGAATTTTTCGTTACGATATATTAATATAAATTTTTTAAAAGAATTTTTGAGTTCGATTGATTAGTATATAGGATAGGACTGATGTGTGCTTTTTATAAAGCAATAATTTAATTTAATTTTTTTAAGAATAAGAGCAATTTAAGGAGATAAAAAATGAATCTATGAAGTGTGATAATCCAGAAGAATGTGACCGTCTTTTGTTCTTTGCAGTCCTCTGACTTTCAAAATGCATTTGATGAAAACGTAAACCATTGGAAGTTGGAACTTTCTAGTTATGCTGACTGGACTTTTTTTGGTCAGAAGATATGCTGACTGGACTCATATCCATATATGTAGTCATGTGGACCCCAAAGAGAAAAAGCCATCATCAGCCACGTGTTGCTTCCACTGATGTGACACTTGGCATTGGATTATAGCATCAGATGATGATCAGGATGCCTGGCTTCTTATTAGGAGGCCTTATGGTTGGATGTTTCCTAATAGGATTGTGCTTGTAGAAGTCAAAGTTAATCAGAAGCTAATTTTGATTTGATATATAAATCTGACACGTCATTTCTTTGTTAAACAAAATAACATCATCCAATTAGGCTCAGATTATAGGAAAATTTTAGAAAGTTACAGGAAGATTTTGGACTAAAGATTATAGGAAGGTATTTAATTTAAAAACTCATAAACAGTTCCATTCCGTTATTGTAGCCGTAGCCCCCCGAAAGATTTGGTTTTGGGATTTGACAGAAGAGTTTACTTTTGCATAGTAGAACTTTGATTTGTGAATCAACTTACGGAATACGTATGGAGTACAAAATTCCTACTATATACGTGATCCATGAGAGAATAATGACATGTTTACTCTGTATGAAATATGTATTACAAATATTTCGAATTTTGACTTCCTATCCCTTTACTAACCACATACGAAATAAAAAAGATTGTGGCCCTCAATTTACAATATGTAATCCACAATTCATGAAAAATCTGAAATTAAATTTATTGGGGGTAGTTGATCTCATACCTATTCCCATGATTCTATACATATTCTCGATTTTTCAATTCACGAGTTACCTCATTCCAAATTAGTAAATGACGTAACTGCTTACAAAGTAGCATAGCATCCAAAGATATACTATCGGATCAAACTAAAAACAAAATGTGGATTTGTTTCTAGATATATTGTGCGACATGAATTCAATACATGTTGTGAATTTAGTGCAGAATTTGCGGGTGGTCAACAAAAGGGGAGGGGTTGGCATGTGCTCAATCAAGCTAATTCCCGAAGCTACATAAACAGGTTTGGAGACCAAATTTAATAGAAGGATAAGGTTAACACGTATGAATTTGATTTTGGGTAAGAGATGATGAGATGTGGTTGATTGAATAAATGTGTATAGCGAGAGTCAGCTGTTTCATTCATATGTTCACATTGGAATTGAAAGTGAGTTTTGTTTTGATCAATACGGACGACTTTTTGAGTTTTATCCATACTCAGAACCAGTTTTATAGGATGAGGGATTGAAGGAACCCAAAAAGTTTTTTGAGTGTAGATATGACTTCAATGAATGAATCCACAGCAGCTGCTGCTAAAGAGGCATGAATCACACTGGATCTGCAGCAATGTGATTCTTGTGCATAACATTTTATATGATTTGGTGCTTAAAGTCATATGTCAGTCTTTTTTTTGTTTCAAACAAGGATCTTGGGTTCTTTCTTCAGGATAAAAGAGGCATGAATCACCCTTTCCAATCTCACGATTCAGTTCTCTTTGTATAGTTATCTTTTAAAAAACACATTGTATCTCAATTGAGACAGCCAAAAAGCTCCAAGTTATCAAACACGTGAGCCAACGGGTACCTGACTTGCAGACCAATAGTCTCATGTTCAAACCCCAATGACACATTGGTAGTTTGTGTGTGAAAAACTCCCTCTCCATTGTATTTTAGACTATCGCTTGTATTTTAAAAAACAGTAAAACTAGATAGGGCTAAACGTACCTAAAGATGAGTCTGCGAAGATTATGACCAAACCAGGCAATTAGCTTCATCATTGATGCTATATATTGCAAAAATGATCTATAAATACAGGCCAGAGCCTCACAAAAGCCAGCCATTCACTTCTCTGTAGACATAAAATCTTCTGAGTGTGACAATCTGTAAGGAACAAAAGGGCAGCCTACACCATCAAATGGGGCTTTTTACAAGTTTACTCCCCTTCCAAAGATCAGTGCTAAGAAGATAAATCAGTGTGAACACAAAATCTTTCCCGCTTGTAGGTTCTTCATAATCATGGCTCTGCATAAAGATATGCACCAGAATGTTTCATAAGACTAATTAAGGTATGAACTTCGGTCGTATGGAGGAAATGATTATTAAGTGGTTTCTTGGTGCCTGTGAAATAAGATTTTCAAATTACCTTTCTTTTTTCTTACCATTGTAGCCTCAAATTTTGATTAAAAGAAAATGAGAACTAACAAAGAATTTGTGTCAATATGTATGACCCTTTAAACCTCAAGACTGACCCTAGGTGGAGTCAAGGACTGCAATCTGCATAGCTAGGAAGGTCGAACGTCCCCAAAAAGGTCAAAACATTTTATGATTCAATGGATTTAAAGGTTTCTGTGAGCATATACAGCAGTTAGAAACAGTTAGATTTTGATAATGAAATTTGAAGTACACAAGAAGTGAGGTGAATTTGCCTGCTCTACGCACCCTGCAGACAGGATTCTGACCATTACAAAATGAAAATATGGACATCTAAATATCCCCTACAGTTTAAATTTAGTAACTCCCTCTCACCTTAAATATCCCACACACTCATACCCACCACCTCTCATTAGCAGGACAACCCTAGGATTTAATTCAAAAGGCTGTCCTGCATCAAGTGTAAACTTAAACTTGACTTGCCCACCACCAAATTCAATATTGTATAGAGGTGATTCCTACAGTCCACTATCACTCAGGTATCTTGCAATGACAAGGAGTTTGGCATCAGAAAGAATGTTACCAAACATCAATCCTAATCCTCAGGACACCCCACGTACTAAGAAACTATAAAGGAAAATCCCCTAAAGGTGACCCCAAACGGGTTGGCATGATTTTCAGGACTATTTGTTTGTAGTATGACGGCTCTATTCATTGAACCAGCCCCTTGGCATTATCTCATAAGGAATTTCACTTTGGTGCTTAACCCGCTAATATGTATTTCCAAGTAATTCTACATTCATATTGTTTAAGTGCATCACACTATGATCTTCAATCCAAGACAAAGAAGCACAATTATAACAAAGGCAAGCATGTCCAAAATTCCCACGTACACAAATAACGTTCTAAAAGAGAGATTCAGGTAATAAATAACTAAGTAACTCTTAAAAAAACAAAAAAAAAGTTACAGCTTTATCCAAGTAAACTATACAGAAGCAGACATGAGTTTATTTTGGTATCTGAACTCTGAGACACCAGAATCTAGAAAGAGAAAAAACACATACAAAGGCACAGCTTAGGTCCAGCAAATACATTCATTACTTACCACCTCTATAAGAACTTTTCTATGCTGGTGGTTAATGTGGATTTGGGAACAGCGCCGATAACTGCATCTTTTTTTTCACCACCCTTGAATATGATGACAGTCGGGATGCTTCGAATCCCATATTGGGTTGCAATTGTAGCACCTTCATCAGTGTTTACTTTGTAGCATTTAAGCTTCCCAGCATATTGCTTTGCCAGTTCATTAATTATAGGATGGATCATACGGCAAGGCCCACACCATGGGGCCCAGAACTCAACCAAAACAGGGGAGTCGGATTCAAGGACAAGTGACTGCCACGTTGCATCAGTAACAGCAGGCACTGCAAAATTTTAAACTACTTACAATCAAGAATAAAAATTACAGCACTGCTAAGAGCGATAAACAAACATATGTGAAAACTAAAAGCTTCCTAATGCTCCGGAGATAGATTGCATAGAAAGAAACAACCAGTTCAATAAGCACACCTGCTAGGTCAAAACAGAACTTTTCTTATAAAAATTTTAATCCATTATTATGCTTGATCTATTGCCTATAAACAGGTCCTGATATATTGACCTTAGATGAGTAAACGTATGTAGTTTCATAAGTATAATAATGAAAAGTAAGCGTGTATCTACACACAATTTTGGTCCCATCACTAATCACTCCCAGCATCCCTAGGTTTATTATTATATTCTGTCTTTAATGATCAGTCACCATAATTCTGTAAACATTTCGCCTGAACTCGTAACATTGACTTTGGAATAATTTAGTCAGTCACCATGAATTAAGTCCCTGACAGTCACAAAAATGGTCTGTCTTTAGGCCACCAGACAGTATTTCCACTATCCACTGGTTCAACCAAAAAATTACAAGAAACCACAAATTACTAAGATAAAGATTGCCTAAGACTCTACCATTTGACGATGCTTCTTACATGAGCTCATCCTCAGCTGTCAGTTCCTACTATCTTTCCAGATTCACAATCTCAAACTATTTTTGAGTGAATCCCAAGTTTTCTCATAAAGTTCTAAAACCAATATAATCGCATCAACTACTTATAGCTATACTATGAAACGTCTTTACTCAATCTCAGCTACCATGCTGAAAAAAACAGAAACTTTCAAAGGCTGCAAGCTCAAAAATTTCAACTTTACGAAATAAACCATTTCAATCAATCATCTGATAACAAGCCAAAAATCAAATCAATAATAAATAGACAAAAATGACGTAACTAATAGAAATGAGAAAGAAAAAAAAAATCCTCTTTTATACTTAATTTCCAGACAACAAAAATACATCATCTTAAAGTAAACAAGCTAAAATCATGACAGGAATGGCGAAATTACGAAACTGACCTTCGACAGCGGTGTCCTGAGCCTCGCAGACTACAAGCCCACCTCGGCGATGACGAGCTTCTCCGGCAGCGGGACCGTAACTCGGCGATTCGATAGAGCGAGTTCGGAGAGCGGACCCCACCTTGAGGCCTCTGTAATGACGCAATCCAGAGCGGCCGGACAAGGACGAAACCGAGGAGGCGGCGGCGATTGGAGAGAGCGCAGCTGAGGAAGGCAGGGCGGAGGAGCGAGGAACGACGAGAGAGTCGAGGACTGTAGCCATGGCCGCAGAGGATCGGAGCTGAAGAGAGAGAGAGGTGAGAGAAGCTTTATTGTGATGGGGAGACTTTTAGGGTGGAGACGGAGTAGTTGATGGAGGAGATGGCGAGGGAGATGGAGAGGGAGCAGGCAGCGAGCGAATGGATGGGGAGGACTGTGGCTAGCAAAAGCATTTGGTATTATTGGATCAGACGGCAACTGAGGGGGTCAACTTCTCTCCTTTGACTCTTCCTGCTTTTTGGTGAAGTGACCAATCAAATTCCAGCACCTCGCCACCACTATTAACAATTTCGATTGAAATAATTTTATTCATGGCATCTATTTTTTTTCTCTTTCTTTTTTATTTTCTTTGCATTGTTTTAGTGAGAATAAAAAGAAATTTGCTACAAACAGTATGACAACAATTTAATACTTGAAAGATATGTTGGGAATTGCTCCTTGTCTCCATTTGATGATTTTACATCAATCCTTCTAGTGTGTTCCTCCAAATATGTTTGTTATCTATGGCTTCAAACTAAGAGTAGTAATCAATTTAGATTTACACAAATTTTTTGTGGAGTTCACCTTTTTCTTTAATTTAGATGAGGGTCCTATTGGAAAAATAATAGCCTCATGACTGCATGTGGTTCATGAAACACAATTTTTTTCGAACTTTCATGAGTTTTGAAAGTAATTTGTAAAACAGAAAATGAGTTTCAATGAGTAAGAGAGTATTGTGTAAAATGAAGAATCCAATTCTGACACTCTAACACTAATGAATTTTGTTTTCTATAGAATTAATAACATTTTCTATAGAAAAGTAATTTAATAGTAGCTTCTTCTTTTTTTTGCCCTTTTTTTTTGTATCTTTTTTATAAGCAAAAAAAACCTATGTTGCACAGACACTCCAAACTGCTGAAGTGTCGGAGTGTCGGACACGGCGACATGGCGACACGGCGACACGACTTTGACACGCCCCCGACATGCATTTGGTTGGGACACAGCTCCGACATGGTCAAGACACGGTAGGCACCAGTTTGAAAATTTCAAAATAAAATATGGGGTCTAAACGTGATTTTTGAAACTTTGGTGGACTGATTTGAAATATTTTTAAAATAGGGGCTAAAAGTTGAAAAAAGACTTTTTTAAACCTAAATCTCACTTTTTCTACTGCCGAAGTTCATTTCTTCCGTCACAACTCTTCTCCTGGTTTTGCACAAGGTACTCTTTGCAAAAAAAATTGTCTCTGTTTTCAAATGCATTTATTTATGTTCTTTCTTATCTCCCTCCACAGCAGTGGAAGAGTTAGACTTGGTGGTGAGGTGACAATTATTTCTTCTTTTTCTTCTTAAGAGAAACACAATAAATAATAACAACAACAATGAAGACATAGATGCTTGAAGAAGATTGAGAGTTAGATCATTTATGTTTTATTTTGTGGTCTATTAATTATTATGTATGGATAATGAACATGAGTTATTTGTTTTGTTTTATGGAATTATGTAACATTGAAGTATTGAGAATAAATTATTATTTTAATTGATGTGTCCTAGCCGTTCCCATGTCCTAATTTTTTGAGATTTTCCGTGTCGACGTGTCCCTGTGTCGCATTCCCGTGTCCCCGTACTTGTGTTTGTGCAACATAGAAAAAAACTATTGCTAAGAAAAGTATGGCAACAATTTAATACTTGAAAGATGTTGCAATTGCTCCTTGTCTCCGCACGATGCCTTCACATCATCCTTGTCTTGTACCTCCTAACATATGTGGTTTTTTTTTCTTTTCATGTTGGTGCTTCTACGTTAAAAATGTGTATATTTCTTGACCATTATCATCTACCGCTCTAAACTATCTCGTTTAGGACTATATTTTTAGGAAGGACTTTTATCAAAAACGCTTTTATTATATAGATGTTGACATTTTCATGAGAAATCTATGTAGGAGTGCTAGAAAACACTTCTATGACTCAAAAACACTTCTAAAATTTTCTAACGAACGTTGTTAGAAGCGCTTTTAGTTGTAAGAAAACATTTTTAGTCATTTCAGAAATATTCCAAACAGGCAAGAAATATAGTGGATTTAGATGTATATAAGTTCTTGTCGAGCTTAATTAAGAGGTACTGTTGTGCAGAACTATGTAGGCCTTCATAAACTTTTCAAAGCAAAAATGATAACTTTTGTAGAATTAAATTAAGTGCTAGACTTGTATGAAGTTTTTAATTTTAGGTTAAATTGTAGCAATGGTCCTTGGACTAAGACCAAACTTTACTTTTCGTCACTCATATTGCTAAATTGTTACGGTGGTACTTTAATTATGCATTCACTTTCAGAAATCGTCCTTTCCGTCATCTCAGTCAACTTTTACATTAAAAATGATGATGTGGCATGGACAAGTCCTACTTGACATGGGCAAAAATGTCTTCTCACACAAAAAATTTAAAAATAAATCTCTTCTCTCTCTACCTCTATCCACCCAGATTTCTTCCCATGCCAATTTCCTTTTCCTTATTCTTTTCCATCGAGTCGGGGTTTATCTAGAGGGTTTTGGATGTATAGTTTAGAGCCCCACCCTCGGGCGGGCCAAAAAACCAATTTCTTCCCCCACCCATATCTTTTCCCAACCCCGATTTCTCTCACCCTAAACCAATTTCTCTCCCCCACACCCATCTATTTGATGAGATAACACATGAGATCTTGAAAGGGTAAAAGGAAACCAACAATAAAATAAAGAAAACAAAAACATGAGAACAAATTTGGATTTTGAAAAAGCGAATCCTCCAAATCCTTTGACAAACCCAAATCCAACAAACCTTAAAATCCAATTTAAAAAGATAAATTTGGATTAAAATCACTTGAGATGCTGATATGGCTGTCTATATTCAATCCAGCACATGAAATAACTCAAAAGTTGACTGAGATGACGGAAAAGACGATTTCTGAAAGTAAAGGCATAATTAAAGTAACAATTTAGTAATATGAGGGATGAAAAGTAAAGTTTGGTCTTAGTCCAGGGATCATTGTTACAATTTTGCCTTAATTTTATATTGAATTTCATTGACCTTGTTACCATATCTGACTGGTGAACCAGAAGACAACACGTGGAAAACAGACCCAAGAAAGGACCCTTGAAAAACCAGTAATCAACTATGTTTCTCCAAGCACCATCAGCAGTGCGTGTGTCTTTGGCAATCTGAACTATCTATTGTAACAGAAGAAACACTTGGTTATGAATTCTTCATAGGTACACATGGTGCCTCCTTAGGCGATGTCCAGAGTCCCACATCGAAATTTCACCCAAGATGCAAGCCTCCCAAAGTCTATAAGAAGGGGCACAAGTCCCAAAAGGAGGTAACTACGACATTCGACAATACTGTCATTACTCTGTCTAGATCACTATTCACTTCGTATTTATTCTAATTTAAGTATTGGAGAGCCTTCAGCCGGTACCAAAAGGCTTATCGAGCGTTCTTTGTCTTGCAGATTGATCACTCTACCGAAGCTCACACGAGGGTAAAGGTGACATCATCACTAAATTGGGCCCAAAATTATCCGACCATTTTTATGCATCAACAGACTTTAACCAAAAAAAATTTTATTTATAAATGTGTAACTGAAATCATTTATAAAGAAAATTGTAATTTATTCGGTTTGCTAGATAACAAATCACAAATTCCTATGACCAACTTTTCTAACTTCTATCCGTCACTCTTTGAAATTTTTTTTAAAAATTTTTATGGCTTAAATGTTAAAATAGTCCCTGTGTTTTAACCATTTGGCTAATTTAGTCCATGTGTTTTTAATTTGGCCGATTTAGTCCTTGTGTTTTACTCCGTTAGCTAATGTTGTCCATTCCGTTAATTTATTATGAAAAAAGTTCATAAAAGTTTTAAAAATTAATAAAAAACTGTAATCGTTTTAAATAAATAAATAAAAAATTACAAGTTCACTTTAATGATTAACAAAATAAAGGCCTGCAAGCCTCAAGTTCTCCAATTGATCACCCCACCGATTCAACCCTCTAATAAAAAGTTCTCCGATTTGCATCAACGCTGCCAGTCCCTTCTACATGCCCATAATACAATCCATGGGGTGGATAAAAACATTAGCAAGAGCAAAAGGGCCCCGACAGCCCTGAAAAGAAGGATGAACAAGAACAAATGGATTGTTGGCTCTTGCAATCATTCTTATCCTTTATCTTATTAAGCTTACCCACTAGCCTATTGCTACACTGCCTTATGCTTATTTTTGTTTCTCTTAACAAAAAGATTAACAAAATAAAAAAAATTTGGAAACCCAACCTCTAAACCCTCTTCTTCTCTCCAGCAGCCAACACCAAACCACCACGAGCGATTCCACCCAGCCACTTCCCCCTGGAATGTGGTGGCTAGTCTTTTATTTTTAAATTGAAATTTAATTTGTTATTAAATAATTAGAGATTTTTAATTAGTTTAAATAAATTTTATGAATTTTTTAAACAACAATTTAACGGAATGGACAATATTGACTAATGGAGTAAAACACAATGACTAAATCGACTAAATTAAAAACACGGGGACTAAATTGGCCAAAAGAATAAAACACAGGGACCATTTTAACATTTAAGTCAATTTTTAAAGAAGCAATCCCACTTCTACCATGTGTAGATGGAGAAATTATACAATAGTACCGTATTACCACGTCGGCTGGTGATACTTCCACTCAAAATATGCCATGTGTCAATATTTTTTAAATAAAATTGATTTTTTTTACAACCTGTATTTAAAATTCATTATTTACATTTAGAATAACATTTTAGAAAGACAAAATCCAAAAGACGCCATAACCACCTCGACCCCAACCCAACCCAACCCAATTTCCCCACTCCCACTGCTTGCCGCCCCCTCCCTCACTCACCATAAAAATCTGCAAGATCTCTTAAACCATGGGAGCAGAAAACAAAACCAATATCATATATTCTAAGTATGTCAGGAGTATCCATCACTTAAACCCACCTCACCACCTGGTTGCCTCTCACTGCCTCATGATGAACGAGTGCCTCTGTTGCTCACAATCCCACCAGCCTTTCATAAATATCGCATGCCACTCAAGAGATTCATGGCACACCTTTGTGATTGATGAAAACATATGCCTTCATAATCCTTACCACGACATGAAAATTTGAAACCGTAGATTCTTTGGTTGATTCATGAGGCATAAAGATTTAATTCTGGGAATAACTGTTGTACAAATACAAATTGCCTCATGCCGAGTGTTTTATCCGTTTTGTGTCTGGTACAGTAAGCTGTTGTGGGGCTCTTTGTTGGCTTGTCCAGATTGACCGTTGTCTATTGCTTTCTTAGTTTCGATTGTTGCTGTGGTCTATTGTTTCCCTCTTTTCTGTTGTCTCTTCTTCCTTGTCAAGGGAGGAGGTTGGGGTGGGGTGGGCAGTGGTTCAGTCAAGGGAGCCAGGGTTGGGGTGGGCGGTGGTTCTGTCTTTTGGATATTCTTATTTTCTCAATTTTATTTTAAAGATAAAAACATATTTAAAGTCCAGCTGTTAAAAAAAGTTTTAATTATTTAAAAATAATAATACATGGCATATTTTGAATGGAAGTATCACCAGCTGACGTGGTGATACGGTACCATTGTATAATTTCTCGTGTAGATGGACCAGGCGCTCCGAAAACCATGTCATCTAAATGTTGTGGAATAAAATGCAGGAGGCTTTTCCTTTTTCAATTTTTATTTCTTTCTTTTCAGTATGAGGCTCAGCAGAGGAATTTGAGGGCAAGTAGAGTTCTATCTACAAGTTCATATGCTTGTCTTTTTATTTATTTATTTAAATTTATGTTAAGAAAGAAAAAAGAAAAAATATTGGTATTAGTTGCTGTTCTGAATAGTGAACTTCAGGAAAAAAACACTGTATAGAAAGCTCTCCTCTTGCTGCTTCTTTCTTCTCCCTTTGACTCCGATTAGTTGGATTTTTTAGGCCCCCACATTTCTGCCATATTTAAACAGCATAACACCAACCAAGCTCACTGAGTTTAAGGAAATGGTTTCAAGGACTTCAACAACTGTAGGTCCTCTAATTAGAGAAGCTAGAAGATTATAATAATCTTGTAGCTTTCTTAAGTTTCTTTCTTTCTCCTCTTTCTCTTCCTCTAAGTTGGACTTGAGCCTCGTTGAGGAGAAAGACTTCCATAAAATGGAAATATCACTATTTTGTTAATCCCGTCTAATAACACGCGTCATAGCAAAACAGTGTTATTTCCATTGCAAATCAAGTTTTTCTCACATCGTTTCCAGTTTCACGTAACTTGTTGAGTTGTTCTTTCTTTGTTTAGCTTTCTGTATCCCTCTTATAGACAGTTGTTCACATCTTATAAAAGGATTTAAATGGTATTATGGGTACATTTTAGAACAAATGATTACTTGCTTAGACATATGCGTTGTCATCTTTTTCAAGAGGAAACCCAACCAAACTCATTGAGGTTACAACTCATTAAACTAAGCACAGAAGCAATGATGTTGTGGATTAGTGGTATTTCCTTTTTGATGAATGTACATATATATATTTATATATAAATATATATATATATGTTCATGATGAAGATATAAAGTTTCAAAGCACAAATTCTAATGAAATTTTGGTGGAACGTGGAGGAATGGACAATGAGTAATGGTGTCAGCTAGGGAGAAAAGGACAATGAGTCTCTGATTTGACTATTTTGTCCTTTTAACCAATGTAGGTATTTTTGTAACTTACATCTTACACCTTGTATTAAGAAAACTTTTTAATTTAATTTCCATGAAAAAGAACAAGCTTAGGAAATAGATTAGAAGTGGACAATCAGGTCAAATAGAAACGCAAACCCTTCTCTACCATTTCCTTGCTATTCTCGTGTCAATCATTTGTATACGGACTCTCAAACACATGACCATATCAAGTGTCAAATTAGCCACAAGCCAATAACTCCACTTTATAAATAAAGCAGACGAAATTAGAGCTTATGCAAAATTTATCTAAACCAAACAACTATATATATTATCTTACTATTTTTCTTATTTTTAAAAAAAAAAACGTCATTGAAAAATGAATATTCGAACACAAGAACTCACGAGTAACTGCTTTCAACCACTTTCTAATAAAAGTTGATTTTTATTCCCCTCATGGTCAACTTTTTGAAATGTGGTACTCATGGTACTAAAATTCTCATCCTTCATAATAGAGTCAGTCAAAATTCAAACCCTCACCAACCAACCCCCTTCTTTCTCTAGGCCCCCTCTCCGTCTGTCTACTTTCTTAAACTCAAAGTCTCAAAGATTTCCATTTGGGTTTCTAGACATTACTTTATTTTGTTACAAGGCATGGAAAAAGCTCTGAAACTCAAAGAGAAGAAGCAAGGCCAAGCCATGCAAACATTGCAACAACAAGACTCTCATCACTCTCAGGCTAAGCCTCCCAAACAAGGGCTAACAACAATCACCACCCATGTTGAGAGGCTCAAGTCTCCACCAGAAGACCAGGTCAAGCTAGCTGCCACTGCCATCACCCTCAATGTACGGTTGAGATCATCCGATATGCCAGCCCACATGCAGAATCATGCTCTCCGCCACACGAGAACGCTCCTTGACTCAGCAGCAGCACCACCACCAGCCCCCAAAACTCGTCCAAACCCAACTCACCTAGCTCGGGCTCTCAAAAAGGTACACAATTTCAATCTCTCTGCGTTCTCTCTGTTGATGGGTTGCCTGTTTTTTGGTTAATTCATTTGGGTTCATTAACTTCAATTCAAACGTGGATTGTAGGAGTTTGACTCGGTGTATGGACCGGCGTGGCACTGTGTTGTGGGAACGAGTTTTGGATCGTTCGTGACTCACTCACCTGGTGGGTTTGTGTATTTCTCTGTTGACGACTCGCTGTCGGTGCTTCTCTTCAAAACAGAGGTGCAGTTGGTCAAGGAAAAACCACAACCAGCACAAGCAGCAAAGCCTTAATTAAAGTTGAAGCTTTCTTTGACCATTTGTCATCACAGAAATGAGCATGAGAAACCCTGCGCCTACCATACATGTCACCTGTTAGTTGTTGTTGGACTCTCAAAACTTAAGATTAGATTTTCTTTTCTTTTCATTCAAAACAAACAGCATCATCATCAGATGATCTTTGAGCTGTATATACAGGTAGATTAATAGTAAAGAAATGTGGTTTAATTTTTAGGGTTTTTGGGTTTCTTGAGATTTTGGTTCATTTTTGGGTTATTTTTTAGGAATCTGTTGTTAATTATTGCAAGCTTTGCTGTAAAAAAATATAAAGAAAAAAAGTTGTTTCTGCCCTAAAAAAAAAAGGAAAAAAAAAAAGTTGTGAAATGACTTGTGGTAGGGTGGGTATATTATAAGGGACAGAGAGTGAGATTTGGTTTCAATGAGAAGCCAAATCAGAGGGTCTTTTACTTTTGGCAAAGACTAAAGAGAGATAATTTTATGATCAGTCAGCATGTTCCATGAGTACACGCAAACATGAAAAGCTCAGAAATCCCAGTGGTCCTCTGAGAGCCAGAGGTTTGTCTTGTATGTTGATCTTCCCAAAATTGATATCTCCTTCTGGCTTTTATATATTAATATTAAACATATTCAAATGTTTTTTTGTTATCATTTTGGTCAAATTATTCGGATGTTTTGACTAGTCCTCAACTGTCTTCTACCCTCATCCTTCACTATCATCTTGGAAGTATGTGTTTTGGGTCACTATGAGAGAGAGAGAGAGAGAGTCAGCACAGTTCAGCATAAATGTGAACAAAATTAATCCTTCTATTATGACACATAGAGATAGAATACATACTGATGCACATTATAATCAGGGGCAGAAAACAAAATTAGAATACAACTCATAAATAACATACAACTCTAAACTTTCGGCTATGGACAGCAGACAATGGGTGGAAAAAACCCTACAAGGAATGACTCAGAAATAAATCACTTTTAATATACAGGGGAATTTGTAACAGATTAAAGTTATACCTCTCCATATCCTTTCTCTTGACGCAGCATACCAGCAAACCCGCATATAACAAAACTTAGTAACTCTAATCATTTGGTGTGGGTCTATGGAAGATTTACTTGCTTTTTAATGGTCTGATATACCACAAACTAGGAATTTCTAAGACAAGTTCCTCTCGCGCATTAGAGATTCTATCTTCTCAACATCTTCTGGGGCGTCAACACCATGAGCCTCATGGTCAACCTTGATCACCTGCGAACACAGAACAATGTGAACTTTTAGACATCCGTATTTCAGGAAAAACAGAAAAAATGCATTCTTCATCCCGTTACATTTACTTTTTGACATGTCACATTTGAGGAGAACCACTATCCCAGGTCAAAATTTGTGGAATTTCAATTCTTTTCCTTTGGGGCTGAGGGTAATCGTGTTTGAGAGTTCCTTGAAACAAAATTTTACAGCATTTTGACGAACTAGATTATATATCATCACAACCAACAGGTAAGATATTTATTGCACCAAATTTCTTATACTAATTATGATGACCGCACCAATGTCAAGTATGACTTCAATACAATTAGTGAGCATACAACAATAAGAAGAAAAGATGGGTACAGATAAATAGAAAAGAACAAAAAAGCACTGCAATGTCAAAATAACTTTGCAAGAACCGGCAAAATAATTATAAGAGCAGATCAGTCAATTAAGAGTCTTAACATACCTTCATCTTATACCCATTTTCAAGGACTTTAAGCTGCTCCAGATCCTCTTCTAGTTGCAAAGGAGTAGGTTCAAGCTGAGGATATATTTTTAGGAACCTTGTATCATAGCTCTGAAAAGGCATGGAACAGAGAACCATAAACTCACAAGTTAGGTGGCCTAAAATAATTTACAATCACACCTCGCAGCCACACAATTTTTTAACAAAATGTCTATTTAATACCTGAATTCCTAGATGAAGCATATAGGGAAACTGTGGATTGGCCTTGCCTGACCTGTATCACATGTGACAATTTGTCAGATCTTGCAAAGCAGTTGATAACACATTTACATTCACCGCATATTAAGTATTTCACAAAAAAGAAAATCCATTATGCAAACATAAGCTCACTTGTTAAATGGAATCAATCCCCTTGAAAAATAGATGGCATAACCAGAATTGTCAACCACACATTTCACTCGATTTGGATCAAATGCGTCTTCAAGTTTTAATGATGTGACTGCAGTGCTAAACACTGCATCTGGGGCTTCCTGGTAAGATATAACAAATTTGTGACATGATTGCATGGAAACAAATTAAAACATGAGATATGCCATTAGAAATGGAAAAGATAAATAACTATTTCAACATGATTTTGATGCTAAACAAATATGCAACTGGGATTGCTTCACCTACTTCAAAAAACAAGACTAATTGTTGAAAATCGAAATAAATTAAATGCCACATGTGTTTATTATTCCTGTCGTAGCACTCACATTTCATGGGGGACAATCATGACAAAAGATTGAGAAACAAATTTACCTGCAAAGCTTTAACAATTCCATCTATTATCTCAGGTTCAATAAGAGGCTCATCCCCCTGAATATTGACAACTATATCATACTTCTTCTCAAGCTTTTGAATTGCTTCAGAACAACGCTCAGTACCTTTAAGTTCAGAAAAAAGTAAATAAAAATGCAATTATAAATTTAATCTGCAAAAGAAAAAAAAAGGAAAAAAGAAAACCATGGTGCCTACCATTCCTGCAGGATTCTGAGGTCATTATGACATCAGCTCCAAAACTGCGACAACATTCTCGAATCTTCTCATCGTCTGTCGCAACAACTGCACAAAAAGGAAGGTAGACATTAAACAACACTTCAAAAATACTCGGCCGGTTGAATTCACTTTCCCCAATGCATAGCTATTTAAGCATTAAGCAAAACTTAATATCATCAACAGGATGCAAGGTGGGAAGCCTAAAAAGGAATATCACTGGGGTATTAAGGGTCTCAAAGATTGGATGCCCATATCACATCACATCTCGTATACTTTCAATCAACCCGTCTCTTGGGGTTGCTAAGGTTAAAGAAGATTTCCTCATAGGTGACTGTTTTGTTGGAGGTTAAAATGCCTCATTATTGAAGCCGAATCAAGCTCTTGAAGCTGAGAAAATTGGCCAGATCTTTTATGAAATGAAGATAAGGGGATGGCTCAAACACTTAGCTTATTGGGCAACTGGCATCCACAGGGTCATAAGTATGGCCATAGAATGGTTTGTGACTCTGGTCTTCCTCTTTCAACCAAAGTCAAGGATGATATTTGCAATGGAAATTGGAAGTGGGAAATTGCCAGACAGAATCAGCTGGCAGAAGTTAAGATAGGTGGCTTAAGTATACCTATAAATAAATTCAAATGAAGATACAGATTTTTGGATGCCTAGCAAAACTTGTCAGATGTAATCAGCTGCCTCATTATTAAGGGGACATTCAACGATTTATTTAAGAAGGGTTCCTTCCCTGACAGAACATTAACAAAATCCTAGTATAAACATGAAGCAAAATTACATGGAGTTCAAGTGAGTAAACATACCAACATGATCCAGTGTAGTTGCCAGTTTTGCCCTTTCCCATGTTCTCTGCAAAGACAAACTCAAACTTGTAAGTGAAATGTTTCCCAATTACATTACCATAGGCTCTAATCTCAGACCAATAAAATAAAAGGGGTGTAAAAGAAAATCCCAATAAAAGAAAAAACACCCTGCTTCAGATCCATGCAGCTTAGGAAAATTGATAACAAACTTCAAGCTTAGAAAATATCCATTTCACATACGGTATCAAAATGTAAGTACACAATGGAAGAATTAGTGAAGCAAAAAGAAGGACCTGGATCATGGGCTTTCCGAGGATCTGAGCGAGAGGCTTGCCCTGGAAACGTGAAGAAGCGAAACGGGCGGGGATGATACCGACAACCCGGCTCCGAAACTTCTTTGGCGGACCCAAGTAAACCCGGGCGCCAATTGCCACCGCAATTGCAACTCCGGCGACGATTCCGTGGACGATCCATGCCTTGGTGCTGCTCCAAGACCCAGACGACGACGACGACGACGACGACGACGACGACGACGACGAGCAAATCGACATGGGGTTCATGTTGATCTCACTGAACAGAGTGAACCGAAAGAGAGAGAGGAGAGAGAGAAAGACACCTTCGTTATCTTTGGTGCGTTTTTTCGTTGGTAGATTTTTGGGTGCTCTGTTGTAATTCTTCAATTAGCTGGGGCACAGCGGATTGATTTTTATTATTTATTATTGATTTTTCGAAATGAAACAATTTCAAGAGATAAAGACAAAAGTTTCATAGTCCAACTTTCATAGTCCCGGGTCCGGCTTGAGATCGAGATCCCATGTCCAAGGTTCGAGATATCGAATCAAAGAGCCCCAAGTCCAAGGTACAAGATTTAGGATTTGAAGTCGTAGGATCAAGGGGAAGTTGTAGGAATAGAACATGCATTCCCATTTCCGCGTGTGAGCAAGTCCTTTTTTTAATACCAAAATTTATTATAATAATTTGTAAGTCGATAAATTCATAAAACAGTTCGTTCCAAGTGGAATTGAAGCCCAAAATGAGATCCTGTTATACATTCAACATGAGAAGACAGACAATATGTGTAATAACTTTTATCTTTCTATTGTGTAAAAATGTAAATAAATTAACAAACATATGTGAAGTTCACGTAAGGCTTACGATCAAAAAGAAAAGGACACTGAAAGGGTTACATGTTAACACCCAGATCACTGCCCATGTCAAAACTGGGGAAATAGCCTCATCTTGCAGAACATGTTCCAAAGTCCGGGTTATATGGCATTAAGACTTTGCCATAAGCTCAACACAAGCCTTGTATTGCATGTAAAGGCGGTAAACGAGCAGTCAGTATTATCACAGATAACAGAGAGGCTGTAACAGAGGCTCCACTTAGCACTGCACTTCCATTTTCAGTTAATGGCAGCAGCATGTTGGTCCATGAAATACAATGCTAATCAGAACCCACTAACTGCAGAAAAGAAAGTCGGACACTTCCAAGAGCATGGCAACTTATAGGCATGAGAAGGGTTCTACAGAGCCCACGGAGATCCACCGCCATGACGACCAAATCAATTGGCATTATCTTGGGAATGTCTCCGTCTCCTAATTTTCTTCATTTTTCCCTTCTCTTTCCTTGAGCTATTTTCATCACGCCTAGTCTTCTCTTTCTTTGAGCCATTTTCTCTCCTCCCCACTTCACCATTTTCTTTTCCCTTCTTACCTGAATTCTCTTTAAAAGAAGCCTTCCTCTTCTTTCCCGATGATCGCCCACTACCACCTCCAGCAGAATCATCTCCCCGCGGCAGGGGATCATCATCATCATCTAACTGCCAATTGCACATAAACTCCTGCCCATCATGCTCTAGCTGAAGTGGTTTCCCTGCTCCAGGAAGTAAGCTATCAAAAGCTACTAGCCCGGGACCTCCTTTGCGTTCCACCAACGTAGGATCAGGTCTAATTATGGTACCGAGAATGCTCCTGTTTGGGCCTAAGCACAGGATGACCTTAGGATTTGTCAATGTAGTATAAGCCATTGAAAAAGCTGATCTAATCTGCAAGAAATCCAGAAAAGGATGTGACGTGGAGGAAGATCAGCCAATTATAAGAATTGGGTTGGCAAGTGTTGCTTGTCAGCTAATTGTAAGAATTAGCTGACAGAGCAACTTATGCGAATAAATTTTTTAACCGTGCAAGCACATGCATACAAACATGCATGATCTGTTTGACAGGTACCACTAAAGAACATTGCCTAAGCCAGCTGGTCATCAACCAAGCCAGACAGAAACAGCCATTTCATGGAAGATGAAGTGTCAGCTTGTAATTTCAGTATATCAATTTGCGGTAACATGAATAAAGCTCACACAAGCATATACACGCACAACCATTAAACTATATTCAATGCAAATCCAGTTAGTTGGCATCAAAAGCGAAGGCGGAGAAAAATTATAAGCATGTTATTCAACAAACCTGAAAATAGTTGAATGAGTTCTTCCCAACGTCATTCTCTGGTGCCTGGGGATCCTCGATGGCAATAAGAAATGGTCGTCCTTTGGTTATGAACCTGAGAGAGAGGATAAATCCAATGCAAAAGTCCAAAAACCGGGTAAAAAAAAGAGAAGAATCAAGATAAAGAAACTCATCACTTTATTACGAAGGTTATTTATACCCTTTGACACTCTTTTTAAAAAAGGTCCCTGCCCCTTTGCACGATACACCAACATCTGAAGTATTCAATTTGCGTCCATAAAAATCAAAGAAGTTTACCTATTTGAGAAACACAACAGATAAACGAGAATGTAAGCCACAAGCTCATTGAATTTTCTCCATATTCTTTGGAAAAATCCTAGCCTCTCATAAGAAGTTAAAAACTAGAACACTAGAGTGAATTCCATAGTCCACATAATTCAGGGTTACAGTCTCCATTCCTACATTTACAACCAAGCCTGGTTGCTGGGATAAAGTTAAGCTAACTGACTTGGGATACAATGAAAGAACTTCAAGTAATAATAAAGAGCTTCCAAGCTCTCATCTACTTGATCCAAAAAAACTTACCAAAAGAACTCCCAAGTTTTGTTCGGAAGAAGCTTGACATTCTCTGTGGCTCTGTTGCATAAAATTCAATATATATATCAGGGATAAAGGATCCAATAATGAGGATGTTGGTCTATTTATCTGAATTTTAACATTACAGAAATTGATAATTGTTTATCTATGATCCAAATGACAGAATAAATCGTGTGGTAAATTATCTATTTCATTCAAATTTTAGGAACTTGTCCTTGGATCTCATTTGCACTCATAGGTTTACCATGTTCCACTGCAATATTCAACAAAAAAGCAAGTTTTACACAACCAAACAGGAGCCATACAGTACAGGTATGTGCATAGGCAAGCAAGAAGTGCACCAAATCTTCAAATGCATATTTAAGATTCACTCACATGCAACATTGCCATGAGCATCGTAAGGAGGGCGTAAGAACCTAATCCACCAGAGTACACCTACATATGTTATCAGAATATGGATTAGGCTGACTGGAAAAATAAATTCCATAAAGAAAAAGAAAGACAAGTGAATCTATTAAATTAGAAAGTCATACCTCATTTAATTCTCTCTGTTGTAAAAATACTTTTAAGATTAAACATAATGGTCGCAAAGGAGGCCACTTAGATACCGCGTCCTGAAAAGGGATCAATGGATAGTGTCAAAGGAGACTGAAAATAGTTATTCCCTCACTTTACATGCAATCTATAACATTCTAACTGAATCCTCGCATGGTTTTTTTTTATTTTTCCTTGAAGTGTCTACGATAATTGGGAATTATTTTACTAGGTGGAAGCACTACCTTTGCTCCCTTACCACTACTGTTACAAACATGGGATATTAGTTCAACATTCTCTAAGATTTGTAATGTTTAACTTTAGAAAATTAATATATACTTTTTGATTCCACAGCTTACCAAGTTATCAACTACTACTGCTTTTCACCCCCTTTTGTTACTACTTTCAATATCAACATTCATATAACTATTGTTTAAGATATCGTAATTACATCTGAAGCCATATTAAACCATGACCGATGCAAGGAAGAGCACAAAGTTGCAAACAACAATGTTAACATTGTTCAGAGGCACATGGTCAGGCTCTGACCTATATTAGAAAAGTTATAATATCTCTACAGAAACTTAGTAGATGATAGATTATGGGACAAACCTGGATAAAATCTGCAGCTTTTGGTCCGCTTTCTATATCAAAACTGTTAAGCAAGAAATAAAATTATCAATTGTACTTTTTAATTATATTGAACATATCCCAGGAAATGCTTATCAATATATTCTAGCTTTATTAATTCGAAACTCTGTTGCAAAAGATACAAAAGTAAACCTTATGTCAAAGGCAATGCCACTTGTTTTTTCTACAAACTTAATAATAGGAATACGTGCCTTTCCAATCACCTGAGAAATCCATAGAGAACAAAAAATAAGAGGCTAAAGTTTTTCCACAATAGTATTTCAAGTAAAGGATAAGGCACACCTGTATCTTTTTTGCCAATCCCATCTGTGACAATGCCCTAGAAAGGGCCTGCAATCCTTGCTGCGGTGTTGGTATGCCTGACCTCATAATGACAACCTACGAGTAATAGCAATCAACCAAATGCCTAACTTATATGGACACTTAAGCATGCTCATAGACCAGAGTAACAAAATTTCTAATTCAAACTTCAGTTCCTAACTTTATCTTAACATTACGATCAACATACTTACATCAATATCACTAGCGGGAAGATATAAACCCGTCTTGAAGGACCCAAAAACTTCAACCTAGAAAGCAACAATCATAGAACAACAGGATCTTATTATGAGATTTTTTTTCGTGATTAAAATCACGCACACATGCATTCATGCCCACACGAACAACAAAAAAAAGTTACCTTGCACCGAGGCCATATATATTTGATAACCTGAGAGACACGTTCTACTGCTGAAGTGCGTGCCTCTTGTTCTTCTGGAGTTGGAGAGAGAAACTCACAAAAGTCCACAATTTCTGTGATCATTATGAATACACAAGTTACTCAGTTACCACATTACAAATTAACAATTTTCTCCCTTACAAAGATCCTTAATTTCTACACAAGTAAAAGAAATACGCAAAAACCAGGTCCAATTCACATTACAGGTTACAATGTATGAAATTTCTTCCCAGTATAACTAAAAATCAGAAAAAACATTTAGACATTGCCACTAAACATTGGAAAAGTCCAAAAAAGATTTCATAGTGTACATATAAACCCAGTTCAAACCTTCAATAGAATTACTTGGCAACCCAATATAAGCAGTTGAAACTGCGGCTAATACCTTTATGAAGCTGAAGCATAGGACTCTTGAATTTACTATGGCCCCTAAACCACCCGCTCTCGAGCTTTGGCTCGACTTCAAGAGCCGGCGTCGTCGGCTCGTATTGGTGAAGCGGCGTCCTCGGCTCGGCTGCAAGGGTACGAGACGGTGAGACCCAATTTGGCTCGGCTTCGTCGGCACCAACGTCGAGTGAGAAGAAATCGGGAGCGGCGGTGTCCACCGGAGCGCATTGGGGAGTGGAGAGAGTAACCTCGTTGCGGAAAACGGAGTACGGTTCCAGGTCATCGGGAGGCGGAGATTGATTGGCGGTGGGAAGAGAGAGCGCCGGTAGGGTTTCGTAGAGAAAGCCTTGTGTTGCAGGCTCCTCCTCCATGTTTACGGAAGAGAGAGGGAAAACGACGGCACAGGAATTGGGATTGTGAGGGTTTATACTTTCCCAAACTAGATGTCGTTTAATTAGGAGAAGCTTATTTAAATATTTAAATATGTATTGTATTTGTATTAATTAAAGAAAATAATTTTTACTCGCATTAGACCAAATGGCAATTGTCCTTTATATATTTGTGTAGAAAGAAAACCAATTGTATAATATTTACATTTATATTTCATGACTATTTTTTTGTTGGAAAAAGATGCCTTTATTAAAATGCCATAAAAATATACCGCGATTAGGATGAAATCATCCGAAACCCAACATGAGAGTCCAAAACAAGAGCATAATCTTAAAAATATTCGCGAAATGAAACAATCATGAGTAAACAATTATGGATTATGTTATGGCCTTAAAATTTTGATTTATAATCACTTTAAGTTGTTTTAAGTGATTTTATGGAGGACGTGAAGGCAAGCAAGCAAAAATAATACAAGAAGAGAAGTTCGAAATTTTATAACCTTTTTCATACACAACCATAATTTCCTCATATTTTTATTACTATAAAAATAAAAAGTAAAAAAAAACTGTTATTGTCAATCATGAAGGATCAAAATAACCTTTATTATCTGAAAGAATATTAATAATAGATTTAAGAAAAAAACCAATGGCAATTTGGCTTAATTATAATTTGTTATAACCTTTGCTTCACCCCCTTGTGAGGAGGATGCATTGTAACTATACTTCTTCAACAAAAAACTTCTTCCACATGACACAACTGCCCACATCTCTCTAACATCAACTTCCAACAATGTAAGTAGTTATTAAGAAAGATGATGACCGCCGTTTGTTGCATGCAAAGAACGTTCCGTAAAGTGACTCTAACTAGTTACCTAACTTCAATTCCTCTAAAAATACCAAGTTTTTGTTACCAAATTATCTGCCAGCTCCTTACAAGTTAATTTCTAAAATTAGGATCCAAAACAAATGAAGGTGCAACCTTTTTTGCAACACCATATATATTCCTGCCATAAATTTTAAAAACGCAATGTGTTTAGCCACAGTCTAACTTCAGTCGCAGAAACCATTTATCACTACACCCAAAGCCCGAGTTTCGAACTTTATCATTTCGTTTGATCCAGAAATCAGAAACCAATTAAGTCAGACTCAATGGAAAATCAAACTTCGTTCTCACAACCTTTCATCCTCATATACAACATGTTTTCTGAAGGCTTTGATTCCCCACCTAGCCCCGCTCTGTTTTCAGATCTCCCAGCCAACATCATTGCATGCATCTCAATAGTCACCTTGTTATTTATGATCTTTAATCACATTCTCAACGTTTTCCTTTCATGGCTCCTTCAAGTCATCCCGGAGCATGATCTCGAGGGAGGCGATGTCATTTATGGACCGCAAATTAACATCGTCAGTTCGAGCCCTTTTCGTGTAGCTATAGTGCAAAACATGCAGAGGCTGGGGGTCATAAAGAGGGTCGTGCCGGAGTTTGATGAAGGAAGAGGGCCAAGGCTTAGGGCCTTGAAGAAATTGCCACCACTAGTCAATTATAGAACCCTTGATGAAACACAATCAAGTTCAAAATGCACTTCATGTGCAATTTGCTTGGAGGATTTTGCGCAAGGTGATTCATGCCAAGTTTTTTCAATGTGCAACCACATGTTCCATGCCAATTGCATTGACCATTGGTTGATGAAGAAGCCAAATTGCCCAGTTTGTCGACATTGTATCATGGATGCATGACAGTTATGAGCCCTTTTGTTTGTTTGTTTGTGTTTTTTTCTTGAGGTGTATTCCGGATCTGTTCAAACAACTGTAAATATCAACATTCTTTTCTATAGGCATATCAATAGTTTGCAAACACTTTAAGCCATGCAATTACCCTAATTTTGGGTTGTAAATAGAATTTGTCAACATTTTCTTGTCAATTACCTATTGTATCGTATTGTGGATTCAAATTGGGTTTATATATACAAGGCCTCCAAATTAAATTATAATCCTTTTGATAAGTATAGCCCTTGTACATTATAATTTCTTGGACACGGAATATGAGATGTAGGAAAGGCTCATACTTATAGCTAGAGGTTGGGGCTAGCTCATGGCCTAGCTAGGGTTCATTGCTCGGGCTCTTAGGTCAAGTCCTCAGGCTTAGGCCTAGGGTTCAGGATAGGATCTTCGAGGTATAAAACGCTAGCTAGGTACTTGAGATTCGAGGTTTTGATCCTTATGAATTCGGAGTTTTAATTTTTGACACGACACGATAACACGACTTGAATCTGACATGAAATTAGTCGTTTAGGTCATACATTACTTATGGTATGACTCTTCACCATGTCAAGTTAGTTTCGAACACGAGTAACTTGACTTTAGCACAATAAACTTATTTGGAGAAAATGAGTTTTACTTTTTACTTTTTACTTTTTTAATAATTTTTGTTATTATTAGGATCAAGCGCTAGTGGATACAAACAAGGCCAGTGAATGCAATTATCCCCTCTTGTCATTGTTACTACATATGAAATTTTCCAACGCTCCTTTGATGTTCTCCACCCCCACTTGTCATTTTTACTGCACATGAAATTTGGCCAACATTCCTTTGATTCCTTGAGCATGCTGCCAAGTGGCAAGATGTTCGACAAAATGCCTTAATGAACTACGCAAAGCAGAGGTCAAGGCCAACTAGGCAAAGTTGCATGCGGGCTTTATCTAGTTGGCTTAGAAACAAATCAAGGATACTTAGTTCAAAATTTTGAGTTTACAATATCGATAGGTCAACCCAAATACAACAAGATTATAAATGAGTTTATTTAGTGCTACGTTATTAATTAACTTAACACGATTAGTTAAGCGTAAAATTACACGACACGAAAATGACATGTTGACACAAATTGCAGCTCCTAGAAGGTTTCGGGTCTTGAGATCTTGGTGGTATGACTCATGAGGGCATGAGGTTTTGTGTGTCGGGGATGAAAATTTGATGTCCAGAACGTCTGAGGTTGATGCACGGTTGGCCCAGATCTCCTCACTCTCTTCCCTCCCACTCCTATACAGCCATTGCACCTCTCTCTCCCTCTTCTCCTCTCATCCACCCACCCCCCTTCAGCCCATTTCTCTTCCTCTTACATGAACTCTTTAACCCTAAACCCCTTCCCTTTTCCTAGGTTCTGCTTGGTTGTCTTCTGGTTTGTTGTTGCTGTTCATCTCCTACACTCCATCCTCAAATCAGAGCGTTTGCTCTGGAGGCGTTGGCTCTGTAGTTTAATGGTCAATTTTGACCAATCCACAGATCGCTTGAGCTTGATGCACGGTGGTGGCTCGCTTCCCCGAATCCACGCTCTTCAGATCTCCTGTGTCGGTTCTCATGGACCTTCCTCTACTGGCAGCGACGGCAGATCGGGTGGCAGCAGTGGCGGCTGCTTAGTTCTTGGGTGTGCTTTTAGGGTTGTGTATGTCTTAGGGTTTTTTGTTGTGTTGGGCCTCAAGTCTGTGTATTATGGTTGGGCTTTTATTTTGTTTGATTGTGCTTTTGTTTTTTTTCTGTTTGTTGTATTGGGCCTGTTTGTATTTTGCTATGTTTGTAATTTGCTAAGTTAATGGAATTTCATTTCCTTCGACCAAAAAAAAAAAAAAAAAAAAAAAAGAAGGTGTGTATGTGGTCATAGAGAGATCTGAGGCCCCTGAGTCCATTCTTTAAATAAAAAATACAGAAGCATTTTTTCCAAAAAATAAATTTTAGGCAGCGTATTTTGGGTTGTAATTATATAAAAAAACCAAATTTTTTCGACCCGAAAAAAAAGTTGATTTCTAAAGTCAAGCTACCAAAACGCGTTTTTTCTTGGATTTGCTGTATCATCACTTGTCTCATACAAACTGTATTGGAATAACGAACTTAACGAATTCTAATTAACCTCTGTAACTGTAACAAAGAAAAAAAAACAACAACAACAACAAAAAACCTTCAGAAGAGGGGGGCACAAACAGATTCTGAGGTCTAGATATTAATCAATCACGTACTTTCTCTAGACCACCTTAAAAAGTTTGTTCAAACCAAAATCTGAAATATGGGTTTAGCAGTTTTGCGGTTTGGCAACAACTTCTTAGACAAATACCAATCAAAGCATCCATCCGAGTCTCCAAACCCTTTGCTGATCATCGTCGTCATCATGAACATGTCTCAAGCCCTTAAGATTGTCATCCCACCTCCTGTTTTCTCCCTTCTGACTTTCATTGGTACCATAATTTTTGTTTATGTCTGCATCATAGCATTCTCAATCATGCTTTCCCTTCTCGTCATTGCCCTCTTTTACGTCGTCTGCGAGTTTGTTTGGGCGCCGTTATACGAGAGAAGAAATCGGGATCCCGAGGCAGGGGATGAAAGGTTGTCGTTTCAGCCAAACCGCGAAGAATGGCATGACCAAGCCACATTTTATCAGGCAGCTGTCCTTCATAATCTTAGGGTTTTGGAAATCTTGGACTCAATTGTTGAGGCGTTGGAGGAAAGAAGAGACCAAAGGCACCAGCGGGATAGGGAACAACTGTTGGAGATCAAACTGCCACCTCCCATAGCTTATGGAAGCCATGAAATTGAAATGAATTGCAAGGATTGTGTTATTTGCATGGAGGACTTTGAGACTGACCAATTGTGCCAAGTTTTTCCCTCGTGCAACCATACTTTTCATTCCAAATGCATGAACACTTGGTTGAAGAAGAGCCTAACTTGCCCCATTTGTCGTAACAGTGTACTAGATTTGTGAGGCATGCATGTGTGTCTAGGTGAAATTTTTTTGTAAATACAAGAATTTTAATCGTCATTTTTCGTTCGCTTGTCATCTTCAAGACAGAGCCTATCATGGTGCAAAGCCCGTTCTTTCCTAACGGCAATGTCCTAGTGATGGCTTTGCCGCTTTGTCAAAGAAAATTGTGATGGCAGTGGCAGAGCTAATTCTATGTTTTAGGGGGCCAACAATACAGATTTCTTACTTCGGGGGAGCCAATCTGTGTAGATTTTTCAATATTCTCAGCAATTACTGGAGTTAGGAGAGGCCCCGACCACTTTGGTAGCAGGGCAACAAAGTTTGGTGGTTCGGGCAAGTTTCGATGTTACTCAAGTGAGACGATGGAGGTCGAAGCACTTCGTGTATGCTTTCTTTAGCCGGGGTGGACATCTCGCGGTGCTTGAATGTGATGCGAAGGGTTTTAATTGCGGATTTGCAAGGGACTTGTGTCTTAAGTGAGAACAGTTTTGGAGGGCATTGTTCATGATATATTTGTGCAATTGCGAACCAAATTGATGCTCTCTCTTATTAATTTCATGTGTGCCTCATGCTTGTGATATAGCTGCCTGACCATTTGGTTGCATCTCATAACTCTAGAGGAGATTTAATATGCTTGCTTCTCATTATTCTTCAAAAGTGTGTACACACTTGGTCTATAATTTTGAAGAAAAATATATATATTTGTAAATGCAACACCTTTATTCATTTTATAAATCTCACTAGAAGAGAGAAAAAAAAAAAAAAAGGTCTTTTGCTCATGATTTGAGAGTTCCCGTTCACAATATGGGACCAAATTCAGGGAAGGGGTGGTCAAAGAGAGTGTATTTAAATAGTTTAGGCGGGCGGCTATACTATGATTTTAAAGAAACTCAGTATAGCCGGCTTGTTCTGGCCCACGGGCGCCTAATCACTAAGCAGCACCTTTTCCCCCAAAAAAAAAAAAAAAAAAAAAAAAAAAAAAAAGAAAATAGGGCCGCCGCGCGCTATACTCGGGTGTGGGCTATACTATTTTGACACATCCCTGGACGGGTCATTTTTGTAATAAATTTCTTTAAAATATTATAGCCGATCGGCTATACTGATTTGGGACGGCAACCCTATTTGTTTAGTATAGCCGTGCGGCTCGAATGTTTTTAAAAATAGTATAGCCGGCCGGCTATACTCGATTTTTTTAAATAGTATAGCCGAGCTGCGCTAATGGGGTTTTTTTAAATAAAAAATTCCTTCATAAATAGTATAGCCTATACTCTTTATATATATATATTGGGATCCTTTTTTTCTTTTAAATTTTTTTCCCGATTTTCGTTTATCGATAAGAGTAATTTAGAGTATTATCCATTACTATTAGACCATTACCCGAGTCTCTATTGTATCTTTTTAATATTTTTACATCGGAAAAAATAAGGAATTTTTGAGTCCCGGTCCCCTCTCTCCCCTCCCCCGTGGTGATGGAGAGATTTTCCTGCAAGCTCTGTGCTTAGATTTTGTCTCATCATTGGTTTATGGCATGGTCTTTTGTTTCCTCTAGTTTTCTTCTAAGTCACTGGCAATTTCCGATACAACCAACCAGTTACACGACTCAAAACCTGCAAGATAAAAATTCAGGTCATTTTCCGGTTAACCTGCCATGACCCATTTAATAAATGGGTGAATTTTGGGTCAACCCGTCAACTCATTAAAATATCTATACAACCCGTTTATTAAATGGTTTCTTATTATTTTTTAAACTAAAGAAACAAGAAGCAATGCTTTACAGCAGCAGTTTATTAGAGATGGATCTTTCTGGCCATCCAAATTACTAGTATATGATGTATTTCTACCTGTTCCCTACTAAGTAAAGCGTCTATTCGAACAATAAAAAGAATAAAAAAGCTTCATTTTCCCTAAAATAATAAAAGGGAACGGGCCTTTCTCTAAATAAATTAAAAAGGGAGAATATTTTCGTCCCAAAAGGGTAGTTTTGAGCACTATCCTACCTTTGAGTTTGAACTATTATCGGAAGTAACCAATTAGGTTTTCGACAAAATTGAGAAATCAAACAAGCCTCTATAATATAAAAATGTTCGTTATAGTATAACCTCCTCTCACAACATGCACGTAGGTACCCGCCGTAACTAACGGGTGCCCAACTACAAAGCCAATACTATAACTAACAAAATAAACCTTCACTTTTGTTGTTCCCTTGTTGGTTAAAAAAACAGGTAATAACAAAAATGAGCCTCAATTTTTAGAACGAATCCAGACTAAGCAGATTTGAGTGTTATATGGTGTGCCCTACTCTACCTTGATGTTAATTAGTTGCATAACAAAAAAATCCCAGAGGGGTTTTAGCAGTTCTGGCACAACAACTTCCATGGATGAGCATAAACCAAACAAGAAACCAAAAATGCTGCACAGGGCTTTCATGAAAGCATTCTTCAACCATGAACACCATGGTTTCTAATACCAGCGTTCTTCATCAATCTTCTCACAGCCCTCTTAGTTTCTTGTCTTGCATTTTTGCTCTTGGGATTGTAGCTTTGTTGTTCCTACTAGGCCACACAAAATTCACCACTATCAGCCGTCTATTTTGGATCGGCAACTTAGCTCTCTGCACTGCAGGTTTATTTCTCATTGCCTTCATGCATCACATTGTCGGAACCATATTTTCTTGGTTTCCAAACAGAAGCCAGAACGATCACGAAATTGGAGACGACCGATCTCCCCATCATCATGATCAAGATTCGTTGCAACAAGCACCTGCACAAGATATTGTAGCCCTGTTCCACATGGTGTTGATGGAAGTGCTAGATAGGGTTTGGGAGGATTTGGTGACGGAGGAAGGGCCAGAGCAACGTCCTCAGGCTGTGGCCCTCCAAGTTCAAGCCTTGGAGGCGCTCCCGCCGCCTTTGCAGTACTGCAAGGGAGGTCTTGACATAACATCGAGTTGCTGTGGGGATCGGTGTACTATTTGCTTGGATGATTTCATGGATGGCGAGTCTTGCCGTGTTTTCGCATGCAACCACATGTTTCATTCAAATTGCATTGATCCTTGGTTAAAGAACCACCTAACTTGCCCAATTTGTCGAAACTCTGTTGTACATGTCTGAATTTGTAATGTAATTTGCAAGTTTTTTGTTGCATAAAGGTCTCAAAAATTCATTTCAATTGTTGTTCCATAAAACAAGTTTTGAAGTATTTTCAAGAGACAAACTTGTTTCTCCCCTAAACTCTCTCTGTTTCTGTGATACAAAATTTATATTTGGTGAAAAGAAATATGGTCCAAATAACAACTCACTTAGTGATCTAAACACACCAAAAAGATCACAATGCCAAAAAGAGAAAAGAAACCAGAAAGCCAAGAGACTGTTCAATAAATACTAAATTATTGAAATTAGTCTATCGCTAACAATGGCGATACCTTATAATCGAAAGCATCCAACCCGAAACCAATTAACAAAAAATAGAAAAACCTAACAATCACAGTCATCGCCATCATTATCACCATCATCATTATCATCATCATCATCATCATCATCATCATCATCATCATCGCTCCACCAATCTGTCTTCTCATCATCATTGGTTTCATCCTCATCCTCCCTGCTAGTGTCGCCAGGGGACCCGCCAGTCCCGGCCCTGGCCCGGAGACCAAAGCTAGAGTCTCCGGGCAAAAGGGGTCCATTTCTCACACCATCAAACCCAAATCCTTCAACCTTAGACGGTTCTTCGTATAGGAACCTGGATAGAGCCGAGGGTTCAAAGAGCGGCTTCTGAGTGGAAGACTGCGCAGATTGAAAGGACTGAATGATGGGAGTATTTGCAGCAGCAGTGGTTTTGGGAGGGGCTGCAGCCAAAAAGGGATTGCGGAGGAACAAGAGTGGGGCTTTGGGGGCCTTGAGAAAGGATTTGGTTGCCATTGATGGACTGAGAGTTTTTTATTTGAACTTTTGGTGGCTGCAGGGAAAAATGGGTTAAGGGAAGGTTTCATATACAGAGAGGGTTTAGGGTTTTAGGAGGAGGTGAGGTTCTAGAAAATTAGGGTTTAGCAGGCCTTCTTGTTGTCGCCACGATTGTCGTTTCGGTTTGTTTTGTCAATTGAACTGGGCCAAGCAAGTGGCCCTACTTGATCCACCAAGAAAAATAAAAATGGGAAATTTATGATAAAACGCAAATGCTAAGTAATTTCTCATCCTAGATTAGATACATTTGAATTTCAGTGAGTTACTCTTCCTACTAGGGATGAATTGGTAGCAATTATTATTTTTATTTATTTTTATGAACAAGGGAAGAGGTTTTCGAGCTTAGAACATCTTCTCATACCGAGAAGAAAAATACCACAAAATTAGGAGCTAGTTGGTTATATTAATTATGTTTAGAGAATTAAGTATTGTTTTTTACCTTATATGTTTTACCATAGCCTTAGTTGCTCTTTCAAAGGATCATATAGTCTATTTTTAGTCTACGTTTTGCTCAATATTTAATGACTTATTTGATTTACAGTGGTTTGATTAGAAGTTAGATTTCTTAGTGTCATTAATTTCATAAACACATTCTATCAAGCTTTTGCAGCCTTGTAAAGACCCAAGGCAAATTGTAAACATGACTCGACGTGATAGAAATTATGTTTGACATAAATTCCCTCGAGGAAAATAACTCGGGATTCAGTTAAAAGTCGGGAATTAAAGAGGAAAAATTGATATAGTGATAAGTTTTACAATAACCTTAGTTGCCCATTGAGAGTATCATATAGACCATAACAATGATAATACAAATATAACATCCAATTCTTCACCAAAACGACTACACGGCAGAATCCGAATCAGTGAAAATCATAATTCACAGCACACACTAAATCCCAACAAAATGTGACAACATCCCCTCTAATTCCATTCAATTCTTCAATAAGACTTCTTCTTTTTCAAGTCTTTTTTTGCCCAAGTCTTTTTCTTTTTCTTGTCCTCACCGTCTTTGTCAATTCTACGAACAATACGACCTCTAGTGGTATCATAACGGCTGACTTCAACCCTGACTCTGTCCCCAGGCAAAATCCTGATGGAATTCTGTCGGATTTTCCCAGATATGTATCCTATGACGGTGTCTGCGTTGTCTAGTTCGATTCGAAACATACCGTTGGAAAGCGACTCCGTGATCGATCCTTCTTGGCTGAACTTCTGTTCCTCCACTTTCGGCGATTTGCTCATGACCACAATGCTGCTGGGGCAACTTTTGAGGCCGACAAGGTTGGTGTTGTAGTTGTTAATGTGAAGATGAGGCAGAGATTTTGGGTTTGGTTGGAATTTTACAGAGGATGGTGGGGTGAGGGGGAGGGTTAAGGTTTTGGAGGGGAGGGTTAAGGTTTTGGAGTGGAGGAGGGAAGAGTGGTGGAGGATCGGGTGGTGGACTGATGAAGATTGTGAGGTTAACATGCTTTTTGTGGGCGGAGACTGAGAGGGGGAGCGAGGAACCACCGTAGGTCTTCACATTGTAGAGACTTAATGGGGCTACATGTATATGGGCTTCAAAATGAGAAGGTCTCACAAACAAGGATCTTTAGAAGAGAGCCCAACGGAGTTTGTAAATAAATAAATAAAACTCAATTTCAATTTAGTAGCCCGAATTTTCATCCATAAAACAGGTTAATACTCGTATTTTCAAATTTAATATTTAAATAAAAATTATTACAATGTAATTCGGCCGCTAGGGTGATCATTAGGAAATCCGTTAAAACTCATTTTTCCATAAAAAAATAAAATAAAATTTTAGTGACATACTATTGTGTTTCATAATTCTTATTTTAATTTTAGTCACAAGCTATTGTGTTTCGTAGTTCTTAATTTCAATTTTGAGTGTAAAATCAAGTTTAACTTAAATGTTTTTGTTTTCTTGGTATAAAGTTGAGAAGATTCGAACATAAAACCTTAGATACGAGAGGTAAATGCATTTTATGGTGGCACAAATAAAGGATATAGAATAAAATTGCTCTAGCACTACAACTATGGGAGCAACACAACATTGTACATTTGAATTTGCAATCCAACCCACATCACAAATTTCAGTACCAAAACCTCAAATCACATTATACAAATTCAAATTGCCAAACAACACAACATTTCTTCTCAACATTCACATTACACAACACAAATGTTCCAAAACACAATTAAAATTAAAAAAAAAAAAAAAAAAAAAGAAAAAAAACCCTTTTATCCTTCTCTTTTAAGTCTATCTTCTTTTTTAAATCTATAAACAATACGACCTCTGGTGGTATCATAACGACTGACCTCAACCTTAACCCTATCCCCAGGCAAAATCCTGACAAAATTCTTTCGGATTTTCCCAGATATGTATCCTATGATGGTGTCCGCGTTGTCTAATCGGATTCGAAACATACCGTTGGGGAGAGATTCCGTGATCAGCCCTTCTTGGCTGAACTTCTGCTCCTCCACATTCGGCGACTTGCTCATGGCCGCAACGTTTGGGCAACGCTTGGGGCTCAGAAGCTTGGTTCCGGCAAGACAGTGGCTGCTGCTGTTGCTGTTGCTGTTGCTGTGCAGATGGGGCTGAGGTTTTGGGTTTGATTGGAAACTGAGGGGAGAAGATGGGGTTGGGGTTTTGGAGTGGAAGGGAGAGTATCGGAGGATTGGGTAGTGGAGTGAGGTTAACATTTTTTGGGGAGAGGGAGAGGGAGAGAGAGAGAGAGATGATGGTTTGTTTTTGTTGCTGTCTGTGTTTTGTGGGTGGAGAGAGACTCAGAGAGTGGAGGAGAAGGCGAGGGGATTGGGTTTGGGTATTTTGGGGAGTGTCTTAAGTAAATATTGGATGGTGTCAAGGGCAAATCTGTAAAATTATTTTAATTTCTTTTTGCCTTTCCAATGTTTTGTTAACTTTTTTGTTTTTTTATACCAGTGATAATCTATATATATATATATATAAAGTAAACAGTAGATAATGGTAAAACATTCAAAATACTCAAAAAATGTCATTGGTTAATACAAACATTAAGAATTGAAATTATTAATTAAATGAGGATAATATGGTAAATTCACACTTTTTCATATTTAAAAAAATTAAAAATTAAAAGAAAAATCAAATAATAGATCATATTTTTATGGAACACAACTAACCCATTATCTTTTTTAATTCTAAACTAAATTTAAATTTAAAAAAAAAAACCTCTCGCAGGCGCAGAAGCACGTGCAGAGATGTTAGTTTATTCTAAATCAATTTAATCTAACTTTGAGAAATGACCCACTAGTGTAGTTTGTTTGGAGCAATTGCTCTCTTAGGAAAGGTTCTGGGTTCGATTCCTAGCATCCGTGTAATGTGTGTGAGTTTAGTATATTATTAATTTTTATTAATAATAAAAAAAAGGAAAGACCCCTCCCTCCCTTACCCAAAAACCTAAAAAAAAAAAAAAAAAAAAAAAAAAAAAAAAAAAAAAAAACCAAAAAGAAAAGAACCCAAAAAAAATTCTAAATAAATTTCTGTCTAGTTTAACAAAACTAAACTAAATGTTGCAATTTAAGCAAATGACCCAATAGTGTATTGGTTTGGATTAAATGTTCTCTCAGGACAAGTTATGAGTTCGAGTTCTAGCATCTGTGTAGTGTGCATGCATTTAGTATGACATTGCCCCTCTCAATAAAAAAAGTCCTCACAAAAAAAAAAAAAAAAAAAAAAAAAAAAAAAAAAAAAAAAAAAATTTATACTTTATATAAAATAATAAATTATTTAATACTTACATTGAATACATAATACATTATTATAAAAATTTCCATTAAAAAAAAATACATTATAGAAAATGTATTACAACAAAAGTCAACAACACATCCTATTGTTAAGATTCTCACATGTTACTGAATAATAATATACATATTAGTTGTTGTCAATCTGATTACTAATTTATAAGATTAACCACGTATTCCTTCTTGATAGTAACTAGTACATACATGAATTTTCTTATTTTTGATGCAATGTCAACCCTCTTATTTTTTTATTATATCAATTATAGGTTTTGTGATAACTATTATGGGATTTCTTTAATCAGGTTAGTCAAGATGATCTGACCAAGGTACATTGTGAACTTTCAGGCACGGAAAGAGTTTTGGTTGATCTTGTGGATGATATTCGCAGTCAATTTGTCGAAAATGGAGGCTAGTTTGACATCTCAACTGGAACGTCTTAAGTCCGTATGAAGTAGTTAATCCTAGGCGATCCATGATATTTAACTTTGAGTTTCTTGTCATATTCATTTATGACTTTGGAGAAACATGGTTAATCATTATCTTATCCTTCTGCTGCATCTTTCAATTTCGACCAAAAACAAAAAATCTTCTACTACATCTTTGATTCTTTGTTCACACCTAAATCTACTACAATATGTTTAATTGCTTCCAATATCTCACATAATTTATGAACATGTTTTTTTTCCTAACATTGAGAATAGAAATATTTATCAGTATAGTAAGATTTAGTTGGTTTATGAATGAATTTGATATTTTACGACATGCTATAGTTTCATGACAATTAATTCTCTTAGAGGTTGATATCACATATAATGAATGATTCATATCATGTTAGTTTTATTTGAAATATCCTGTCACACATTTGGCATTTATAATGTAATAATATAAAGGGAAATCTTATTAGGATCCAACAATTCTCTTTTGGGCCCCAACATGCCCAATTTTTTTATATACCCAATTTAACTTCCTAAAATACCCTCACTCATGTAACAAACACAACCCAATATATCATATCCTCACAACATCTCAACTAAATTGACAACAATATATTTAATTACTTCCAATATCTCGCGTATTAATGCATGAATGGATTTTTTTTTGTTTTTTTGTTCAATGTGAGGAGAGGACGAATTTGGATTTGTAATCTCTCTAGACATTGGAAAAAAAAATTAATTAAACTAAAGATTAGTTGACATATGACTGAGTGGGATGTTTTAAGACATGTTCACGTTCATGTTTGGTATCCTATTTAGATTTAATTTTATAAACTCAAAAACATATTTTAAGTGCAAGGCCCAAAAAACTTGTTTGGTAGGCCCCTTTTTAAAAACCAAAAACACAAAAACACGCCTATCATTGAAAACAAAAGATTGAGATTTTACAGTTCACTCTCTCTTTCTCTCTCCCCTTTTAATTCGGGAATTAGGGTTTTTTATTTTCTGATTTTAATTTCAATTTTTTTAGATCTTAAAAATATTTTGAATTTCAATACCAAACAAATTTTTAGATTTTAAAATCAATATTTAAAAACTCATGTTTTTAAAAAAATCATAATTTGAGTAGAATACCAAACGGGCCATAAGTCTCTCATTATAATAGGTTGGTATCACATGTAAAGGGATGATATGTATCGTATTAATTTCAATTTTTTTTCTTTTAGGAGAAAATTTAAGTTTTTATTTCAATTATTCTGTCACACATATGGCATTTAAAAGGTATAAACTAAAGGGAAATTTTTTTAGGACCCAACATCCTGACTACAACTACATCTCATCAAATTAACATTTCTTTCTAGACCCAACGTAATTTCCTAAAATACCCCCAACATCTCATTTCCTAGCTACACCCAACCAAACACACTTGAGATAGGTATTTCAAAAGATTTACTTTGAATTGACGAATTTTTCTTTTCAATCTTGTGTTTTTTTTCGCTCTATCGAATTTGACAAATTTGATGCATTACAGTGAATTTGTAGTTATTCTTTTAAGTTTTTGGTAAGTTTGTAAGAGTTCGATGAAGAAAGTGATGATGGTTTTGTGTTTAGTGATGCAACTGTTGGATCTAGCAAAAAACAATCGTTTATTCTTTTATATATTTTGATGATAATTATATATTGGGATAAAATGAACAATTTCGTGAGGCTAGTAGATGAGGCTGTCTAATATCAAACACATTGCATCTGCACACTGTTGATGTTATTTATCTAAACAATCAAACAGTTACATTCTGAGAACCTATATTTCCCAAGGAAATTACTTGTCACTAGACCCTAGAACTTTCTCATAATCTTCATGTCCCCTAAATCTTCTTGGAAGGATACATCGTTCGCCAAACCGCTGCTGCAAGCAGATGATTGCAGCAAATAGCAGATATACAGAACAGACAATGACGTCCTGAGAGCCGGAGAAAAAACTTGCATGAGGACCGGTCGAAAACTTGGATGACCAAGGATCATAGGTTTTTGCCCTGTAAAGGTCATATGCATGTGGAAGCACATGCATAAAAGCGATTCCAAGGTAAAATTACCAAGAAAGAGCACTTTCCTTTGAGTTGAGAAAAATGTTGAGGAGGACTTGAGGGAAAACAAAGCAATCAAGAACTAGACCGGCATAGGATCTTAAACAGCCCCTAAGAAAATGCTTTACAATGTGAAGTTGGTTCTGCTTGACGTTCATGAACAGAGCAACGAAGCCCCCGGCTATGTATAATGGCGAACAAGCAAGGAACACCTTCTTCTCAGCAACCCAGGAAGCCTTGAGGTTGCGATCATGCAACTGTGTGTACCATTTCAGCTGGAGGAGACGTTGATGGAACAAGAAAGCCAGCAGCATGACAACCCGTACAGCTATCTCATTCACCTCAATCAGACGGGACGTAACCATGAGACAGGAGACGTAACCACTCCTTCCAAGAAGCTCTCTACAACCATTAATTAAGCTAAACATGGGATGAGAATCCACAACATGAGTGATCCTATGAACCACAGCTTGAGAATCACACTCAATCCCCAATAATCTTCAACTTTCCTCCCGAGATAGCTGTTACTCATGGAAGAGACCTCATAACTAAGCACTTCCATAACAACAAAATCTCTAACTCAATTTTCATCAGAATTTCTCAAAAGGCCTCCACTCCAGCACAATATGAGAATCAATAGCATGACAACTACCATCAATATTGAGCTTAAGCCAACTTTTAGGGGCATGCTTTCAGGCCACCATAAAAGCGTGTCTAGGGGGTTTAGTCGAGAAAACCAATTTAGCCTCATGCCACTCCCTACCAAATTGCAGCACAATATTAATAGGACAAGGAGGCCGTTGAAACCATTCATAAAAAATATGTTTGCAATGCCATTTCCAACAAAACCAAATGGTTGTAGAAAACACCAAAAACCAAGTAAGACCATGATACATGAATCTGGCCTTTAAATTCATTTGCATACATGAGTCTTGCTGCGCTTATGAGTAAATGCTCTAGAGTTTCAGGTTCAGCAGGACAAATAGGACAATGAGTAGTCAGATTCCGTATCTGCCTTTGAACATTAGCAAGCAGCTTACCATGCTCCCAAATGAAGGTTTTTAGTTTAGGAGTTATTTGCATATGCTATATAAAATCCCAAGGTCAAGATTCAAACTCCTCATCCTCAAACAAACCAAGATAAACAGATAGATAGATTGAGAATTACCCAAACCTCGTATTATGATGTAACTCAAACTAAAATGAAGACAGCAGCATTACAAGCAATATTTAGTCGCACTGTCAACCAGATCATCAGGGGAAAAGAAACGCCCCCCACCCCCCCCTTCCCCCCAAAAAAGCAGAATCTATGTTTCAGTTGAAGCATGACAAGGACATTCTATTTGATTCTTAACCAGAAAGAACTAATAACACATCGATGGCCATAGTCAACGGTTAACTTAGTTTGAGTTCATCAAGCAATATGAACTAAACACCATACAAACAACCACATTGCATCTGCTACAAGAGCAAGTTAATGCTTTGATGTCTCTATGGTCCAAAGACTCCAAAGACCCCTAGAAAGAAAACCATAATCTAGCTACATGATAGAAGAAAAACCATGATTTCTGATTTTAAACTAAAGCACCAAAGATTTAAGAGAAAAAAAGAAGAATCCCCAAAATTTTATTGTCATTTAGATTAGGCCTGAAGCACATCAACATAGGTATCAAGTCATTGCAATACTGTGAGAATATACGAAGCATTATCATTCAAGCAACACGAACACAACAAAATAAAGATGAGTTCTCCTAGTCCTAGATTATGAGTCAAAGGGTAACCAAATCAAGCGGAGAACTTTACACCCTCATCATCAGCTGTAGTCCCCTTGAAGATTGCCAGCTTCCCTTTCTGTTCCAGCAGCTTCAAAGCTCGCATCAGAACCGTACGGTCAATCCCATGAAGCTCTGTGCCTCTAGATTCAGGCCCAGACCGGATTTCCTCCACCGTCATCACACTATTCTCCAACCCATTTTCCTTGACGAACTCTAGAATAATATTAGCCCACTCTTGAATCCGATGCCAGAGTATAAGGCACTTTCTGTGATTTTTATCCAGCCATTCTGCTCTACCTTGCGAGACCAAAGCTGAGAGAAACGCTTCCCTGGCTTCGTGGGTAAGAGACCTCTCGATCGCAGGGTTTGAGAAGAGAGGAAAGTCTTGGTCTTCCAGAGCAATCACAAAGACGTTCTGGGTTTTACAGTAATCGAGAATGAGGTCCTTCCATAGCTGAATCTGCTTCTCGCGGGTGTCTCTGACTGGTTGCAGTGTGAAGTAAGGAGGGTAATTGAAGAACTGGGGAAGCTTGAAATCACCCAATTTCTGCATCTGGGTGATCTTCTCTTGACGACGATCGCAAGCCTGAAGCTAACTGTGGAGGGAGGACGATGAGAGTGATGCGTTACAGATTCTTCTTCTAAACCCCAAGAAAAGGTCACTGAGACGCCATTTTGCTGACAATTCTAGAAACAGAGAGGTTAGAAAAGTGGGGTGGTCCTCCGTTCTTTTCTTTTTCTGGGTGCTCTTTGGTTGGCCGTTCGATCAAAAACCCATTTTTTGGGGGTGCTCTTTTTGATATAAGCAAACGGTAATTTACTTTAATTTAATCTAAACTACGAGGATATGAAACACTTAAGTGCTTTAATTTTGAGTATAAATAAATAAATAATTTCCATTTTTGCCTTTTGTTTTTATTTTTGGAAATAAGTTTACCAGTTTGTTTACCATGCTGCTTCAATTTTTTTTTCCGTCGTGGTTAAATTTAGTTAATTAGTCATAAGCAATGCTTTCTAATATCAAATACCAAATTTTATTAGATAAATTCAAACAGTACAACTAATTTATTTGTTAAGACATCGAATTAGTCATAAGTACTGCTATGTTACATGTTCATAGCTGAACAAGTCATGCATACCGGTATACTACTGACCATGTACGTAGAGTATCCTTCAATTCCAATCCCTACAAAAAAAATTTACACAATTCAAACAGTTCGATGTTTAAGCTGATTCAAACACAATCCAAACATTTCACTCTCATTTCTTCCATATCCTTTCTTTCAAATCATACAATTCCGTATCATAACGCGATGTTGATATTAGATTTAAGCGTAAGTTATAATTTTGGTCCTATAATTTGGATTTTTTTTTACTTTAGTTTCTGTAATTTCCATTTTTCAATCAAATTCGTGTACTTATCATGTTTTGCTATTCTTTTGTACTCGTCTCGTCTAAGATGGAGTGTCTCCATCTAGTTTAAACATTCACTCAAAATTTTTTTTATAAAAAAAGAATAAGAAGTTAAGTTTAAAACTGTTATATTTTGGCTAAGATATTACTAAAGAATAATAATTAAAATATAATTACTAATTAAAATAATTAAAAATGGCTAAGATATTACTTAATTATGAAAACATTTTGTGCAGTATAGCCGCGCGGCTATACTTTTAAAATATTCAAATACATTTAAAGAGAACAAACACATTTAAATACATTATGCAGCCAATTTCCTATTTCATTAAGAACCATAAATATGCAATAGATTATCCTATATACTATGCAGCTATCCAGAAACAAAGACCATCACTGAATCAAACTGATTCCGAGAGATTTACAAAAAAGACAAGAATCACAAGATTAATCTAGCTTGGTAAACCATACCAAAGTTGCCCGGAAAATACGAAAGAAATAAAACAGCAGCACATAGAGAATAAGATCACTTTGGCAATTACCCTTCAGTAACAGTAGGGAGCTTCTCATATTCACCCAACTCTCTCCACTTTTGAGGAAGAATGCAAAGACCCCCAAACTTCTGCTGCAAGTAAATGATCCCAGCAAACAATAGACCTCCAAAAGGAATGATCGCATCCCAAGGAGTAGAGTAAAAATCTGCCACAGGACTTGCATAAATGTATGATCCATTCAATGGGTGATGAGCAGAGTTTTGAGCCCTGTAAAGATCATATGCATGTGGCAGAACTCGAACAAAAGTTGTTCCGATGTAGAACGAAACAGACAGAGCATTCTTCTTTGATTTGCAGAACATGTTGAGTAGAATTTGAGGCAACAAAAAACCATCCAAAACCAAACCAGCATAAGATTTCAAGGCACCCAACAAGGGGTGCTCTTGATAACCTGAAAGCACTGGAACATCGCTGTTGGTGCTAATCTTCCTCCAATTCATCAGAAGCAAAGCAGCTAAGGCTCCTGCCAAATATACTGGTAAAGCCACAATGAAAGCCTTCTTCTCCATGAACCAGAGCTTGTTTTGGGGACCGTTGTTCGCGGATTTTGCTAACCATGTTAGGCTCAGAAGACGCAGTTTCAACAAGAAACCTACCATGGTTATTGTACTTACAATCACCTCATTAACTTCAAGCCCTCCACCGCGTCCAAGGAATACTTTTCTGTGGTTGGTGTTGTTTGTGAGCATGGCTTCATTATTTAACATAAGAGGAACCATGTAGGCCAGGGTTAGAAGAAGTAGCATGAAAATGGAAATGGAAGGAAGCACATCAGGATGTCTTTTCACATGGAAGAGTTGCAATGCCACAAAAATACATGCAAGTGTGGTGGATATAAGAGCCAAGCTGATCTCCACATCAATCCACCAAATGGATAGCTTTGCTTCATCCACATAACTGGCAGCTGAAGAGAGATCCAAATGTTCAAAATAATGAGGGTCGGACTTTTTTCGCGTGCTTTCAATGCTTCCCTTAATAAAACCAGAAGAATTTGCTGGAGGGAACTGAAATTTGACAACAATTTCACAATCAACAGAATCAGTTGTTGGTTGTACATTATTTGAGCCCAGATTTCTACAGCCTACCATACACAGGCTTCCTTCGGTTTCATCATAGATCCCTTCAGCAGAAATCTGCACTTCGTGTACTGTTGATGTATTTCCCCACTTTGCATAAGATGTCAGTTTGATGCTAATTTTGTAGCTAATATTGTAGGTGATCCTGTGGTTGCAGCTATAGCTCACATGTGCACTCACAGAATCCACAGAGTACCCTTCAGTGCTTGCAACTGAGTTTGAATTTCTCATTGCATACCAATTCTGGTGGTAAAACTGGCTGCCAACTGAGAGAGGGACAGAACTGCCCCAAGAAACTCCTCCTCTAGAATTTTTAGCTGACATATCGAATCGCATGTCATAAGATAACGGATTTGGGTATGTGTTAGTCTTGCTATTAGCATTAGCGCCAGTCTTCAATATTGGGCACAACTTGGTTACTTTTTCAATTTGAGTATACTCATATTTCTGACCTGGAAGTAGAATTCTTCTACGTTCATTCTGATTGCTTTCAAATGTGATCTTTTCGAAATAACCTGACTCTGTCACAGTCTTCTTGCTCCAAATTTGCCCTACAACCCCACTAGTGCTTCCAATAGTCCATATTGCAGGAAATCTGAAGTTCAATCTTGTTGAACAATCGCCCACATGAGTATTATTCCAAGAACCTGCTGCATCTAAGAATTGGCAAGCAACAAGAAACAGCTGATTTTTCCTTGCATCCCATGCGCCTTCCCCAACCAACGCTGTATTGGGATCGAAACTCCTCCGATACCAGACAGTGCCACTGTCTGAAAATTTCACCAGAACTCTCAACCTTCGTGTATCCTCGAAACACTCAATAGGCTTCAAAGACACAATGTGCAGCACATCAGAAGCAACAAACGGAGTGCAGCTCTTTGCAGAAACGCAATGGCTTGAATATTTGAGATCAAAATCATAATCAAGTACTTTTCTGGAAAGTGTTGAACAAAATGTCTGTATTTGCAAAGAACTTTTGGGATCATCACTTCCAGTACTAGGGAAGCTGTTATCAGATTTATTTGAAACCAGAGTGTACTGGTAGTTCATTCTAGGAAGCATCAAAATGGAGACTGGTTCAAAGTTATTTGGATCATTCTTAGACAAGCTCTCTAAGGTTCCACTAGTCAAACTAGTAATACTAGTGGAATTCATGAGATTATAGAGCTTAAGAACAACATAAAGATTTTGCAAAGAATTACGTTCATTCAAGTAATTACCACTACCTGATCCAACCATACAAACCTTCCCTGAAGATGCTGACCAGAACCCATCTAACAGAAACTCCATTGATCTTCGTTGATATTGATTTGATCCAGAGTCCTTATAGTTATAGATGCCACCAGGATATTGAGGTCTGCTACTTGTGGAATCTCCCACATAATAAAGTGTTCTGGCGCTTTCTAATTGAATATTTGCTTGAAGCTTGAATAAGCCTTGTACATTAGTTTCTGTAATATTCCAGGTGTTAAATAGAATCGAATTGAGCCGATATGGCGAATTTGGACTAAGAATTCCACTGCCGCCACCAGTGTAGTAACCTATCTGGTGATTGAAAAAATGTCCAGCTCTTGCGTGTGGTTTCGGGGTTGACTCGGGAACAATTGAAGCACAATGATCAGCATAAGAGACTTGATCAACAGCTGCGGCAAAGAATGAAACTGAGTTCCAAGAAAAGGTGGTTAAAACAAAGAGGAATATGAGAAGAAGGTTTGGCTGTGTATTAATGGTGGTTATAGCAGAACAAGACTTGCAGTTCATGAAGATAGCCATAGGTTCTTTGGTCATGTGTATTGGAAGAAAGATCATGAACAAGAACAAGGGCAAGAACAAGACACAAAAAAGCAATGCAATGTTCTATCTATGTACTTAGCAAAATAGGCCATGTATGTACCAGGTCAACCACCATCCCACTGACCCAGAATAGTCCTCTATCCATTGAAGTTTTCTTCAGTTTTAATTCCACACAAAAAAGTTTGACACAATTCGAACAGTTTGATAATTAAGGTGAAAAACCAATCACAAAAATCAATCTATTAATTCTATGGTAGGTTTGATCAAAAGTATCCATTCCCTTGAATCACCACAAACTAATTTGTTATATACTTTGGTAAAAGTTTATGTTTCCCTCGGATCATATTGCATGGCTATTTTTTATATCTTTGCCCCTTGTATATATTGAAATTTTATTTATGTTTAATGTACATAGTTTGTTCTCTTTTGTGATTTCGTTGACTACTTTGAAAATCTTAGCATGACAATTTCGTCTCATGACAGGATGTCGCTATTAGATTCAGGAAAAGTTATAATTTTGGTCCTATAAAATGGTATGTAATTCACCAGTGGGATATAGCTCAATTGGTTGAGCTCTTCCACCTCCACCCATAGCTCAATTGGTTTCAGAAACGTAAATTGGAACAATTTTTTTATTTTTAATACAAGCGATTTCTTCCACCAACACCCATAGCTCAATTGGCTTCTAGAAAAGAGGATAAGAAAGAGAATCAAAATGACAAGACTTTGCCTTTTTCCAGCCTAATTGGAAAAGTAGAGCAACAGAGAGGTGGCCATTTTCCATGACCTACAGAACACAACACCTCAATTACTGTTTGTTTCCCTAAAATAACACTTTTTGCACATAATTTGTGAAACTAAACCAGTGCAGGATCTATTAATGTTTAACGTACTCCTTACAAGTTTAAATCCCTTCCTGAGAAAATACGAAAGAAACAAAATAGCAGCAGACAGAGAATATAATGTCCAATTCTCTCAACAGTCTGCATACCTGAGAGAGTTACACCCACATCACTTTGGCAATTTGCCTTCAGTAACAGTTGGGACCTTCTCAACTCTCTCAACTTTTGAGGAACAATGCAAAGACCGCCAAACTTCTGCTGCAAGTAAATTATCCCCACAAACAGTAGACCTACAAAAGGAATGATGACATCCCAAGCAGTGGAGTAAAAATCTGCCACAGGACTTGCATAAATGTATGCCTCATTCAATTGGTGATGAGCAGAGCTGTAAGACCTGTAAAGATCATATGCATGCGGCAGCACTCGAACAAAAGTCGTTCCCATGTAGAACAAAACAGACAGAGACTTCTCCTTTGATTTGCAGAACATGTTGAGTAGAATTTGAGGCAACAAGAAACTATCCAAGACCAAACCAGCATAAGATTTCAAGGCACCCAAAATCGGATGCTCATGATAATCTGAAAGCACCACATCATTGTCAGTGCCAATCTTCCTCCAATCCATCAGAAACAAAACAGCTAAAGTCCCTGCAACATATACAGGTAAAGCCACAATGAAAGCCTTCTTCTCCATGACCCAGAGCTCGTTTTGGGTTCCGTTGTCCACGGATCTTGCTGACCATGTTAGGCTCAGAAGACGGAGTTTCAACAAGAAACCTACCATTGTTAATGCCCTTACAATCACCTCATTAACTTCAAGCCATCCACTACTTCCAACTCCAAGGAATGCTTTCTGGTGATTGGTGTTTTTGTGAACATGGCTTCAAAATTTAGCATAAGAGGAATCATATAGCCCAGAGTAAGAATTAGTACCATGAAAATGGAAATGGAGGGAAGCACATCAGGATGATTTTTCACATGGAAGAGTTGTAATGCAACAAAAATACATGCAAGTGTGGTGGATACAAGAGCCAAGGTGATCTCTACATCCATCCTCGAAATGGATTGTTCTGCTTCATCCGCATAACCAGCAGCTGAAGAGAGATCCAGATGTTCAAAATAAAGAGGATCAGACTTTTTTCGCTTGCTTTCAATTCCTCCCTTGATAAAACCAGAAGAATTTGCTGGAGGGAACTGAAAATTTACAATAATTTCACAATCAACAGAATCCGTTGGTTGGTGCTTGTAGACTCTTTGAGCCCAGATTTCTGCAGCCTATCATGCACAGGCTTCCTTCTGTTTCATCATAGATCCCTTCAGCAGAAATCAGCAGTACTTCATTTAAAACTGATATATTGCCCAACTTTGCATTAGATAGCACTTTGATGCTTATTTTGTAGCTAATGTTGTAGCTGTAGCTCACAGGTGCACTGACAGGAGCTTCAGTACTTGCAACTGAATAGGCATCTTTCATCGAATGCCAATGCTGGTTAAAAAACCGACTGCCAGCAGAGAAAGGGACAGAACTGCCCCAAGAAACTACTCCTCTAGAATTTTTGGCTGACATGTCGAAGCTCATGTCATAAGAAAATGGATTCGGGTATATGTTAGTCTTATCATTAGCACTAACTCTAGGCTTCCTTCTCGGGCACAACTTCATTACCTCATCAATTTTCGTGTACTCATATTTCTGGCCTGGAATACCTTCTAAATTCATTCTGAGGACTTTCAAATGTGATCTTGTTGAAGTAACCTGACTCTGTCACAGTTTTATTGCTCCAAATTTGCCCCACAATGCTACTTGTGTTTCCAATTGTCCATATTGCAGGAAATCTCAAGCTCAATCTTGTTGAACAATCACCGACATGAGTATTATTCCAAGAATCTGCTGCATCCAAGAAATGACAAGCAACAACACATAGTTGATTTTTCTTTGCAACCCATGAGCCTTCCCCAACCAAAGTTGTATTGGGAACAAATGGCCTCTGATTCCAGGGCCTTCTACTGTCTGCAAATTGCACCAGGACTCTCAACCTTCGTGTATCCTCCGAACACTCGATGACCTTCAGCAATTAGACGCAGAAATTGGACTGCAGATCTTTGCAGAATCACAATGGCTTGAATATTTGATATCAAACTCATGATTTAGTACTCTTCTTGAGAGTTCTAAAAAAATCTCTCTATTTTCATAGAACTTTCGGGATCATCAGTTCCATAGTTATTTGAACCAGAGCAGCTGTTATCGGATTTATTCGAAACCAGGGTGTACTGGTAATTCCTACTAGGAAACGTCAAAATGGAGGCTGGTTCAAAATTATTTGGATCATCCTTAGACAAGCTCTCTAAGGTTCCACTAATCAAAGTTGTAAAACTACTGGAATTCATGAGATTATGTAGCTTTAGAACAACATTAGGAGTTTGCACAGGATTATGTCCCTTTGAGTAATAAGAACCTAATGATCCAACCATACAAACATTCCCAGAAGATGCTGACCAGAACCCATCTAGCCAAAACAGTAAGATCTTCTTCGCCGATAAGGATTTGATGCAGAACCCCTATGGCTAATTGTGGAATTTCCCACAAACTAATATGTTCTGGCTCTAAGAAAACGTATATGTGCTCCGAGCTTGAATAAGCCTTGTACATCAGTTTCGCTAACACTCAAGGGGGTGAATTCAAATGAGTTTTGGACATGATCTGATGACTTTGGAATGAGAATTCCACTGCCGCCACCATTGTAGTAACCTGTTAGGGGATAGCCAAAGTAACCACGTCGTATATTGTAGGGTTTCACGGTTGACTCGGGAACAATTGAAGCACAATGATCGGCATAAGAGACTTGATCAACAGCTGCAGCAGAGACTGAAACTGAGTTCCAAGAGAAGGTGGTTAAAACAGTGAGGAATATGAGAAGAAGGCATGGCAGTATATTAATGGTGGTTATAGCAGAACAAGACTTGCAGTGAATGGAGATAGCCATAGGTTTTTAGGTCGTGTGTACTGGGAGAAAGATCGTCAACAAGAACATGAACAAGAAGGCGGTCAATTTGTATAAACCCTTACATACCTATATTATTTATTTTTTAACCCAAAAAAAAAAGGTGTAAAAACACTTGTCGAATTATACAATTCAAAATTTTAAAAGATAAAACTCAATAAATGCCTAATTGTTTTTCAAACTTATAGCTTAAGTCAATTGACCACTTAAATAAATTAAGAAATAAAATACAACGGAATGATATATTTGACATCAAAGTCGAAATTTCTAGGACCTAGGGCAATTGTCAACTTGAGTATATGTAAACTTAATTGATACTTTTGTATTGAAAAATACAAGACGAGTGATATTTAAGTAATGTTTTGATGCATTTTATAAAATAGTTACGTAAATTACATATTGTTTGTTTCTTTTATGTTACAATCGTAAATTTAAGTTCAGATATTTTTTTAAATTACCGGAAAAAAAAATCTCATAAATATACATTGGAAAGGAGGGAGTTCTTCAATGAGTTTGTTAAAATACAAACTTAGATTTTGAGCCCGAATCATGTTCCTATACCTAAAATTTCATAGTTTGGATGTACCTTGTATCACTAACCTTCTAAAATATGGCAACACAAAAACATCTTTCATTGAAAAAGAGTTGTGACCAAACTGAAAAGGTCATATGAAGAGATATAACACCACTCATATGAAGAGATATAACACCACTTCAAAGGGATGCAAAAAGAATCTGTAACTACTGCAACTAACTATTCTGCACATATCTCACATACAGATTTATTCTAGAGCATTAAAGCTTACATTTTCGACATTTCGAAACGAGAAAATGAAATAAAAAGCTAAATCTTAACATATTTTTTCAAGCCCAACTTACATGTTTAAAATACAAAAGAAAGAAGATCGAAGCTGACAGTTGGATTCTCCAATACAGTTTGCACCAAACATGGAGGCTGCACCAGATCACTTCCATAATTAACCTTCAGTAACAGTAGAGACCTTCTCATATTCACCCAACTCTCTCAACTTTTGAGGAAGAATGCAAAGACCCCCAAACTTCTGCTGCAAGTAAATGATCCCAGCCAAAAGTAAACCCCCAAAAGGAATAATGACATCCCAAGCAGTGGAGAAAAAGTCTGCCACAGGACTTGCATAAAGGTATGACTCATGCAACTGGTGATGAGCAGAGTTTTGAGCCCTGTAAAGATCATATGCATGTGGCATTGCTCGAACGAAAGTTGTTCCAATGTAGAATGAAACAGACAAAGCCTTTTCCTTTGATTTGCAGAACATGTTGAGAAGAATTTGAGGCAACAGAAAACCATCCAACACCAAACCACCATAAGATTTCAAGGCATCCAAAATGGGATCCTCTGGAAAATAACTTGAAAGCACCACGAAATCATTTTCACTGTCAGCCTTCCTCCAATTCTTCAGAAGCAAAGCACCTAATGCCCCTGCAACATATACTGATAAAGCTACAAACAGAGCCTTCTTCTCCATGATCCAGAGCTCCTTTTGGGTTCCATTTGCTGATCTTGCCAACCATGTTAGCTGCAGAAGACGCATTTGCAACAAGAAAGCTACCATTGTTATTACCCTTACAATTACCTCGTTAACTTCAAGCCATCCACCGCTTCCTAGTAAAAAATTTCGGCGGTTGGTTTTCTTCGTTAACATGGCTTCAAAATTTAGCATAAGTGGTATCATGTAGCCTAGAGTTAGAATTAGCAGCATGAACATGGAAATAGAGGGACGCACATCAGGATGTTTTTTCACATGGAAGATTTGTAATGCCACAAAAACACATGCCAGTGTGGTGGATAAAAGAACCAAGGTGATCTCCACATCCATTCTCCAAATGGATCGCTTTGCTTCAACCAGGTAACCAGAAGCCGAAAACAAATTCAAAGTTTCAAAAATAAGAGGATCAGACTTTTTCCTTGTACTTTTAATGCTGCCCTTGATAAAACTTCCATGCTTTGAATTTGTGGGAGGGAACTGGAAATTGACAAGAATCTCACAATCTACAGAATCTTTTGTTGGCTGTTCACTGTTTGAGCCCAGATTTCGGCAACCTACCATGCACAGGCTTCCTTCTTTAGCATCATAGATCCCTTCAGCATAAATTTTCACTTCATTTGAATTTGAAGAGTTTCTAAGTTTAGAAATTTCAATGCCCAACTGTTTGAATTTGATGCTTATTTGGTAGCTGATATGACAGGGAAGCTGTTGTTGTAGCTGTAACTCACAGGAGCTGCTAATTGTCCAATCCTTGCACTTGATTTTGGAACTTCATTTGAATGCGGATAATGCTGGTAAAACCAGTTTCCGACGGAGATAGGGATGGCACTGCCCCATGCAGCTTCTCCTTTAGAATTTTTCACTGACATGTCAAAGCGCATGTCATAAGAAAATGGATTCGGATATATGTTGGTTTTGCCATGAGCAGCTTTCTTTCTTGGGCACAACTTGGTTACTGTTTCCATTTTAGTGTACTCATATTTCAAGCCTGGAGGTAGAACCCTTCTGAAATCATTCTCAGGACTTTCAAATGAAATGCTTTCGAAGTAACCCAACTCTGTCACAGTTTTGTTGCCCCAAATTTTCCCCACAGTGCTTCTCGTGTTTCCGATTGTCCATACTGCAGGAAATCTCAAGCTCAGTCTTGTTGAACAATCACCCACATGAGTTCTATTTGTAAAGGACTCAGTTGCATTTAAGATTCGACACGCAACAACACGAATCTGATTTTTCTTTGCATCCCATGACCCTTCCCCAACCAATGTTGTATTGGGATTGAAAGGTTTCTCATACCATACACTTCTACTGTCTGCAAATATTACCAGAACTCTCAACCTTCGTTTATCCTCAGAACACTCAATACTCTTCAACGACACCACACGAGGTAAATCAGACACAGCTAATGGAGTGCAGTTCTTTGCCAATACGCAATGGCTTGAATATTTGAGATCAAACTCATGTCTTCTTTGTCTTGAAAGTACTGAACAAAATGTCTCTATTGGCAAAGAGCTCGGTTGAATATAATTTCCATCAGTACTAGTGTCATCGGATTTATTTGAAACCAAAGAGTACTCGTAGTTCATACGAGGAAGCATCAAAATAGAGACTGGTCCAAAATAACTTGGATCATTCTCAGAACTCACCAAGCTCTCTAAGGTTCCACTAATCAAACTAGTAACACTAGTAGAATTAATGAGATTATACAGCTTAAGAACAGCAGGAACATAAAGCCAACGACCATGTCCCAAGTAATCATAATTTGATCCAACCATGCACAGCTTCCCAGAAGGTTCTGACCAGAACCCCTCTAGTTTAAATCCTATCGAACTTTTTCGACTGGAAATTGATCGAGACCTGTTATAGATGACACCAGGATATCGTAGATGACTTGTGGCATTTCCCACATAGGTAAACACACTGTCTCTTTGAAATCGAAGACTTCCTTGAATCATGAATAAGCCTTGTACATCAGTTGTTTGAGCCCCCGAGATGTTAAATCCAATTATATTTGGGGGCTCATCATGAGGCAGATATGATGGGCTTTGACTAAGAATACCACTGCCACCACCAGTGTAGTAACCTGTATGGTACTGGTGAATGTGATTGTCTGACTCTGAATATCTTCTTGGGGTTGACTGGGGAACAAATGAATCACAATGATGAGAATAAGAGATGGGACTGGGAGGTGGTAAAGAGGATGAAACTGAGGTCAAAAGAAAGGTGGTGAAAAAACAGAAGAATATGAGAAGCTTCGGCAATGCGTACCACATATTCAAAGAGGTAGTAGCAGAAGATTTGCACTTCCTGAAAATAGTCATAGTTTCCTATTTCATGTATATGGGGAGAAAGATGAACAAGAACAAGAACAAAATGCAATGGAATGTCTGAATTGTGTTATGTACTTTGCATAGTTTGGATTGTACTGCAAAATATGAATTATATATCAAATTCATTTGGGCGACAATTTCAAAGCGAGTAAGGAGTTGATGACTTAGTTTTCATAAACAACTAAAACAAACAAAACCCAAGACTCTGAAAACCAAGCTGAATTTTGTTTTTTGTGAATGCCTAGAACAGACAAAGATATAGAAGATATTTAGGAAATGATAAAGGCACCCCGAAACAAGCTTCTTACACTCCTCATGCTTTTCTGCATATAAGGATTGCATGATGAAACTAGTTTTGGAGTGCAAATAACAGTTTCCAACATTTCTATGATTTTTGCTTTTTTCTTCTGTAAGTTTTTTTTATTCTGGTGTAACTCTTCTGTAAGCTTTTTATTCTGGTGAAATTAAACATCATACTATGGTGCAACCAAATTTGCAATCATCTCTGTGCCATAGCCATTAATTACAATGACCTAGAAAGTGCAAACACCATGCAAGAATCTGCAACAAGTTTAAGGAGGGGGTATTTAATTTAGATTTTAAACGATTTTTAAAGAGTTATAAAGTTGATGGGGTTTAATTGAATTTAATTGAGTTTGACTGAATTCTACAAACTCCACATAGATTTTGACTGAATTCGTGTATAGATTTTAACTGACTTTTTTAGAATTTTATTATTGATTTTAATAGAGTTTATAGCAATGGCGGTGGTGGTGATGGGGATGGTGGTTTGTGGGGGAGGTATTGGTGGAGGAGGTGGGGGTGGTAGTGGTGGGAGTGAGGTGGTGGTGAAGGTGGTGGCGGTGGAGGTGGCAGTGGCGGTGATGGTGATGATGCTGACAGTGGCTGTGGTGGTGGTGACGGTGGGGCTGATAGTGAGTGGAGGTGGGGTAAGGGTGGTGGCGGTGGTGGTGGAGGGTGGTGGCGGTGGTGACGGTGGTGATGGTGGGGCCAGTAGTGGGGACAGCGGTGGGTGGTGGTGGAGGTGGTGACGACGATGATTGTAGTGGTGGTGGTGGCAGCGGCAATGAGGTTGACTGTTGGTGGAGGTGGGCATTTGTGGTTTTCTCTCTCTGTCGTTCACTTTTTTTTCACTAGTTTTCTTTTTAGTTTCTTATCAAAAGTCTGTTATATTACCGGGGGAGAAATAGTTTCAGTGATTTGTGCATGGAAGTAGTTTTTCTATAAATAGATTTATTGGTTGTTATCATAATTTCTTCGAACTTCTATCAACAACGATGTTCTTACAGAAAAGAAAAATGGAAGTGCACACATTACAAGCTTAAATGTTCAACTATCAAAAACAGAGGGGAAAGAAAACCTAAATCATGCATGCTCAAAATACAAAAGAAAGAAGATTGCAGCAGATAGTTGAAGTTTCCAATTCTCTCTAACAGAACCTCCACTTGATATTGAATGCATCACTTTGGAAATTACCCTTCAGTAACAGTACGGACCTTTTCATATGCACCCAACTCTCTCAACTTTTGGGGAAGAATGCAAAGACCCCCAAACCTCTGCTGCAAGTAAATAATGCCAGCAAACAGTAAACCTCCAAAAGGAATAATGACATCCCAAGCAGTAGAGTAGAAGTCCGCCACAGGACTTGCATAAAGGTATGACTCATCTAGCGGATGGTGAGCAGAGTTGTGAGCCCTGTAGAGATCATACGCATGTGGCAATGCTCGAACAAAAGTTGTTCCGATGTAAAATGAAACAGAAAGAGCCTTTTCCCTTGATTTGCAGAACATGTTCAGCAGAATTTGAGGCAACAAAAAACCGTCCAAGACCAAACCAGCATAAGATTTCACGGCCGTGCCCAAATGTGAACGCTGCTGATGGCCTGCCCCGGGATAGGCAGTTATGGAACCATCATTAAGGCTCTTCCTCCAGTTCAGTGTATGCAGAATCAAAGCAGCCAAAGCCCCAGCAACATATATTAGTAAAACCACAAAGAGAGTCTTCCTCTCCATGATCCAGAGCTCCTTTTGGGTTCCAGTTGCTGATCTTGCTGACCATGTTAGCTGCAGAAGACGGATTTGCAGCAAGAAAGCTACCATTGTTATTACTCTTACAATCACCTCATTAACTTCAAGCCATCCACCACTTCCAAGGAACACACTTCGGCGGTTGGTGCTATTAGCGAACATGGCTTCAAAGTTTAGCATAAGAGGTATCATGTAGCCCAGAGTAAGAATTAGTAGCATGAAAATGGAAATGGAGGGAAGAACATCAGGGTACTTTTTCACATGGAAGAGTTGTAGCGCCACAAAAACACATGAAAGTGTGGTGGATACAAGAACCAAGGTGATCTCCACATCCATCCTCCAAATGGACCGCCTTTCTTCAACCAGGTAACTGGAAGCTGAAGACAAATCCCAACTTTCAAAATGAAGAGGATCAGACTTTTTTCGTGTGCTTTTGATGCTTCCCTTGATCAAACTCCATTTCTTGCTTGGATTTGTTGGAGGGAATTGAAAATTGACAACAATATCACAATCTACTGAATCATTTGTTGGCTGTTGATTCTTTGAGCCCAGATTTCTGCAGCCAACCATGCACAGGCTTCCTTCTGTTTCATCATAGATCCCTTCTGCAAAAATCTGCGTATCATTTATAACTGATACATTCCCCGACTTTGCATAAGATAGCAGTGTGATTCTTATTGTGTAGCTAATATTGTAGGGGTTGCTCTGGTTGTTGCTCACAGTCACAGGAGAGCTCACAGGAGCAAAACCTACAGAGTACTCATCGGTGCTTGCAGTTGAATACCAATACGGCTGGTAAAACTGATTGCCAACAGAGAGTGGAACAGAACTGCCCCATGCAACTTCTCCTTTCGAATTTTTAGCTGACACATCGAATCGCATTTCATAAGAAAAGGGATTCGGGTATACATTGGTCTTGTCATGAGCAGCCTTCTTTCTCCGGCACAACTTGGTTACTTTGTCCATTTTCGTATACTTGTATTTCAAGCCTGGAATCAGAACCCTTCCAATGTCATCTTGAGGACTTTCAAATGTAATCTGTTCAAGGTAACCCGACTCTGTCGCAGTTTTGTTGCTCCAAATATGCCCCACAATGCTACTAGTGTTTCCGATTGTCCATATTGCAGGAATTTTCAAGCTCAATCTTGTTGAACAATTTCCCACACGAACGTTATTCCAAGAACCTGCTGCATCCAAGAACTGACAAGCAACAACAGATAGATGGTTTTTCTTAGTATTCCACGAGCCTTCCCCAACCAATGTTTTCTTGGGATTGAAAGGCCTTCGATACCAGAGGCTGTTACTCTCTGGAAATTCCACCAGAACTCTCAAGCTTCTTTCATCCTCCAAACACTCAATAGACTTCAACGACACAACACGAGGCAAATCAGACACAGCAAGTGGAGTGCAGTTCTTAGCAGAAGCGCAACCGCTTGAATATTTGAGATCAAATTCATGATTTAGTACTTCTCTTGAGAGTACTGAACAAAACCTCTCCATTTTCAAAGAACTGGTGGGATTGGAATCCTCAGTTCCACCAGAAGAACTCCTGTTTTCAGATTTATTTGAGACCAGAGTGTACTGGTAGTTCATACTAGGAAAAATCAAAATAGAGATTGGCTCAAAATCATTTGGATCATTCTCAGACCTCATCAAGCTCTCTAAGGTTCCACTGATCATACTTGTAACACTAGAGGAATTCATGAAATTATAGAGCTTAAGAACAGAATGAACATTATGCCAATAACCATAACCTGATCCAACCATACAAAGCTTCCCAGAAGATTGTGACCAGAACCCATCTAGTGAAAAAGCTATTGAACTCCGTCGATGAGAAGCTGATCCATACTTGTTGCTTGTGTAATTTCCCACAAAGTGATATGTGCTGGCTCTTGGAAATCGTATGCTTCCTTGAAGCTTGAATAAGCCCTGCACATTAGTTTCTATAATACTCCTGGTGTAGAAGACAATTGACTTTTGGACCTGGTATGATGAGTTTGGACTGAGAATGCCACCACTACCACCACCAGTGTAATAACCTGTATGGCGGTATTGATGGGGCTTTCCTAGCACGAAATCTTTAGGGTCTGACTCGGGAACAAATGAAGCACAATGATCAGTGTAAGCGGTTAGGTAGTTGAATCTAGAAGAGGCTGCAGAGGATGTGGTGAAAACAAAGAAGAATATGACAAGCTTTGAGAGTTTGTAACACATCTTCAAAGAGGTGGTGATAACAGAAGAAGGCTTGCACTTGGGTTCTTTGTTCATCTGTTTTGAGACAAACATGAACAAGAAGAGATTGAACAAGAACAAAAGGCAATGCGATGGTAAAATACCAGGTCAACCCGCAATTGGGATGGCCCGCCAGTGGTCCTACTGCTAGGTAAGGCTTGTGATCTCTCCATTGGAGTTGGCTTTAAATTTTCAATGCCTATGATTTACCTTGTATACAACTCAAACAGTTGGTAAGTTAGCATTTCTCCATTAGTTGAGTCTCAGTAAACAAACTTGATGTATGTAATTGGTTAGTCTGAATATTCCGCTGTATGATTATAATCCTAATCCTTTTTTTTATCTAATCTATTATGATAGTCTTCATTGACTTGGAAAATTCCAGCATTAGAAGTTCGTCTCATGAGTCATGATGATCTAATACGATGTCGCTATTAGCTTTTATTTTCACTCCGTCAACGTCAACGTCAACGCCAACCAACACTCAGGAAAAATGAAAGGTCACTCCAGACCGAAGAACACGGTACGTAGGTAAAATTGTTGTGTACCAGCAATCACAATCCCATCGCTACGAGGTGTTATCAATTCACTCATTTTAAAATAGAAATATATATAAATTTATTAAGGGATTTTTGTAGAAATGTCACATGAACTTGTACTCCAATTTCAATTTGTCACTTTAAAGGAAAATTTAAGAGAAATGTCACCTTAATTTTTCAAAATCAATGATTTTGTACCATCCATTTTCAAGGGTCTTTTGAAAATAGAAAAATTCTCACTAAATTTTTCTTTGAGATGACAAATTGAAACTGAGGTATAAATTCATGTGACATTTCTATAAAAAAAAAATATCATCTATTAAATATCAATCATATCGTGTGTCCATATTATAATACCTGAATTAATAATACCATGTATTATCCTAACAAAAGGAAGTTATTACTTGTGAATCACTCGTGTAAAACATCAGCATAACTTGTTACCGTTGTTGTATGTTTTAGCAAAATAAAACTAGAATCTATCTTGTAAAATATGTTAGGTTAGTGCATGAGTTAAAGTAGAGGTCTAAAAACTCTTTAAAAAGGGGATAAGAACGAAGAAAGAGCCAAAAAGTCACAAGACTTTGACTTTGTCCAACCTAAACGTAAAGACTTCGCCCAGAGCCAGAGGTGGGCAAATTTTCCAAGTAGAGTAGATCACCTCGATCACTCCCATTAACTTGTAGGAAGTTTTCCTTGTTTTTGTCTCCCGTAAAGTACAAGATAACATGGAAAAGTCCGGTGCCTATAATTCTTGCATTTTTCTGAAGTCCAACTGCAAAACGTCACCCATGGAGTCATTAGAATTAGATAATAATGCCGGATTTTAACTGAATTATCATTTAGGATAATACCAAATTTAAGTTGGACTGCACTGCTAAATACTATCCCAACTTACAATTGGGATAAGTTGAACAAGAGCATTGGGATAAGTTGGACGAGAGCTAGCTTGATAGCCGTTGGATCAGGGAGGGTAGGGTAGGGAAAGGAGGTAGAGGGTGGGGGTGCAAGGGCGGCGACACGAGAGAGAGAGAGAGAGAGAGAGAGAGAGAGAGAGAGAGAGAGAAGCAGGTGGTGCGCCTGCGAGCAGAGACCAATTAGGTCACCGGACTCCACTGTTGATTCCCACGACCTCTCCAGTCTCTGCTGCCGCCACCAATAGGGGCACTGCCTACTTTCTCTTTTTGTTTCTTCACCATTTTGCTTTAGTTTAGTTTAGTAGTAGTTTTTTTTTTTTTTTTTTTTTTTTTTTTTTATATGGGGTGCAAATACATCGATGAAACCATATCTACATTCGACCAAGAAAACAAAAATAAACCATATCAACAGGCACTATTTCTTTTTCACTCAAATGACAATTTTCCGTCTAAAGGACGGGAGATGAGACGATAAAAAAGAAGCCATTTCAAGGATAATGCTTGAAAATCTGGGTTTTCTGCTTCTATAATTAGTTACTGAATGGTCTACTCAAATTCAGGACGGTTTATCAACTTTACAATTTCAGAAGAAAGAAAAAATATTCCGCACCGAGCTGCAGAATAGAAATTTCAGTACTAAAATTCCAATAGTATAAAACTGAACCTTAGTCTAAGCAATCCCATCCATACTGGCATCCTATATACAATATCCAAAAACATATTTACGCAGACAGATGGTTATAATAATGAAAAGACGCTCTAGAATGAAGTCTAAACTTTTCGACCAGAAGAAAAAGTTATATATATATATATATATATATGTGTAAGTCAAAGGAAACCTAAGTCTCACCTCCTCTTAGATATATGGCAGAGAGTCAAGTCTCGCATCAATTTATCAACATAAAACCATTGACGTTGCAGCCTGAGGCATACTAGCAATCTGATTGTTCCCAACTATTGCTGGTGGTAAGAATTTCTCACAGTCCTTGGCCCCGATTCTTGTAAACTCTGTGACAAGCATAGGTACATACCCGGCTAAAGAATCCTTGAACTTCTGTGAGCAACTCTTGTCACCCTCATCAACGTCTTGAACTCCACCTTTGACCAGACACCCCACTTGAGCACCATCCATGTATGCTTTGCAAGCCACCAGAATGTCACGAGCACGACTATAGAAATGCCCCAGAACAAAATCCTCAAAATTCTGCAGCCAGATATAACTTATAACTGAGAAATGCACTCAAAAGGGTAACCAAACACGAACTCTCCACACATAGGAACAATTTAGAAAAACATGGCATCCACAGCATTATATAGCCAGATATACCGAAGCCGCAAGTTTTGACTGCCAAATCCGTAATGTGACAGAATGATCATTAAAGACAACTGTAATATCACCAAACATTATGCGCTCGTAGATAATATTTGCTTATTTAGTTGACAACATAAACAGCTAGTTCATTATCTAAAGAATAAACTATGTAGATGAGGGAAAAAAAAAGGTATGATGAAAAACTATCAAAACTTGCAATTAAGATCCACTGAATCTCTGGCGTTCTAGTCAACCTTCCACATACAGAAACCTATAAATTATTTTAACATCTTGCACATTACACAACTAAAAACATTATAATTATCTTGAGGAAACAATTATTGAGTTCAGTATATCATTTTATCCAGAAGTATTATCAATTGGTTGTGTACCATGATGGAAATTAAATGCAGCATTGGCAGTGCTGGTGATGTTTGTGCGGCTGGTAGTGTCGGAGGTGGGGTAGTGTCTTCAAAACTCTTGGAAGTGAGGTGGTGGTATTTGGGTGGGGATGGGCATGAGGGTTGTGGCAACAACAATGTCGGCAGGAAAGTGGAGACGAAAGCAGTGGTGGTGGTAGTGGTAACTGTGGATTCTTTTGTTAAACTCTTGGAACATAGGAAATAACACCCTATTTAGGAGGAAATTTATAAGTTTAGGACCCCAAATTCCACATCTGCTTCATTTTGAATCCCAAGATTTCATTGTTTATGACAACAAAGAAGGCAATTGGAGATGGTCACTCCCGAAATTCCGACTTCTTCCAAAATACCTAGTTTAGTTTTATCATCCTAACATACTGCAAAAGAAAATTAATTCCTTCTCAAACTCCAGAACAAGCTACATGATGAGTTCGAACTCATATTTAAAAATTCAATATGAAAATGGTTTCAGAAAAAATACTGCATTTTCAGCAATCTATGTAAATGGTTGTTTAAAACTTCAGGAAACTCAGCATACATTGACATGTTTTGACTGATTATTTTTAAGATTTTCAGAAACATTCTCATCAGTTTCACATATTGATGCGCATGGACAATGTTTACAGATACCAATCTCATACTGCAAAAGACTGAGCAGAGTCTAGATTTTTAGGAAAATGGAGAAAAACTCAAATCTTACCTTTGGAGGCCTCCTCATGATGTACACCATTGTCCTTAAAGATAGGATGAATGTATCCTCATTGTACTCAAGGGACCTCTTTTCACCAGCTGCTGAACCATTCATACGTGCATATCCAGGCTCATTAAAGTAGGGCTTTGTATTCAAGATCAGTCCTTGTATAGAGACCAAAACTTGTAGCATGGTGGACACACCTGGAAGCCACTTCTCATTTTTGTTCCCACTCCAGGTGTTAAGAAGGCTGAGGCATACTTTTCCACAATTGTACAAATTTGGATTTAATCGAAGGCCACCAGAGTGGTAGTAGACATTCTGCATTATCAAATTCCTAGTCAGGATGTAACCAGATATAAATAAATGTCAGGCAATCAAAATCAATCACATACCGGTGGTGCATTGGGATAGCCACTGGGGAAGAAAACATCAAAGAAGAAAAGACCATCATGGTAGGGAGTACCCTCTGCCCCAACAATAACAGCTCTCAAAAGATCCATTCTTGTCTCATAAACTCTAACAAATATGGTATCTGTGGATGTGAGAAAAATAAGGCAGGTGGGTTGAAGGTTCAAATATAAAGCGAATTATATTATGCCCACTTAGGCAGATTAAAAATGCAAGTGCACCAAAGTTCCTATTGTATCAAACATCAATGACAACTATATTCCGTATATTCTCAATTCCAACTTCCCGTACCAAACCAATTACTTACTCAGCATCATGAAAATGTCATAGCAAAAGATTTGACAAAGACGAATAACTAATGGATGGGAAAAGTTCACTACCACAAAAAAAAGTAAAAAAAAAAAAAAAAAGAAAAAAAAAAAAAAAAAAAAAAAAGCACACCAGGCAAATCCTTTTCCAGGATCCTTCCACTCTTCCTGAATTCTCTTTGCCCAATTCTTTGGTGGCTTCAGAAAGAGTAAAAACAAAACACTATAAGATATATAAATAAAAATGAAACTTAAAAACATATGTATGCTATCATCCAAAATTTCACCTACTTCTAGCGCCAAAGAAGAAAACTCACCTGCTTTGTTGAAGAACCACGGCTAGTATAGTGATGGTCTGAATGATCTTCAATTGTATCAAATTGTTTGAAACCCTTAAACTTCCCTATAAATTCATCTATGTCCATGCTAGAAAGTTTCCTCGTGGGGGTTGTTGAAACACCTACTGGAACAACATTATTTTGAGTTTTGGGATTAAAAACCCAAGGAACACCTGCTACTTCTCCAGGAGGATATATCGAACCCAATGGATCATAAAAACTTGAATTAGATGGCATAGTATTGGATTTGGAAAAAGGATCCGGCCACCAAGGAATGGGTGGTGGTACTGGAGGAGGATTATAAGAAGTACTTGAAGCTTTTTTCTTTAAAACTTCACGAAAATATGCCATAGAAGATGCCTCAGATCCAGAAGCGAGCTTCATTGCATCAAATTGATTTGCAGAATTATAATTTGTTGAACTACTTGAAGAAGATGGCTTCTTTTTACGCTGGAAAGGTCCTAAAAGCCATTGAGATTTTGATGATTCTACTCCAACTGGGAGATTAGGAGCACTCCCTTGGTGTTGCAAAGCAGGTTGTTTCTTTTTACTTCTGGCAGCTTTTGGTAGTTTCCAGGGTGGTGATAGAGGTGGGTGAGGAATATTGTCAATTTGGGTCTTCAGTGACCAAGGAGACAGAGGTGAGTTGTTCTCTTGAAGACCAACAGCATCTGGTTGAATTTGGCCACTCTGATTGACAGAACTACTTCCAGAAACTGAATTTACTTTACTATTAGGAGGATCCGAAAACCAAGGGACAGGTGCCTCTATTCCAGGGGGAATATCCGCATTATCAAAATGCGCTTGCAATAGGGCATACTCGTCAACATCCATAAACTCATCAAGATAATAATCAGTGTAGTCATCATCGTCATATGATACATCAGAAATGGGACCATCTAAATTGATTAAGTTAGCTGGGGCAAAACTCTTTGTAGCTTCAATCCCGTTCCCTGATCCAAGGAATTCGATACCAGAAGGGCCAAATAAATTATTGACCATAGGTTCCTGAAAATACTAGTAATATCATAATGTAAATATGTTAAAGAATGCTTGAGCTACATTTAAATATTTATCATTAAAAAAAACAAAACAAAACAAAGACAACAGTCAACAGATAGGGTCACTCAAGTTAATCATAAACCTTAGCTTGATGATCATGGTAAGCATCAGAAGAGTTTTGTATTCCCTTCCCTTTAACACTTCTATCAACTCTCTCATCAATAAGCATTGCAGCAACAGAATCATCATCTTTGTCAATTTCAATCACATCTTGCAGAATAACCTAAGAAAGGATAAATTATAATTAGAAATATCCTATCAAGAAAAGAAAAAATTCAACAAACAGAGGCATCCTATGAAATAACAAGAATGTTCAGGAGTAGAAACCATTGAAAAAGTCACCAAAAGGTGAAAGCTACTAATGAAGAGAAAAGAAAACAAATAGGAAAGTAGTTATAAGCAGAGAAGTAGGACATGCAGACTAACTTACTAAGATTAAAACCACACTAAATTGAAGACAAAAGAAAATATTAAATGCTTGTTTTCTTTTTAATTCCTTAACCATCATCATGTTGGTATATTTTATATGATCAGCATATGATACTCATTCTTATAAATCTATATATAATGTTGGTATATTTTATATGATCAGAACTAGTAAAAATTGCTGCACAAAATAACTAAGAGCAATACATCGTATAAGCACAAAAAGCCAAACTACTACCAAAGACACTTGGGCACAAAAAGCCCTCAAAAACAAATAACAGGCAAGTGCTAGTGCATGTCAAGAACTTACAAAAGAAATTTTCAAACTGAAGGCAACAGCTTTAGTCAAGCATCCACTATGTATACGATACAGTCTGAACGCATTTGAAAGCATCATAAGCATAATGATGAACTAACCACATATGTTGCATGGAAGTTTAATGCCCTCATTATAATCTTCCCCACCACCAACACCCACCCTCTAAAAAGGAGGTGAAAAAACTTACGAGTGTGAAGAAATTTCCCAACATTGTAAACAATAATGGGTGTGGTGATTGAGCTCCAGACAATGTTTTGCCAATAGCCAAAAACCTTAATACTCTCAGAAAATTGGGAAGAGATGAAATCAAGTATATTATTACATTGCATAGGAGACCTAAAGCCCGAAAAATTTTGCTAAAAGCCCTAAAATAAAATTAACAAAAAAAGAACAGAAATCTTTAAATTGGGCAATTTCAGTGATTCTACACCAATGTTCCAATCAACTCGCAGCATCCTTATCAAATTCAAGTAGTCTGAAACTACATGTAGCCTAGAAGCCTTGAATGCATACCCAATTGAAATAATAATCGAAACGGTAACTTGATCACTCAAAATAGAGTATCGGCTTCCAAAGAACACAAATTTCATCACAACGACATGATCGAACCCGATAAATCACAATAACGTCGAAGATTGAGTTCATGATTGATAAAACAAACAAATAAGGAGGAGAAATAGTCTGGTGAACGAACCTCTTTGTTTTTTTTGCAACTTCGGAGTCCGATGAATCGGAGGCGGAATCTCGACGACGTCGTCGGAATCCATACACGGAGAACTGCTACGCGGAAGCAATCGCTTCCTGTTTGGAACGAGAGAAAGTTAAAGAACGTCAGGGAAGAGAAGAAAAAAAAACAGAGAGAGAGAAAGGGAAGAGTTTTCTTCTTTTCAAAATTCCGAGTGAGAGAAAGATGAGAGAGAGAGACTTGGAATTCTGAGGGACGTTTTCGGGCAACGGCGGCGGCTCCATTGGACCGGCTACTTGAAATTCACCGGCTCAGCGGCTAAGCAAATCGGCGGCGGCGGCTCACCGGCTCGATTAAAAAAAACCGGGTTTGGCAAATGATTTTTGTAGAGAAAAAGGAAAAAAAATTTATGAGAAAAGGTGGTTTTTTGCCAGCCCGCGGCTTCGCGCCTTGTCAAGGAAGATCAACATAGATTTCGACGACAACCAAGGTAGTGTGTGTATGTGTATGTGTATGTGTGTGCGCGAGTGTCCCTTTCTCATTAAATAATTACACACGTTCTGCGCCTTTAATTACCAATTATACCACTAACCTAGCACACGGTCTTTGGGCTGGTCTTGGTCTTGGAGAGCTGTGCTTCTGCTTCTGCTTCTGCTTCTGCTTCTTTGTGGGCCCCACCTACTGCGACGATCAGCTTCCACTGCAAGTTTCTACCTTCTGCCAATAACCATCTGGCGCGATTGCCGTGAATTTGGTTCACGGCGATGACTTGGCGGTGTTGTAGTGGGAGAGCAGTGAGTGTTTAAAGAGTGGGGTTGGTGTAGAGGATCCAAACTAAACGTGGAACTTAAGCTAAACGGAGTTTTTTTATTTACACAAAGATCCCCTGATGTTATTTCAAATTACTTTCACAATACTCATAATTTTCCACTTACAAATTATTGATGTCAGTTAAAAAACTTCCTCAAATGACAATATTAACCATATAAATTATATTGCATACATTTATGAGGTTAATTATTGATGTCGGTTAAAAATTTCTTCAAATGACAATGTTAACCATATAAATTATATTGCATACGCTCATGAGGTTAATTTTTTTAAAATAAATCATCATTTTTTTTTCGATGGGAAATCATTGAAATGTGACGTTAGTGTAATTTCTGAAAATTCAAGGAGTTTTATGACCATACAAGAGTATCAGTGTAAATAACTCGATTTTTTAAAAATAAAAAATAAATCACTAGTTCTTGCAGAAAAGTAGGATTAGATTGTTACCCAAAAAAGAAGGTTGGATTTTGATGGAGCAACCAAGGGTTGGGATCGGATAAGGATATATACGTTGGTGTGCGAATCATAAGCTGTATAAGAGAGTCCACGCGTGCCACGAAGACTCGGATAAAGTTTTGCTTATTTGGATAATTTTTTAATGATTTCCAAATCAATTTGGTTCTAATCCTTTGCGGCCAGTTATGGAAAGTTGTTGAGACCAAAAAGAATATGGTAGGTTGAAGCTGAATTTTAGATTTAGTCAAATTGAATAACAAATGCAATTCTTCATTTTTTTCTTTTTCTTTTTCTTGCGTAACAATAGGTGGAGAGGGATTCAAATTTGAAACCGTTCTTATAAAAAACCGACGAAAATAACGAGTTCAGTTGGTATTTAAAAGCAGCAATACCCTAAAGAGTAGTTTGCAGCCAAAACAAAGTTTCATAATAAAAGAGTAGTTTATCTTACATACATGCTGCAAACAAATGAATGTATTTAATGAAATAAAGATTATTATTTCTTAATAAATGTTGATTCATTGTACTTGATGCACCTTGCTTTAAGAGTATAAGACCTTTTTCTTTTCTTTTTTCGGTCATTCGATAGAGATGGAATGGGGAAGTATTATATAGGGCTGTTTCAAGATTGTCTCGTACGTGAATCCAACCAGGAATATTATATAGTGCACCTCGCTTTAAGAGTGCAAGACCTATTAATGGAGATATGTATTGCAGACATTTACTAAATGAGATAAGGATGTCGTTATAAATGTTTTTTTATTGTCAATTCGTGGTTATAAATGTTGTTTGGTACCGCATACACTCCTGAGTCGAATGTAACTGAAACCATGTTTTCTAGCCAAAATTTAAGGGTCTGTTTGGTTCACGTATTACAAGTTTAGGAACGAATACAAGATTGCATTATGTTTGGTGACACGTGTTTGGAAATCTGACCCGTGATCCATGGGTCTGCATAGGGAAAAATGAAACTCTCAGGTCCCCCTTGGAGAAATTCTAGCTACTTTCTCCTCGTATTTCTAATCCCAGCGAAATGAATTTATTTATTTTTTCTTGACAAATAGCCCTCCTTATAAATAAAATTACTATTTGTTTGACTACAAAGAATATCAAAATCACTAGCTTTTTTCCTTCAAAACTCTTGGTTTTTTCTTTTCTTTGGGTGTAAATGGACCTCGAGCGTATGGGCCCAATATGTTCATGAGATCTGGCCTATGTTACTTTGAGAGAAACTACATGGTTGTCAATCTAATCTATGTTTCATGCTCTTGTTGAGGACCACCAAAAAAGAAAAAAAGAACAACCAAGAAAACAAGAACAAGTTATGCATTACCTTATAAAATTGTGTACTACTGCTGAGAAAGTTAGCAGAGATTCATAGAGGTTATAAGCATTCTGCAGCTAGAAGTATTTGGTTATGGAGTTTCTAAGTTAGGTAACCTATGATCAACATTTATTAGTAAAATAAGTTCCAATTTATTTAGGAAACTATGGCTTATCCAAACAAGCTTATTTTGTCACCCATTATCTTTACAACGGAAAAATGGCATGTCTCACATTTGGTACCAAAAGGGTGTACTTAATAAAGAAATGGACTCGCAATGAACTTTTAACTCAAGTAGTTAAGAGCAGTTACCTTACATATAAGGTTTTGTGTTCGAATCCCTCGTCTCCAATATCGCTTATCAAATAAATAAATTGACTCTGCTAAAATTTCTTGTCAAATTCAAAAACATTTCTCACTTGTTGATGATCGGTGCAAAAACACAAGTCTATATTTTGGATGATTTGTAAACGTGACACATCAAAAAACGTACATCGTTTTAAATTTGTTTTCTTAAGATAAACCTTTGAATTGATTAAACAATATTAAGATTTTCATATTAGTTTTAGTTATTGAGCTTATACGTACATTGCTAGTTGCAATATGTCTGGAATGAGAAAGTTCGAAAGGTTTGTCAAAGTTGAATTTGTTGCGAATTTGAAAGGCATGACATACAACCCACTTTATACATAGGAGTAACAAAAGCTTCTATATGTCAATGAAATTAAACTTGTTCAAAGGCAAAATTGTCGATATATATATATATATATATAATAAAAATAAAAAGAATTGGTCGATTACTTTCATAAAACAAAAAGAAGTTTGTCTATTTTGGGAAGGACCCTCGAAATTGAAAGGCATTAGTTTATCAACCATTGAAGTCAGGGCATGGCCTCGAGCTCATATGAGGATGAGTGGGTTTAGTTGCTCATGTCAATTTTCTATTTTCCATTGACTAGGACCAATCACATTGAAGAATCCAAGCCATGATTTCAAAATAGCTTTAGTGGTCAAGTTTATTAGCTCCTTCTATATTATTAACCAATAATTAATGATATTGCAAAATTGCAAAATTTGAAATATTTTCCCTTTAAATTTCACAATTTTTGACTTTGACATGAGAAGGTGGAGTAGCAATGAGGAGGACAACTGCCAACGAGGGCTGGTTGAGTTGTAAGGATCGTTCTCTTCACTATCAAGGTTTATGTTCGAGTTTCGTTGCTGACAATTTGGTGAGTAAGACCCCCTTTGTAAGTCCTCAAAGAGGCCTTGGTATGCCCTAGTCTTGGGATGGGGTAGTCTCCCCTCCTCCTAAACTTTCGTTTACCACCCAAAAAAAAAAAGGACAGCTGCTTTGATATCTTTTCCTACATGTGGATAAAAGATGAACAAAATGTGAGGCTATACTCTTTTGAAAAATGTTTGAAAGCAAATAAGTTGGGTAATTGGAGAAGCAATTGCTTTGAAAATCACCAAGATGACTACATTTTTGTTTTCTTTATTTAAAGTAAAACGATCACCTCCAAATAAATATCAAATAAAAAAAGTTGGTATTTTCTTAAAATTTATGCTATATTTAAGTCATTTCCTTCATATGCCCTCCTTAATTTGAAAGCAAACAAAATTAGGCTTTCCGACTAAAAAAAACAAAATTAGGGTTGTGGCAGAACTTTGGTCTGCATATAAATAAACCCAAGTTAGGGACAAATTGCCGACTTGGTTTTGTTTCTTCCAAGTTAATTTGAAGCAAATATGTTCAAGTCTCCATTGTATGATGCCAAGTTTGGCAACTACGTACTCTAACCCTTGGATGGTCAAAACTTGTAGGGAATTTGTGCTTTCTAGTACGTATAGCACAACCTTTTAAAATGCCTTTCGTTTTGTGAACTAATTCTAATCACGATTTTTTTTTTAAATGGCCGAAAAAAGTGCGATATTATTCTGCTACAAATTAGGTTGAAGCCATTCATTTTCTGCTGCAAACGTACTTACAGTTTGCAGCTAAAGGAGAATAACTAGGACGGAGAGTGTCATGCCACGTGAAAAGTTAGGTGACATGTACTACTAATTAAAACATATGACGCATTTTAAGATTTAACACATGAAAGATGTTATGCGGGCATGTTGAGTGACAATGTACCGCGTTGAATTAAAACACATCATGTGTTATAAATTTTAACACACGACAAGACATGAATCATAAATATGAAATCTGAAAATCCAATCTAATAAGAAAGATGAAGGATAGTATAATTCGTGTTTTTTTTTAGTCTTTTCAAAGTGCTAATCTCCATTAGTTATATGCTACAAATTAAAGAGCTTTTGGTGGACAATATAATTAATAATCTTGCCAATTCATGAGTTGAGAAGTTGAGAGTGAGAGGGGATGGCATATCTTCATATCTCAATATGCGTGTGTATGCAGTGATTTGAGTCGTCTTGTACAAAAGAGAAATGAAGTAGACATGAGAGGAGGATAAGAGGCCAAGCCCTCCATTATTAAGATTCCTTCGGACGTTTCTTGGGAGACGTGTGCTTCTCTCATGTCCTTAAGGTCCCCACCATCAGCAACTAGCACACCCCACACACCACCCACCACCCACCACCCCACCCCCCCTTCTCTCTCTCTCTCTCTCTCTCTCTCTCTCTCTCTCTCTCTCTCTCTCCATGCATCTCTATAAATTCAGACCAAGTTGCAGAGCTTGGAGATATATCAAAGCAAAGCAATTACATTCAAGCCTCTTAAACAAAAAACCATCTTGTCTTAGTTCATTTTTTACCTCAAGAAGCAATATGTCGAGCAAGTGTGCCGACTGTGACTGCTCTGACAGCAGCAAGTGCACGTAAGTGCTTCTTTATAATTGTCATTTTATATAAGTTGATGCGTAATTCTTGCATTGAAATTAATATACAGTTGAGTTTTACGTATGATTATGGAGCTTATATGCTCAAGTTTGTGCATGGTTACGTAGTTCATGTAGCTTTAAACAAACACACACCCACCTAGCAAGAAACGATTCAGAGATACGGACCAACTCCCTATTACTTGATATTATCTCCAACTTATAACCACCTAAATAGCCCAGTAGGTGTAGAATTTTATCACAAAAGGTCTCGGTGCTAATAATTATGGAACCACTCATTACATATTGTATTTAGTTGTGGACTTTACATTCTTCAACATGCTTTACACTTCTTTGAATTGGTTTAGCTTTTCCAATCAACTTGGTGCATATATACATGCCATCTGAGCATTAACATACCAATTCTCTGAAATTGCAGGAAGAAAGGAAACAACTATGACTTGGTCATAGTTGAGACTGAGAACCGGTACCTACCTCAATACCCTTTTATAGTAAATTGAGCTTAGACCCATAAAATTCATTTTAAATCACCTACAACCCTTTCTTTTATTTTTCTATTTAAAATACCTAATTTTTTCAAATAATACCTGATGACTAGGATCCAACTAAGTAAGTTACCTAATATAACCTAAAATCTTATTTATTGTATTTTTCGGATTCCAAAACTACTTCTATTTATAAGTTAATGTGTTGTAGGGGGATGTAACTAATGACACACGTTGAATTTGGAAAGATCTCCAAATGGTTGTAATGGATGTAGGAATTAATTTAGAAACTTATTTGAAATTAAATATTAAATTCAACATTAACGTATTAGTAATCTATAGGTGATTAACGTTTTGGTTTATTTAATAATAAAAAATTATGTTATTTTCCTTTTATGAATTATACGACCAGTAATCTATTTTATTATCGTTTTATGAATAATAGTGTACATTCTAATTATGTTGAAAAATAATTTGATAATCTATTTATTGTTTGGTTTTTGAAAAACTTTTTGTTAAATGAACCTATTTTTTCTCTAAATAATGTAACTTTTTTTCTCTAAATAAAGCACCTATTACTTGTTTTTATGAAAAATAAAGATCATCGTTTTATTGTTAAATTTGTTTTATGAAAACAATTTTTTTTTAAATGAACCTATTTTTTCTCTCCAAATAATGTACCTATTTTAAGACTAAATTATTTTTCTTCTCTCTGTTTCCTTTGACAACTTTAAAGCTAATATGGAGAATTTGATTTGATTTGCAGCTCCATGGACACTGTGATCATGGATTCCCCAGCAGCTGAGAACGATGGAAAGTGCAACTGCAGCCCAAGCTGCTCCTGTGTGGACTGCAAATGTGGTCGTTAAGCCCACACAAACACACACTTAATACGTGATTAATAAAAGTGTCGTTTTAATTATGGGATTGTGAAGTCCTTAATAAAGTAATTATGGGAAATAACATTGTGGCTTTGTGTTTGTTATTGTATTTTGAGTCTGTTGAGTGACATGTAGTCTCTGTCTCTGCTGTCGCTCATCATGTCTGTGTTCTGTTTCTTTCATTGTGTCGTGTAATGTAATTGTAATGGCCATCGTTCGTGGCCTTTGTGATGGTCAATGAAATATTATTAGTATACTCTTGGCATTTTTTTTCTTCTTTTTTTTTTAATAAATTGATTTATTAAACTACTTTAATGTACTGAGAGAGGACCAATTACTCGAGTGCAAGAAGATAGATACACTGTTTTGATCAATTGACTTAACCCACATATCTGCAACTGCAATTTATAAAATAAATGTAGGAAAACAAAAAGAACACGATTTTTTACATAAAATATAATGGAATATGTTCAATATATTCTGGATTTGAAACCCTTTTGTATCTTGGGAGTAACATCAAAAGAAAGATGATGTCTTGGAATGCTTGAGATTATCTTGTTTGGAAATAAAATTGTACAACAAAACGCAGAACGGGAAATCCCACTTCATTATAAAATATTTCAAGCACGCTGGCCAACAGACAGCAGTGTCATTCCACTTCAATCCGTACTGGTAATAAATTATCAAGGCATTAGCTTGTCAAGGACTTTATGGATATTTTAATGAAAAATACTTCTATTCTTAGTTCCCACTCACCATATTTTAACAATATTTTAACGAAATACAACTCGAGTATAAGTTAAAATTTATATTTATTGTCACTCGAGTTGGTCATAATTCAACATGGTTAAATTAAAATTAATTTTGTCGAGAGCAGGTACCACAGTGGTGGCCTCCCCCTTCCTCCTTGCTTGACACCCAATTTCGAAACCCAAAGGGGTTTCTTTTCTCCCAATATAACAAAAAACCTAAAATTAAATTAACTTAAAATATAGAACTCCAATAGAATTTAACATACACCAATTTTAGCTCTTGTAACAGTGGATTGAGATATATTTAAAACAACTGGTTACATCACCAGCAGGCTACAGACAGTGAACATTTTCATCTCCTTTGATCAGTTTTGTTCAACTCTGAACCAACAGTAATCAACATAATGACAATTCTAAGTAACCAACATAAGGCAGGTAACAAAAAGGAAAAGAACATATGGAAGAAAACAACCATTAACAAAAAAATATTACACTTAGACAAGACAAAAGCAGATACTGAGATCAATCCTGTAACTTATCAACCAATGTGTACTGCAATCTCAAAGAAAAGAAAATACAAGTAAAATTTGATTGCATCGAATGGTAAACAGAAGCTCTCCATGCATTATTTTCGAACTTTCAGATATTATCTTCTTGTATGTTGTAAACCTAAAAAAAATGTATTCTTTCAAAACTGGTTAATGTTTCAATTTATTATCTTAACTATCTCTGGCAATCTCAAACATTGAAGCCCTCTGCACGAAGGCACCTGAGATGAGCATCGATCCATTTTGTGCAAGCCTCTTGACCATGCTCCACAATGCATTCATCGCGCAGCTTCTTAGTATCCGGGCAAGCACAGCAGATCTTCTTCTTCGGCTTTGTATCCAGGCTAGGTGCAGCAGTGACCCCTGATCCTTGATTTGGCTCCGACCCTGGGAAAGCCAAGGCAGACGAAGTATTTTCTGTTGGCATTCCACCCATTTCTCAAAGTCTTTGAAGAATAAATACAGTACCTAATAGAAAGATGATGAAGAACATCAAATTCAACGCAGAGCATAGTCTTTGTGATAACCATGTATTCATTAAGGATGTTGCATGATATGAATATATTGTAACCAAACAGAGAGAATGAAAGAGAGAGATACGGTGTCTTAATATATACACAAAAGAAGCATTAAACTTGTTTATCTAATGATTTGCCTAATCAGTCACTAGCTCAAGTAAAAGAGAGGCAACCACCATAAGGACAAAACCATTTATTTAAGCAAGCAATCAATTTCAGATCTTCTAATCCACACCTCTAATAGATGCATGAAATCAATTACCGTTAAAACTGAGACATTAGGAAACCAAATAAGCAGAAACGACTAGCCCTGCATATCATAACAACGTTTAACCAATTTCAATTGTAAAAGCTATTCAACCAATTTCTAAAGTAATAGCCAGGGGAATATTTACTAGAGCATTTCAGCTTCAAAAAGAAATCTTGTTCTCTCCTTATTTTTTGAAGTCGATACTTTTCCAAACAGGCTCTAATCCACAGAAGGAACACAAAAACAGAGAACCCCAGATGAGGAATTGAAACTAGTTCTCGATTTCAATCAAGACATATCCTTTGGCCAACATCCGTTTGGGATTTTCTTCGAACATATGGTGGGCGTCTTACAAGCCACTCCCACATATCAAATATTTATTAAAAGCAGAAGAAACTAACAGCACAAAGGCAAAACAGAAAACCCAAAAGAAAAGTAAAGCAACCCCATTTAATCAAACAAGAAAACAGCCATACCCACAAGATTATGGAAGTAAATCTATAATCTGTTGTATTTTTTTGAACAAAAAAAGAATAATAAAACCGTGTTGATAAAGAGGATGATGATAGGAATATGCTCAGAAGGCTAAACGAAAGTAGTCGTAGAAATGTAAGAGAAAGGAAAAGAATAACATACCGCTGAAAATAACAAAGAGAAGCTCTCGAACTCAAACGCTCGTGTTTTCTGGAAGACAGAGTGGGAGCTCACGAAAGCTGGAATTGTTAAACAGAGATGGTTATGTTCTCTGGAATACGAAAGTGGCCGCTCAAATTTTCAAGGCTAAAACTGGGCCGCGTAGGAGTCAATGGGCCTAGAAAAGAATACGCTAATAATTTGAATTTTCTTTTTAGGTTTTTTTTTGGGGGGTGAGGAAGAATAATAAACATTTGGGTGATTTGGACACTTAACCCCAACTTTTTGTCTAAAATTTTCTTGCAAATGTGAGTTAGGCCAGTTGGTCCGGACAGTGAGCGCTTGTATCAACAAGAATATTTAATTTTTATAATTACAATGACATGGATAGCACTTTTTGTTATCCCTTCCAATAACGCAATGACACATGAAATAACTTTTTTATATGTCGTTATGTTATTAGTTGAAGATAGCATTATTTGGCTATTCCCGTTACCATTAAGTTTTTCTGCCCATTAAGAGTTATTAATAAGTTTGACTGACTCGTTGCCTTGTAACTCTTAGGCCATGGGCTCTGTAGACTGTAATTTGGACAAACTTAACATCTTTAAGAAATTATAGGCTTAACTATTTATGTTTAAAACTACCAAGGTCAAACAATCTAAAGAAGGAAAAGTCTAACCCTGCAAGTTCTTTGTTCTAGTAAATGGTAGTTCAGAATGTGAGCCATAAAAAATTAATCAAGTGGAATTTAGCTAAATACATTTGCCAAATTTTTATTCATCATATGATGGGAAGAAATTTACAAGCTCACTGGTAACATGGGGCCAACAGAATGTGCAAAATTGCAAATGGAAAACAGTTTGTAGAGAATGTTCAAGATTAACAAGGTTTAAGCACTAAACTAACCAGCAATGAAATCTTAATTTTTTTGTTTTTTTTTTTTTTTTTTTTTTTAACTCTTATGGCACAAAGCAAGAGCCTCCACCTTGCAATTTCCACATAACATGACCAAGAAGCAGAGGAACCAAAGCACACAATTCCATCCAACAATGTGTTCCTCCATAAGCAGCAATCCACTGATTTTTGTAGCAAAGTAACATCAATTCTTTGCTAATCATATTTCTCCCTCCATGAGTACACAAGAAGAAAACACCACGAAAGCGCCAGTGTGATGTCTCCGGCGACCTGCTTTGGCCAATCCCGGGCAAGATCTTCAAGTTTCCTCTCAAAGTAAACTCTCCAAATAGCCATGGAAATGTGAAGCAATACACAACCTTTAGCAAAGAAGCTCTGGAACTTGTTGTCCTTGACAAAAGCCACCATGAACAGAAGGGATCCAATGGAAAATAGAAGCAAGCCGGATAAGGAATCGGCGGTTTGAATTAAAAGCTGATCATGGGGTGTTGACCCTTGGAGCTTACTTGCTGTCTCAAGGCCATGGCTGAACACATAAAATTCATAGGAGTAAAACATCATCAAAGCTCCAGAAATCAGAGCAATAACAGAGTGGAGCATACAAATTAGAAAAAACCCAGACAACCCCATTACTTAAAACCCCAGGCAAAACCTTTATCTTTCTTCTCTATACAAATAAACTTGCATTCAATTCAATTCTATTCAACCAAAACTGCTCAACAGAAATCTCTTGAACCCTGATTTCCAATAATCTTATGACAGAAAGCATACAAAACCAGTTTCCAATAACCTCTTGAACTCTGTAATGTATGTTACAACACAGAAAAGATGAAAATCACATATTCATCAAAAACCCTAAACCCTAAACTTTCATTTCAGAGATCCCAGAAACCAGAGCAAGTAAATTGACCAGAAGCCAACCTTAGCTTAGCTTCCACTCTAAAACTCAATAAAACCAGATGGCAACACTGATCAAGATTCAAGATTGTCTCCACAAGAAAACCCTTAAAACCAAGAATCAAACCTCAAACAAGGAAACCCAAATAAACCCTAACCTTAGTTTTCATTGTTTTCCACATCAAACAAAACCTTGGGGCTCTGAAAGGAAATGAAACTGATGGAGGGGTTTTTGGTAAAGGGAGAGGAAGAAAGAATGCATCTTTGGGAATTTGCTTTGATGAGAGAGTAATTCCAGCAACTACAACACGCTTATTGTCAGTGGGGGGACTTTTCTATTTGTGTGAATTTGATTTGATTAGCTGTAGTTTGTAGATATTTAAAGATTCTATAAATGGCACAGACTAAAGAGATTGCTTCTGTCCCTCTACAAAAACTTACACCTCATGCAAAAAAAATGCCTTACTTTTCTGGTTACTTCCTTCCTACAAGCAATTGAACATTTGTGGGGTCGTGGAACCAATGGGTCGACATGATTTTTTTTCAGTTTATTTTAAATTAAAAAATGTTGTTTTTGGAATTATGTTGGGCCACCATTTGTTTGCTATCTATCAACCAAGTTTGAAGTAATCAGACCCACAAAAAAACAGTTTGAAGCAAAGTCATTGCAATTAATCATTGGTGCTGAATTTGATTAACTTATCGACTTCTTTGGTAGCTAGAGAAAGTATTAAAAAGAAAATCCCTACATCTTTAACAATTTTCCTAAAGAAAAGTGCTTTCATGTCTTGAATTGATGTTGAGCGCCTGCCATGATTCATTCTTTCATGGTTCACTACTTTGTGGGTAGATGGGAGGGTTCTTAAAATCCCTACCATATTGCCGACGTGAATTAGGCCATGACAATGAGTTTGCCCCCTTGCACTAAAGTTCGAAACTCATTTTTCATAAATTAAATTAATTTAGAGTAAACTATCGCTTGTATAACAAATCTCTACCACATTGAAAAAGTAGCTCAAGTGTACCAAAACTCTTCCCTTCTTTTTTGTTTTTTTTTGTTTTTTGCGTTTTCCAACCCATTAAAGGGTTGAAATTTTCATACATTGAGAAAATGAACATTGCATCCATGTTACTTTCTTCAAATTCAGTCAGAGCAGAATCTAGTAAAAGCCTAAAAGGGAAGGAGTTCAACTCCAAGTTTGAACACTTTCAAGCCAACACCTTCTTTTCACTTAGAATTTAGAAAACCCACCTCACACTGTTAGTTGGTACTGACAGAATCTTCTGCAGCTGCATATAAATACATAAATTTGATCAAGTAAGTTTATTGATTAAAAATGTCAAATGTTTTGAGATGGATGGCTGTAAAGCAATACAGCTATTACTTTGTTCTCGACACCAACCCAATGATCACAACTTTGCTATATCTTATACATTGAGATTTACATAGAAGAACAAGTCATTATGAGACCTCACTTGCAGGCTACAGCTGTGGAAATGGCTATTCTTTTATTAAAGGCTTTTTATTACAAAGAGGCCAAACCCTAAATCTTTGGACATTGGCCTATGTTGTGCTTTGATCAATCCCTCAAATTGCTCAGGGAACATGGCACACTGGCCAAGACACCGCCAACTAATGGCCAGTATGGGATCACATGGAGATGAAGAGGCCTACCGTCCATCCTACATGATTGCAGCTCTGTATTGACCAAAGCCCTAATCAAATCAAAGCATCAATTCTTGCAAAAGCAAGCCCCCTCCTCCCGAAAAACTTGTGTGAAATAAAGATAACACTGTTTTGCTATCACCAACCAATCACAAACTGCCGCATGAAAAAGTGATCACGTGTGGCATGCCATGATTGGCCGGGAATAGCAAACTAGTGTTATCCTCGTTTCACACAAGTTATGACCTTCCAAGTGCATGTGCTTCCATAGCTAAAAGCTCTTCTCTTTTCTTTTTCTTTTTTCTGCAGAATTGTGAATATCTATTGCTTCGCTGGTATGTTTTATCTTTCCCAGCATCAGGGTTGCCTTTCCCATTAAGGCCTCAAACCGCAGAATTGGATCATCTTTCTATTTCTTTGCTTTCTTTGTTTTCAATTTAAGTTGTGAACAAATTTTTGAAAAGTGGGATTATTGCAAATTACAATATACTATTGGTTATTTTGAGAAACGGATTCTGGATTGGGACATCAAACAATACTTATGTCACTGATTTGTAAAGCAAGCATGAGGAACACGGCAGAAATTTGCACGACAGCAGACTGGATAAAAGTGCTCGTAAAAAACAATCGAATAGATATCAACAATTCTCAAACAAAATTTTGAGCTTCATCTGTCGTTTCCTATCCTGCACAGATCTAACCAAATCTTCCTACCCCGTGATGTATAATTTGTGACAAAGGGGGAGGGAGATTACATTTTCCTATAGTCAAAAAGTTATTAAGGGGAAAAAAGAACAATTAGAAAGACTTGCTGTCTCTACTACCACCAACCTTACGATGGCGCTTCTTATCTACTCTTCCACGCTTTAGAGAAATCTTCTTCCCAGTTGGAGTCTTTACAGATTTGGTACTCTGAGGCAAAGGTAGCGGAAGACGAATAATAGCCCTAGGCAGACGCGGAGGAGGCATGTGCTCCAGTAACTCTCGGTGGTATGCCTGTACATTGCAATCACAATGAACATATAATAACATGTAAACCTTATGTATTGAAAGGAAGAAATTGAAAGAGAAACAAAAGGACCTCATAACTTAGTCCGGCATATTATGCTATGAAGCCAAAAAGAACAGTTTACACAGCATAAGATTGTTATTTGGCAAATGAGCCATTATCCAAGTAATTCCCAGCCTCTCAAAAGAGCACCGTTAACATGCAGAGATCTTGAATTTATACGTCAACAATGCATCTAAATCTAGACAACCACCAAATAAATCATGCATCAAAATCTCCATGACTGCAAAATACAGATGCAAGCTTCTGTGGTACCCAAAAAAAGACCTAGTGACTCAGACAATGCAGAGCAAGCCACTTATAATTAGTAGATCTGGTCAACGTGTCAACAGAACCCTGTGACTCATACAACAACCTGACAAGCCCTAACAATATTCCAAAAAACAAACAAAGCATTTCGAATAAAATACACTGAATAATTTTCCAATCACCGTAGATATTCCTAAAAGAAATTAATACCTGAATTACAAAATTGCGCCTCTCACAATCCAAAAACATATTAATGCTCCAATTAACTTTTCCCATGATTTTATCCCTCACTGTGGAGAAGCTTAATTGATCCCTGGAGGTAAAGCGATCAACTTCATTGAACCAATTGCAGGTAAACAAATTTGTGATGGGAATGTGCTCCTTTATGATAACACAACCTTCAGGAACATCTGAAGAAAGTCATAGAGCAAAATGCTAAATTCCAGATTAAATAAAGAGAAAGAAAAAAAAAGCTATAACATGCAGAAATACATACGCTGTCATATGTATGCATAAGCTTACATATCACTGCACGTAAATAAATGACCTACCACTTGTTATTGGAAATTTAGCCACTGAATAAGGTTGTAAACCCTCCTTAATATAGAAGTCAATCTGCTCATTAATGGTGGAGTTATCATACTTTCCAGCAGCTTTGTTAGCTTCAGCCTCTTCAAACACATCATACCGTCTATAGTGCCTTGAGATTGCAAAATTCGCATTCTGACGCCATAAGAACCTGAACAGTATTTAAGTATTGAAAACATCAAGGTTTATGTAAAGCTCAAAATCAATAATTGCACAACACAATGACTGATCGCCAATTTCACATTGTTGAAATTACTAATAGTAAAGCATATTCCTAGTTTCTGTATGAGGTAGGGTAGATATGTCAAACTTTTTCCCCAAAAATGTTAATATTGTCAATTATTTTGGAACTGTTTAGAAAAATATTTCAGGTAAAAATGATTAAAGATCCTCCTGTTATAAAAATATTATTTTTCGAACCCTCTACTTCAGCTATATTTCCTTTTAATTTTTAATTCAACAATATTTTAAAATCTACCATTCTTTTCACACAAGTATATCAGAGAGTCTACTTTGGCATACTTTGAACTACAAGATCACAGAAAATAGAACAAGAGAAACCCCAGTGCCAAAAACTGACAACAAAGACCATTTGACAGAACTTCACAATAGAGTGCAGGTTGGGGGAGGATCTACTACAACACACAATAAATATACCAACAAAGCAACCAATAATTTCTGGCACCTGACAATTTCAATATCCAAAAAATAAGTAAAAAAAAAGTGGAAAAGTTGGATAACAGCTCGGCTTTCACTGGAAGAATCCAGTGACCAGTCATGGCTTTGTGATGCAACCATAGTTCTGCACAAATCTAACCAAAGTTTTTTTTTCCTAATACTGAAAATTATAAACAAAATTGTACTGAGGTAATTCATCATACAACTTCCAAGAGTAGCATTAAATTTGCATGTTGCAGGAAGTTGATTATCATCTGTAAAGCCAATTAGAGTTTCAAACAAGTGGCGAACAATATGAGGTTGTTTATAGAACCTTCAATATTTAAATAGTTGCAACGTACCAAGTAACATGACAGGACCAAAATTAACAGCATCAACTGTTTCAGGAAAGAACCATCTTTTAAACCCTTAGGCAAAAACTCCGGAACTAGGCTATTACAGGCGTCCACATAGCATTAATGAACAGAATCAGAAAAGAAGTGTACCTCTCAAGGATTTGATACGGATCCACCACAAGCTGAAGCTTTCCATCAATCCACAAAGAATATCTGACATTGGGGAAAAGCCTATGCAATAGAAGCTTCGGAATCTGCCACAAAAACATGATGTGTCAATAACATCTAAAATCTTCCCAAAAAATCCCTCCTAATCCAGAACTTTTTGAGCAAATTGTGGATAGAACACCTTTATTTCTATTAAATTAAATCAAAAGTACCACCTGATATAATAGATGACATTAACTTTCCCTAAAATCCATACCACTGCATAAAGGGAACACCAAGGTTAGGAGTGTCAATTTGACTAAGATACACCAAACTCCAGTTGCAAAGCCCAATATTTACAGGTTAAGGTTCAACACAACTTGCCAAGCAGCAATTGGAACAGAACCTAGACTGGAAGTTGAATTTGAACCAATCACTGCAGCCAGATCTATCCAAAATATTTTTTTCCTTGAATAAATGTCTAAAAGAATTTCCCCCAAATAGTATATGAACACGACATAAAGTATGGTTACACATGACCAAGCAAGTTCCCTCAACATTGGCTTAGGTGGTAAATTGGCTGGGGCAGTTGGTGTAGGTCTTATGCTCAAATTATACCAATCGACAATTGTATATTCTGTGTGTTTCTTCACAATGAAATACTTCTCTCTGTTTCTATGAATCATATAAGCTAATCTTAAGATTACCAATCTCCCATCTCTAAATGCAGTTGGGAAGAAACTAAACATTTAAAAGCACCAGTAAATCCTTGAAACCAAAAATAAATAAATAAAAAATAAAGTCAAATGATCTAAGCTATATTGTGGCATGTGGTTAAAAGGATGAACCAAACCAATTTTTTTTTTTAAACTAACCTTTCCATTACGCCTTGCATCACTATAGGGGACGTTACGAACAACAATAATTCTCCACAATCCTACCCTCTTACTGTTTCCCAGGACACTGGAATTCTTCATATAAGCTTCTGTCTCTTCGTCAATAAACATGTAGAATGGAACATTTTTCCTCGAAAACTCACTAATGTTCTTTGGCTGCTGTATTATATCATAGTTTCCTAACAAAGACACAACCATTAGAAAAAGTAACCACAAGCATATAGTTAAGCAAACATCCCATCCCACAATTTCTTAAGTTCGGAAGTACCAAAGACAGCTGATGCAACAATGATATCATGGAACATCTCCAACTCCATAAGGTCAGCTTCATCAACATCAAATCCAGACTGGTGACCAGGTTTACTTCCTTTCACAAATCTGACAAGAAAAGCATCAAATGAATACAAGAATGATGGATGCAATCAGCAAAATAAAAGGGAATCACCGATTCATTATTAATAAAAAGCAACAAGGAAAAACAAATAATAAAAGTAAACATACCCACAGTGAACCATCATGGATTCTTTTATATCATAAGAATCATTTCTCTGCTTTAGAGTTGGAAACCCACCAAATTCAGAACCTCTATGTGATTCAATTCTTATCGGATTTTCATCATAAACATATGTCAAATTACGTAGGACAGATGATTCTGAGGAGAAGCTTGGCATGCTAGCTATAGCATGCTCCACAGGTAGATAACATACTGGACATGCTGAAATAAAATGAACAAAATCAATGATACATCAACAGGATATGCATTAGCCCAGAATGTTTGTGAAAACTTCTCAAGTTCATGTAAAGATGTTAAACCAAATTGAATATCAGGGTATATCACTGAAAGAATAAAGAAAAAAGAAAAAAGCAAAGACTTACGACGTGGTCCATAACGTTTTCGATCAGTTGGAGGAGGAGGAGGGGGAAATGCAAAATTTTCACAATGGTCACGAACAACAGTAGATGGCTGAATAAGGGGATGGGAAGGAGAAGGAATCAGGGTTCTATGTTTAACATTTCCTTTCACAGTATTCTCTGTAGAAGGTATTTTGATGTCATGTTTATCTTCCATTCCAGCGAAAGTTATGGAACTACTTGACCTATCCTTGCGATAAGGTATCACATTTTCACTATGTTGAGTGATAATGACATTACTGCTTTCTGGTACATCATCATAAAAAAATTAACGAAAAATGCATTAGCTTATTTAAAAGAAATGTAGAGAACAATAAATTAAATTTGTACAGAAAATAAGAAAACATTCTACAAACCAAAATTGGTTCCGACTTTGACAAGCATGTGAACTCAATCAGATGATATTTCTTGTAATATCTAAAGGTGCAAATAATGACCATGTTTCTTCCATCCGTGAAATCATGTCCCATATCATGACAATCTCAGAGTATCAAATAGTATTAAGCTTAGACAATTAGACACTTGTATGCATCAACTCTATAAATTTGATCAAACAGGACTCTGCATACTAATCCCTGTGTTAAAAATGAGTACATTAGTGTGGATGTACAAGGCGCAGGGATAAAGAAAAACAAACCTTTATTTACAGTGAAGGAATTGAATACGAAAACCAAAAGAGCAAGGACAACCAAAAGAAGCATTGTGACCCTCTTTCGACCCAGGAATCTACATACAAAGGGCAAAACTCTTTCCTTCTCCCTCGAACTTGAAAGAAGCAACTTGGAAGACTTGCGTGTAAGACCAGGTGTTGGCAGATTATGTGAAAAGCCATTCTGTATCAGTTGTAGTTGTTGTAGTGATCCATAGCTCCCTGTACGTAGACCTAATGACCCTCCAGTCATTGTACCTTCAAATCCACAAATTCTTCAAGTTTCATTTCCTTCTTCTTCTACAAGAGCCTCTCATTTAGGAAACCCAAATTCTTTTTCCAAAATCCAAAATTCAAAAAATGCTATACAAAAGCAAACTAAACTTCTTCCAAATTCATGTCAACGTCCCCAGAATTCTTTTGCAAAGATATCATTGAAAAAATCGCTCCCCAACCAAATCATACTCTAAATCACCAAAAACAACACAATTAATTCCTCTTCAGAGCTATAATCCAAATACGCCTTGAAATAACTCCGGCTTAATCCCCAAAACACCAAACCCAACACCAAATGGAACTCAAATTCACAAAACTATCCTTACATATGATCTGAAATACCAATGTGCTTGAATTCTCCGAACCAAAATCACACAAACCACATTCTACGCAAAACCCACTTCCGAGAAACACTTTTCTTTCCAAAAAGTTAAAAAGACCAATTTCAATGCGCAATCCAACTAAAACCCACAAATCAAATTAGCATTGAAATCCAACCTAAAATCGAAATCTCACCCAGATCAATGCCAACTCAGAATTGAATGCCATAGTTTTAAAAAGAAAAAAAAAAAAAAAAAAAAAAAAAAAACAAAATTTACGTACCTATCAGAAAAAGCGCTCCAAATTCGAACTCAATTAAAAAGCTTCTAGGGGTTATCCATATCATATCTCTCTGTCTCTAGGGTTTCGGTGGCGAATATTTTGGGGATTACCATCCGCTCTGTTGTCTCACTAATACTATCTTTTATTATATTATTTATTAGAAACTTATTATGCTTCTAATTATGGAATTTGGACCTTTTTTTTTATATTATTCTTTTTTTCAAAGGAGAGAGTTTTATTAAAAACTAATAGCAAGATTTACAGCACTAGCTAAAATATCAAAAATTCACTCAAGCCACACTTGGACCTTAATGATGACCATTAAATGTTTTTTATTTTGAATCTGAAAGTAATGAAGATTTCCAACCATCACTCCATTATCACTAAGACCACATTATAATGTTCTTGAACAACAATAATGGTCAGTTGGTAAGCACTAATCACACTTCCAACCTAACTTTAAAATGTTTGGTTTATTACATTAAATTTGGTTTTGAAAAGCCCTATTGTTCAATCCAATAAGAAAAAACAGTCCCCCCAAAAAAAAAAGGTTTTGAAATTTGGTTTGGTATAGTATAGGAAGCAAGTAGATAGCTAGAGAGATTTTAGTACTTCTCTCATTGAATGCAAGATTGGTTGAACATCCCAAGGCTATGACTGAATATTTGTGGAAAACCATTGCAAGATCCCACAATTTGCTCTTGTATATGGTGCAATTAGCACATGAGAAGTTTTTCTAACACCAAACCTAATTTTGACAACCCTTAGATAAAATAACTTGCAAATAAGTGATTTTTGAAGAAGTGTATGTGTTTTTTTTAGAGGATGAAGAAGCATGTATTAAATGTTACTTTAAGAAGTGTTATTCTGACCCATAAACACTTTTAAAACTTTTTGTCAAATGTTTTTATTTTATTTTAGTACAAGCGATAGTCTAACTATAGGGAAGGGAGATTTGACACACACACACAACAACTATGATGTCGTGAGGATTCGAACCTGAAACCTCTGATATGCAAGTCAATACTGTTTTCCACTGAGCTAAACCAAACACTATCATAATTACTTTTAACATTTGTTGAAACAATTCCCAACATATCCTTAATAATCTCATAATTTGGACACATTTATGCTACAACCAAACACATCCCACATATCACTCGAGGATCTTAGATGGGCATGTTTATATTTTGTGGCCTTCAAGTTTCTATGGACATAGTGAGCTTCAATTGAGGGATCTCTCAAATAAAATAAGTTTATTTGAGGGACACCTTTATAGAGTTCATCATACATTGTATTTCATTAATCCAAACCGTCTATTTTATAGATATTCATTCAAATATTATCTCTACAAAAAAATCACTTAAATCCGATATTATTTGACCACACAATTAAATTATTAAAATTTGAGTGATTTCTTAAAGCACCGTGTTCATTGATTTTGTAGGATACCATTAGATATCTAAATGGTTTCCAATTTATCTAATTTTTTGCAATGATGATCTATGAATAAAGACTTTAAGAATAAATGATTTCGATTGTTGAACAAAAATTTATATAATACCCTAAAAGATGTCCCTCAAATAAAATTATTTAAAAAATTTCTCATCAATACAAGGGGATTTATGGACATATTGCATTTTTTTAATCTGGAGGGACATATACTATTGTCCCAACCCAATTTCAAACTTAAAGCCAATAATAACAATATATTATTGTGATGATGGGACTAAACTTGGCACCCCGTATGAGCTTAAGATGCCATGACCACGACTCATGGATTTTGACCCAATTAATTAAGGGCCCTTATTACAATAAATTAAGGGCCCTTTTAGTTCCTGAAAATTAATGTATAAATCTAACTTGAAAGTTGAAACTCACTTTCAGTCATCCACCAATCTTTTTCTTGTCACGAGACTCACTACCATCAACTTGATGATGAAATCGACTTTTAAGTTTCTCCATTTGAAGCTCACATTCTGTCATCCATCCTTGTTAGTATTGTCACCATCATCAACTTGACGAAAATCTCAATAATGATCTCATAGAATCTTATTAAATTTGAAGAAGGAAAATATTTCTCTTCTTACCTTGTGGGTAGGATTTTCTACATTTCTGTTAATAGCAGTGTAATTTGTGTGCGTAAGTATTTTTCTTTGTGTTTTTTATGAATTATTTTTGCATATGTGTTAAATTGTGATTCGCATAAATGAGACAAACAGTATTCTTTGAACAATTAAGAGGATCTCAAGCCTCTGCATTTAGCGACTGTGCATTTACCCGCATTTTGCAAGATCGGAACCATTCTAATAATCTAACAACTCAAGATACGACACGTCAATTTTTAAATTTGTTCGTATAATTAACTCCAACTTAACATTGTTAAGTCTAAATAAATTAAAAGAAAGAAAACAAAAACAATAAAGAAAAAACCATAAACTTATCATTCACTGATGACACACCTCACCCCACCCCACTCACGGCAATCCCCTTCCCTCCTCACAAGTCACAACCAACATCCTCTCATATTCCTTCCCCCTTTCTCTCTCTATCCAATTCAAAACAATTAGGAATTTGTATGACTAAGCAACTATGATGACGTCTTCACCCTTGCTAAATGTCGATGATGCCATTTTTTATATTATTTTTTTATAGGATTTTAGTCGGGGATAAGACGCACATGATGAGAAAAAACCATAGCTACTATGATGCACATTCATGGAAGAGAGGAAGAGATTTGTGGACGGTGGAGAGGAATCAGGGGTGGGATATGATGGCAATCGTGGGGTCGGGTGAGTAGAAAAGGATGGCTACTAGGTTTTTTATTGTTTTGTTTTAATTTGTTTTAATAATTCTTTTAAACTTAATAGTGTTAAGTTAGAGTTAGTTAAATAGATACATGTCAAAAGTTAAAAATTGACGTGTCATATCTTGAGTCATTAGATTATTAGAATGGTTCAAATCTTGCGAAATTCGGATAGATGCACAGTCGCTAAATGTAAAAGCTTGATATCCCAATTAAGACAGAGCAAGTTTGTTTTTGGTTTTTGCATGATTCAAAAAAGTTGCAATGATAGTTTGAAATTTTGTTTTAATATTTTTTTAAAATGATTAAAAGGTGAGTGTATACTTTTATGACATAAGTTTCTTGCACTGGTAAAATTAGGCAAAAACTCACATAATGAAATTGAATGTAAAAGTATAATTTGGCTACGAATTAAATATATTAGTTTTCTTGTTGATCAAAGTATTGTTTGGCATCTCAAATACTAAGAAGAAGATATTTGAAAATTTTTTTTACGGTGAAAAAGGTTAATTATAAGGGTAATATATTGTTTTTTCCCTTAAATTATATCGATAATGTTAATTTACCACTCCAATTTTTTTTACAACATGTTGAATAACGTCAAGTATTCACTTGGAGGACCACTTAATTATTTCAGTTTTGTATAGTTCAGGGGGAAATTTGGCTAAGAAAAGCTTGGATTTAAATTAACACTCCTGATATAATTCAAGGGAGAAATTAGCGTGTTACTCTAATTAATAGAAACGATATTAGAGGAGGGGAAATTAAACCAATGATCTTGAATACAAAAGTAAATGCTTAGGCTATATCAAAATACTTATGAATGAATAAATGTTAAACTATTCATCAAAAAATATAAATAAATATTAAAGTAGAGGTATTATTTAGATTTTTTGTCTGGTAAAATAACATAGAAATGTTGATGCCTCCGAACTGCAAGACCATGTGACTTGGGTACTCTTCAATGAATTGAGTGGACCCCCGATGCATGGGCAGCGGTCAAAGCAATAAATTTTATTTTCTTAAAGAAATCAAAGAAAAATATAATGGGGCCCCCTGGCCCAACTAAAACCAACAAATTACAAGGCCCAGAAAAAAGATAAGCCACGGGCAATCCGGCCGAAGAAAGAAAGCTTGAGGCCTGGCAAACACCAATTTCGTGCAAAGCAGGAGGGAGGGGAATGATCAAAGAGTATTATTGAACCAAACACTAACGGGTTGTTTGATAATCATTTTAATTTTAGTTTTAAATTTTTAATTTTTTTGATAGAGAATAGAGGAAAATGAGAATAAAAATGGGAGTGAGGAGTAACAAAAGTGAAAACAATTTCAAATAAGTTTTTAATTTTTGTTTTCACTTTCGTTACCCATCCCTCCCATCCTCCCCTCTCATCTTCCATCTCAATTCCATATTCACCCTCATTCTCACTTCAATTGCGCCTCTTTTTATTTTGTACTCTAGCATAAAAAATGAAAACTAAAATTGAAATAGTTATCAAACAGATCCTAAATTAACTATTATTCTGTATGCTATTATGTGTAGTTGGATTGTTGGAGATCAAGTTTCAAGGCTAGATGCGGTGAGTTTGACAATTACAGTGTTTCAAGTGAATTTTAACGATGACTGTGTTTCAAGTGGTTTCGGTAGTGCTCATCGAGGCTTATGAGTTGTTTTAAATTTTTTGATGTTTTGAGTTTTGTGGGCTAACTTGAGATCCTACTTAATTTTAGTGATATGAGCTAAGTAAGTAGTTGTTTGGACTTGTTGGTTTTGTTGTCCCTTTACGTTTGATGCTCTTGCTGTCTTGTAGACGAATTGATTTAGTGTTAATGTTATTATTTATATATAATAATAAAAACTTTTTTTTTCTAATGAATAATATTTTTTGTTTTAAAATACAGACGACTACTCTAAATTACTCTAAATTAATTTAATTTATATAAAATGTGACTCAAACTTGGATGTAAGGGACGGCTCACTACCCTAGCCATAGCCGGCCCCCATCTGTATAAGTCGAAGCGAATTTAATGTGCATGACTCTATAACCACAAGATTATTAAAGCAAAGAGTTGGTGACTACAATACAAACCACAAAGGCAAGATGGCATGGCAGGCACATATTGTTGTGAGAAGCTTTGCCTTTGCCTCCTACAAACATGTGTAACTTAGACTGCTGGCATGGGGACAAATCAAAATCTACATTGACAGAGGGCCAAAAAGAGTGGGGCTCACTGCAGAAACCCTAAAACTTGAAATGGGTCGGGTCCCATGGAGCTGTTTGTTTGTCCTGGTGGGAGGAAGACAGAGCCATAAATTTCATGGACGCATGATTATGTAAACTGTTCATCATATTTAATAGACATGGACAGCTCTGGTTAGGTCATTAAATTTCATGGGGCTTGTAAATTTTAATCTATGCAGTGCAGCTTTGGTGGAACCGCCCCATGAAATGATTCATCATGACTAGCATAAAAACACTTAATTACTGTTTGTTTACTCCCACTAATAATTCACTTTTACATGTCTCGTGTGGGCCTAATTATTACCTACTCCTAAATTTCATGCACACAACAAGAAATTTATTATAATGGTTTTTTAGAGCATTAATGTGTACAGTTAAATATCGTTATGTGTGACAATAGCACAATGTAATATGTTAATGCGATGTTACGAATTCATTCAAACATGATATTACGATCACATGCCTTGAATATCCCTTCTCTAATTGTTTTTTTAAATATGTAGAGGCACCATTATCAAGCCTCGATGTAGTGAAACTTTCTTGATACAACAAGTACTTAAAAATAGAGTGTGAATGTTAAGATATATGCAGCTTATCTAAAACTTTTGACCAAAAAGAAAATATCTATAAACCTTTAGTGTTCTATAAACTTTACAACATTATCCTAGTTCTTTATTATGACGATCATATCGCCATGTAGTGTTATTAATTTACTCATTATAACATCTAGATTAGTACTGTATTCTAGAATCATGGCATATCAATCTCGTCGTTCTTTCATATTATAATATCCGAATCGGTAACACTACATAACAATGGACTATCACACCCTAGAATTTCTATAAATAAAAAAGTAATTTCGTTTTAGTAGGCCTTATGCACCCCCTTGAAAAGAGTGGCTAAATGTTAGCTTGTTGTGATAAATACTAACTTAAAAATTGCATGAATAAAAGTTCGTTTGTTAACCGAGTATGACTATGGACAAAATAATTTTCATTGTAGAGAGAGAAAAATCTTTTTAACCCTATGCTAAAATCCAACAGGTATTACTCCAAAAATTATAATAATAAATTTGTTAGAATCACATTTAGTATTTTATTTTGGCAAAAAGAGCAACAAAAAAAAAGAAGATATAATTGTTCCAATATTTATACAAAGAATCACCTACTACTAGTACTTAATTAATTCATATAAAATAAAAGTCAAAGAAATTGTTTGTGGTTAGGGTCCAATGATTGAGAGGTGAACTGATGATATCATAAGATGCTTAATTTGGAAATAAGTAACATCATAATTTAATATTAGATCCAGGAAAATATGAATTACTTCTTTCTAAATAAGTACGAAAATGTTTTTGCTCACCAGTTTAATCCAAATTGTACTCTCATTATCCTTATCAACACTTGACACGTGTTTGTTGGCATAACCATAATATACATGTGTTAAATGTTGAGAAAGATGATGAAGATACACCTTCAGTTAAAATGGTGTGCAAAAATGCTCTCTTTTTAATATTTATAATTTATTTATTTGTTGTTGTCATTTTTTGGTTGAGTGAGGAGGAGGGGGTGTTTGTTGTATCGAGTTTACGGTGTGAGCGAGTTGGACAGTAATTTTGTCACCTAATAAGCAGTGGAAAAGCCAACGACTTGAATCACCAAAAAAACATTAACAGCCCAACTTTTCTTTTTCTCTACGAACTACGGAGACAATTGACTGAGAGCAAGGATATTTGTACTACTTTCACCCTCCTTCCAGCACGTGACATGCACTCTCACGTTGTCAAAAGTGCTATTCTTTTTTCTACCTATTCAATTTAGTTAGATCGACACATCTCTTTTTAATGTTGGAAGATATTTTATCACCAGATTTCAGATCCATTGATGTTGCTAAGGAGCAGGCTGCTGTTTTTGATTGCTAGCAATGCTGTTTTGTTGAACACATTGAATAGGAGTCCAAGAGATTTCTCTTTTTCTTTTGTTTTCTTGTGTTTAGTTTAGGTCGCAAATCTTTTTTAAAGATTATGCTTTTGTATATGTCTCTCATATTTGGGTTTCGGATCGTTAGCTATCTTTTGTACTCTTTTCTGCTCAAACCAAAAAAAAAGTTGGAAGATATTTCAAATTTAAATATTTTATTTTTCTATTAATATTTGATTTTATTTTTCCTTTTGCTACCCGTGAAAAAACTTAATTAAAAATAATTATTTTATAATTATTTATATTTGGCTGAAATAAGTAGTTGATTCCTTTTCAGGTGAGAAGTTAGTTTTTGAGGAAAAAAATTGGCTTATATATTTCTCTCCTTATTCAACAATGATTTTAGAATGCAATGATGTGGTATGCTTAGATGACCTAGCTCAAGGCCGAGGAGGCGTTGGTGAATACATTTTTGGCTTTGAGTGGAGGTATATTGTAGAAGATTAGTGTTTTCGATGGATCTCTTTGATTTGTTATTCCTTTATGGATAGTGTTTGTATTCGCACACCCCTTTGTTGGTAGTGTTTATATTGGCCTTTGTAGCCTTTGTGTTTGTATTGCCTTTTGGGATGTAAATTATTAATGCAATCTCCCAACGTTTGTTATAAAACTAAATAATAATACAATTTTCATGTATTTTTATATTTCACTTAAGTTTTGACGGCGAATTAAATAAGTTGAAATTCAAAATTTTAATATTGGTTTTGGTGTTCCTCCGTAAGTAGGGTTTCCAAACTATTTAGGTTTAAAGCTCTTAATCTTGTAAGATTTTATTTCCTTTGTTATTGTCGGAACATTGTCCTAAATTTGAATCTTAATTTTTGGGTGGAAAAAGAAAGAAAATAAGGGTTGAAATGTTTTTCTAAAAATGATAAGAATAATTAGCTAAGTTCATTCATTAAGGTAAATGGCGCGTGGAAAGATGGTGAAGAGAAGATTGTCTTGATGCTTAGGGCCTCTACAAACTACAGTCTTTTCTCTTTCACTGAAAGCTGCCACTGCTGGGAGACACTCCCCCTTCTCACTCCATCAATATTTTTTTACTCCATGTTATTATATTCAAGAATTTTTATGTTAAATTTTTTTGTTCTCTGAAACTCTAACTCTACGTGTCTCTTTCAAGCCTCTGTGCCCTTTGATCCATGTCCTTGTTCTTCAAGCCCTAAATACATCTCTAGGGTTTCAGTCTCTTCCTCTATTACTCGTGTGGTGGGTGGGTTTGATGCCTGGATTGGACCCTTTGTTTCCACTGCGCATTAAAATAGCCATTTTCAAGGTTTGAAGGTACTCATCATTTTGCAGATTCTGTTTAGTTAAAGTTTGGATTTTTGGAATTTAGGGTTTTATTTATTGTGAATTAGTGGGTCTTGTTGTTACATTGAGAGCATGCGTTCTATGTACAAGGAGGACTGGCATTTTAAAGCTATAATGTGCCGACTTTGCCTTAGTCTGGTGAAAGATTGAAGATTTTCAAGATTCCAGGGTTTGGGTCTCTGAAATTTAGGATTTTGCTTCTTGCAAAAGGTGTGACTTTGAAGGTTTTGTGAAGGAGTGGATTCATACATTTGGTGCTTGATGGCTCATATATATTGGATGAGTTGAATTCTGGGTTAGTTTCTCTATTTATCTTTCCGTTTTAAAGTTTTGGTATATGGGTTTTGGTGGGTTGAGTATGGTAATGATGGGAATGGAGGATGAGGATTGTATTGTAAAAATGCAAGATTTTTGAGGGTGTGAACATTGGTTCTAAAGGAGGTACTTGTTGGTGGTGGTTTTGGTGCATAATGGGTTGCATTTATTGCAAGCCCTCTGCTATTGAGGATAGCAAGGACAGCCCCAGAGAGAGATTGTCAAGCAAGGCGGCATCAGACTCGCGGGCAACAAGGGTTGCTTCCTCAAGGAGGGAGGAAGCTTATCGAGCAAAAGATCGATATGATAGTAATGATGGGAGAACAATGTTAATTGATAAGCAATTGAATGGGAATGTTCGATCCCATGGTGAGAATTTCGAGAGGAAGAGGGAGAAGATGGAATATGTTGCTGCTCAACATCCTGGGATGGGTAGCATTCCGAAAGCTGTAGAAGGGGAACAGGTTGCCGCAGGGTGGCCAACCTGGCTAGCTGCAGTGGCTGGAGAGGCCATCAAAGGATGGGTACCACGGCGTGCAGATTCATTTGAGAAGCTAGATAAAGTATGGTTCTTTTCCTCTTTAGTTCTCTAGTTAGCTTTATGATGCAAGACAGATCTTCATTCTTGTCTTTGTTATTGATTAATCCATTGATTTTGCGTTGTGTTATTTTTTATTATCAGATTATTTTTTTGTTCTTAACTTGTTGAATGACAAATTTTTTTTTTCATTTTACTTTCATAGAAGTTGTCAATTTTAGTCTGGGGTCGGATGTTGGAGGGTAGTATTATTGTTTTTACTTGTTGCCCATATTGATGAGTCACTTAGGAGTGAGCAAATTACGTGTATTTCAATCTCCTTAACTAATAATGTTGTTTCAAGGTATATTTATAAATAGGTACATGTAATTCATAATATTGCAAATTTCCCTCTCTAACTTGTACAGTTTTTTCTCTGGTAAATCTGAAAACCTTAAATAAGTAAAAGTTAATGGGAAAATGTGAACTAAGGGCTAACACATCGGGTTGAAGCATTGTATATAAAAGATGTAGAGAATCACAAAATAGTAATGAGACTCATTTGTCTTCTGTTGGCCTAGGACTGGCATTGTATGCTTGAAGAAATTCATCAATCCTTGAGTGGTTTTAAAAGCATCTTCTTCCCTTCCATTTATCATGATGCAGTGATTCAAAGATTGTCTTGAAGAATGTTGAAATTGAAACCATGATTACCTTTTTCTTGGTAATCTTACTTTTACCTATATAATTGCCAAAATACCAGTTGTGCCAGAGAGTAGAAATTGAAACTTATGCACTATTAGTTTATTTCAACAAAGGATTACACATGCAAATTATGATAGTATACAGCAGCTGATCAGTGATGCCTTAGTTGATGAGGTACTCAATGTGTTAATTAGCTAAAATAAATGAGAGTAGATATTGGATCTCCTCTGATTAGTTACCATCTAGATAATTGAAATTCGTGGGTGATTAATTCAAGATTCATCAAGTGGGTGCCACAAATTAATTCTCTAACTTTCCACTATCGAGCCAAGAACATGAGTCATATTTGCACCCCTTCTTTACTGGCATGTAATTAAGTCAGTTGACATGGGTTTAAGCATAACATATTTAAGTTGGGAGTCTTTAGACTTTATGATGTTGGAGTAGTTGACTCTGCAAGTTATGAATGGGGTTGGAGACACTTATAGGATTTAGTTCGGTTGCAATTAAGCAGATTGGTGTTTCTTGTTTCTATAAACTCTGCCAATTTCATGTTTTGGGTGTTCTATTGGGTACTATGCTTATCTATCTCTCTGATTTTCATAATTTAGAATCCTGAGAAAAGCAATAGATTTATTGTATTCAATAAAGGCTAAATTGTTCTATCGGGCTCTTCCAACTGCTAGTTCACTCGTGTTTTGTTATTTTTGTGCTGTTATCCTCTTTAGATTGCTATACCTATTGACAGGTTTTGGTTGTGTCCTAACCTTTGTTTTATGCAGATTGGTCAGGGAACTTATAGTAATGTTTATAGGGCTCGTGATCTTGATCAAAAGAAAATTGTTGCTTTGAAGAAAGTGAGGTTTGATAACCTGGAGCCTGAGAGTGTCCGCTTTATGGCAAGGGAAATTCACATTTTACGAAGGCTTGATCATCCAAATGTAATAAAGCTAGAAGGTCTAGTTACTTCAAGGATGTCTTGCAGCTTGTATCTTGTTTTTGAGTACATGGAGCATGATTTGGCAGGGCTTGCTTCACACCCTGGTCTGAAGTTTACAGAAGCACAGGTATTTAATGGTAGTTTTTGCTTCTTAGACTTAAAATAACAAGTTACTCCGTTTTTTATTCAATTTTTGCTGCCTATATCTGCAGTTCATGATGTTCCTGCATCTTTCGCATCTGTTGATGATACTGGTTATTTTGTTTGCTCTTGTGTGGTTGTGTGAATACTATCTTGTAATCTCAATTCATTGATGTATATTTTCCCAAAAAACTTATGGAATGTTAGTATCAGAATTGTTCAGTTGGACGGTGGCACTGAGACTTCATTGATTTATTGGCAGGTTAAATGTTACATGCAGCAACTATTATGTGGACTTGAACATTGTCACAGTCGTGGTGTTCTGCACCGTGACATTAAAGGTTCCAACCTTTTAATTGACAACAATGGCATGTTGAAAATTGCTGACTTTGGTCTGGCAAGCTTTTTTGATCCCCGTCAAAATCAGCCTCTAACAAGCCGTGTTGTAACTCTTTGGTATCGACCACCCGAGCTTTTACTTGGTGCTACTTACTATGGGACTGCTGTGGATTTATGGAGTACAGGCTGCATACTTGCTGAACTGTATTCCGGCAAGCCTATTATGCCTGGAAGAACTGAGGTAGTTATAGTTGTGTCGCTCTGGGCTTGTAGAATTGATGCTTTTCACTACTTGTTATCTTTCAGAATCATGGTGGCTCAAATGCATACATGCATACACGCACATACATATGCTTCCTCTTCATGGCTTGCAGCATTTAAAATTCCCATTAGTTTCTTGGTCTACGTATGTTAAATCTAAGCAATTATTTGGACTCTGCTAATTCTCATTAGATACTCTGATATTTTTTCCAGTATAGTTTGAAACTCCCAGATTTATACCCAAATGAGTATCAGATGGACAATTCTTCGATTTCTAGGACAATTCTCCTATATAGCATGAATAATGTCCTGCTGCAGATGTTGAGGAAAAGACATCAATGCAACTTTGATGGCTTAAAGGCTCCTCCGAAAGCTGTTAAATGGCATATTCTTAAGTTCATTTAATTGTCTGGTCCTACGAATCTCTGAAAGGTTCATCTGGTTGAAGGCTGGAATGGTTTAATCGACATGATTGATAAATATTTCTAGTTTTTGCTTTTAAATTTAATACTTACTGGCTTGTGGAAGAAGAAAGAGGGAACACAAAATCTGCTAGGGATCCTTCTTCTATTATTCAGTGCAACTCACCATTATAAATCTTGGTATCTTCATCATGCCATAACCTTGTTTTCCATCCTTATTCTGTTTTTGTGTGATTTTACAACATAACCCTAGTGGTGGCATGCCTGTCTTGTAGCTTTCTGAATAGTATTTTCTTATTTTATTTTTAAGTTCGATGTACATGTTTGATTATAGTATTTGAGAATTTTCTTCCCCTCTCTCCTAAATGGCTTATGGGATGTGAGATGCCCCTTGGAGATAGTTTTGTGAGTAACTTCATCTGGTTGTGAAGATAGCGGTGGTTACTGGCTGGTAGACTAGGGATAGTTTACTCTGTTCTCTATGCCCTTATAGTTGTGTGAATTCTCTTATTGTTATGATATCCCTTTTTGCCTTTACTATTGAGAATCTCTTATGTTTCTTGTGGATGTAAGTGTTGTGTAACTCAGTAATGTATGCTAAATGGTTGGAGTATTTTTGCCTTGTAGGTGGAGCAGTTGCATAAAATTTTCAAGCTTTGTGGCTCACCTTCGGAAGATTATTGGAGGAAATCAAAGTTGCCTCATGCAACCATATTTAAGCCCCAACAACCTTATAGACGCTGTGTTGCAGAAACTTTTAAGGACTTCCCTGCACCAGCTCTAGCACTTATGGAGATCCTTCTTTCTATAGACCCTGCGGATCGTGGATCTGCAGCTTGTGCTCTCAAGAGCGAGGTTTGGATCTTAAGTCATATATGATGTCTTCTTACTGTCATTCTTTTTGCTGCGCAGTATTTGAGTTATCTTGATATTTCCTTTCGGACAATGCTTGTCTTCTGATATCAGGAGCCATTCCTCCTCAACACATGATGTGGCCTCCTTAAAAAACAACACATGTTTCTTTTTTCTGTTTTTTTTGTTTCACTGACTCTCCCTCTCTCTTCTCTCATCTTCCATCTCTAACTCTTCCCCTGCAACTCTTTAGAAGAAATTTTCAGCCCCTTTCTCTTCCCATCGCTGCTCCTCCATCATCATCACCCAAACACTATGTATTGATTTCTCTCCTTTTTAATTTTTAATTTTATTGAATTATTTATTGGGGAGTTTTGGAAATTTTGGGAATGATGGAAGAAAGGGATGGAGAGATGAGAGAAGAGAGAGCACGGGAGGAGAGGAGAGGCGAGTGGGTGAGAAGAGAGAGAGAGTCGGTGAAAGAAAAAAAAGAAAAAAACAGGTGTCATTTTGTAAGAGGCCACATCTTGTATTGAGGAGGAATGGTCACCCCATTCTAGATCTCTATGTTTGTGCCTGTGCATGCTTACGCGTGTGCCGTAGAGCAGTAGATCATGTTTTTGTGCTTTCAGTCTGTTGCTGTTGTGTGGGGATTTGAAAAATACAACTGTACTATGTTTAAGTCATTGTTATTAAGTTCACTCATTAAGGCCTCCTCTCTTTTTCTTCCATCTAATGATAGCTACTTCTTAGCTCTGTAGATCATGTTAAGTGAACAACCCAGATTGCATCAAGGTTTTTTTTGTTTTTTTTTGTTTTGGTTTTTCGTTTTCTTGACCATACTTTTAAAATAGTTATAGGCCACAATGAGTTTTCATCTGATAACTATTTTGATTTTATAATCATCCTACTTAGAAGCATATTTTGAAAAGTTTTCAAGCATAAATTGCTTTGTTGTTTCCTCATGTGTTATCCTTTTCCTTTTGTTTTTTCACAGTTCTTTACAACAAAACCTCTTCCTTGTGATCCATCAAGTTTGCCAAAGTATCCTCCGAGCAAAGAGTTTGATGCTAAAGTACGGGATGAGGAAGCTAGAAGGTGAATATTGTGACATAATCTTTGCTACAACTTGAAAATTATTCTTTCTCAAATTCTTGTTACAAGGCACTGCACCATACATCACGCGTGTGTGTTTTAAACGACTTATATGTGTGGCATGAAAGCTAATGGTTCATGCACAATGAGGCCTTCCAGTGAGTCCAAGCACACTTGATGCATGGTTCCTGTGGGTGAAGTTTTGCTAATGTGGTTTTATCAAAGAGCTTCTAGAAAGAGGTTGTTTGGTTCTTGTCATTAATTAAAGGGAAAATACTGACACTTAATGGTCGTCTGTGCTCAAAACGTATCATGGCATGGTTAGGCTTGAGTGGAATCATATGAGTCTGGACTCTTGAGTTTGCCAAAAACAACTAAATTTGTGTTTTTCGCTAGTTGGGTTATAGTTGTTATACAATTTTAAGATACATGGTTATGATTCAATGGTCTCATTTGTGAAGTGCATTAGTGTAAATATATGTTTTTTAAATTTGATGGTGTGAACTTAAGAGTTTACGTTTATGGGATTAGGTTTGTATTTTTTTAGAAGTTGTGCTCACGCACTGATGATTATCGGCTCAGTTCTTTCTACTCTTTTTTACAGATTCAGTTTGTGCGGAATGCAGTGAGCTTAGTATTAGTTTTTGTCTTATAACTATTGTTTTATCCTCTTCAACTCTTACCTCTGCTTAGTGAGGGTGGTGTATATAGTAATGATCTTTTTTCCACATTGATAGACAAGGAGCAGCAGGAAAGGGCCAAAGGGTTGACCATGAAAGGAGAGGAACAAGAGAGTCTCGAGCCATACCAGCACCTGATGCCAATGCTGAATTAGTCTTGTCAATGCAGGTAACCTGATGTTATTTTGACTAAAAATCACTCATTTATCTCCACTATTGATTTATGTTGTAATTGGTTATGTATGGTGATATGTTCTGATTGCCTCTTTGCTTTTAACACGTGCTTGCAATATACAGATGACATATTCAATGTGCTGTTCTTGTAGGGAAGCTGTTGGGGAATAATATCCTCTCCATTTCTATTTATTCTTTAAGATTCATGGGTTATTTCAAGTCTTTTCCTCTTCAAAGGGGCTATTATGGTCAACCCAAATGTTCACTTGAGTTATAAATAACCAAGCTTACCTTGCGTATTCTGCCAATGCAATTAACTCCACATAGCATCTTTGGTCTTGCCAACTACATACTTTCTTTTTGTACAACAATGGAGTGTTGTGCTTTAACACTTTCAGATTATTCAATAATAATTTTTTCATTTACAATTTTAGGTGATCCACATTGCATGTTACCATCAAGTACATGTGTCGGGACTCATTTGTTTATTGAGGGCCCTTTTATAGTTTATACATGACTACTATTATGCCTCTATTCAATGTTGTTTATTAAATTACGTCATATGGGATATATTTCAACAGAAGGATTTCTTTTTACAGAAAAGGCAAGACAATTCTAAGAGCCGGAGTGAGAAGTTTAACCCTCATCCAGAAGAAGTTGCTTCTGGCTTTCCAATTGATCCACCGAGGCCATCACAAGCTGTAGATTTAAGTGTAGAAAATCATGGACATAACCATAAGAGAGCTTCCCATTCAGGGCCATTGGCTCACCGTGCTGCATGGGCAAAGTCTACTAAGAACCCAGATGATGCACCAAAGGTTTCAACTGGAGCTGACTTGTCAACAATGTCAGGTTTAGTGGCAGCAAGGAGGAGTATGTTATCTGAAGAACGCAGAAAAAGGTCTAGTTCTTCACAAATGGAAGGTCCAAAAGTAATAGGCAGGTTTCCAGGTTCGTTCAAGGAGGCCTCAGATCCTTTACCAAAAGATCAAAAGCAAGCCGTTGTAGGTTCTCGTCAAAAAGAAGATGTTAGAAGCAACAAAGATCCAATTATTGTGAGTAGTTGAACTCGTGTTTTTTTTTCCGCGTGATGGATTTCCTCATTACTTTTCTGCAGTTTGCATCACTTAATCCATCTTGTGACTAGGACTGCGCTATTTACCTTCACAAAATTATGTATGTTTGCTAGTAAACATGTACATCTTTTGGTTTACAAATATACATAGTAGTTTATTGTTGTAAAGGGGAATTTCACATTTATCAGACTCTTTGATTTAAAATTCACTTCTGTAAAGTACCAAGGGTTGTAATTTGTTTGAGGTTCAGTAGCTTTTCTTTTTGGTTTGTGTTTTGTTTTTTTGTATTCATTCTTCTTATTGCCTGATACAGCATTATTGTTTCTGGTTATTTCAGGTTGGCTATGGATCAAAGGGTCACAAAATGCACTACTCAGGTCCGTTGCTAGTTCCCTCTGGCAACATGGATCAGATGCTGAAGGACCACGATCTCCAGGTCCAAGAAGCTGTTAGACGAGCACGCCTAGAGAAGGCAAAGGTCAGAAAATTTCAAGCTGAAGGGAACCAAATATCCACCAATTCATTATTTGTTTCTGGTCGTTGAGCCGGTTTTAAATAGACCCGAAAGCAGAGCATCATCAGGAAAATCACTGCAGATAATTTGCTGGTTTTCTCTTGTGAAATATGAGTTATTCATTGGTGGGGTGGGGTGGGGTGGGTTGCTTTTCTTTTTTGTATAGTGGGGGCACCCGTGGAAGAATAGCTGGTGTCCATTTTCAACTAAGTTTATAGCTTTAGAACACGCGCTCTCTCTTACTTGTATCTTTTTTCCCCCTTGCTACTAATATATGGCCCATTATTGTAGAGGAATTGTTATAAGCGCTGTGGAGTATGTGGGAAATATGAAATTGTCTTCTGTAATGAAAAGAGTAAGATGTTGCATTCTTCATACTTGTGTCCAGATTGTCAACCTGTCTTATTCTCAGTGATCAGGTTGGTAATTAACCACCTTCCCTCCTTTATTGATTTCATTTTTGGAGAAAAATGGTAAGTGGGAATCTGTCTGGTCTTTTGGAGTTCACATTTCTAAATTCTCATTTCTCATGTAGTTATGACTTACAATTTTCTTACAGCTTGACTAATTCGGTATGCATCAGTAAAAGTTAGTGCAGCATTTCCGAACCCTTTAATTTTAAATAATATTTTATCTTGAAAACAAAGAATACCCCGAATATTACCCTAAGACTAGGTCTTGCCTTAATTGAGTTAGGGAGACGGGCACTATAAGGTTGAAAATTTTATCTGGTTGTGTTGACTTCTTTCATTGGCAATTTGGCATTGAAAATTTTTAGTTGGGATGCCTCTCTTTTTTTTCTTTTTTTTTCTGACAAAGGAAAGGGAGAGCATTCATAAATCACGCCGTTAGAGACACACAAATGTTGACAATTCAAATTTGGAAATGTTAATTTTGGAGTATTTTTGCTGCTTCTAGAAGGCAAGTCAATTGCTATATATTCAACTGCTGGATACTGATGTAGAAGACACAAGTAGGTTTGCTGCTTCTGCTGGAGACCTAGAGTTCTAAACAATGCAGTCCTTTCAATTACTTGTGCTGTTCCTGACCAAACTCTTTCTCCTTCAATTTACTTTTGCAGTTGATTTCTCCTTCACTGGTTTCAATTCATCTGATATCTTGCTCTATGGAAATGCAACCATAGATTCTGGTGTTCTTTCTCTTACAAGAAATACCACCTTTTCAATTGGTAGAGCTCTCTACAATGCTAAGGTACACACAAGATATCCAAACTCCTCGAACCTCCTGCCTTTCACATCCTCCTTCACCTTTTCTATATCCCCATACAAGGATTCTCTCCCTGGCTGTGGATTTGTCCTCATTTTCGTTCCTTCTACCGGCATCGAAGGTGCCTCTTCTTCCCAACATCTCGGTTTCTTGAACAGTACCAATGATGGTGATCCCAGAAACCATGCTTTTGGTGTCGAATTCGATGTGTTTCGAAATCAAGAATTCAATGATGTTAATGACAACCATGTTGGTGTTGATGTCAATTCTCTTACTTCTCTAGTTTCCTACAAAGCCGGGTATTGGCTTGGTGATAATACAAATGAGGACAGTAACAACACTAATTGGTCTTTCAAGGAAGTAAAGCTGAACGATGGAGCCAACTATCAAGTTTGGGTTGAGTACTGGAACTACCAGCTCAGCATAACATTGGCTCCTGAAAATGTGAAAAAGCCAGAGAGACCTTTGATTCAGATTCCTCTTGATCTCTCTGATGTTTTTCTCGATGACATGTATGTTGGGCTCACTGCATCAACTGGGCAACTCATTGAAGACCATAAAATTCTGAGTTGGAGCTTCAGTAATTGAAGCTAGCAATGAATTTGGGTTGAAATATTTGTACCTTTTAGAAATAAAGCAAGGCTATCTAATTAAGCTGCCTTCATGGATACATGGATCTCATGTGTCTTGCTTGGTCAGCATAGATTTCATATACTTTTTAGTTTATATCTTGTTTTCATTCTGTTTATGCACAGTTCATGGTATATGAGTGATTGTCTTTCTCTGCTCCTCTTGTGCTTATCTTGGTGATTTTATGTTTATTATTTGGAGGGCAGCATTTGTTACTTGGCCCAAAGGCCACCAAACAGACATTTGAATGTGGCTTGTAGGGCATTGTAGGGCATACATATGTCCAATCACATATAATTCATTCACCAATCGATCAAATAATATGGAAAGCTCCCTCTCTTTTATCTTGTTCTTTCTCTAATGTCCAACCACATTGGAGCAACTTTTCCTCACTTCTCCACCACATTTTTCGAATCATTTCTCCTTTTCTTTTTATACACTTCTTACAAATATTCAAAATAGTTTATTTTTATTTTTTATAGTATTGCTTTAGCGCTTTCAATTTTTAGTTTATTAATCAAGGAAAAGGTTCAAGTTATTCACCCGATTCTAGCGACCTAACTACACTTAGATATTATCTTTGAGGGCAATGATTACATGCCTCAACCTAAAATTCTTATTCTAATCAAGCTTAAGATGAAGTATTGATTTCTATATCTCAAAAGGTAAGTATTTTACTGTAATTTTATTGATTTTATTTAATCTACTATCATGTTTTGTAGGTGAAGTGACATCCGTCAACCAAAACTTTCTGACAGATGCATCATGCAAATATGTTTCAATAAGTAAATGAATTGCTTATCAGAACCAATTGCTAGTCTGTAGCGCCCACAGCCCCGTGGTCCAGAGCAAAGAACAACTTCCCACCCCATGAAACAAAGCGAGGCATGCCCATAAAAAAAAAAAAAAAAAAAAAAAAAAAAAATAAATAAAATAAATATATCAAATTGTGTTTTTTTTTTTTCTCCTATCAGACTGCACTATATAATTGTTTTTATAAAAAATAAAAAATAAAAATCTACAACAGACCTAGTTACAGATCCAAATAACTATTCCTTCAAAAGAATCCAAGAAGCTATCCCAAGGAAATTAATTTAAAAGGTCTGTGATTTTGATAATCCCAAATGTGGTTACTTTAATCATCTCTATAAGAGTGTGTGTTAGAATATAATTTTTTTTTAAGGTTGGAAGTTGGAATGGAATCTGATCCTTAAACACCATACAACCCATTACATGGATGAACTATCAAATCAAAGCACTAATCAAATTCTTTATTGAAGAAACTAACACTTTTATACCAATCAAATCCTGAAAAGTGTCCAGATATCTCTTCTTTGACTACAGTATCTGTTTCTTGTAGGGAGCTAGAATTTAAGGGCATGGATGTGTACAAAATATATTAAATGTTGGGGAACTTTTAAAAAGAATGGAGTAGACAAAATTTATGATCTCTTAATAATGGAGATGCGGGTGTGAGACGAATTACCAAGGAAGTGTGTCCGTCTCTTTGTGTTTGAATTCGAATTTCCTTTCTTACAGATTATAAAAGTTTAAAATATCGTTTTATAATTGACATTTTCAGTTTCCGAGAAGTGCCTAATTTATTTTGCAGTTTACTCTCAAAATGGTTCATAATAATAGTAACAAATTATAGCTTGTATGACAATAATATATAACATGAAAAATAAGCATTTTCCTCAATTTTTACACCAAGTAATTAATCTACAATGCATGGTAAAAGCTGGCCATTGTTTCAACATATACAAGCATGAGAAGATGACAATACGCCATTATGACTGATGCAAGAAACAAGAATTTCTCATTCAGGTGCTTTTACACTTTGTCACAACTTAACTTTGTCCAAAAAGCATATATACTTTAATATCTCACCATAAAGAGGGGCTTCAAATGATGACAACTAGCATGCCTAGGAAACATAAATAATGAGAAGCAACTTGGTACTTTGATACCACCACACAATCTATATCTTCTGCAATGAATCTATTTTCTGCACTGCAATAAGGGGGGAAAAAAGAACTAGCATTTAGCAAACAAAAAAGGAAGAAGAAGAAATATTTATTGAAGCCATGACAATATTTAGTTAGTTGTACTTGTTATGACTGGTAGTTTGAGTCCGTATTTAAGAGTTAGGCGTGTTGGTTTATTGTTTTAATTTGTGTTTGGGTTAAGTCTTGTTTATTTCTGGGCGATTTAGGGTTTGCACATTTGAAAGATACGAGAGTTCCTTTTGAGCCAAAAAAATTTCATGTAACGGGGATAGCACTGTTTTGCTATTCTCGATTAATATACAATGACACGTGAAAAAATTAGCCCACATGTTGTTACGTTATTAACCTTAAATAGTAAAAAGTGTTATTTAGTAGCATGAGAGTGTTTCTTCCTTTTGAGGGGTAGGTGAGTTTGTAGGCCGTGGATCTGTGATACAGATGGCGCCCCCAGATTAAAAGGTCAACCACTTTGTCCTATAAAATTGTGGCTTTTTACAGGTCCATTAACCCTAATACGTTTGGCACTTCTCCTCCCTATTTTAATATTTGTCCCTTTCTTTTAGCTTTGGAAGGAACCACACCAATAATTAGATTAAAGAAATTATTACCACACCAATTAGATTAAAGCAATCATAGTTTAATATAAACCACTAGTTTATCAACAGTATGTCTATTAATAGTTTATTCACAAACTAATAGTTTATTACTCTGTTTTGAACCTTGTTAGAAAAGTCCAGGACTTTCCTCTTTGGGAAAGAAATTATTTATTGCGTTTAGTCAGCACGTCGTTGCATGAGTTCTAATGTAACGTTACAAATTTTTATAAAAGTGTTATAATTTGTGTATATTCGTAACGTCACCTTAACATATAAAAAAATATATCGTAAACTAATATAAGATGAGCTATGAATTTAAATGCTTACGACCCAAGTGATGTATAGAAGTACCAAATTTACCTAATTCTTATGATTTATAGAAGAAATATTCAAACTTTTTGTCCAAAAAATAATTTAAACAAAAGTTACAAAACCCAGATGATCATTTTTAAATCTCATACATACAAGAGTAACATAACCAGATAATGTTTTATTTTAGGGCCCTTTATTTTATTTTGTTTCCTAGACATCTTCTTTATTTTCATTCATGGCCCACAAGTTCTATCTAATTTACTGTTTGGCCTCCGGTCTCATTCTAGCAAGAGGCCATTGTTGTGCCACGTTGGTAGTTTGGAATAAAGCGGGAAGATAAAGAAGATGGTAGTGCTGAGAGTTGAAAGAGTGGCCTCTCTCCGCTCTCAGACTCTAAAAAGAAGCAATAAAGTATTAGTTTTTTTGATAGACCCAATAAGGATACACAGAATGGGAAAATGAGACTTATAAATATTGTTTTCATAAAAAAAAATATATACATACGGTCTGTGTTTTTTGTGGGAAGATTTTGTTTGTTTTCTTGTTGAGAAAATATTGGGAATTTATAAGGCTCTGGAGCTTCATTTGAGTAGCTGTGCTGTTTCTTCAGGTTGGCCTAGCAGGAACGGAAGACCCTTTTCATGGCGGTACTGGTAACTCTCTCTCTCACATGCAATATTCATGCTGGTGGGGTGTATGACTTGTCTCTATATTTTGAACATTTGTTAAAATCTTTTTCTTCATGGGTTTTTGCTGGTGATGGTTCTTGAGACTGTTTATTCTTAGAAATTGCATATATGTGACTGTGAATATGAATTGGGTTTTGTGAATTTTTTCTACTATTTGTCAGATCATTCTTATTGCGTTGGTGGTAGAATGCTTGTATCTGTTTGCCATGATGGAATTTGCATAGTGAAGGTTCATAAAGTTACTTTTTTTATTGTGTCCAGCTGGAAATCTGTCCTTGTTTGTGAAGTTAAGATGCTTTGCTCGTGGGTCTTATCTGTTTGTGCCGCAGAAATGAGCTTCTGATTCAAGATGGTAATGGTGGAAGTGAGAGACTGTAATAGAAGTCGGAGAATTCCTCCATATCTTGGATGTGTGTGTTCTGGCTTTCATGCTGCTATAGGAGGATAACAATGGAAGGCTCATCTGAGTCTGCTTGGCAGAATTCTGATAGTTCTAGAGGATTGAATACTTCCGGAGTCTCAAACCGGAATCCCAGGATTGTTCATGCCGGAAGATTTGGCTTATCGGGTGATGCGTCACAGGATTCTGATTTAAGAAAGGAGAGAGATAGGGTTGTGGTAGCAAACACTGATGACCTTAAAAACCAGGGTGGATTATCAGGGGTTTGTGAGGATGAGGGGGCAGTTGATCCTTTTGTCCGAGCTATTGAATGGGGTGATGTTAGCTTGAGGCAATGGTTGGATAAACCGGATCGATCTGTTGATGTATTTGAATGCGTGCACATATTTAGGCAAATAGTGGAAATTGTTAATGTAGCGCACTCCCAAGGAATTGTTGTTCATAATGTGCGGCCTTCCTGTTTTGTTATGTCATCTTTCAACCATGTCTCCTTTATTGAGTCTGCATCTTGTTCAGATTCTGGCACTGATTCTCCCGGGGACAGCCCAACTGCGGAAATTAAGGATTTTCCCTCTCCTTTGCATGGTGATTTGCATCAACAACAATGCAACTTAGGAAGACTAAATTTTCAATCGATGAGAACTTTAACAACTACCTTGTCAGAAACAAGTTGCATGCAGTCAAGTTCAATCTATGCAGCACGTGAATCGTTGGTACAAGAGAGTGAAGAAAATAGAACCAGAGACAGGAATGCTGAACTAGAAGATAAGAGACAACCATTTCCAATGAAGCAGATATTGCTTATGGAGAGCAGTTGGTACACTAGTCCCGAAGAGGTTTCTGGTGGTGCAAGTTTGTGTGCTTCAGACATTTACCGATTAGGAGTTCTTCTTTTTGAGGTTTGTGATTAAAAGCGTTCAATTGTTTCATCTGAAGTATAAATTAAATAAGATCTTCAGATGCTTTCGATTAATCATTTTATATGATGTTAACATTTGATTTTGTGTAGAGTTCTTTTGTTTTCTTGTTTTTGTACTCTAACATTATGGTGCCTGTGACCAGTTATTCTGCCCATTCAGCTCAAGAGAAGAAAAAAGCAACTCCATGTCTAGTCTGAGACATCGAGTTCTTCCTCCTCAATTGCTGCTGAAATGGCCAAAAGAAGCTTCGTTTTGCTTATGGCTACTGCACCCTGAGCCAAATAGTCGGCCTAAAATGGGGTGATTACTTCTTACGAAATACCTTTGATCTCTGTCCTTGATCTTTCTTTTTTAAAGCCATTAGATTAGAAGCAAATATGAGAACAAGCCATTAAATTAGTGTGGCTTAATAAGTGGAATTACATTTTTTAATTGCATTGACAAGTTCTTTGATTGATTTGATGTTAAATGTTTTCTTGGCATATATGATATCTAGTTAGCAACTGCCTTGCATATGCAGGTTTATCTGATATGATGTAATTGGATTTTGGTGCCACAAGCTTCATGTGATAATTGCTTTTGGTGGATGTTTAAACTGCATTACTTGTTTTTGTAATTGATTAAGTTTGATCCTTTGGTTTCGATTTCAGGAAGTAGTTCTAAGTACAGGATTCCATTTTACGTTGCCTTGATACTTTGGTGTTGCATTTCATAAATCCCCTTGTATCTCTCCCTTAATTCTGCATCTAGTCCTCTTTCATTGACTTGTGAAAATAATTTTAATAGATAAGAAGCATGTGCTGTCTTATAATCTCTCTCTCTCTCTCCTGTTTATTTCTAATATGCACTATAGCTCCAACGTGGCCAAATACTTAAAGTTTTCTTTGCTATGTGTTTCAGTGAGTTGCAACAAAGTGAATTCCTTAATGAACCAAGAGATGATTTAGAAGAACGTGAAGCAGCAATAGAGCTTAGAGATAAAATAGAGGAGCAGGAATTGTTGCTGGAATTCCTGTTGCTTATACAACAAAGGAAACAGGATGCTGCAGATAAGTTGCAAAATACTCTTTCTGTTCTTTGTTCTGATATTGAAGAGGTTATGAAGCACCGAATAATATCTAGAAAAAAGGTAGTTCAGGCCCAGAACTGGTGAAAGAAGATCAGTCAACCTCAAGTTTCCCATCTATGAATATTAATGATGATGATGATTCTGCTAGTGGGTCCAGAAAACGATCCAGACCAGGCATCCGGCTTCACAACATAGAGGAATGTGATGATAATTTGGATGGTCAGAAGTCAGATACCGAAAATCAAGAAAGTACTCTTTTGAAAAGTTCTAGATTGATGAAGAACTTTAAAAAGCTAGAAGCAGCATATTTTTTGACAAGATGCAGGTCAGTAAAGCAGTCAGCCAAACCCATGACAAGACATTCACCAATAAGTAGTGATGGTAGAGGTTCTGTTGTTGTAACTGAAAGAAGTTCTGTCAATAATTTGCCATCAAAAGAACAGCACAGTGAAGGTAGACGAAGTGGTTGGATAGATCCATTCCTTCAGGGTTTGTGCAAGTACCTATCTTTCTCAAAATTAAAAGTGAGGGCGGATTTGAAGCAAGGGGATCTTTTAAATTCTTCAAATCTAGTATGCTCACTTAGCTTTGATCGCGATGGAGAATTTTTTGCTACAGCTGGTGTTAATAAGAAAATTAAAGTATTTGAATGTGACACAATCATAAATGAGGATCGTGATATCCACTATCCTGTGGTTGAAATGGCCAGCAGGTCAAAGCTAAGCAGTATATGCTGGAATAGTTATATCAAGAGCCAGATTGCTTCAAGCAACTTCGAAGGTGTGGTGCAGGTGAGTCAAGCCTTACTCATGATTCACGTATCTGCCATATATTAGTTTGTTTTAACTAATTGCTTAACATCTTCAGGTATGGGATGTTATAAGAAGTCAAGTACTTATGGAGATGAAAGAGCATGAGAGGCGTGTATGGTCCATTGACTTTTCATCAGCAGATCCAACAATGTTGGCCAGCGGGAGTGATGATGGTTCTGTTAAGCTATGGAGTATCAATCAGGCAATTCTATTTTTCCACTTGGTGGATGTCAGCTTTGAAACTAAACGTACTGCAGTCATCTATTTGCATGCTGTGTATATCTAATTCTGGATGTATGATAAGTTGATTCTCTTATCTGGATTTCTTCTACAGGGAGCAAGTATTGGTACAATAAAAACAAAGGCCAATGTCTGCTGTGTACAGTTTCCTCTGGACTCTGGTCGATCCCTTGCATTTGGGTCAGCGGATCATAAAATTTATTACTATGATCTTCGTAATTCAAAGATTCCTCTGTGCACATTGGTCGGCCACAGCAAAACCGTGAGTTATGTTAAGTTTGTAGATACGACAAATCTTGTTTCTGCATCCACTGACAATACTCTGAAGCTTTGGGATTTGTCAACGTGCACATCTCGGGTCATTGACACTCCAGTTCTATCATTTACTGGCCACACAAATGTGAAGGTACTTTCACTCGTTTATTATATCAAAGCAGTTCTAGCCATACATTATTGACAGATATTGTCACTGTTTTTGGCAGCAATTTCAGATCACTGTTTTTAAAAATGAATAGAAGAGTTATCTGTGCTGTATTTAAGAATTTCAAAATATGCACTATTACATATATGAGATTAAAAGCAACTGGTTCGTGATAATTTTGTGTTCTACTAGATGCAAATGTTTTTGTAAATCTTCAGGAGCTCAAACACGAGCTTTTTTTTTTTTTTTTTTTTTTTTTTTTTTTTTGGCAATACACACATTTGTTCTCTCTGTTTACAATGTTAGAGTTATGCCATAGTGTTAGTACAATAAGGAATTAATATTCAGCACCTCCAACATAGGCTGATTCTATGATCTAAGCTTATGCTATATTGCTATTTACAATGAAATTTTGTTCTTCATTGACCAGTTTCCTGATTTAAATTTCTTTTATCCTTTCTGGTGGACCAAAAGTTTTCCACCATGAGTTTCTTAATTGCAAAAGCTTCTTATTCAATTGCCATCTTCATTGGTTATAAATATTTGTGAAGGAAAACCACTAAGAAGAGTGGATTGTTTATGAATAAATACTTTTATACAGTTTTTTAAAGTCAGTCATTGGGATCTATCAAAGTTATTTGAGCCCTGATATTATCTTCATCTACTGAATGCAAGTGAAATATGGCCATGGTGGTTTATAGCTTATGCATGTTTCCCTTGTTGCAGAACTTTGTGGGTTTGTCAATTTCTGATGGTTACATTGCCACAGGCTCAGAGACTAATGAGGTAATTTAGTCATTATTCTAGATAATCATCCTCTATTTATCCCATGCTTTTCAGGTTGTTCACCTTGTTTCTGAAATGCTATGAACAGGAACCCAAAATTTCTATTTTCTTATTTTCTCTGGAAAACTCTTTCTATTGGGTTCAATGGAGGCCTAAAGTGAGAGAGGGTGAACTTTAATATTGGTTATGGGGATAAGTGTTCTACTACTAAAGCTATGAGCCCCTACGTTTTCTCTGGAGAACTCCGTCGTTTAGAAGAAAAAACGACGTCCAACTAGAGCTTTTCAAGGCTTCTTCTTATACTTCAAGAAAATTTGCCTCTTATAGCTATAAATTAGGAAGATTTATGTTTATCAAAGCCTAAGAAGGATCTTACCTATCTGTTTAGTAATGATGAACCCCGAGCCTTTGGAGCCTTCTTTCTGCATTTCTTAAAGTTAATAATTAAAATTGTCACTCACATGAAAACTGCCAATTAAATTTTGAACAGACGGAGAATGCATCTTCTTTTGTTCGATTTACTGGCAGTAAATGGATTTCCTTAGTGAGATTAGTGACAGCAGTAATTTAGTAATTGACCAAACTCTAAACCTTATATTGGTAATATAACAACTGCTCATCATCAAGATGCAGACAATATACATTAGTAATTATTTTGGGCCTGAAGAACAAAAGCTCTCTCCCCAGAAATCTTAACATATTATAGTTAATGTTATTTATATTGGTTGATCAGGTTTTCATCTACCACAAGGCTTTTCCAATGCCTACATTATCATACAAGTTTCAGAACACAGACCCACTTTCTGGCCATGAAACAGATGATGCTGCACAGTTTATCTCTTCTGTTTGTTGGCGCGGCCAGTCCTCCACCTTAATTGCTGCAAATTCGACCGGGAATATCAAAATTTTGGAGATGGTTTGATTTGATTTTAACCTTATGCTCTCCAAGGTAAATTCTTGAATCTGGCAGGATGGGTGTTGGGAAGAAAATGAGGTAAAATAATCTTGTGCCAGAGAAGCTTGTTAGCTCCTAGGCTTTAGAAGGTCATAGGAACTCATTGTTGCAAGCAACACAGTAAATTTTGGTATTAGATCATAGCGGGATGTGGTTAATGTGAAAAGTGAGAATGTTCTTGTTCAAATGCCATATTTAGATAGAAATTTATAGGAAAAGTAAAGGTAAAAATTGGAATTTCTGTATAATTTGTAATGTTTTCAATTCAAAATCAATTTATATAACCATAATTTTGAAATGCATCTCTTTCTTGTACCACGTTCAAGGCCATCACTTTCATGAGTGACATTTGAGTTACCAATGGGATCATTTTTGTATTGTCAATGGCCTGGAAAATCATTGAATTAAACATATATAAAAGATGTTTTTTATTTTTGAAATGTTTAGAAGCTTAACTTTTTCTCCTTTGAACTTTTCTTTTCTGAATTTATGTGACAGTTCGTATGCACACTACCTCATTACACTGAAAATATAACGATGCAGGACTCGATATTATAATGCCATGTCGGGAAAAAAAATAGGAGGTTGCAGTATTCATGTAATGCAAAATTCTAACTAAAAAGAAAGATTCATTGCTGCATTATGGCTCAAATTCATTGTTTCATCGTGGATTTAGGGCAGAATTTATTAAATGATGCGTGGAAATTGGGGCATCAAATTTCCGAGTTTAATTTCTACTTAAATAGGCATCATTTCATAATTTTCATAGTGCTATTTACAAAATTATGTCATTTACAAAATTTGACATACATAAATCTAAATACATGAATTTTCAATTGCTAGAAAGTGAAATGATGGAAATTTAAATTTCTTCGTTTTAGAGTTCTATGTAATTTTCATTTCCTTCATCCAACGGTGTTTATAGAATAGGGATCCCGAGCCCATTCTAATCATCTATCCGTTTAAAACATGACACATCAGCAATTTAAGTGTTAATTTTAATTTTTTTTCATAAAAGAAAAGTGTTTAAAATTAACAATTCTTTTATTGTTTAAATAAAAAATAAAGTAAAAAGTCCACGAAAGTTGAGGGGTAGTAGAGGGCCTGGGAGGAGTTGGGAAGGGGAAGGGGAATCTGGGCTGAGGTCGGGGGAGGGTGGGGATGGGTATGAATATCTTGTACAATAAAAAACACAAAAATTAAAACCAGTTGATCCACCCAGATTATGAATATAACCTTGAAAGGACATGAAAAGTGTTTACATGGAAGATCAAAATGGAATGGTATATCCTTGAATGAACCTCTCCAGCTCCACTCACCCACCATTCTCAATATACACAATTTACCAAAAATATATATCCCCAAATTCAACAATTTGGAGAACCAGTTTGATTTGTAATTTACATCTGAAATGACACCTGCTTATGTCATGGTTGTAGGGGTAGAGATGTGGTAGAGGGAGAGAGAGAGAGAGAAATGGTGACTTGAATGGTGGCCTGGGTGACGTTGGGTTGAGTAGGGGTGGCGGGAATAAGGTTGGGAAGGGGGAGTTGCCTTTCTGGTTTTCTTTAATCTTGGATTTTGTGATTTTTTACTTTTAAAATTTTAAATTGAATTAAGTTATAGATTTTTTTTTTCTTTTCAAAGTTTGCTTATGTGCCATGTGTCATGTCTTAAACGGTTAGATCATTAGAATGGTCTAGATGTTGCGAAATGCGGGTAAATACACAATACCTAAATATAGAGGCTCGAGGGATCCATAGAGTAGTATGATAGTACAATCCTAGTTTGTCCCTTTTTAGGAAAAAATATTAATAAATATTTACTTATATTATAATATATGGATAAGTTATTTCACATGACTGTATTACCGTATTATCCTATAATACATATTTGAAATGAGGACTTTGGATTTGAGTGTGTAATGTAAATTGATTAATTCCACTAGTTAAATATCAATGTTCTGTGCCATTAAATTCACGCTAATAGTTTCAAAGAAACATAAGGATGGATTTTAAATAGACTTAAATATCAAAATGGTTCCTGTGTTTTACCTCATCGGTCAATTTAATCGCCGTATTATAAATTTGGCCAATTTAGTCTCTGTGTTTGTATATGTTAGCAAATGTGAACATTTCCGTCAAAATTTATCTTAAATATTTTATTAAATAGATTTAAAAAACAAAATTTGAAGTGGACGCCGTACCCCCATCTTGATTGCCATTTTTTATTAAATGGTCGAACTGCTAGTTTTGTTCTTCTCCTCCATCTCAAATTGTCAAACCGTTGAAATTTTCTTACAGTTTGATGTAATCAATCCCACATTTCATAGAACGATGATTATTATAAAAGCAGAAATTTCCTACAAAAATTTATTGTTCTCTCCCGTGATTAATGAATAATGCCAATGCCGTTATCATTTATTAGCACTTCTATTCAGTAAAGCAGTGATGAGGCTCATATTAGTTTTGTCAATCACTTATTTGCATTGCCAACACATGATGCTTCATGACCATTTGTAACCATCTCCATTTCAAGGCCAATAAAAAATTCTAGCTCTAAAAAACACATAAATTCGGAGAAAAGAACGAACCAAGACGGAAGAACAGTAACAGTATACTAAATATATAATATATATGATTGTAAAAGTTCTAAATGTAGAACCTATCGAAACAATTATGATCAAACTCCTTTTTGGGTTCAAGAATGTGACCACTTAGGGTAATGCTCAATGGACACTGACTTGTCTCCATTCTATCAAGCTTAGCATCAAAATCTGATCCCTTAAACTCCAACAAACTGTTTTCTTGCTTGTTGATAGACTAGAAGTATGGTTTTCTCTTCATTTTACTTTTTTCTTTTCCTTTTACTAATTCGATTTGCAAGAATGTCCACAGAATCTATTTACATTGGTTTTGACCAAACTTAGCTGTCAAAGTAAGCCTACCCACAAGGCGGCGAAGCCTTTCGGCCCCTGGACCTGGTTTGATCTTGTTTGGGTTCCCAACCCTGGAGCATTTGGGTTTGCCAGCACACCAACCACCAGGAGTGAAGCTCCCTTTTCTTCGACGAAGTAAATCCTTATCGATCTTGTCTAGGGCAGGGTCATCGCGTTTGAATTTCCGAGCAAAGGCAGCAGCACTTGCAATCATCTTGTTTGTGTCATTAATGTTGAGGGTATGAGGATGCTGTTTTGGAGGAACATCCCAAGAAATATAGTGCAAATCATGGTTGACTGCAGTTTTAGCAAACTCTGGCTCATTGCATATGACAGTGTGAAAGTAGCCTTCAGGCGAAGAAACAAAGTTTGCGTAGTACATGAGAAGGGTCCTCGGTAGATTGTCCCAACCCCAAACGCAGTACTCTACAAACCACCGTGACAAGACCATCCATGCTGAACCTGCAACAGAGATGCATTTTAATTAGTTGTGCAAGATAGGAACCAAGAGTGACAATGCAGGTATAGAACCAAGATTGACAATGCAGCAGGTACAAGCAATTTCTTTCTTGAACCTTCATGCAGGGGTGCATGTTACTATGTTCTTCGAACCAGAACTGCCATTTGTTGATATATTTATCAAACCACCTTCAATATCTACTGGTAGACTATATTTAGAAGAAAATGTGCAGATTATTTTAACTTTAATTTTGCACTGATCAAAAGTTGCACTGGAACAACATATGCGGAAAGAGCCAACACAATTTGGTTTGTTAGGGATATTAAACAAACAACAATTCATCAATTTGTGATCTCATGATCCACCTCATGTATTCTGGCACTAGAATTGTTCAAAGTAAATATGTCCAGTTTCCAAATTGGTCCAATGGTTCAAACTTGAACTTTGGAAATTTCAAATTCATCCCCAGAAATTCAACCTTCCCATAAAACCTTTTCCTTGGGAATAAAAACCCAGCATACATGTTACAAACAAACAGTTCAAGCCATGTTGTATTTATAAGTAAATCCACCAAAAGGCTCACTAAATACAATACTAGTAACCTAGAAGCCACTTCTCAGCAGAAAAAAAAATGACAAATTAAGCAACAAGAAATACAAGATAAGGTCATAATGGAAACATACATTTGACAAAATTTCTGATGCACACATGATATCAGTTAATCTTCTCAACATTAAGATTTTAAGATTTTGCCTACATAAATTTTTTGCCAGAAGTCCAAATAACTAGAGCAGAACAATGTCAATACTCACCAGTAAACAATTTAAATGAAGTAGGTAATGTTCGGCGGGGCGTAACCCAAAATACATCTTGTTTTTTTGATGAGTAGAGACCAGGATCTAGAATTAAAGGCATTGCTCGTTTTTCCCTGGAAAAAGCAAGTTAACAGAGTATGAGTTAAAGTAATAATACCTAGAAGTTCTATACACGTCTAATGTGTTGAGTGCATGGAGTAGAGTGGGAGAGTGTAGAGAGAGACAGAGAGATAGAGAGCTCACTCCTTCCAACCAAGTTGGCTTGTATGCTCAATGAAATTGAGATTTCGATTTAAAGGTGAAAAGGTGTGAAAAAGATCTGTACAACACAAATCAATCAAACAGTTACTTTTAGCACAAAAGCTTGCATCCTAAGAAAACTTTACAACTTTAAATGATATGGACTCACCATCTTGAGTAACAAGAGGATAATCTGAGGCGCTAAGGTTGATAAACCAATCCCAATCCTTACTCCTCCTGAGAAGAATTGCGCAGGCATGAAGAGTATTAGCAACCATGGTCGGTCCTCTGTAAGTTACCATATTAGCTTTCTTAATCACAAACACATTCCCAACTGTATTAAACATCGTCTCATTGTCTACTCGTGAAGCAAGCTCCAATCTTTCTGCTACTGGTGACTCAAGGTCTAAATGAAGAACATACTGATTCAGCGGATGGTACAGTGCTTGAAGAGTTCTCCAAAGCTTTTCCAAATCCCCTTTCGACCCAGAAATTAGATAGGCAAAACGAGGAATTGCTGGTACTGAAGGAGGGGGTGGACCTTGTGAAACTATATTCTCAGCAAAAGCTAGACTACTTTGGTTTGCTACTACCCGATATGGGAAAAATGAGAAGATTGAATTGATTGCATGTCGTGAAGAGACAAGACCCAAGTTCAAGGAAGTGGCTAGAAGGAATATGCATATGACAGAGCTTATGACAAGAGGGAATAGCCATTTCTTCTCCATGTTTGCAGAACCCATTACCAAACCTAATGATGGGTTGTTCCAAACAACGTTGTCACATACTCATTTTCCTCAATTGTCCAAACACGTTGTGGAATTTAAATACCGCACTCGGAGGAGGATTGAGACCCCTTTCTAAAAAATATTCCGGAATTCAGACCTTTGAAACAGCTGTAGAATCAAACACCAAATATTAAAAAGAACATATTGATTCATAAATTGTTGTATATAATTCTGGTAAAAAAAAGAATATTGGAGCTTGCCGTAAAGATTTAGCTCAAGTATTGGTTCTATAAACCTCCAAAACAATATAATTTTTTATAAGCAAGGAGATAAATGATAGGGACAGAGAAGAAGAACTTAAAAATATAGCAAAAGAGACACAAATGATGCATCAAGAAAATCGACAAGGGACAAGCAGAGGATTCAAACAAAAAAACTAAAATATATAATTAAAGAACGTAATTGTAACCCTGTTTCCAAAGAGTTAATAAAAATAAAATATCAGATATATACATTGATAATGACACAATTAGTAGGAAAAACTATGTCTAATCAAAGAAAATTCCTAATCGTTCATTTCCTAATACAATCCCTAATTGCATGTTCACACAAGGTACAGAATATCAAATTGCAGAAGTCTAACAAGGCAACCACACTAAAAACAAACCATATTGATTCAGTCATGCAAAACAGAGAAAACCCAGATCAGAAATTCACAGCTTTGCACAACCCAAAATAAAAACAGAACCAGCCAAGAATCAGATATCACATACCAAGACAGCTGAATCTTGAGCTCAACAGAGAAATTAAACAAAACCCAGAAAAGTTGGAATGCGTTTCGACAGAATTAGCCAACAAAAATCAAAACTTGATGAATAATTCAAGTTACAGAGAAAGAGAGAGAAGCAAAGAAGACAGCTTGAGATGTGAGAAAAGAGTAGAACCTAAATTTGATTCTTGTTTTTTTTTCTTTGTGTGAAGAAGAAGAGCAAGAGCGTCTGTGCACGTTGAGGAATAAAAGAATACAAAATAAAAACAAGATTTGGAGAGAGACACAGATGACAGAATCATACAGGGGTTATATATAAAAACGAAAAAAATGAACTTTGACAAAAGAGAGAGAGAGAGAGAGAGAGGACGTGTGTGAGAGAGAGAAGTGGGCTATGTTGTTTCAACTATCAGATTGTTTTTTAATGGAATGTTTACCTGGACTCAGGCGTATCCTATTGTTGGGTCCCTTCTGGGATTCACCAACACGGCAACTGGTTCAGCTGTTTCTTCTATTATCTACTCTCTCTCTCTCCCTCTCTCTCTGTGTATCTGTTATAATCTTTGCGTTTCCTTCTGTACTTTGTGTTTTTCCGTTTTCATTTTTGTTTCTCTGATTGCTTTGTTGGTTTCTCTCCTTTCGGTTTGGTTTGGCATTTATTGGAAGGGGATGAGGAATGTGGCGTTCTTAGCCGTATTGAGTATGGAAAATCCAAGTGGGAAAAGTCATGCAGATCAACGGCTGTCGTTTGTCGTGGATTAAGTGCTGGATTTCATTTTGCCCAATAGATAGATATTATGAGTTGTTGTATATCCTTGTATTTATTTGCTGTGATTTTTTTTTTTTCATTTTTTTGGGATGATCAAAGTATTTCTGGGGGAAAATAAATATTTTTATTTGGTCAAACTTAAATCTTCATACTGAAGGAAAGCGGTTTCAAACAAAAGGTATAATTTATAAATCTTGGGAAATAAATGTTATAAATCTTCAATCTCGCATTAGAATTTGTAAGGGTAAAGTCAAATCTCTTGATTGAATTATGACCCAATACATGTATGTTATTTGCAATATTGACAATACATAGATGCTATTTGAATTATTGGCAATACATATACGTTTTCATTTGTATGAAGAACAAATAATTCACAATTATAGATAACATGAATTTATTGTCGAATTTACAATCTTCTTTTTTGTGGATAATTTTTTTTATTTTTTATAGTATAAGCGATAGTCTAAATTATAGGAAAGAGAGATTTCTCACACACATATTATGAAGAAAAAAAAAATTTATTTTGTTGAACGAGAAAAAAGTACTATGAGCACATCATATGTATCAATTCAATTTTTATTAACTAAAAATCTATACTATTTATAAAAAAAATTAATATATGTCAAAACTACATGTCTAACACATGATCATCATTATAAAGGTAGTACCACCAGCACACATCTTAATAATATACTTATATTAAAAAAATTAAATTATATATATATTCTAAACGGGGTGAGTTCGGGTTCGGAATTAGAATATCATCTCAGCCCCTCTCCAAATATTATACTTGCAAAATTCTCTGAACCATCCTCATATCTCTTTTTTATCATTCATGCCAAATTCATTAGGGTCGAAACCCTGCAAAGACCCTTGTGGAAAATGCCATGCCTAAGAAAGCTTCTTTTCTTTTGGTGGTTTCCAAGAATTCCCACTAAAGCATAGCTTGATGTAAGTTTGGCAAGATTGCATATGAAGTCAAATCTTGTAGCAGAAAAAAAACATACTTTCATTGAGAACAAAGGACAAATTTTGGAAATTTGAGAAATAAATCAAACGAAACAATGATTTGTTTCTGTACGAGAAAAAAGAATTTTCCTCATGGAAAATGCAAGGGAAGAATTTTGCATATGAAGGCTGCTGACTGTTCATTGGCTTTCAACTTATTTGACTTTTATTCTGTTTTTTACCCTGAAACTTGACATATTTGCAGAACTTCAGATATCCAATTGCATCTTGTTGAGAAAATAAAAGTTTTGGGCTTTGGAAGCATCGTCCCCTTCCCTTGTATCACTATTGGTGATTGAGTAGGGTGCACCGTACACCCGTGCACAGGGCATCCGAACCCCATCAATTTATGTCACACATATGCATTGTCGTGTCATGAATGTCACGGTGATTTAACAGAAACCAAACATTCTTAAAGGGCCTTTAATGATTGCGTTTACATTTGAGGAAGATCTAAAACCGCTTAGATTCAATGTCACTGCTCATTTGCAATTAATTTCAAGATTGCAACGTTTTGCAGTTTACGGCAAAAGTTACGGCAGAATTTATGACTTTCCCTTTGTTTCTAGATTTATTATCCATACTTTATTTCACAAGCAAGTCTCCCAGAAGTGAAGAAACACCCCTTAGTTTTGGAAAGCAAGCGACCCACTCCAATCAGTGAAGCTTTTTTAACTTTTGGGTTTTACGTTTGTTGTTTTTGGTGTGATTTCAATGAAAACGGTGGCTTTGGTGACGGGTGGTTAATTTTCATTGTTGACGTAGGGTGAACTTTAACCCATCACCAGATTTTGAAATGGGGTTGGGTGAGGTGGGATGGAATGGGGATGGAAATGGTCCTGCCGATAGAGTGGGTGGAGGACTTGGGTCAACTCAAGGATGGCAACAAGCGGAGATTTTTGGGAAAAATTGAGAGAGTGTATAGGTGTCACATCCCAGGATCGGTTCCGCCGTAACACTATATTGTCCGCTTTGGGCCCTCCTTCTCTACCTTCACGGTTTTATTTCTAGGAACTCACGAGCAACTTCCCAGTGGATCACCCATTATGGGATTGCTCTAGCCCCAATTCGCTTAACTTTGGAGTTCCCATGACTTCGAAGTCAATGAGCTCCCAAAAGGTATCGTGCTATATGGAGGCGAGCATGTACATATAAGGCAAGGCCTCGTGCTAGATGGAGGCGGGTATGTACATATAAGGCACATCACCCTCCTCTGTTGGTCGATGTGAGATGTTACAATCCACCCCCTTAAGGACCTAACGTCCTTGTCAGCACACTTGCACCACATGGCAGAGTGGCTCTGATACCAAATTGTCACATCTCGGGATCGGCTCCGCCGTAGCACGATATTGTCTGCTTTGGGCCCCCTTATCTACCCTCACGGTTTTGTTTCTGAAAACTCACGAGCAACTTCTTAGTAGATCACCTATCCTGGGATTGCTTTAGCCCCAACTTGCTTAACTTCGAAGTTTCCATGACTCCGAAGCCAGTGAGCTCCTAAAAGGCTTTGTACTAGATGGAGGCGGATATGTACATATACAGCACATCACTCCCTCTTCGTTGATCTGGGATGTTACAATGAGTATTCTAGAATGTTAAAAATTCATGGTTTGGGAACGGGTTAGGGATAGTATTGCTATCTCTGTTCTTGAACCTAGCCCGATAAATGATATATTTATTTTTTAGTAATATATACTTTAATATTTATCTAGTTTTTTCAAAATGAATTGAGATGATTGTGAGTAGTTTAGTTGATTTTTATAGTTCAACTGAGTATGATTTGAGTTGAATGAATGTTTAAGGTGAAATTAGTGCTATAACGTTAAATAAGTATTTTCAATTTTTAAAAAACTCATAAATTCGGGATGGAGATAGCCTCACGACAAGGATGGGGATTCGGTGAAAATTCTTATCAAGGGTGCAAGTACAAAGAGGGCATTGCCAAATATGGGCCTGAACCGGGCCATTGCTATCCCCTAGTCACATGTGTCTCCTTTAGTTTTTCAAATGTTAGTTTTTATCTTATTTAAAGTTAACACAATTGTATTAGGGTTAAGTGGTTAGATACGTGCGAATTAATGAGATAGGAGACATAAAGATTGGAGACATCAAATCCAGACTCATTCTTCGTGGTGTATTAAAAGGGTTTGTCTATAATAAGGTTGGGCAACCGAACCAAGTTAGACCAATAGGCTGAAATTGCCAACATAATTTGTTTTTTCGTTTAATTGATTGATAATTTGAATTAAACAAAAAGAAAATGGAGCAACTTAAATAATTTTTTTAGCTCAAATAGGACCATCACCCATTGTGTTGTTGATGTACTTCTCTAATACAATTCAGATTGCATCAATTAAAGATGCAAGTGCTACATTAAAAATAAAATAAAAGAAGAAGATCTCTTGTTCCAAAACTAATTTTGCGAATGCAACATGAACTAGTTGTCTGTAGGCCCAAGACCTACGTATATATTATTTGTCTTTAAGAGTACAGATAGACAAAAATTACATGTGTTGGTCAATCAGATCAGATCCTAATCTCAATTACTTGTTTATTTATATAAATTTGTATCTTAAAATAAATTGGTGCTGCAATATTATTCAAGTTGAATCCATATAAATTATAATTTCGTATATAGATAGGATAAACGTCCGTACAGTGATATATTTAAATTGTAAATTAATTAGAATCCTCTTCAAATTATTAAACAATACCTCATGACTTGCTATTGCTTTCTTGAGTCAAATTATTAAACAATACAAAGTATTGGCCTCATGACTTACTTACATTACGGATGCCAGGTAATCCAGTCAATCACACATTGTCATGAATTTTTTAATTTTCATATGATATTATGTAATTGGCTTGAGATACTACCACAACGACATCCTCCGCATTGCACGGAAATTATTCTCTTAGATTATGCATTTAATTTGGTTTTCAACACAAGTATAACGTATGTTTAGGATATTATTTCTTTCACTTTGGTTTGGTTGAAGCTAGATGAGAGCAAGAATCAAACTTTCATAACGGACGGCTCCAATCACTTAATATAATTAAAATAAAAAGCCGACCAGAAAAACAAACAAATATAATAAAATAAATAAATAAAGGTGATGGCGTAAACACGCTCCACGTTTGAAGCAAACAAGGAACATTCCTGCATTGCGTGGTGCGCGCGCGCAGGCCAAAAGATTCCATTGGCTCACTTACCAAATCATTACGCGGCGCCAAATGTCAAAACAAAACAATTATCAATTACATGCTTTTCCTTGTTCTTCTGGAAGAAGAAAGATAAGCTAATATATGATACGAGCATGAGTGTTTGTTGGTCCAAAAATTGAAATGGGCCTCACGTTGAAAACTAATATATGATACGAGCATGTATAAATGTGGACACGTCGGGTACTTGGTCTTGTACAAATGATCTCTTCCACTTATTAGTGTGGGGGGCATCAAAGGTGATATGGAAGTAAACGGGTCTAGTGGAGGAAAAAATTGACTTAACTTGCAGGTATCTGATAAAATGAGTAACCCTCATCTTTCTCGTAATTTAGATTATCACTTGTATTAAAAAATATATATAAATTACTTAAAAGAGATCGAATAAAATGAGTAAGTGAAATGAGTAACCCTATTTTTGAAGTATAGGGTAGGTGAAATGAGCAAGTGATGAGTTAAAATTGAATCATCCATGTGTTTCCTCCTTAAATGATCTTCACCTTGAATCCTACTAGGGCTATCATTTGAATTTGGTGCATGTGGGCCCAGTAGATGAGTGCTGAGCTACATTTAGGTGAGAGTCAGGCCCAATTGCAAGTTGGGTTGTACCCATATGATATCTGCAAAAAAAAGATCAATTAAAATAACTTTTCAATTTTTTTGCAAAGTTTGATGGCATGTTTTGTTTATCTAAAATCGAAATAAGATTGAACCAAAATGGGGAAAAATAAAATAAAAATCAGAATAAGAAAGAATCATAATTGGCGTTTTCTAAAACGAGATGTTTGCTAATTAGAATGAGAATCAATTTGATTACTAAAACTGATTTTGATAGTAAATGCCATATGCTGTTAAACGTGCATCAAGAATTTCTCAAATTTCCTCGCATGAGAAATGCGTTTTTATTTTTATTTTTGTCAAATGTTTGAAGATTTAATTCAAATACGAAAAGTATCGTTTGCATTAATAGCTAACAAGTTAAAAACAACCACACTGGACTTGTAGAATTGGGTACCTTTGTTTCTGCCGTGGCGTAGAAAATCTTTACTGTATGTTTGAGTACATGTGCTTTTTGATTGTTTGTTCGGGGATTTTAATCATTTTTTAGATTGTGCATATTCTTTTCATATCAATTCATCTTGTTGTTGCATTTAGTTACTGGAGAAGTTGAATCCATATTAGGCACCTTAATTGCTTTATACTTGTTTTTATTTATCTTATCAACAAAATAGTATCGCTATTTTATCCCAAAAAAACTACTAATTCTCTGTGAGAATTTCTATCACTAGATATTTATTGTTCAAAATGGTAAAATGACAGCAAATCCCATTAATATTTAGTTACTCACATCATATTTCATTCATCTCCCCAACTCACCCGATTTGGTAAGACTTTACACTCCATGCATACAAGATTCCCTTTTGGCAACCATTCAAGATGGGCAGTTTCGTACTTTCATACGTCATGCAAATCCACATCTACAAATCTAGCTAGCTCATCTGATCTGATCGTTAACGAAACGTGGCGTAACTCAGCGCGTACGAAGTACACGTGTTTATAATCTTCGCCTCGAGAGAGAGAGAAGACTTTGCCAAAACGCAAAGCCAAAAACGGCAGCTGCCTCTACACAGTACTTATCGCTGACGTCAAGGCCCTCAATGCTACGTCGTTTCGTTTCGAGTAACCGAAGTTTCCTTGTACGTATCGAAATTTATCACGTAGTCAGAGTCGTTTATCTTTTACAGCGCCGGTAAATCTAGCGCCAGGTTTGGTACTCCCCGAAATGTTTATTTCATTTCTGGTACATTTTCTCTTTAAAAAAAAATAATTTTAGAAAAACAAGAGAAATAATATATGAATTGTTGTACTATTTTTCTTGTGATTTCTAAAATCAAAATTGAATATTTATATATTAAAATATAGGCACTAAAAACTTTTAAAATATATGAATTGTTGTACTATTTTTCTTTTGGTATTTCAATAATAATAAAAAACTCTTCATTACAATTTAGGAAGTATCTCTTGACTAAAAATAGGTCATTATTATTTTTAGAATATTTCCTATTGAAACAAGCGATAATATATATTGAACATATACACGCGCGAATGTAGAACTCGAACTCAGTTTCTTAGGAATTATTTACTCTAAACCACTATATACTAGTGGTTACTTTGCCACTTATTATTATTTTGTAACAAAGCCAAAATCTTCTGCTTCACCTGAAATGTCTCTCCCTAAATAAATACAAAGTAAATATAGTCACTCTCTTCTCTCTCTCTCTCTCTCTCTCTCTCTCTCTCGGAAATAGGAACAAGAAAGAGAGACTTTGAAGGGAAGGAAAAAGGGTGGGTCTGAAGAAGATAAGGGGAAATAATAAAAGGAAAGGAGATCTCGACCATAATTTTTTTTTTCATTTCTGGGTTTTTCCTAAACTCGGTTTTGGGGGCCCTTTTCTTTACAAAAGGATATTCTGTCTCCCTCTCGCTTTCTCTTTTACTGCTTTCGTCTGTTTCTGTTTCTGTTTCTGGTAAGAATCCCCTATTTTCTCAACCTCTCTATCTCCCTCTGGCTTCAATTTTGCTTTCTTCATTTTTTTTAAAAAATTTTGGTTAATGGGTTGATCCGATTGCTCTCAGTTGTTCTTGGTAAAAGAATTGTGTTTAGATCAGATATGTTGGGTTAATTTTTTTGGATTTTGTTGCTTGTTTGATGTAAGTCCCGATCTTTTTGAATGTATTGAATCTGTCATTTGATGCGTTTTTCTTTGCTATCGTTTTGCTTCTTGATTGCGATACGGGCGTAACTGTTCAGATTTGTTTGTTCTTTCCTTGAAAAATCATAATTTTTTTTTTCATGAATGAAAAATCAATAGATTGAATGCATCTAGAGGCTGCACTTACATCTTTTGAGTGTTGGGTAATTTTGTATTTGTTTAGTTTTTATGATCTATGAAGCTTTTAGATGCTCATGCACTCCACATAATGCTGGATTTTGATTCAAATTTTTTGATTTGTTTGTTTTGATGATCTGAATTGAAGTCGGTAATTTTCAGATTAGTTAGGTATTCATATGATCGATTAAAATGTGATATCTTGAAGCATATGCCGGTTAACCCTGTGATCTATTCAACTAGAAGCCTGCTAAATCAAATCTAGATTGGGACTGGGTTTTCGTTATTTTTCTTTATATAACATGATATTGCCTTTTACATCAGGACTTTCGGTTTCTAAGGCTGTTCTTTGGCGGAAGGCATGGGTGTTGAAGTTGTGGGATTTGAGGCGGTCCAAGGACCAGTGGGGGCTATGACTGAAGGAGGGCATTCTGCCAACGAAAATGGGACATTGGATCAAGGAAATGAGCCCATAAAATTTGGATCACATGGTGATGAATCGGTTAAAAAGGAAGTGAACGAGGTTTCAGTTGCAAACTTCCCGAAGGATGCAGTTGATGAGTGGCCTGCCCCAAAGCAGACTCATTCTTTTTATTTTGTCAGGTACCAGACGTATGATGATCCAAAAATAAAAGCCAAAGTTGACCAGGTTTCTAGAGAGGTGGAGACTAGGAATAATGCCCGATCTCAGATCATTGACGCATTAAGAGCAAAAAGGGTGAGTTGAAGCTTATGACCTTATTCGTGAATCTCATTTGTTCTTTTGAGAATTTTATTCCTTATAGTATTAAATGCGGATGATATACGATCGTAGAACTATAAAATTTATGCTCAAAGACACCCATGAATGCATAAATTTTCATTTGGAAAACACTAGAGAACATCTGCAACTCTTCTTTAATCAAATCTTTCATTTCATCTGCAAAAATTTAGAGACAAATGGCAGAGGGGACACTATGGTTGCGTGTATAATCACACCAAAGTTACCAGCTTTTAAGTCGAAGACCAATTGAGAGATTCAATGGAGAAGAAAAGAGATGTTTAAAACTTGTAGTAATGAATAAATTGTCTGAAGTAGTAGAAGCTAATCAGGTATTGGTACTATAGAAGAACAGCATAGAAACGTATAGAGGCGAGTCTTTATGCTTTTTCACAAGTGGTCCTCATAGCTTTCGTAGTAAGCTTTTGACACTAGTTGTAAGTTGGCTTTCTTTTGTACAATTGGCAAATGGGTTGGCAGGTAATTAGATTTTTGAACTAGCTTTCTACCAATTGATGGGTTGGCAGGTAATTAGATTTTTGAATTAGATTTTTGTACATTGATGTGAAAAATGAATGTATACTGCACGTGTGTGCACATACATTATATGTGTATATATAATATCACTGCTATTATGATGAGCAGATTCCTCTGGTTTTCATACTTCTCTGTTTTTCTGAAGTGTCCCTCTTATACATTACTAACTAAATAACGACAATTTTTGTTTTTTGAAAAAAAAAAACCCATCCTTTATCCTACCTAAACTACTACCCTAGTTTGTGTGAACACACATATGTTGACTTTTAAAGAAGTTTTTGGACTTGTTCGATCTTTTATGGAAATAACTTATAGATTCAATTCGGTTCAATATTGTGTTTTGTTCTGTTCTATAACAATGTTGGGGTGCCTGTATGCTCAAGCTGATCTAAATTAATATGCAGTATCAAAATGAAAAATATGGAAATAAGTTGATTGAATGGATTTATTTATTTAAATTTTAGAAGAATGAACCTCTGATTTCACTGTATTGTCCCCCTCCTCTTTTTTCTACAGACCGATAGAGGAGAGTTGGTTGAGCAGATTAAGGCTCTGAGAGATGACAACAGGCAGATTAGATCAATTGTGGATGAGAAGTTTAAGGATTTACAGCCTCTGCAGCAGGCTCTCGGACAGCTGCGCAGCGCAGACCATGCTAGTCGTAATGGTGGTTTGTGTTCATCTGAGGAAGAGCTCAACAGTCGTGTATGCTTTCTTTTTTAAGCTTTTTACAGCTCTGAATCCATCAGTTTGCTCTTTTGACTTCTTGCCTTTTTCACTCTTTAAATACTGTTGGAAACAGATCCAGGGGTTGCAGTATATCATACAACATGAGAGCATTGAATTGAAGGAGGAAAAGAAAATACTTAAAGAGATCAGAACTCTTGAGAGCACAAGGGCACAAGTTATTGCTAATGCTGCCATGATAGCAAAGATTGAGAAAGTGGCTCCCAAAGAGGCCCTTCAGGACCAAGTTAAAGTAAGGGGATTTTGATTTGACTTGTATCTTTTTGAGCTTTTTATGTTTCAATCCATTCCTGAATTGTGCAGAATCTCATAATTATATAAGGTATGCTAATCATTTGCAAAATCGTGTGTTTGTAGCTTATGGGTGGTGATTTGGATGGAGTGAAAAAGGAGCAACAAGCAGTTAGGTCCAAAATTAAGCAACTCGATGATGCAGTGAAGGCCATAGACAAGGAAATTGCATCATTACAGGACGAGCTGAGTATTGTGACTGAGAAGAGGGACAAAGCACGCGATAGCATTTTTCAACTTCGGAAACAGCGTGATGATGATGTAAGTTTTACTTCATTTTTAGTTCCTCACCCCTCTCTCTCTCTCTCTCTCTTGCGTCCCCTTCCCTCTCTCTCTTTGCTCATGTGCCGATTATCAAAAGCTGTGGATTTTCCCAGTTGTGTACGAGTTTATTCACTTTATTCTGGGTAGTCAAAATCTCGAAGTATTGTTTGTTATTTCATCAATATTGCAAGCCCGGTTCCTTGTGCTTTTGTTGTAACTATGTGGTCAAAGTGGTGCTAGATGAATGATTGGGTCAACTGTAAGTCTCGAATATTGGGATATTCTGATCTTATTGGTTTGTTAACTTTCCACTGCAAGCAATTATTTTCAGAACAGCCTGTTATGCTGAAAGAAGCATTTTTTTTTGGCGCGGAAAGGTTCAAGGAAGGGTTGGGTATTTATGTACATAGATGAAGTTTTAGTGATCGAAATGTACTGGATAAGGATTAGCAAGTGAATAGTTTTCTTTTGTTTCCTCTTTTGGCTTTTACTTTAAAATCCAATATGTTTATTGTTGAGAGGGGTTTTATGAAGCTTTAATTGAATCTTTTCAACTAAGGTTGTCGCATTTCCTTTTGGGATCTTTGAAGGGTTTTGGATTCACACTAGGTTAATATGCTAAGTGTATATTGGAATAGTCATCTCAGTTCAACATTTCTGTTCTTTTGTATAAAGATACATTTTGACTTTGCTCATTGCTTGACTCTCTCTCTCTCAGAAATTTTATACATGGGTTGTAAATTGTCATTTACTGTAGGGAGGATAGTGCTGAATCTGAAAACATGCTCAACTCACTGGTTGCATTCACTTTTTAATTCAATTGCAAATATCTAGATTGCTTTATATGTTCAGAAGAGGATTCAAACAGTCTAAAGTTGCTGGTAATTAGGGTTACGTATGCTTTCTATTTATTGCTTCTCATTTGTACCTTGTTTACTGGTTGCTTATAACTCGTGTTGTTTTCGTTTCTTGTTGGCAACACTTTGCATCAGTCCTTTTTTCTTCTTAAAAATTTAGTGCCTTGTGGAGTTTACTTATAATAGGTGAAAACTGCTGAATCCGTGTTTGAAGAATCATATTGGAATTTGGAAATTTTGTATGAAATCTAGTTGAGTTTTATTCTGTTTTCGGTTTAAGAGTTTATTCTTTTGGTAGATAACCACTCATTAACTATTTTGCTATATGAAATTTTAAAATTGTAAATGCGCAAATTGGTAAACCATTTTATTTGTTTCAGATCTCTCACTTGTGCTTCCCTCTGTGTCTGATTTGCTTTTTTCTTAATATAGTATATAGTATTTATAGGCATGCCAAAGTATTATTTTCTTAATGCCCACATCATTAAGTTACCCTTCTGACATGAATGGTTGTATTTTATCTATGTATGTGATAGTCACCCTTTAATTAATTTGAACTGATTTTCAGAATGCCTGCTTTTACAAAAGCCGTATGCTTTTGACCAAAGCGAGAAATCTTGCTGTTACAAAAGATATTAAAGCACTTGAAGAACTTTCTCATGCAGAGGTTTGCCAATTTCAAAATGAATATTTTCATTGTTTATAATAAGTTAACTGCACCATTATCAATGTAGAAGCTGCATTCTAAATTAAATTTTTTTTTTTGGTTAGGTTGAGAAATTTATGGCCCTCTGGAACAGTAACAAGGATTTTAGAGATGATTATGAGAAAAGAATTTTGCCAGCTCTGGATAGGCGGCAAATGAGTAGGGATGGGCGTATAAGAAACCCAGATGAGAAGCCATTGGTAGCTGTGGAAGCATCTGGAGCCCCTGTAGTAGAGACAGCATCAAAAGCTAATTCAAAACAAGTTAGGGAAGATACCAGATCTGCTCCACTGGATACTTTGCCCGTGCAGAAGGCTCAGAAAGATGCCAAAAATAAAGCAACGGGTCCAAAATCTGTTGAAGAGCATATTGACGTAGCAGACGATGATATATCTGGGCTTGAAAAGCCGACAAAGGAGAGTACCCCAAAAGACAATAAAGTTGATGCAGAAAAGTTGAAGGAGTTGAAAAGACAAGAGGAAATTGAAAAAAATAAGCAGGCCTTGGAAAGGAAGAAGAAGAAAGCAGAGAAAGATGCAGCTAAAGCAGCTATTAGAGCTCAAAAGGAAGCTGAAAAGGCTGAAAAGAAGCTTAAGGAAATTATTTATTTATTTGTTTATTCTTGTTACTTGCGCTTTGTTAATCTGCTTGACGTTAGAAACTGACACTAGTTACCAATTCAACTTCACTCAGGAGCGTGAAAAGAAGGCAAAGAAGAAGGGTTCATCTGCACCTGAGACCCAACCTGAGGAGCAGACAGAAGCAGTTGCTGAGGCTGCAGAACCAGAAAAGGTAACTGAAAATGTTGAAGCTCCTGTCCTTGCAAAGGCTAAGGTGCAAAAGGATAGCAATCTGAGGAATAGAGGTCGATCAAGAGGTGCAGAGTCACTTCCAAAGGCCATCCTGAAGCGGAAGAAGTCAAGTACTAACTATTGGTTATGGGCTGCTCCTGCTGCTTTGTTAGTTGTGTTGTTTCTTGCACTCGGTTACCATTATCTTCTTTGAGGAAGTTAAACTGGAACTGAGGTAGAGAAGAGTCGAGATCTAAAAGTTTTCTGCTGGAGACGCACGCAAATGACTAGGTCTTTCTATTAGTTAAAGTAAGTTGTTCCTGTTCTTTACATCCTGTGTCAGGCTCAGGATGGACTCAAAACTCATAATGTTGGTGGTAGCTCAGTCGAAACTATCTTTCAATAGAGAAGAAGCATACATTTGGTTTTGCTGATGTAATTTCAAATTTTGACTCTCCCCTTTTCATGGATGTTATCTTTATAGAAGCTCGAATGGTTTTGCCATTTTATTTTTATTTTTGGGTTAGCCAGATCAATATAAATATGGGGATGGTAAATGCACTCCAAAACTAGCTTCCCCAAGCGCATGCACTAAGCTTATTAGTTGCATCTGCAATGTTATTGAATATTTAGGTGTAGTGCATCAGTAAAGCTCAATGCTTTTTCTCCAACTTGCATGAATAAGGGAAAATCATATGTTTAGGACAATTTTTTTTCCTTTTTTTATGTCATATGTTCAGGACATATTTGCTTTGACATGTTTAAATATTAAATATTAAACATTCCATTAATTAGTAACACGAAGGGTGGACGCATAACCGATAACTGGATCAACTTGCATTACCCGACTTGGTCAGTCCGGTGTGCTTCACTCCGTTTTTTGGCTCTTATTATTTATGAGTTCAAACTATTCTAATGTATGAGAAAAGGGTCGAACTCGGATGCAAGGAGACGGTACACTGTTTTGGCCAATTGCCCTAATCTACATTTGCCTATTTGTATTGGATGGCTTGTCATCTATGGAATAGTCGCCCCTAATGTCTAATTCTTTTTGCATTCATACCAGCTTATCTGCCTTACGAGTTAACCGAAATCCGCTGTCTAGGCTGTGTTGGGTAACATCCATTCTATATAATTACGAACATATAAAGTTTTTTTAGTACAAGCAATAATCTAAATTACAGGGGAGAATGAATTTCTCACACACACACACACCAAAACAGTACCATCCCTGATACAAGAAAGTTTTTTTTTGCCATGTAGGGTAGAATGAAGCGAAAGGTGATGATTTAACGGAGGGGTTGGGGAGAAGGGAATGTTTGTGAATGAAATTAGTGAGAAGACCGAGGAAAGATCATTCCCCATTAGCTGTTTGGTTGCTTGGGTAGGGAGATTGAAAGAAGAAAATTTAAAGTGTCCATTGATTTTGGAATGTATATTACAAGTATTTTTTTTCTAATAATAATAAGTTATAATTTGCTTAAGGTTCAGTCTTGTCATCGAATTAATTATTTTTTTATATTTAATTTAATTACCCGAATACATTGATTGATTTTGAGGGTAAACCAGTGTCCATCCTTAAATTGGATTGGCACTCAATGAAAGCATGTCTCTGAATTTCTCTATCTACATCATCATCGGTACTAGCACAGAAAAGTGATCGTTTAACTCAATATAGTTTGAGTTGAGTATCAAAGCTGACGCCATTCACACTTAAAAAAAAAGAAATTTTGGCTGTAAATGAGACGTATGATTCTGTTGGGTGCAAGAGGGTGAACATTGGGTGTACTCTTAAGGCAGACCAGCCTGCAAAGAGAAAAAAAGAAGAAATAATCGCTGGAAGTTTAAATTGTTTGATTACCCTTTTTGGATTACTTGTTTGATTTGTTTATGTTTTTTTAAATTGGAATTTATAAATTTTATATGCACTTCCATGTTATTATATCTGGGGTTTACAACGAATATGAAGTTTCTACTTGTACCTGTCAATGTTTGCATTCACCGCTACTCCCAGATCCTATCTGAAAACTAATACCACCACTACTGGATCCCATCTTGAATTCACCACTAAAATCGATGTCTCCAGAAGAACCTCAACTAAGGCATAGACTTGTTCAACTGGACGTGACATATTCCTCATTGTAGAGGTGGTAAAACCACAATACTTTCCAACCTCAATACCGCTAGAAGTGACAAGGCCGCTGAAAAGCAACATGCGCGCCGTGAAGGTGTCGTCGTGCCCACTCCTCTTGGAAAGCACACTCTTCCTGCTGCATAGAAAAGAAGGAAAGTTCTTACCAGTTCTTTAAATTGTAAGTGGGAAATGACAATGAAAAGGATAGGCTCATCAATATTAAAATTTTAGTTTCCTCCAGTATCGCAGATTATTAGCAAATATATATTCATGTTAATATATTAATTATTTTCTCTCCCTCTCTATATGATTGTACTTGTTTATTCAACAACACCAAAAAAACTATCGTGAGATCTCTGTCAAATTACTAGGGTAAAGTCATGCAAGAACAATGGGAAATGCTACAAAAACGCAATCAATATGATATGAAGAAAACAAGGATGTGAGAAAAGCCCACAAAAAAGTTATGCTTTTAGGTAGGGGTGAGGACAATTTCGGGTCAACTCGATTGAACCGCCTAACCTGATTATAACGGATTATGTTAAGTTGGTCTAAAAATGAATGAGTATTGAGTTTAAAAAATCATAAATTGGTATGTACGAGTTGAGTTACGAATTGGAACCAAAACTTAAAAATAAATTTCATTTTGAGTTAACTCGACCGAACCGCTCAATTCGATCACAAAAATTTGAGTTGGCCTAATAATAAGCGAATTTTAAATAATCTGTTGGGACTAAAGACCCAACCCATGCCCCTACGTTTACGTCTAGAAAAGAAATATTAATTAAAATGATGGGAGTTTCTTTGAGTCCCAATTGAATTTCCCTTAAAAACGTCCTAAAATGTTTGGGCTAAAATTTGTGAAACCCCAAGCCCACTATAAGGCAGAAGCATATACTTCTCCTCTCAACCCACTTGGCCTGCGCATTGTGCATAGGGCCATGGCTGCCACCAGTTTCGTAGCAGCGTCACTTGTAAGAAGAGCAGCTGTGGCTTTTACTCTGTCCCATCCTCTCATAAACAACAGGGTCTCTTACCACAGGACCCTTGTCACCTTTCCCCTCAGTCCTCGCTTGAGTTCTTCAGGTGCGAATGTGCGTTTTTGGTACTTGAGATTATTAAAGCATAAATGATGTTGCTTTCCCTCTCCATTGTATTTGTGCTAATTTCTTGTAATTTTGACTACTCTTTTGGATGATTTGTGGGTATATGAGAAGGAACAACTTCGAATCCAACTAGTGCATGATTTGGTTGTCAAAGATTGAAAAGAAAAACAAAGAGAGAGACATTTGAGCTTAAATGCTGAAAAGGCATTGCAAAAAATTTGTCCAAAATCAGGCATATTCAAGATGGATAAGTTTTTTTTTTCTTCTTTGGGGGTAAAAACAAGTTGGATAAGTTGAATGTGTGATTGGTCAATGATTTTCCTCACACATATTAAACTAGACTTAGCTGCATGAGCATCGGTTATTTGGTATGTAATATGTTATTGCTCTTCTTAATGCAGCTTCAGGAATATACCATTTAGCTCAAGCTGTAAAGAGGGATGATGATGATTTACTTAAAGGAGTGGTGGACAAAACTGTTATTGAAGAAGTAAAGCACGTTCTTGAGATGGTACTTGAAAACTTGTATTACCATTCTGTAAATGTAGCAGCTGGCTGTACCTTATCAAGATGAAATTTATTTCTTAGTTTACCCCCTTTTAGAGAGAACTACGAAGTTCAGATTTTTGGACCTTTCGAAATAAGAGTATAGCCTATTTATCACTGGAAATTGACAGATGGATGTAAGCTCACCATAGGTCTTGCTTTACTTGTTACTAGAAAATGTAGATATGTTTCTAAGGTTTTTTTTTAATATTTGTTTTCCATTTATTGCAGGCTAGACGTGCGTCATTAAGAAGAGAAGTTCTCCATACAAATTTTCTCACCCCTCCAGTGTTGAAGGAGTCGATGCTAGCATTGGAAAAGCTAGCTGATTTGAAAGCAGTTGCTCAGGGTGGATACCCACAGGTTGAACTAAATAGTTCCAGCTCTATTTGATGCTGATGCATATCAGAGTGTTTGTGTATTAATTAACATATGTTTTCGCTTCTTCAAATTGTCTAGGCTGAGCGGTGCCGAATCTCAGTTGGACATCCAGAACTTTTGACAAGTGATCCTGATATTATTGTTGCATTGAGGTAAGCAATATTATATCTCTTCAATTTTTATGCTTAGAATCATCCATCTTTTAATCAATGTGAAGCCTTTTTTTTAATTTTTTTCTTTGATGGTTACTTCTAGTATCACGGGAAACTTTGGGTTTCAACCTTGTTCTCATGGTGACTTCCTAGGCGCAATTCTTGGTACAGGGATTGCTAGGGAGAAGTTTGGAGATGTTATTTTTCAGGTACGATTTATATTCTTGTTTTAGTTGCTGCTATGTTATTAAATTTTTCTGGGAGGTTTCTAAACAGAGACTGCAAGTGTCAATATTCACATTTAATATGAAGAAGGCTAGTTTTAAAGCCTTTTCTTTTCTTTTATCTTCTAGAAGTTATAATTTATGTAACTGATTTTCTGACCACATCCCCTTTCTGTTTGTGAGTACCCAATTAGTATGGACAGATTCACAGGAGTCTTGTCCATGCCCCATGCTTGTTGAGAACTGATAAACCTTAAAAATGTGTTTGCAACACTTCTATTATTTAAGAATAAATTTTGCTATTCTGTCTAAAACACTTAGCACTTAGTCAATGTTTCCAATGAGAAAAAGATTATTATGTTTTTATATGTAAACTAAATAACTTAAAAAAAAAAAAAAAAAAAAAAAAAAAAAAAAAAAAAAAAAAACTAAACCAATACAATAAACTTATCCAAACTACAATATCAACAGATGTCATCTTGGCCTCACTTTACCAGTGGTTACTTAAAAATTTGCAATGTCAGGATTTCTGTCTCATGTCTGTGTTCTATATTTGTACACAGTGTTGCTCCTGTGGTCCTGCCATAGCAGGGCCATGTCTGTTCAATGTCTTTGTAGAGAGGTATTTATCTGAAATATCATCCCCTTTAAGTGCAATATTCTTTTTAAGCTGTCTGTTAGGATACCCTTGTCTGTATTGCATTCATATTCTCTGATTCCAACTTATACCCTTGTATGGCCTGGTTGAAATCAGTGTTTATAGTTTTTATTTTTATTTTTTTTCTTTTAATTTCTTTTGTAATGCTGCCAGGGGGAGAAGGGGGCTCAAGTCATTGTTGTTCCAGACCTTGCTGACTATCTTATATCATCACTCGACAAGGTTGTTTAAGTTCTGAGTATGTTTCTCCTGATACTCTTATCTTCCAAATTAACATCAATGGAAAAAAGATGTATTTATTTTCCCTTTTGGTTCTTTATTAGCTATGGTAAGATTAAAATAATCTGTTATGCAAACTAGTAAGTGCTAGTTTGGCATTGCTTATTTGGGGTAATAAGTGATTTTTTAAAAATTTTGAGAAGCTCAACCCGTTTGGTAAACTGTAAGAAAATCACTTATTGTTAAAATTGGCTGTGAGAGAAAGCTATAAGGGAAAGCAGCTAATGAGGTGCTTTCATTTTCTGATTATGCAGGAATTAGTTTCGAAGAGGCGCTGGGTTTAATGATTATGCGGCAATTATTTTTTGATTATACGTAAAATCAATACCAACAACACTTTTAACAAAAATTTTACCAAACACCAAACTACTTTATCTCACAGTTGATTTCTCTCACAGCAAATCTGACAGCAATTATTTTCACAGCACAGCAATGCCAAACTGGCCCTAAGTTACATCTCATTCACTTTCTCAAAAAACATCAGAAATAAGTATTGTGTTATTTGTTATTATTCTTTGGTGATCATTGCAAATGTACATTTGGGAGATAAAAACAGTGCAAAACAATGGATAGTAGAAAAAGAATGGTACAAAGGTCAATGTAGCCACGTATCACACTATTTAACTGCTTGCATTTCATGATTGTAAGGCATTTTTCTTTTGCAGGTTGGCAATGTTCCTGTATCTCTTACTAAGATACCACTGATTGCTCTTGATTACGAACAACCAAGGTTGCACAACTCACTACGTACTCTTTGCAGAACTAAGTCATTTAAAGCCATAGAATTATCACTGAGGATTGATGCTATAGCTAGTGCAGGATTTAAGATTTCACGGTCAAAACTAGTTGATCTGATCCGGTATGGCCTACGCTTATACTGAACTCTCCTTTCAATTATTGGTAGTAGTATCTTTGATTTCATTAAGCTTTATTGAGTTAGTTAATCCTATGCTGTTGGTTTACTGCATAGTTTGATGGTGATATTTCTTTTATAAAATATTCATTATCTATTACTCAAAAAGCCTTATGTTTTTGCATAGACTTGGCTGCTCCTTTATAACCTTTTTATTTTTTTCCCCACTCTTCATCTGCATTATGCCATATCTTTCGTAAGTCTATGTAATTGCATACCCTTGGCTGGCACTTTTTTTGGTCTTTGGATTTTCCCTTTTTGGGCCATTCTTCATCTGCATCTACCATATCTTCTGGAATTCTGTTGTTATGTTCTTGTAGCATTCTCCACTTCAATTTGAAATATATGCCAATTTTCAATTGTGAGACGCTGCACATCCTCCAACTTGCTCAGTAAGCAATGCAGTCAACACGATTGATGAGTTTTGAGGGACATCGTGCATTATTGTTGTGCAGGAGAACCATACTATAGTACATATAATATATACACGCAGAGTCAGACTCTTTAAGTAACTATAAAATAAGTAGCCAACTTCGGAATATTAAATCCAGAATTAAAGCACTCCATCCATCAAGATTAAACACACTTTTACGAAGGTTTTAACCTTTACATTTCAGTAAAAGACCTAAAAGATCAAGGTTTTTTATTTACATTAGTTACTTACTAGAACCGTACTCCAAATATAATCACATTTGATGTGTGCATCAACGCATTTATATGATTCAAACACATGGCCTAAAGTGTTGAAAGGTGAAAAACATGATATTAAAGTTTTTTCTTATCTGTGCAGTGACGGGGATGTGCGCCTCAACTGGACCCCTGTTACCAAAAATGGAGCTACACTCAGGACTGGTGATATAGTTTCGGTTAGAGGTAAAGGAAGACTGAAGGTGAGTTGTCATATTCAAGAAAATCACTGTTTGATCAAATGACTTGTCAGCCATATTGATGCCAAAATTGGATATGTATACTTCTTGGATTGTTCTTTAGCCTGGCATTTCTGATGCTTTAATGTACTTCGTTTCAGATTGGAGAAATTAACTCTACGAAGAAGGGGAAGTTTGCAGTTGAGCTCATTCGTTATCTGTAAGTTTTGAAACGGGTACCAATGCCACATTAGTATGCATGGACCCAAAGAAGTTCTGCGATGGGCGATTTTGTAACTTAAAGCCAGACGGGTTCTCTTTCTAAAGATCAAGCATATGTTCCATTGCATCAAAGTTTAGCACTTTTTTGCAAGTTCAAAGTTGTACATATTTATATTTTCCTCCCATGTATTGAATTAATTTTGTACTTACTTTGTTGTACTGCGTATAATTAACAGTTTTAATACTATCTAAGCTTTAGAAATTGTGCTTGTAACATGATATCCTTCTGATTTTGTTTATTTAATTTGACTTGCATAGTTCATTACTAGATATTTTCCTCTTCTTCTATCTTCTTCTGCTATATATATAAAGCAAAAGGCAGAGAATGGTGAAATATTCAAAATACCAAAAAAAGCCCTTCGTTAATGCAAACATTAAGAATTGAAATTATTAATTAAATGAGGATAATATGGTAAATTCACATTTTTTCATATTTAAAAAAATTAAAATTAAAAGAAAAATCAAATAATGGAATCTATTTTTACGGAGCATAACTACCCATTATCTTTTTTAATTCTAAAATAAATTTAAATTTTTTATATAAAAAAAGCCTTTTGTCGCAGGCGCGAAAGCTTAAAAAAGAAAAAGATGCAACAAGGCATCCCCGAGTATTAGTGTTTGGTGATTGGGAAAGAAATGTAATAGCCTAGCAAGAAAATAAAAATCCGTCTGGTCAGAAAAGTCATTTTGAAAAAAAAATTTCCAAGGAAAATTTATTTTATGGAAATTGTAGCTCGGTAATGAGAAAGAGCCCTACATGAAAACGTTCTTTAATGGAATACACAGTATCTATTTGTTTGTATCCCCCAAAAACAAAACAAAAAATCTATTTGTTAATTTATGCTGAGAAAATTACATCAAAGACTGACTGCCTTGAAAAGGAGAAATGCAAAACCTGAATCTAAACCGACTTTCCAATCTCCATAAGAATGCAGCACAAGACTATATCAACAAATTACAAAGGAAAAAACACAAAACAAAAGAAGATATCTATCTTTTCTTCATTCAATTACCTTCAATCTCCTTACATGAAACTTCGGATAAATTCGAGCAGGGCGGCCCTGAGGGTGTGCAAGTGGTGCCACTGCACAGGGTCCCGAAATTTTTTTACATGTATATTATGTATATTAATATTATAGGTATTATAAATATACATGAGCGTGCATGAACATAACACAAGTGTGTATTTGGTTGAGTTGGAATTCATCCCCTTGATTTTAGTAGGTAAGTTGGATTCAAGTCCATATTGTGGTATTTTGTAGTTAAATTTTTACATTTGTACTCCTTTTTTCATTGTTAACAACAGGAAAAAAAAAGAAATAAAAGAGAAGGAAATACGTCAAAGAAGAGGAAAGCAATATATACAAGCTTTCTCCAATCAAACAAAAAAATTTGGAGTGTATGTTTTCACCCACTCAAAACGAAACCAAAAAAGTTCATGTCTTCTTCCTCTTCCATTTTCTCAAATTCAAACATTAAAACTTTTATGAATGTTATTTATGACTGCTATTGCATGCTAATAGATGATGAATTTTAGTTATTAAAAAAAATGTTTTATGGTGTTAAGTCATGGCAAATTTTTTTTATAAATATTTTCATATTAGATTGAGGGTTCCCGTTTAAGTTTCGCAGAGAGCCCTCAAAATCTCAAGACCGGCCATGAATTCAAGCATACCCACAAGTTGCATGCTGACATTTAACTCCATGCAAGCATTTCTTATCGCACTTGCCACAATTGTTTACATTGTTTAAAATGTTGGTACAAGACACAAGTTCCATGGCAGCAAAGCTCTCCAAGCTTGCACTTACGACCACATTGCCCACAGTGGTTCCTATCTCCAAGAACGTTGACACACTTTATCTTGCAGCAAAACAAAATGCTTGTTCCTTTGTTCGCCAAAATCCCATTACAGATGTTCTTCTTAATGGGATTGCACTTAGCACCTTGCTTGATTACACTGCCCAAGAATCTGCTTCTTGATCTGAAGTTCAGCAATGGAGAGTCGAGCACGTATTCTTCGTCGTCTTCGATCTCAGATGAGAAGGCCATTTGGACCTGCATAGTTATGAGCAAAGGTATGATGAGGGAGAAAATGGTGGTAAGCTCCATTTTTTTGACAAATTTATGGAAGGTAAGGAAGATGAGGGCTAATATAAGCTGCAAGTTGCAGATAAATATTCCACGTTGGGGAAGTTGAAATTCTATTGACATGCGAACTTGTCAATGAGTTAGTGACAAATAAATAAGATTGTCAATGAGTTTTGGTTATATGCAACCACGACAATGATGTTCATATTTTTTTCAAGTCAATTCACCTGACTACTTTTTGTCTTTTTTAGTTAGGAATATTTGGATTTTTTTTTTTAAAAGAACAAGGACAAGTCGTACAGATTTGAGTTATGCCAAAAGTAGAAGGGGATATAACTATTATAATTGATAGCACCTAATGCTCTTTAACCATTTCAGTTATACAAGAGCTTGATTTCGTGTGTTTGAATAAATTGAAATTGCTACATCTTATTGGAGGACTGAAGCCGTCTTCATCTTGATGAATTTCATTTTAATAGGAGGACGTATACATATTTAATATTTTCTAAACTTTCTTTTAGGTATGGATTTGTATTCATTCCCTCAATCGCGAAAGAGAAAAAAAATATGCTGTCAAGAACACCATTGAAACTTCATTGCGAAAGAGAAAGGATATTGAAGAACACCACTAAAACTTGAAGCTGTACCATAGGATATGAGTAATAAATAAGCAGTGATTTAAACGTTGCTTTATCCAATACACGCAACAACATGCAATTAGAATATCCACACTATAGAAGGCATATGTGACAGTTGAATAAGAAAAAAAGGTTGGCTGGGGTGATCTTCTGCGCTGGTTGGACTGAGGCTTGTTGAGATGTGCTCTGGTTATTTGAGTTGCTTATGTGTTAGGAATTTGAGTTGCTACGATTATTAACTTCGTTGCTGTTACTTCTGGATGCTCATACTAGCTTGATCTTTTGAAATAAAAAATAGGAAAACTTCCTTATATTTTGATTTTCTCCAACATCTCGGATTGTTTATAACATTTCATATCCTTAAATTTTACTTTTGCTTGAATTTCATGAAGGCAACACATTGACAAATTCTGCATTGTGAATTTGTGAATGCTGAAGGAATTTTATCACAGATGAGGATGACCAATGAGCTATAAACAAGTTGTGAATGGTGGGTAAACTGATTATAGCATGTTGATGCGAAAAAGTGGTTCGGCACTTTTGAACTCAACTTAGTGATGTTGGGCCTTCGGTATGCCTTAGGTCCCCGTGAAGCGTGTGATATGCAAGATAACAAATGTTCGGTAAGGCCTTAGGCACCGGTGTGGTACCGGCCGAAGGCTCTCCGATGCTTAAGTAAGTACAGATTTAGTAAATTTAAACTGACAGATTAATAGGTTGTATGCCGTAAGTTCTTATTACCCTCTCTTTGGGGAATTGTGCTCCTCTTTTATAGGCCTTAGGAGGTGTGCATGTTGTTTAGAATTTCGATGTGGGACTGTAGACGTCGATTGAGAGCAAGTCACGTGTCCTTGGGATGGGAGTTACCCTAGTTACTGGATCGGTAGGTAAGGTGCCGAAGGCTACCACGGCAAGGCTTAGTCTTGTCCACGTGTCTGTTCCCTATAGGCTGTTCATTTTGGTATAAACATGGCATATAATAGGTAAAGTTTGTGTGACAGATTCATACTCGAAATAGAGTGATAAGTTTGTGTGACTAGCTACAAAACCAAAAACAAAAAATTGTAACTAGGCTGCTTGCCCAAATCTTTTATTAGATATTGATTAATGAGCTTTTTTTCTTCATAAAAAGGAATCCAGATTGTATTTATAAACAGAAAACTCAGAGTCTACATGAAGCTTGGGATTGAGACCAGTGTTGTTCTCTCCTCCAATCAACTTCAGAGGCCTCACAACTCACAGCATTTGTCAAGAAAAGGGACTTGAATATGAGGCCTCACATACTGTTTAAACTATATATATTCTTGCAAACAAATTTAAGAGAAGAAAAAAAAACATGAAAAAGAACGCCCAAATCATTGACTGCTGTTTAAGAAAATACAAGGCTACTTGAAGTTGTAAAATATACAAAAACCAAGAACCAATCATAAAGAACATGATCAAAATGAGATTAACACTCAAAATCACTTTGCAAATTAAAGTTGTTATAAATTTATCGTGACATAAACTTACATGCAGTGAAGCAATAATACAAAATCGAGGGTTTCTAGCTCCAATATAGAACACTTGTTTCTCTACATTCACGACGAGAGTTCGATTTAAATTGTCCACTAAAAAGGATAGTCAAGACCACCTTATCATATATTAACAATGAATCAATCTAAGCATACCCACAATATCCATACTCGCATTTAACACCATACTTGCACTTTTTACCACACTTGCCACAATTGTTGGCATTGAAAGTAGTATTGATGCAAGTCCCATTGCAACAATGCATGCCAAGCTTGCATTTGTTCCCACATTTCCCACAATTATTCTTATCGCCAAGAACATTTCTGCAATGTGTCTTGCAGCAATGGAGAATGCTGGTCCCTTTGTTTGCTGAAATCCCATTGCAAATGTTGTGCTTGATGGGATCACAATGTGCACCTTTTTTTATGATGCTGGCCAAGAACCTGCTTCTGGATCTGAAACTAGGGTTTGGAGAGTCAAGCACATACTCTTCGTCGTCTTCAAGCTCAGATGATGAGAAGGCCATTTGAGAATGCAGAGCTAGGACTAGTGAAGGTATCATGAGGGAGAGAATGGTGGCGAGCTTGAGGAAGTTGGCCATTCTCTCAAAAATGGGGTACTTTTGGCCACAATGAATTTGAAGCAAGGGAAGAGGTGGGTGTTTTAAGCTACAAGTTTTGTCTTAAAATATATGTATTTATACTTTGATGAGTAAATGTGTTACGCATAATTGAATGATTAGTGCATTAGATTCGGTTAAAGCACATGAGATTGTACCTAACCAAAGAGATCGATTTCCTAATTCCCCGCCATTCGCTGTCTCATATTCATTGACACCCCCCACATTGGGATTTATTGCTTTAATTAAATATGTTAGATATATATATAATCTACTATTATAAAAACATGTGTGACTGTGCCATGTATTAGATTGTCAACTAAGGATTTATATTATCTTTAAAAAGATTAAAAGAATTTTATGTTGTTTAATGATTAGAGAAACACTTGCAAGAGAACAAAAACAAATAAAAAATTAAATTTAAAGCCATTGTAAAGATATATATTTTGCGCCATTGGTATTCTCTGCGGCTCTTTTTCTTTTTCTTTTCTTGTCACTTGTTAGGAAGGGAGAGTGGGGAGTAATATATTGGGTTGCCTTAAGATTGTTTCTTATGTAAATCGAGCCCGGGTGCACTTGAGAGGAGGGGAGAATTTTGACCACTTTTTCACTGTGATGCCACATCCCATAAATCTTTACATAAAAAATAAAATAAAACACCATACAATTTAAGAAAATAAACAAAATTAAGTTAACTATGAAATAATTAAACATTCCTAATTTTTTGGCTTGCTTAGAGACGCAGGGAGAGTGCACAGTAGACACACATGTAGGGGATCTTGTATTTCGGCAGAAAGTCCGTTTAAGTCACAAGTAGGCCACGTTAACCACTAATTTCATCTCGGTGGGGTACAGAGATTGTTGTTGAAGTGTCCACTTCTGGTTGGTCAATCCAGTGTTTAGTCAACATGATTAAACAAATCACGACCGCCGAAAATCAAAAGGGTTGACCAGTCTCGTGCACTCTTGCCCTCCGATTTGCTGACCAAATCAAACCGAGATCACGCGTATTGATCAATTACTTCTTTTTATTTTGGGCTACTTGCATGTGATAATACCAGCACTCATTTATCATGCCTTTCCTTATAAAATGTACATGTATATAGATTATACGCAATATAGAGTGTGGATGAATTGCTAATTAGTTCATTAGTCAATTATTTTGTTCTATTCCACACGATAATTTGATTATTCAAACAGTTCATATGTAGGTTCCCATTCAAGGATCATTCTTGCAAAATTACGCCCAAATTGTAGGTTTGCATTTCGTTGTTTATAAATAAATAAAAATTTGTGTTTATTTATTTATATGGCCATAATTAGATAACTAGATGCATTTTGATTTTATTGCAACTTTGTAGGGATGATCTTTTTCTGACGATCTAAAAAATTAAACGTCGAATCATGAGATATATTGTGTGGACTCATATGAGCTGCTAGGGTCATATTAACTCATTAATTGATTAGTGCTTAGATATGTACATTAGTTCTTCTCTTACCTACGTTATTACCATGGGGACGCTATTGTAAATATAAAGGAAAGCATGGAAGGATAACAGAAAATACATAGCGTCTACATGATAATAACATCCAGACGTCCGCATATAAGAAAATAAAAGAACATTTTGTTAGTATTTATGTATAAAGAAAGAAAATAATTTGAACCCTTGTTTTTTACACTAGTACAAACTTCGGAACTTTGTGTCATGTATAAAAATTAAATATATTTCGAATGATTTGATATGTGATGAAGTCAATTACGTAGCATATCATCACATTACGTAGGAAGAGAATATTAACTAGCCCAAAAGTCATACGAAACAAGAGCAGGGGTGGCGTTGTGTGCATGCCCAAGAATGGGTTGCGTTTCCAATCGTCACCATCCTCAACCGATCACATATGAGATGCATCTGTTCTTGCTCTCCCTAATTTGTCTAAACTGCAAAGAATGGTTGGAGCTCATACTTCTAATGGTAGAATACTTTATATTACATCCAAGATAAAAATGTTTGACTCCCGTTCTTCTTTCTCTTGAATTAGAGAAAAAAAAAATTCAAACACAAACATCGGTGACAGTTTTCTTTTCTTTTAGCGTGACTCTTCTGATAGTATTTTTTTCACAATCTAAAAACACCCATAAGCTTTTACTCAATTACCTCCATATAACTTTTGGAGTGGGAAAAAAGGCATCAATTCGTAGTAAAACTGGGGTCCTGAAGAGGAATTGTTGAGACAAAATGCTTCCAAATTTTGTGGTGAAATTCTTGGTACAAGTTTTTAAGGTGACTTTACCAGCACTCATGTCTCCTATTATTTATTCCCCCAAGAAAATACTAGTCATGCATGTGTCATGGATCTTAGTGTTGGAAGTAACATTACAACATTCCTCTTACTCGGGAAGCTTTGTCTTGTTTTGTTCTAATCATACATTTAACGCTTTCCTTAAAATCCTCTGTTGATGTTGTTGAGAGAAGCCAATGGTCTAGTATAGTGAAAAAGAGTCTTGATTTACACATCAGTAGTCTCAAGTTTAAATCCCTATAACATATTGACAGTATGTGTAAATACCCCGTCCCTCCTAACTTCGGCTAAACCAGAGAGGAAAAAAAGGATTAACTGGGCCAGCAAGGGAGATATAAGATCAAATCCAGCCCATCTCTTGACCCGGAAGCCAACCCAACCCACTAAACAACGGCATGCCGTTTGGGTCATCGCGCCGCGCCTTGATAAACGACCGTCGGCTTCATTTCTCAAAATTCAAATTCAAAACCCCAACCCCCACTTTTCCCTCGCTCTCTCTCTCTCTCTCTCTCTCTCACAGTGCAGCAATGTCCACCAACGCCACCACCCCAAACGCCTTCTTCACCACACCGACCAAAACCCCATCGGGAAAATCTCACTCTCGAAAGCACCCCCACCCAAGTTTCACAGCCGAAAACGACATGTCGTCGTCTTCGTTGGTCTCCCTCTCCAACTCCAAGTCCCGGTTCGAGGCCTACAATCGCCTCCAAGCGGCCACGGTGGCCTTCGGAGAGAAGCTCCCAATCCCGGAGATCGTCGCCCTCGGAGGCCAATCGGACGGCAAGAGCTCGCTCCTCGAAGCACTCCTCGGCTTTCGCTTCAATGTCCGCGAAGTCGAGATGGGCACTCGCAGACCTCTCATTCTCCAAATGGTCCACGACGCCACCGCTCTCGAGCCACGCTGCCGATTCCAGGTATTCGTTCTTTTCTAACCCATTCTTGGTTTTTCCATTGCTCTGCATTTTGTTGTTTTTGTGTGTACATCATTCGTTTAGTGGTTCTGTTTGGTTGCTGAGGAATGTTGATGGTGATGATGATGATACTTCGAGTTTTAAGTGTACTTGTTTTATGTGGACTTATAAGGTTTTGAACATTTGGACGTATATAGCAACAAAAAAAGCGTACATGTGGAATTGTGTGCGTGTGTGTAATGAACTTTGTTTTGTTTCTGAAAATTGGGGAAATGAATTATGTTGAAGATTTGATTTTTCTTATGGTCCTTGTGATATTAGGAACATGAAATACTAAACCAATTACTTCAAAACGGAAAAAAGTGTTCAAAATGGTCTAGGGATTGAGTTTTAGGGTGTTAATTTTCTCTGTTAATAAACTGATCAACACCAACACTGGGGAGGATGGTTTCTGAATGAATTTGTTTTGTTCTTTTTTATTCTTTTCTGTTGTAAAGCTAGCAAAGAACAGAGAGAAATGGAAAATGGAAAAAGAAGCATCTTGAATTATCTGTTGTGTTGGTTTCAAAAGAAAATGGAACTCAACACTGTGTTTTTCTAAGGAACACTTGACATATTACGAGTTTCTTACTATTGCAACTAAAACCTTGAAGTCTGGTTATTGTAGTGATGTTTAAACTTTTTTGTGGTGCCCTTGGTCCTCCTTTAATTAGATTTTTCATGTGCTAAATGGTTTAATTACACAACACACTGATCTTAAAGAGTACTTGAAACAGGAGGAGGATTCTGAAGAATATGGAAGCCCAGTTGTTTTGCCATCTGCCATTGCAGATATTATTAAGTCCCGAACTGAGACACTTTTGAAGAAAACTAAAAGTGCAGTTTCTTCAAAGCCTATTGTTATGAGAGCAGAATATGCACACTGCCCAAACCTCACCATTATAGATACTCCAGGCTTTGTTCTTAAGGTGGGTTTTAGGCTTCAAATACTGCGACTTATGTGTGCCTATTTTGGTTTGTTTTAAGGATTTGAATATTGTTCACAGGCGAAGAAAGGAGAGCCTGAGAGAACACCTGAAGAAATTCTTTCTATGGTGAAATCACTGGCTAGTCCTCCACATCGTATCCTCCTGTTTCTTCAACAGAGTAGTGTGGAGTGGTGTTCATCTTTGTGGTTGGACGCTATTCGGGATATTGATCCAACTTTTAGACGGACAATTATCGTGGTCTCCAAGTTTGATAATCGTTTAAAGGTATGATAGTTGTTTAGAATCTTTACTAAGCACATTTATGTTATGGTTAATAATGTTACTGAAAATTGGAATATGTGAGTGAAAAGCCTTTTTTTCATGTTGCAATGTTAATTGGCTCTGTTGAAGTAGATTCTATGTTGTTTGAATATTCATTTTGATTATAAGAATTCAATATATGCAGGAGTTTAGTGACCGGTGGGAAGTGGACCGGTATTTGAGTGCAAGTGGTTATCTTGGCGATAACACTCACCCATTCTTTGTTGCACTGCCAAAGGATAGGAATACAATTTCAAATGACGAATTCCGCAGGCAGATATCTCAAGTAGACTCTGAAGTTCTCCGTCATCTGCGTGAGGGTGTTAAGGGAGGCTTTGATGAAGAAAAGTTCAGACCGTATATTGGATTTAGTTGTTTGAGAGAATATTTAGAATCTGAACTTCAGAAAAGGTATAAAGAAGCCGCACCAGCAACTCTTGCTTTGCTTGAGCAGCGATGCAGTGATGTCACCTCTGAACTAGACAAGATGGACTCAAAAATACAGGCCACCTCTGATGTTTCTCAGCTTAGGAGATCTGCAATGTTGTACGCAGCTTCTATAAGCAATCATGTGGTGAGCAATCTCTATTAAATGTTTTTCAAGTTATAATACAGGCATAATCTTTACTTGAAACGTGTTTTCCCTTGTTACGTAAATTTTTTAATTGTGTTTCTATTTCCATCTTGGACCCCTGTAGTCCAAGAGATCAAGACTGTTCCATAATATTTGTGGCAATCCACAATGCTTATTTTATGCAAGTTCTTACAATTTTTCCAACTATTCACTAATGCACGCTACTTCTTTAATGTGAATGCCACAAGTCTTCAGGTAAAAAAATAATTTGCATACCAACAAAACTGAGAGAAATATAATAAATTGTGTACTCCCATATTCACAAATGTCATCAACTTTTATTCATTTTCTACCATAATATTATTTCATTCTAAGCTTCTGAAATATTTGGAGCTTTAGAAGTATAATTTGATTGAATTCCCTCGTATTTTTAAATGTCGAAGGCAACTTTGATTGATGGAGCAGCAGACCCTGCCCCTGAGCAATGGGGGAAAACAACTTTTGAGGAGCAGTCAGAAAGTGGTATTGGGGGATGGCCTGGCGTCACAGCAGATATAATGCCTCCCAATGCTACTCTTCGACTTTATGGAGGAGCTGCATTTGAAAGGGTGATGCACGAATTTCACTGTGCTGCATATTCAATTCAATGCCCTCCAGTGTCCAGGGAGAAGGTATTTATGTACTGCCAGAGCAATTGAGCCAGTAAATTCTGATTTTTATGACTTGTGGAGAGGCAAGTTCTTACATCTTCCTTCTGACAGGTGGCAAATATACTACTTGCCCATGCTAGCCGAGGTGGGGGTAGAGGAGTAACAGAGGCAGCTGCAGAGATTGCACGTGCTGCTGCCCGATCATGGCTTGCTCCTCTTCTTGACACTGCTTGTGATCGGCTTGCTTTTGTTTTGGGAAATCTCTTTGATCTTGCTCTAGAACGAACTCGCAACCGTGAGTTAGAATGTAAGAAGCTATCTATCCTATTTACGCATTTGTTTTCTTTCCATTTTACATGTTAGTTTTCTACGTTTAATATTGACCCCAAAGAGCTGTGAGCCAGCATCGGTTGAGTTGAATTTCTTGTCCATTGTTAGAGTGTGTTTTTAAACGGTTACTCTTTCCCTTTTAGCTTATGGTACTTTAGTAAGTTCAAATGTTTTACCTTAGAAACTGAAATGTGCATCTGCAGTTGGGAGAATGATACCAGTGTAGAACTACTTAAGAAATGTCATCTTTTTTGTACTTAAATGTTCACTGTATTTTAGGCTTCCTGCACAATTTAATCGTCATGTTTCTTTTTCCCCCTGATTTCTTTTTTATGTAATCTCCAACTTATGATAAAAAAACGATGTACATCTATATTTTATGGGGCTGATAGTATTCAATTCTGATAATAAAACCTTTGGGGTTCTTGTTCACTGTATAGGTGGGAGGAAATCAGGAAATATGGATGGATATATTGGTTTTCATGCCGCTCTTAGGCAGGCATACACTCGCTTTATAAAGGATCTTGGTAAACAGTGCAAGCAACTCGTTAGGCACCATCTTGATTCAGTTACAAGTCCATACTCATTGGTTTGCTACGAGAATGACTGTCAAGGAGGTTTTGGCTCCAGTGCATCCTCTTCTTTCAAATTCAACCAGTCTTCTGTCAATTCATTTTTACTTGAGTTATCCGATGCCACGATGAAAGATCAAGAGAATATACCTCCAGAAAAGAATGCACAGCAAACAACTCCAGGAAAAGCTGCAGAGGCTAGAGATGCTCTTCGAGAAAGCCAAATTACTGTGCCTGAGACTCCATCCCCTGATCAGCCATGTGCTGGTGGTGCAAAGAAGGATCTTGGAAATGGCATTGACATGGGAGGAAGAAAGCGCCTGTCAAGAATGACAGGCAATAGCAGAAATCCTGACAATACAAGTGCACAAAATGGTGGTTCCTTTTTTTTTGGAAATGCTGCTGATGGCCTTTTAAGATCAGGCTCGGCTTATACAGAAATATGTTCATCAGCTGCACAGCATTTTGCACGGATACGTGAAGTTCTTGTTGAGAGAAATGTGGCATCGGCTTTGAATTCTGGATTCCTAACCCCTTGGTGAGTTTCCTTATCCTGTTCTGATTTCAAGCTTAACTTACACCTCAGAAACACTCTGTCTGTGTCACCCCTGTGCCATGATAAGGACCATTTTGTGGTGTGATGAGACAGTTTAGAATAATTATTGCAACTTTTCTTACAGTCAATTGTTAGTTTCACTTTTGTTGTCTTACTGGGAGCCTTAAAGTTTGATGGATGTGATACTAGTTTAAGAACACTTTCTTAAAATTGCACGTACAGGTCTGAATTATACTTTCTGATCTCACCAAAGTCCTTGGCTCCCTATTTCATTTAGTTAGTCTCCTTTCTGTCGTCCATACTTGGCTTTTTTCTCACACAGAATCTTCAAAATGCCTTCCAATTCGAATACTTAAATGCTTCAGAACCCTACTCCAAACACTACTGGGTCATTTTTCTTTCAACTAATTCCACATGCAATTTGGCTAGATATCAAATCATATTGTCTCCCAGGCTCCATAATAACCATAATTCTGCTTCTTTTTTATATATTTTTTTTTCCGTCTCATGCAGTCGGGATCGGCTTGTTCTGGCAATTGGTTTGGATTTGTTTGCCGTGAATGACGAGAGATTCATGGACATGTTCATCGTACCGGGTGCCATCGATGTACTGCAGAATGAGCGGCAATCGCTTCAAAAGCGTCAAAAGATACTCCAATCTTGTTTGAATGAGTTTAAAAGTGTTGCCCGCGCACTTTGATGGTATAAATGTGAGGCCATGTTTTTCATTTGGCTGTAGCTGTAAGATGGTAACACTAATTTTGTGTTTTTTTTGATTGCGATGAAGTTCTTTCTGCATCCCCATCAATGTGTTCGGCTAAGTGTAAAGAATATGTTATTCAGTGTCTTCAGAGCATAAATTTAAAAAACAAGCCAGAACAAAAGTTTTATATATATATATATATATTTATTTATTTTTAGAATTCTAGGATTGCATTCATAATTCAATCAAAAATGTCACTAATCACAAGGGGCTAACACAAATTAGTCACAAGTCATTACACTAACGGAGTGATTTAATATCAAAATTAAGACAAAGAATACAAAAAGCATCATGTATTTTTTTGAAACTGCTGCTAGGGCTAAGTTTCACATGTATATTTTTTATTTTGACATAGTTTTTTTTAATAATTGAGAATGCTTCATTATATGGGACCAATTAGGATATTTATTTCTTTATGTGGGACTTCAAAATTACGTACTTTATGTGAGAGACTACTAAGAAGCCACAAGATGATAACCTCAACCAATGAACTATATAGGTTTAATATTTTATTTTCCAAAAAGCTACCTGGGTACAGCCCAGTGTAGTCCACTAGGTAGTTCCGCTAATGATCACACAAGATCGAAACAAAAGTTACAAAACCTAAAATGGTGGTTCTCATCTCATGATTTTTGAAACACACTCTCAATCCTAATACTAATTTTTGTTTTTAATTTCTGTTAGCTGAATTGTTATGGTGCATGCAATCCTCATTTGAATAATAGATTTCTTATATCCCATATGAATTATGTGGGAAGAAGAGAAAAAAAAAATCAATCTTTTTCAAAGTAGTAATGATAATTTGACAATTGTTGTGGCGCATGCATAGTCATTTTCTTCTCCCCCAATCATTCATAGGCTGGTATTTGGTGGTTTGAATTTATTTTTTTCAATGAGTCCATGGAGCAGAGGTTGGGTTTTTCTTCCTATATATATATAAAAATAAATAAAAAGTAGGCATAATTATATACAATTTGACCTTTTATAAGAGAAAATAGAAGAAAGCATTAAAAAGTAAAGGGTAGACAGCAGCAGCAATAATAATCTATGTGCACTCAATGGAACTTTTCTTTATGAAGCAGTGAAGTGACACAGGATGAAGATATGTGAGTGGTCCCCACAGCCCAACCTTTCCATGTTCCATCCCCAAATGCCCCTAATTCCAGGGACCTAATCCGACAAGATAAATTTGCTTCTCACTTTAAATTTACTATAACGACATTATTGCAGCTTGTAATTACTGCTCACCATCCCCGCCTCACTCAACCTTCATTGCAGGTTGCAATTCCTGCTGGACATCCCAACATTATTGGGGTGAAAATTTATCCCGTTAAATTTTTACCCCACTTTCGCAGCGTTTTATTGAATGGTTAAAGTAAATAGAAGTTCTTGTTCCTTTCATTTGATGTCCCGTCAAATGGTCTCACTTATTATAAATTAAGATTTATCTACTCAAACTGTGTGACAAGAAAAAATTACTCATTCGGTCTCGTGTGTTATGTTACATGTTATAAAAAAGTGAATGGTTAAAGTAAATAGAAGTATTTGTTCCTTTCATTTGATCTCCCGTCAAATGGTCTGATATGTTATGTTAAATATTGTATATTAAGATTCGCAATTAGATAAGATTTTATCTGTTGAAATTGTGCGACAAGAAAAAATAAAAAATCATATTTTATATAAAAGGGATAAATAATAGGGTTTGATTGGGCAGCTTCTTTTGACAGATTGAAATTCTTCTTAGCAGATATACAAGACAAATACAACTTGCTGTGGTCAGCAAAATATCAATGCGTTATCTCAAAGCATTTTGGTTATAATTTTGACTTGGTTCACATGAGAGTGACTCTTCTTCCATTCCTACTTACTTTCCAACTAGGACTAGTTGTATTTTCTTGAATAATTCATCTCTCTTACGAAATAGGTTGATCAAATTACACTTGCATGGTATTAAAGAATTTAGTCCCACCACTAGATATGGACCGAAGGGCCTAAAGTTTTGCCCATTCCCAAACGTAATAAACATGGGGACTTCAATTTTTTTGTTAATGGTAAATTATGGCTCTCTTTTAAGTGGTGTTCAAAAAAAAAATTTTGGGGTCATGAAACATATGCCGAAACATGAATAAGTTTTCCTCCACTCATAATATTACACGTGAATTAATAACATGATGTGATGTTAATAACATTCAAAAATACTTTTTTATTTAACGAGAAAGGCCGAAAATTTAATTTTTCCTGAAATAAAAGTATTTTAAAAATCAAATTATTTTGTATACGTGCTTAAAAGACAGCAAATAAAACACCAACTTGAGGAAGTAGATGTGGGTCATGCAATTTTGACTCAGAAAACAATGCTTTGCATATCGACACATATCTCTCTTTCCCTCGAGTTAATTAAAGAATAAAAGATTCCCAAGTCAAGGTCTTCCTTCCCTCACTCACTTCTTAAACAACGAAAAAATGTTCAAGTCCAACCAAAACACTCACCCACCAAGACACTTTCTACGTGCTTTCTTCAACACATTTCTATCCCCTTCATTCTCCCCTCTAGTTTCTACATTGCGGCCTAACTTGTTTGTATCCATCCAACCTTTATAATCAACCAGATTGATTATGCTATGGCTTTCTTTTTCAAACTCCTACACACATATCTTTGGTCCTTTTAAGTACGTCAAAAAGAACACAGTAACAATATTATCTTATCGCATTATCTGTTATGATATGTTGTTAAATTACAATTAAAATAATCGAACGCATTAAACTTTACTTGAATGTATCGAACCAAATGCCCTAACAAGCGACATTAATCCATTAATTGTAATATAATTACTTATATTTAGCATCCAAAGGACGTCCACTTCATATAGCTATATATATATATATATATATATATATGAATAAAAGTTACTTTTTACTAGTCATGTTGGTAATTACTTCAAACAAGTAGGCAACCAGCCGAACGAGGTTTGTTTGGGTCTTGCTTAATTCGTACTACCATAATCTCTATTATAGTCGACATGTTGACTTGCCTCACCTATCTTTGCGACATATCAAAGGAACTTTTGCGCTTGATTCTATGAAAAGGAATGACAAGTATAATATTCATAATAATATTAATATTGGTGCTTCAAAAAATAAATAATAACATCAGAAATTAAATTTTCATTCTATTTATTTACTCTCTTTTTTCCAAGCAATTATTAGACTATAACAGGAGGTGGCTTTGCCTTATCACAAAACCCTTTTGGCCAATCCTACATTAAATCCTTTTATCCATGTTATTGGAGAAAAGAAAAGAAAAGAAAAAAAAAAGAAAGATGTACCACTTGGTCGTAATGGCTAATTACAGTGGGAAATATTAATAAAATATTTTTGTTATATAAAAAAGAATATGATACTTTGGTTGTTTCTTGAAACTAGTTAGATATGGATTATTTAGGGCCAGTTTGGCATTGTTGTGCTGTGAAAATAATCGCTATCAAATTTGCTGTGAGAGAAAGCAGTTTGGCATTTGGTAAACTTGTGTTAAAAGTGTTATTGGTACTAATTCCCATATAATTAGAAAAAGATTCCCCCATAATCATTAAACCTAGCGCCTCTTCGAAATTGATTCATGCATAAACAAAAAATAAAAGCACCTCATTAGCTACTTTCCCTTATAGCTTTCTCTCACAACAATTTTTAACAATAAGTGATTTTCTCATAGTTTACCAAACGGACTAGGCTTCCCAAATTTTTTTAAAAATCACTTATCACCCCAAATAAGTAATGTCAAATAGGCACTTAATAATCTAGGGTTAATATTCTATATTAATTTATCATTTTACGGACCCTGAATTTTTTTTATTTTAAAAAAGGTTAAAATACGAGAAAGTTTGTCATGTAATTTTGGCTTATTTTTCAAGAAGAAATCTCAAATACAATTGTCATATATTGTATAAATGATCATCCAATAAACTACGTTTTCTCAGGAAGATAATATCAGTGCAAAGAGAAGACATATGAGCCAGTTTGGCATTGCTGTGCTGTGAAAATAATCGCTGTTAGATTTGCTGTGAGAGAAATCAGCTGTGAGAGAAAGCAGTTTGGCGTTTGGTAAATTTTTTGTTAAAAGTGTTGTTGGTATTGATTTGACGCAAAATCAGAAAATGATTGCTGCATAATCATTAAACCTAACACCTCTTCGAAACTGATTCCTGCATAATCAGAAAATGAAAGCACCTCATTAGCTGCTTTCCCTTATAGCTTTCTCTCACAGCAATTTTTAACAATAAGTGATTTTTTCGCAGTTTACCAAACGGGTTGGGCTTCTCAAAATTTTTTAAAAATCACTTATCACCCCAAATAAGCAATGCCAAACTGGAGTATAATACATAAATATTCGAGTTGATGATTGCTGGGTAGATGGGTTGATCAATAATTTCTTAAGCATCATTTTCATATTAAAGTGTATAAAAAACAAGATTTTCCGCAAAACAACAGGCTAAGGTCAAAATTTTGGGGGAAAAAAATAAAACAAAAAAGCTTAAATAAATAATATCAAGCATGATACAAGAACAACCTAATATTTAATTCCCTTTGACCGTCTCCAATTCCAACCAATCCAACGTCGACAAATTCTCAGTCTTGTGTGCACTCTCATCTCACAAGATCCCCACAGGCTCATCTCTCATGCAAAGTTGAAATTGTTTTTAGGGTTTAAAAAAATAAATTTGGGATTAAAATAGTGGCCGGATTGTAAATAAAAAAACATGTGCCTAACATTAATATAGACCGGCTGTGACGGTGAGAGGTAACAAGAGTGCCAAGGTTGGGTTGGCGGACCCTACAAAGTCAGCAAAATCAAGCCTACATGATTCCTCCACAAAATAAATAAAATAATAAAAAATAAAAAGTTGTCACCTTTCACAACATAAGAAGTACCAAAAAATGCCACCTAATATTCACATAGTTTATGCACTTGGTCAAGCCGGCCGACCTAAGCGTGTATTAAGAATTAATTATTGTGTAAAGTTTTCCTAAACCTATATGCTTTGCAGTTAGAATAGTGATATTAGGGTTTCCCCCAATGTAAATTAAGCACATAATCCACATCATGGAAAAATTATTGCTGTGGAAATGTGGGGAGGAGGACCACTAGAAAACTAATCTTTTGCGTTTCCTTTCTTAATTACTTTAGTCTTTACAGCTCTACTTGTTGAACTTTTATAGTGAATTAGAATATGTAGGTTAAATATGGTCAAGACAATAAACCAAATGTTAGGATTATTAGTCATCAAAATGCGCTATTAGTCATCGATTAATGCGAGTTTAACAGTGGACTTATTACGTCTTAATCGCTAGTTGAGAATCGTTTGCACGTCTGTGAAGAATTGACAAAAAAACAAAACTTAGATAATAAAATGCAAGCTCATAACTACTGTTAACTTGTATACCAAAGTAAAAAAAAAAAAAAAAAAAAAAAAAAAATACCTCATTATAGAGGATAATCGTTAGTGGTCTTTATGTCTTTTTTGTTTCGGGTTGTAACTTTTGCAATCGTGTTGAGATTCATGTCTTGTACATGTCTTTGATGTATTGCTGAATTTTTTATTTTTTTATAATGAATATCATAGTTTGATGCAAAATAAACAAAAAAAATCTTTACTAGTCTTCAAGTCTTTTTTCTTTAATGAAATCAGTATTCTTCTAATCCTTCTCTTGATTTAATTAGGATAAATCCTCTCCTGATCTCAATGAATAGGGTTCGTGTACCCTTCCTCCCATATAATGAGGGGGTCCATCTCCCTTCTATTTTCAACATGAACTTCTTTATTTTGTCTTTTCTTCCTTAGATTCCCTTTTGCATTGATGAGCCTGTTGACATTGGGATGTATAAAGTCTATGAAATGAAGCCATTGAAAAAAAAAAAGGAAGAAGAAGAAGAAGAAGAAAAAGAAAAAGAAAACCATGGTCATGCAATAATAACTTGAGTGCCTGTTATGCAGCCAAAGGTCACTCAATCCACATCGCTGGTATTTGCTCATTGGCAACCATCCCTTCATGACCTACTTGACAATTAGCTCCATCATTTTGCCACCAAGAATCTTCCAATTTTCTTTATTTATCAAAAAATAAATAAAATTGTGCCTAAACTTTCAAGTTAATTGAGTTTCTAGCCCAGTAAAAAATGCGTTAACTTGCAAACTAATAGTCTCATGTTTGAACTCTCATAACGTCATGGACTCATAGTGCTGTGTGAGAAAACCCCCTTATAGTTTAGATTATCACCTGTACTCAAAAAAAGAAAAATAAAGAAAAAAATTTATGGTTTTTTCATTCAAAAAATACAAAAGGAAAAATTCTAAAACCCATAATTAACTTACTCTAATTAAATTTTTGTTGGTACCTATTCAATGTATTTGTCTCTTATTATAGAATATCTAATTTCGGACACGTACAACCTTGAACCTTCCCATGTCCTACTCTTTGAATTATTTATTAATTAGTATATACTTAAGAAAAAAAAATCGTACAAGTTAAGCGAATAAGTTGAATGTTTAAACGGTTAGATTAATGGCAAAAAGGAAAGACTACTTGTCCACATTCCAAACAAAACAACAATGATTGTAATTATGAATATTATTATTATTATTATTTTTTTTTTTGGAGCTGAATATTTGTATATAATGGACTTTCGGTCCCTCTACTTTTGTTGCTCTTCCCTCCCGACCCCGGTAAGAAGAATTCGATTCTTTTTCCTTTTATTACTTTGCTATATTTTAAGTGAAAACTAAATAAGAACCACAAGCTAATGTGGGTAGGGAACAACATACTAGGAATTGGATTGGATAAAGAAAATTAGAATATAACCATTACTCTTTATCGTGGAAACGAACTGATTCATGTACCAAGAGTTACATAAAATACTCATAACCTTTGGGTTAATGGCATACTACAAGATTAATTAACTAGATAATCTATGGATATTTTTATATGTTGGAAACTTGGAATCTTACTTTCAACATCACAAATGAGATGCCGAGGTGATTAAAAATGTTGCGAGCATGTAGTCTTAAAGTTGTGCCTTTTACACGGAAACGGAAGTGAAAACCCAAACAAACAAACAAAAATGAAGAAAGAAAGAAAAAGAACCCTAGTTTTATTTTTTCGAGCCCAATGATATTTCTTTTATTAAAATTGAAGATGTCTCGAATTCGAATTTCTTCTTCCTCGTTGATCTCTGTATGTGTAATGACAAATGGTTAAATAAGAAAATTATTTATTAAATGCCTTATCATTATAAGATCTAATTCCCCTAAATCCAGTTCTTTAAAATATTTTACTCTTATTTATCTCCAAATTTATGTACGTTTTAGAGGGAAAAATTATAAACGATAACAACGAAAGCGTATTTGTTTATTTGTTTTGGTTTATATGTAAAAGCTTTTATTAATTTTATGTCAATCCAAAGAGTTTGAAGTTGATGATGAGACTTTTTCTTGGTATCCTGGAATTTGGGTTTGATTGTAGGAGGAGAGTGTAAAACAAACGTTTTTGGGAGCGTGATGAAGCAATGAATGTAATGTAATATGTATGGGTGAGATCAAAATGTTTCTATCATCTCCAATCCCATCACATTGTCATTGAGCACACACACACACAAGAAGACACAAAACACAACACAAGAGTCTCTCTCTGCAGTCAGCCAGGGCAGGGCTCTGAAGTCAATGCCTCTCTCTCTCTCTCTCTCTCTCTCTCTCTCTCTCTCTCACATTAAAATAAAATCTCATCACAAAATTCAGAGACATACATAGATGTCTTTGATGATAAAGGTTTTGCCATTGGTGGCACACACATGCTCATGCCCTCCCTCAAATTCCCATTTCAACCAATCACCTTTTCCACCTCCTTTATAAATCCCAAAAACAGTTGGGCCATTTTTCTCTCTGCCCAATCAACTCCCTCCATTCCAATCCAACGCCACTATCCCCAACACAACAAAAACAAAAACAAAAAAGAAAAAGAAAAAGAAAAAAGCGAAGAAAACAATTTCAACAAAGCTTGGAGGGACCAAGGTATATAGTTAGGGAAAACAACTAGCTAGACTGGAGGAAAAATAATAACTCAAGAGTCAGTCAGTCCCCCAAAACTGCAGAGAGAGGAAAACATCTTTAGTCCAACTAGAGAGAGAGAGAGAGAGAGAGAGAGAAGAGAAGAGGCACAACCACAAGATAACAAAACATTGCTAATAAGCAACAACCCTATTTTTCTTTTCTTTTCTCATTTCAAGGCCAAAACCAAAAGCCTTGTTTTTCACTCTTCCATCCAAATTCCAACTCTCCAAGTTGCAAAGCAAAAACCCATCATAAAGCAAGCTCTCTCTCTCTCTCTCTCTCTCTCTCTCTCTCTGTTTCTTTCAGAGGCAGAGTGGTTGTGGAGGTGGTGGTGAGAGGTGACTAAAAACCCACCAATGGAATTCACCTCAAGGCCTCAAGAAATCAGAGAGAAGCAACCATATTCATATTCTCCCATAAACTCCCCCAGAAGCAATGGCACCAACACAAACACAAAGACAAACACAAACAACAGTGTCTGCAGCAGCAACACCAACAACAACAACAATAGCTCAGGGGTTCAAATCCCCACAACCCCGAAGGTCACAACTCCCAGATCTGACCCCAATCCCTACCCAACAACCTTTGTCCAAGCAGACACCACAAACTTCAAACATGTTGTCCAAATGCTCACAGGCTCCTCTGAAACTGTAAGCCACCAATCTTCCCCCAAACCAACCACAACCCATCATCACCATCATCCTCACAGCCATCAAGATCCAACCGTTTTGCCCTCCTCCAACAAAAGCTTCAACATCCCACCAATCAAAACAGCCCCTCCCAAAAAGCAAGGCTTCAAGCTCTATGAGAGGAGGAGCACCAATCTCAAAAACACCCTCATGATCAACACCTTGATGCCCAATTTTCCCCATCAAGCATCTGGGTTCTCGCCACGTCATCAGGAGATCCTGTCCCCGAGCTTGCTCGACTTCCCTTCCCTCACTCTCAGCCCAGTGACCCCGTTAAACGACGACCCGTTTGACAAGTCCTCTTCGTCGCCTTCTTTGGGGAATTCTTCATCGGAGGAAGATAGAGCAATTGCAGAGAAGGGGTTTTACTTGCACCCATCTCCTAGAACGACGACAACTCCCAGAGACCCTGAACCCAGGCTTTTGCCTTTGTTTCCAGTCACTTCGCCCAGAGTTTCTGGGTCTTCTTCTTGATCATGAGGAAGAGAGAGAGAGAGAGAGATGTGTAGTATTATTACTGTGAGTGATTTTGATTACAAGGATCATCAGAAGATTAATGGGGTTTGGATGATTTTCAATGACAGGTACAGATCTTTGTTTTAATTGTACAATTTGATATCTCTTCCATAAAATGGTAAAAGGCAGCAGCTTTGTTTAACCTCCTCCTCCTTCTTCTTTTTTATTTTGCATTTTTATGGCTATTTTTCTTTTCTTTTTTTGTTAGTTATTTTCTATAGCACCAATGGAAGTTTGAAAATCAATTTTCCATGGAATCTGGGTGCACATATGAATGGGAATATGATTATCATTTTACCAACTTGCATATCAGTTTGACATTTCCTCCAAGAGAAATGCATTTTCTTTTTCCTTTTAAGTTTTTGTTTTAATGTTATGAATGTGTGTGTGTGTGGGTGTGGTGAGAGAGGACTTTTCAAAAGATGAGGGTGTGTTATGAAGTGTTTACTGATAATTACCAGATTGATTAAGAGTTTAATTGAGTTTGAGTATATTTGAGAGTGGGATTCAATTTGTTGAAGGGTTCTTACTTAGGGTCCCCCATTGAGCAGAAAAAACTTGTATGAAACGGGAATAACACTGTTTTGTCATCCCGACCAATCACAAACTACCACGAAAAAGATATAACGCGTGGCACCGAGTCCCAATTTCATGTAAATGTTTCGTCCCATAGAGGAGGGAGAGAGGGAGGACCACATTTCCCATTTCCACCGACTCATAATATCATATGGTCTTCTTCTGTCAGCTGTTGCAAATTGTTGAGCTAATGCAATGTAGTACGAATATATGATGATCCGGTGGAATTGCCATTGATCTGATATTCAAATGATGTCATTTTATTTTGTTTTATTGATAAAATAGCAATATTGGCAATAAGTCACTTTCTCTTCTTATGTAGACCAAGGTCCATGGGTACTTTGGTCTTATTATTGATTTTTTTCCCCTTACCAGGAGAGATTTTTGGGGAGAGGGAAGCATGATTTATGAACCCCTATATTATTGGTTATGTTGACAGAAAAAGTACAAAAATTGTCAGATGCAAATTTTATTTTTATTTTTTGGATCACTGCCTTTTTAATATGAGTCTTTTTCGACCTAAGATTTTCAGAATCCTATCCCAGTTCCAGCTGTGTAAAGTTTCAGAATTTCAGTTGGGGAATTCTTAGGTTATGGGGTATAGGATGATATCTACCCGTCGATGTATTCAATGACCAAGATAAAAGAAAGAGAAATCCTTTTTTTATTCTTTTCCCCAGAGAAACTTGCTATTGCTTGCACGACTTATACGGATTTACCATGTCATTTATGGATCAACACAATAAAAGCCAAATATATCCGACTTTTGATTTTATTTCAGATGTTTTGTTTCAAGATTGTAATAGGGAATTTTTACGAGTGTGATCCTAAGGGGATTGGGGTGCTCTATCGGAGGCTAGATTCCTTCTCCTGCTTGCGGTTGAGAGGGTAGGCTACATAGTTAGCTGACGACCAATAACGCTCATTTAGTGTAAAGATACTCGCCTAATCCTCTACGATATAGCATGATTTTGTGCTTGTTTCATCCCTCATCATTAATGGAAATACTATTGCCTTTGTGTGAAAAAAATGCATAGCAGCCATTAAGTACACATTTCATTAATCAATCATGCTAATGAATAATAGGCAACACTCGGTCTACAAAATACATTCCACAATTATTACACGTATTTAGAGTTTATCTCAAAACATCATACGAAAATGAGAATGAGGGGTTTTCTTGTTACTTAAAAATGTGACGGTTCCATGGTAGTACTTTAGATATGAAGAGCTCAACTTTCATGTCAAAGTGTCAATCCACATGAAAAGAAAAGTCTTGCACTTTTTTATAGTTAGGGTTTTCCATTTATGTACAAGCTTACCTTGTGCTGAGATATAAAGACTTGCGGACCAGAAGGAACTCATCCAAACATTCCTTCTCTTTTTTTCTTCATTTGAGTTTTATTGTGATGTAGACTCTTTTGACTTGGAGAGCAACAACTTTCTCAATGTGTGGACGCAAGAAAGAAAAAGAAGAAACAAAAGGTGGGGCTGTTGTTATGACAGTGAGAAGGAAAGGAGAAAATACAGTACAATTGAATTAAGAAAGCTGCAGAGAAAATGTGAAGACTTTTTCTTTTCCTATTTGAACACTCATTCTGTCATTGTGTCTCTGGTCTGGTCTGGTCTGGACATAGGGTACGTTGAACTGAAAAACCGCCAAGATCTTTTTGCAGTTTGATGCAAACTAGATTGTCTTTTTTGTGCCAGTTTTAGCTTGACAAGGCTTGTTGCTTTTATTGGGATGTTCAACCAGTCTTGGATTTTTATTATAAATTGGAAATCTTGAGGAAATTTATGCATTTCTTAATATTTCAGGGGGGGTGTTTTACCCCCAAAATATATATATTTTTTAATTAAAAAAACTTAGGTGGGTAATGGGAATTTGGAGACATGACAAGCCTCAAGAAGAGGAAATCAAATTATTTTTAAAAAAGTAAAAACACATAAAATCTATGACACGGATGAAAGTGAGATTCTGTCCTAAATTATTGGGACCATGTTGGGGGCAACTCCAATAAAATTCTTTCATTATAGGACCATGTTGGTAGCTGTAAACTCCTAGTTAAGGATTTAACTGTAAACTCATTATAGGACCAGGGAATGGACCTCTTCCAATAAAATTCTTTCACTATAAACCTAGTTAAGGATTTATGTGCTTTTATTAGAGTGGTCAACTGCTTAGACACCCACAGAAGTAGTCTTTTCCCAACTAGAGCTACATATGATACGACTATGACTGCTTACACAGCTACAAAAGTAGCGTCTTTTACCAAGCAATTTAAACTGAAAACAAAACAAAATAAAAATCCAAGAAACACGGTGATGCATATATATACAAGCGATAGTCTAAACTAATGGAGAGAGAAATTTCTCATACAAACACAACTAAGATGTCAGGGGGTTCAAACCTGAGACCTCTTGTCTACAAGTCAAAGGCTCTATATAAGACTATTTTTTGACAACCTGGAAAAGTTGTATATTTTATTCATGTATTTATTCATGGCAATACATATTTCATGTTATATGATTACAAAGCACACATTCAGATTTCCGCGAAAGAATTGATTGTCTTGAACCCATGATTTTCTGGAAGAGGTCCATTCCCTGGTCGGATAGATATAATAACTTCCAATCCTGAAACACAAAAAAAGTATTACAAATTTATAAATAAACCCAATCCTAGACATGTATTTATAAAAAAAACCCAAACACTATTTAAACATATAAACACACCCAAAATCAACAATTGTATATTTTTTGGGTGTGTTTATAAATGGGTTTTGAGTGTGTAATGATGGGTTTTTGGTGTGTTTATAAAGTGTTTTGGGTGTTGGGTTTTTTTATAATTTCAGCTCCTATTTTGGGTGTTTTAGTGAAACTCCCAAGACAAAAACTGAATAACAAGTGTTCATCTTTCCTTCTCTTTTTCAGTTTTTGTTATGTTGGAGCATCATTGAACTAGCAAGGATAGAAAACTGTGTAGCTACTACGGTTATCAATCTTCTGTCAAAGGTCTCCATGACAAAATAAAGGTCATTAAGATATTTCGATTATATTGATCTTCTGGTGGTTCTCATATCTTCAGAACAATAAATTATTTATTTATCCTTCTAAAGTACATAAGGATTGTAATGTTGAAACAGTGCCATTGCTAGACCTTTTAGCATGATAGTGTATGATGCCATGCCCTTTGCAAGCATACTCATATCCCCATTCTAAGGACGACAAGGTCCGCATAGGCACTATCCAGAACTCCTGCGAGCACCTACTGATTTCCCAGACACATTAATAACAGAAACTGGCGGTAGGGAAGGTCCTAGCCCAATCTGTGGTAGGGGAGAGGTTCCTAGTGTGGATTGCCAATACACAAAGGGAGAAAATCCTACAGGTTTATACACCATTGTCTAACAATTAGCGGTCATGTGCTAGCCACATGACCGGGTTGTTGATAGGAGGGTCTATACACCTGATTACATTTAACATTTTCTGTAGAGGGGTGGGGTAAAACAGGCAACTCATTACCTGCTTCCTTTGCAGCAACAGCTTCTTGAAAGACATCTGTCACAAATAAAACCTGTGATGGCTTATCAACTCCAACTGATTGTACAATTTCAGCATAACTGCTACTTTCCCTTTTGTTCCTGAGAGAGAGAGAGGAGAGAGGAGAGAGAGAGAGAGAGAGATTTTAGCTAGGTTTAAATGAATTAGGAAGCTGGAAGTAGATATACATTCATGTTAAGTAAAAATATTTTTTAAAAGAAGAAAAAGATTCTGAGTTTTAAATGTACCCCACTGTGGTGTCGAAAAATCCAGACAAATATTCTCTTAGGTCCCCATAGTTTGAGTTGCCAAATATAAGTCTCTGTGCCAACCTGCTACCACTAGAGTATATGTACACCTGCCGCACAAAATCTCAACAATTAAGATATGTCTTCAAGAAATGAAACATCAACTTCATCAAGGAATTCAATCTAATCTAATTTGTCTAGTTAGCATATGTACCAAAGAAACTGGAAACATTCGCGGCCCATGAACTAAAACTTGACCATCCTCAGAGATTGCAATTTATATGCGAAGAAAAATGAAAATAGGATCATTACCTTTATGCCAGAATTATGCCATTTCTTAAGAGCTTCTGGTACATCCTCAAAAACTACTCCCTCTAATTCCTTCTTTTCATATCCAGTTCTCCAGATATGTCCCTGCATAGCCGAAAGTCAGTTATATCCCAAATGATACGCAACATAGCAAGAAAATTCCTTATAAGTACAAAAAATTGCTTACTTGCAACTGTTTCAAGGCAGTGATCTTCCGATCAGCTTTTATCATCGATTCAACATTAGCAACCAAAGCTCCAATAACCTCCTCTTTCCCTACAACATCCAAGGGGATGGGAACAGAACCAACAACACCTTTTTCCAGGTCATCTTGAACCTATAATAAAGAGGTAAAACTTTCAATTATCAGTTCAAAGTGTCGAGCTTACTTCTGTGAATTTGATATGTGCATGACAAATTTAACTTTTTAAATAAAACATTAAATTGCTAGCCTGAGTCCAGAGTAGTCAAAGATTTCCAGTTTTTAACTTCTAGCAGGGATTGAAAGATAAAACTTTGGTTTTCTCACTTAAAATTAATTATATTTGCATTCTTATAGAAAAAAGTAATTGTATTCATAGCACAAGTCAAACTCAAAGGGACTACTTTAATTCTAAAGCAATGCTATTACCATGAAATTTTCAATGACCTACTGTGGCAGCATCCTAGTGTATTCACACACCATGTGGTGCACTACTGACCCAGAATTAACAGCTGCAAACTAATGTGGTTATATACAGGTGTACAGTCAACAAAACATCACTCCAGAACAAAAATCTTACCTGGGAGCGCAACAACTTTATGTCATCTTGAGTTTCTGCGGTGTCATATGTTGCAGACAAATGCCTCCCAACATTATTGCGGGCATATGGAAAGAGAACATCAGTCACAAACGATATGGGAGTAGTAGTTCCCTCAATGTCAAGAACAATGCAACGCTACAGAAAAACACGAAATACATAAAGAACAGGAAAAAGACATTAGTTTTATATGAGAAATCGTGAAAATGCTAATTATCAAAATTCTCAACCAAAAGGCAATATCTGCATTCAAACAGAAAAATATATAAAGAAGCAGAAAAGGTGAGGTTTCTAAGTAAACTAAACAACAACGAAATTAGACAAGAACCCAGAGAAATAAACAATTAAACTCACTTGTGACGGGTCAGATTTATTATCTGAAGCTGGAGTCCCAGCATTCACAGATATGTTTCTGTGAATACCACTTCCTAAAACTCCTTTGACATTTTGTATAGGACCATGGATTGGAGTAGACGGGTCCAAACCCAACTGGTTAAGTTTGATAGCAGCATCAAAGAGATAGTGATAGCATTCAGCCTGAAACAAAGAAACAAAGAAATATATATATATATATATATATATCAGAATTGAGTAGAAAGCATTAAAATGAACCTTTAAGCCACTAAGAGAATAAGAGGCTCCATAGTTTTAGATCAATACTTTAGACATCAATATATATTGGTAGAAACTAGAAAGCTTAGTACGCTACATATTTGCAATTTTTCCTTTTCCTTATTCCCATTCTCCCTTGTTGGTTCTTTTGGCAAAATCTATCCATGCTTGAAGAGGACACTGCCTGTTGTAGCTTTAGTTTTATCACCAAGCTTAAGATGCAATTGAGATTCACAAAACTGCTGCTTGTTGCGACTTTATAACACCATTCATATGAACAGAAACATAAACTTGCAACTTTCAGTAACCAGCATGCATACACAAGTATGATATAGCACACAAAATGCCCAACCCCTTATGCACAAGTGATTCTTTTACCTTTAATATTTACACTGGTTGCCTAACTAGCAGTTGTAGGCATCACATACTGCAAAATCAACAATTATTCCCTAAGATACGCACCTGAGTTTTAGCGCTGATCCATGAGTCTCCCCATATATAGATGCCATGATTACGAACAAGCACAGCTGTTGTTTTTGGGTAGGCTTCAATCTATAGAACATGAAAGAAAGCCAATACTCATCCACATAGTAAATCCTAAGTTTAATATTGACATAGCAATCAAGCAAAACTAATAAAATGAAGTGCAACGGGATTAAGTACATAATTGTGCCATGTATGAACTTAAGCAACCATATGTCACTGGGATGAAGTCCATCATAATATTAGTTTACGTCATCAAAAGTTGATAGGATCACTACACCAAAATAAGTTTAAAACTTGAACATACAGCTTTGGCAAGAGACTCTGTCAGCTCATATTCATAGGCAGTGTTCTCTATTATTGGGACCACAAGTTCATCATAATAACCATGCCCTTGGATTCCTTTGATCATCTCCATATGAGTAATCTGCACATTTGTATACCACAAGAAAAGAAAGCAAACTATTAAAAGAGACAACCAGTAACAGTAGGCAGGAATAATTACACAGAGGAAGTGCTAGACTCGCCACAACGAAAGAAAAAAAAAAAGTATATATACGTATTGGCTTTTGAGAGCAAGTAAACAGTCCATCGCAACACATTAACTGAGTTATCACTTGGCACTCTAAAATCATGATACCTTTTAGATTTTCACTGCCATTATTCTGCACACGTTCTCCTAAGTTTCTAACTAATATTACAATTCATGAATGCAACATTTTACTATTAATTTGATATTGTCTCCTGCTTGATGTTCTATTTTGAAATATAACTAGAAATTTATGTGACATTCCTAGTTTCCACTCCTCACATTGACTCCGGTTTCATTTTCAAGCTAGAATTACGCTTGAACTACCCAAATTTCTGGAGCCCGTACTCTGCTTTAATCCTCATTCTACTCTATACACAAAGATATCAAAGTATTGCTCAAGGAAAAGCATACTGTTTCAAAGACTTCTGATCTTATAGATCATTTCTGAGATAAGAAAGAAACCAAATAATATTATTAACGTAATATACTAAGGGAAAGTCTATTGTACTTTTATCTGTGGGAAATAAGCAGCTGAAATTCCATCATTTAGAAACTCCTTCAATTGTTTGAAAGCAATAAGATCACATGCAAACCTTACGCTAACAGATGCAGAAACAGTTGCATCAGACAAATCTTAGCTCACAGCTAATATATCAATTTTCTTTCTATATTCTGTTGGCTGCATTTCCTATCGTATTACTACAAAGTTTCATTCTACATACCTCTATTAGAGGCTAGAAAGTTCATTAATTTTCAAAAGATCTTGAAAGAGGGAGTCAATACAATGAGACAATTCCAACTTTTCACGCAAAGGGAGGTGAACATAAAAAAGGGGAAAAGAAAGATATAGACAGCAATGAATAAAAACACGAGGTCCCTGTGTTTTTGTGTATTTATTAGCACTTAATATCCTCACTAATGGATACCAGGAATAAAAACTTACTCGGAATTCTTTTGCTAATGGATTGATCATTGTTACAAGACAAGATTCTATCCCATGACTATGAATAACAGCCCCAGCATTACGCATCTCATATGCCTGGAAAACAAGGGAATATATGTCAACCAAAACATCTCAAAAGAGAGGTCAGCCTTACCAAATGGTGAGTATTCATGAACCCCAACATCCACAAATAGGATATGTCATAACATGGAATGAAAAAACACAGAGAAACAGGATCAGTGCCTGGCATTACAAGGTTAAACAATGTTTTAGTAAAATTGTATGTTTGAAGCTGTTGAATTGCCTTCAAGAAGCAAAATGGCCTGAAAGATATAGGAAATAGTAGTTCCTCAACATTAGTTTCAACATGTCTCCAAAACTAACAAACGAAAAGAAAACTTATTACTTAGAAAAAAGGGCACTAGCATCCAACATGGAACACTGGAACCAAGATAACCCAATGAACACAGTTTTATATGTAGTAATAGTGAAATAAATAGTGTGGGCAAAGGGACTGCTATCCCAATTCACATGATCCAGATGAGTCTTCATGACTGTTTACATCCAAAATCATGTAAGTTCCAAATCACTCTGCATTGTACCTTGTAATTGAGATTCCTTGACATTTTTCTCCGCGAAATCAATCGCCTCTTGGCTATATTCTGATAGGGATCCAATAGTCATAAGCAATCAAAGTCTTCATGAGTGATTATTTTGGTTGCTAATGGAATGTAGGAAAAGATAACGCATAGAAGCTCTTTCTTTTTTGGTTCATTATCGAATTTCCTTGACTATGTTCAATATTTGGAACTACAACCTCCACCTAGTTTAGCAGCTTTAGCTTCCCACAAATTTAAGGTTTAAAATTTTAATCTATTATCTTCTTGTGCTTAGCAACTATAGATAAGACAACTGAATATGGGAATAAAATGCTATGGCCACTAAAAAGTTATGAGTTTGCCCAATACCCAACTTACTACAGCACATATACCCAAAAGAATCCCAGAATCTTTTATTATTGTCCTAACCATATAATCAGATATGGGCCCAAATAATAAATTTGCAGAGTGGAGCAGATTAGCCATTTCAGAGTTTTTAAATATTCTGACTGATAACTGATTTGTCAAAATCAGACAATAGTCATAGCTAACTTCATACCATCCATGTAAGCATAGTGTTTATAAGAAGCACAAAGAATTGATACCTTCATAAAAAGTGGACCACAATCAGAACACTTAGGAGGTTTGTGTGGGTACGGCTTCGGAGATGGAGTTGACAAGATAGACCCATTTGGAGATAACACATACATGTCCTCTGGTAGCATTCTCTCCTTCTGAACGCCTACCACATAACAAACACATGAAAAATTAAGCCCAGAAAACCCATAAAAGGACACATATCGAGAATGTACTTACAGTGCAACCATATTCTACAAGAATGGATAAACTCACTTCTCATTCAATGACTACAAAACCAAACCAACAGTGAGCTATTACACTTGTTTTAGCAGGGAATAAACGCCATAAGGCAAAAAAAATTTCGCCTTTAAGCTTGAATGATGCATATCCGAAAACAAATAATTAACAAGCACATAACAAAGTAAGCTAACAAAGAATTTTCATTAATAAAAAAGCCCACCTGTGCTTGAACGCCTACATAACATTCCAAACCATATGCAATATTGAGCTCATACGACAAAACACAGAAGAGCCAAAAAGACTCAACATTCAGCATAAATTAAAAATGCCCAGAAAGCAAACAACCAAAAAGAACACCCACAACACAAACTTTAGCTAATATAACACCTATACAGAAATCAAAAACACAAACAAGCAACACACACAACAAACGGAGCAAAAACAATGAATACCCAGAAACCAAAAACAGAAAACCCAGAAAAGGAGCTGTAGAAAATTGAGTGAAAAATACCAGAGGGAGACATGACTACGAGTTGTTGGGGCTTAGGAACAGAGTCATCGTGAACTTTGATTGTGATGCTACCACCAGTCCCTGAGACCCATCCAAGATTGTAGAACTGGCGGCACAGGTCTGATATCAGAACCTTGGTGTCGCTCACTGCTCTGCTTTCCAAGTAAGCCTGCGAAGCCGTACCGAGTTTCGCTCCGTTCATTGCCACTGCCGCCATTGCGAGTCTAGAGAGAGAGAGAGAGTGATTGAGCTTCAATACTAGGCTACCTTCAAAGTATCTGAATAAATAAAAACTAACAAAAGAACAAAAAAAAAATTATGAAAAAGTTCAAAGCTTTATATATATGATTGTGTTACCAGCTGGTGAGTGAAATGCCGAATTTCATTGGGCAAAGACCAAACTCTGTGCCAAAGTCTGTTTTGTTACTTTTGTTTTGTAGGTGTGTGACCAAAATTTGCTCCATTCGTCAGCTAATTCTTATGTGAAATTACTTTATTAATATTGTGAAATTGGCTAAAATAGCCCTTTTCACAAATTTTATTCTGACATAAATAGGGAACTATAATGACAACAAAGAGACACTATATGGAGAAGGAGATATTGTAGAATAAAAGTTGTGACAAATGCTATTTTAGCACAAACCCCTTAAATATTTTATTTAATTTCTAAACGGAAAAACAAAAAGGGGATTAAAATGGGCAAGACCCAGCTATCCAAAAAAAAAGGTATGAACCACAAGATGTGGTGCGTTTGACAAACTGTCATTTTCAGTTGGCGGACTGTTTGGTGCCTAACTAGCAGGGATTCTAAACCAATTAGAATGACATGGGCAAGCCGAATTCCGAGCAGGAATTAATCTTACCCTTCAAATGTGGGAACATCTCGTGATATTTATCCCACAAAAAAGAAAAAGAAAAAGACATGACTCATGACTTCCTGCCATCTTTTGCATCACCACCTGCCTATGTTGACTATGTCCTTATTCAGATTTATGCGTTATATTTTGATATTGTTGTAGATGGGCAATTTAAGCATTTTCATTTTGTTGAGGCTATACATCAAGGATATTATGGTACATTTGGATGAAGAATCTAAAAGTACTTCAATGCTTGGATAAAAAAGATACGTCATCAAATATATCGGGATATCACCAAGTATTTTAATCTTATGCATACAAGGCACCTCAAAGCACTTCCGATTGGGTATTAAAATTTGTATGAAATGAGAATAACACTATTTTGTTGCTATTCTTAACCAATCATAGACTGTCACATAAAAAATTTATCATGCATGGTATACGATGTTTCTCCCAATTGGGAGTGGGATGTGGGTGAGATGTTCCATTTTAAAAATAAATAAAAACATTTGTTTATGAGAATCTGTAAGAATAACGTTAAGTGAGGTTGTGGGCTTAATATAGGCCTCGTCTGCTAAGAATTTTTTTTTGTTTTTGGGCTGTAGCCCCCCAAGTTTATCAAACAAGATATTTAGATAACGTTGTAAGGTTTTGGGCCTTTATGGATAAATCCTCAAAAATCTACTTTCTCTAAATTTATTTATTTCTGCCTCACTTTAATAGTAATTCTTTATTTTTTGCCTCCTATTAGTAGTAATTTATCAATCTTTTGGCTCCATCTTGGTAAAATGTATGTTGCACCCTTTTTTTATTTATTCTTCTTCTTGTTATAAATATCTTTTTCGACATTTTTTCTTTATACCAGTGATATTGTCTAAATACTCGATGGACTCACTATTATGATCAACTTGCACTTATACACATTTTTTTGGCATTTTCTTTTTTCATTTGTTGCAATCTTACTTTATTAATTTTATAAAAACCCCAGACCATGTTCGACTTCTGTGCCCACATCTTAGCTTTGGTCTCCCGCCACTTCTTCTACCATACCACAAAGATAACCAAATAAATTCATCATAAGAATACAATATAAACTAAGTAGAACTTGCCATTGGAGTCTAGCCGAGTGGAAAAGAGGTTTGATTTGCATATCAAATTAGTCTCATGTTCGAACCTCCAAGGCATCTTAGCAGTGTGTAAAAAAAAAAAAAAAAAAAAAAAAAAAAACTATCTCTCTTTGTAGTTTAGACTATCAATTGTATTTTTAAAAAAAAACTAAGTGTAATTTTTATTGTAAAATAATATAGAATTTAATGAATTATGTCTTAACTAGTAGCCATATGTGTGTAGATTATTCTTTAATAAATAAATAAAAGATAAAATCAAATCACCTGCATAATTAATATTTGCAAGGAGGATCAGCATCGCCAAAGTAACGAATAGGTGAAGGGATATCCTTGTTATAGCCATATATACTTTTCTCACTAACGAAAGGTAAGAGAAACAACTATATGTAAGGAAGCTTTATAGCAAGATATAACGAAACCAGGAGTATATATTCGCTCTTTAATGACAAGAAGCCTAATTACTATCAAATAAAAAATAGTCTCGTCGCGCGGCTATAATTGGTTTTTCCTATTTTTACAAATAGTATGGCCGGGAGGTTATACTCGGTTTTTGATATTCTTTAAAAATAGTATAGTCGATTGTCTTTACTTTTTGACACGTGGCCCCTAGTGCTGACTAGGTCATATCGTATAGCCGCGCGGCTATACTCGTCTTGCCCTTTTTTTTTAGAAAATAGTATAGCCGTTCGGCTATATCCCGTTTTAAAATTTTTTTTAAAAATGTATAGCTGCACGGTTAAACTCTGCTAATTCGGAAAATTCCACTGGCATAGACCTATGCCGACGAACGATTGTCGGGAGAGTTTTTTTTTTAAATTTTAAATTTTAAAATATAAAATTAGTTTCTTTCCCTTTTTTTTTGGCCAACTTCTTTAATTTAATATATGTAATTAAGTAGTATCTTACCCTTTTTGAATTACTTTAATTAGTTATTATGTTTTAACTATTATTTCTTTAGTGAATATTTAAATATGTTATATGTTACTGATTTCACAAATGACTTAATAAATAGTAAGTACTTGAAATTCAATGGACGTCAAAAAGAAATTATTTATTTTCATTTGAGTGTCTTAATTAAATTTCTCCATAGTCCGAGAGCCCCAAGCCCCAAGTCTTTGATTAATATAATTAATATTAATGAAAGCCAAATCCAAAGCCGTGTGACTATACTCTATTTTTAAATTTTTTAAAAAGAAATAGTATAGCTGCGCAACTATACTATTAATATATATAGTGTTATCTTTTTTTTTCTCCAATTTTCGTCTATCAATAAGAGTTGTTTAAAACATTATCCATTACTATTATGCCATTACTCGAGTCTCTATTGTCCCCTTCTAATTTTTTTGCTTTTCTAGAGTTATTACTCATATAAAGATTTTAGTACTTTCAAGTTTAATAATGTATTATACACATAAATACATATTTTTCAATAATACATTTGTGTTCTGCGAATGTCTTACAGACTCATTAAAGTACACATTTAAAAATAAATAAAAAATAAACATATAATACTCGTATTATACAGGCATGTATGTATTTTTCATGTTTAATACATGTACTTTTAAGTTGTAAATTGCCAAAATTTTGCCAAATAAAACAGGTACGTACTTTGTTCGTATTTTTTTCCATTCCGTATTTTACTCACTATGAATTAATGTGAGAGGCTAAGATTATTTCTTACTTATTGTAACAAAAATGCAAGATGGTGATTTTGTGATCTCTTTGCCAACTAGAACAACAATTTCAAACAAAGATTTATGGGTATAGCAATAGGAGAGGTGGTAGTATTCTTCATATAAAGTGTTGTTTGAAAAGTGAAGTAATTATCAAGAACACTCCAACTCAGCATGCAATTCTCTACGACAAATAATGTGTGTAGTAACAAAATTTAATATTACTTGAGAGAACGAGATCAATTAAAGGCAAACATTCCCACACAAAATAAATAAATAAATAAATAAATTGAACTCTCTAATTGATTTACTATGAAATTTCTCTTTTTTCTATATCAGCTTTGGATGTTGAAACTAGCAAATTAATATTTATAAATAGTATAGCCGCACACCTATACACGATTTGAATACATGTCAAGCAATGGGACGCAAATCATCGTCATCTTTGTCATAAAATTAAACTAGCGAATCAAACCTTTTTCCATCTCTCTTTCTGGAAAAAAATAATATGGAAACTAAATGAATTATGATTGTTGCAAATTAATTGTTTAAAAGCTTCTTGTGCGATGGCTCCGACACCAACAACCAAAAAGGTAAAAAAAAAATTTAAGCATAGCCTGGCTTACCTGATGAACCAAGGGGCAACGAGTGAAATAGATGCAGAGGTTGAGTTTTGCACAGGGAAGAAGAAGATGTAGGGACCGAAGATGAAAAGACGTGCAAACTTGTGTAGTAATTTATTTTAACTTTTTTAATTAAAAAAAGGGCTAAAAGAGAGTTAACAGAGTTAAACTCCTATTAAGTTGTGTGTCACATGTCACAAAACTAAGAAGAAATTAGGGGCACATGGAATTTAATAACAAGAAAATTGGACTCGATTCCGTATATTAGGTATATTGATTCGATACACAAATTATTATTAGGGAGTTTCATTAAAACACCCAAATGGGGTCTGAAATTATAAAAAAACCCAAGCACTATTTAAACATATAAACACACCCAAAACCCATCACACTCAAAACTCATTTATAAACACACCCAAAAAGTTGACTTTGGGGTTGATTTTGGGTGTGTTTCTATGTTTAAATAGTATTTGGGTTTTTTTATAAATACATGTCTAGGATTGAGTTTATTTATAAATTAATCATTTCAAAGATCTTTGGTTCAAATAGTAGCGTTAATAAAATATACTACTGCACTAATCTTTTATTGGTTTTTTTAAATTATTATCTAAGAATACAATTTTAAATTGATTTTTGAGTTTCTCATGTCAAAAATTGTCACTCCTTTTAGATATGCCTAAATATAACATATATATGTAAAAAAAATTTTTTTTGAGAGACTATGTGTAAAGATTATTATTCCTTAACATTAAAAGACTCTGATATTTTCAAACATCCCACCCCAAAAGAAAAAAATTCAAAAAAATGAAAGTGGAGTGTTTGGTCATGGAGACTAATATTGCTGTGCATCTGATTATACATATCCAGGATAACATCCCACTCTTTTTTTAGTACATTATCCAACCAAAAAACCACCTCTGCAATTACAAGAGCAATATCTCTCTCCTTCTGTCTCTCGCTCTTCCCACCATGTCAACCGGAAGGGACCGTCTACTGAAGAACCTGAAGAAATTTGCTGATTTTCAATACAAGATCTTCACAGCTCGATATGGACAACAGCTCATTGACATTTTCGAGTTCCCTGTTAAGCTTGTTCTCTCTCCTTTCACTCTTGCCATTGACATTGCTGGCTCTGCTCCACGCGGGTTTGGCGTGCCCGAGTTGGTTTCCAAGCTCTCTTACATGTCAATCTTTGTGAGTTTTTGTAAAACACGAACTTTTATCATGTGGGAATTTATCTGTCTGTTGCAAAGTTTGAGAATTTAGTTGCTCTTTTAACTTATTACTGGAAATTTTCATTCCGTGCCATGTGTTACTAGGTATCTGTAAATGGGTTGGTGGTGTTTTTTGAGTTTTGGGTTAAAGAATGGATTTTGGTATGCAATTCTGAGAAGTTGACTGAAGTTTTGTGTGGTTTGTGTCATTTGGTTAATCGGGTCGATGGTTTTTGTTCATTGGTTATTGGGGTTTGTGTGGATTTTTGTGGCAATGAATGTAGTATAAATTGGTGAATATATAATTATATTGGCCTGCTGAATTATGTTTGTAGTTCAGTGAAGTAAGTTATGAGGTGCTACTACTCTTGGGAACTTGCATATTCTAAGTGCTTTATTCTCTTTTGGTTTTGTTCATGGGTTGATTTCAGGCAGTTGCTACCCTAGGGACTTATGACATAGCATTAGAGCTGGGAAAGAAGGTGATATGTCAGAGGTATTTTTCATTATCCCTTCAATTTTCAAGGCGGTCCTTATCTTTCATTATGTTCATATGCTCCGTTTGATATTGTAGCATCGAACAATGTAATAGTTTATGGTTTTGCAGTATATACATGTAAATATATATATATATATATGTGATCTGTAGATTGATCATCTAACAAAATAACATGCTAAACTCATTAGTAAAAGAAAATTAGTATTTGCATAATGTATAAAGATGACGCTGTACTTTCCACTCTATTCGTTCAGAAGTAATTAAAAATGTATAGCATTTTGTGTAATTTTTCAAAACCATGGTAGTATTCCTGGTTGATCTCTAAGCTGCCAAATTAGGTTTAAAAGAATCTTAGTTGTGAATGTTTTCCATGGTGAACTTGATGATATTACTAGGTTCATAGTTTATAGGAATTGGATGATTTCTTAATTGCAGTCTTGAAGTGCAGGAACTGTGGAACCTGCAACGGTTGGCAGGCATTGCGGTGTACCATGTGTAGAGGATCAGGGAGGGTGCACTACCAAGTGAAAAATTACACCTTGAAAAGGTAGACTTCTCTCCAACTAGATTTTAATTCCTAAATATGAAAAACATGGTAACTCTATGAGCTACAAGATGCTTTTATTTATTACAAAGTGAAAAGATTTTAAAGGAAAAAAGGAGGCAGATTTGCCAAGTATGTTGGGCTTTGATTTTTAAGTATCTGCTGTATCTTGAACAGTTTATCACTTATTTTTCTGGGAATTTTTCACTTTTGCGTAGACAGATGGCTAATAAAATCTGCCTATATGAGAATTCTTCTAGTAATGTACTGTCATAATTGGCATCTTTAAGTTCTCAGGTGTGTATGCAATCCTGTATTGTAATCACTGTAGGGGTTTGATTGATTGGGTATTGTAATATACTGTGGTGTTTGCTTTAGTTGGGAGCACATGAAAATATAATATATCAATTTACCCAAAACAACTTATGAAGATAAAACTGATAGTTGTTCATGCAAAAAGTTAAGGATACAGGATTCAAATTCTATTAGTATTATACGAACTTATTAAAGTCTTAACTACCCAAATATATGATTAAAAGAATTCTAAGTTCTGGTATAATGTTTGAATAGCATGTGTAGCAAGTCCCACAAATGGGCAATAATGTCTCCTGCCAAAATCTGCATTGAGACTGTGAACTTTGATAAGATAATATGACTCCACCATCAAGAGCTTCTTATGGGCCTCATAGTATATTCCTTCAAACCAAACTATGGCTTTCATTCTAAAAAATGGGAATTCATTTGATTGCTGGAAGTTTAGATTTCCAGAATTTATTGAAAAGGACTCTTTTATTTGACTAGAAGTGGAGGTTACTAGCATTTTAGAAAGAAATGTGTTGCAACGTGGTTTCTGAAACTAAATATAGTTATTCTGCACTGTTTCTCCTTGTTACTACAGTTTCAGACATTTATGGTGCAGTATGTTTTGGTATGTTATGGCTATTAATATTATCATCATCAGCCTCACCAATGCAATGAATCCTTTATCCAACCATACCAATATGATATTTTATCATGTTTATTTTTCATATGAATCCTCATCAGTGGAGAGAAGGCAACAGCTGAATGTATTGCAGATGCCATTGCTGATAATCGGGCTGAGTTGGTTCACCTTCCATCCTCCATAAATCTTAATGCGCCATTACCATCTAAAGACTGCCCGACCTGTGATGGCACGGTAAACCTTTTGGTCCGAAGTACAGTTGACTTAGTTACATGCATTTTCCTACTATTTCAAACTCAAAATCAGTAATTTTTATCCCAACTATGAGGGTTACCATCTCACAAACTGAAGATCTGCGCTCATAAATGTCCTCCTATGTTAAGAGTGGTATGAGAGGGGGAGAGGGAGAGAGAGAGAGAGAGAGAGAGAGAGAGCCACTACGAGACTTTTATCTCTTCTTCTGTTGTAATTGTGGAACACCCTTAACCATGCAACTCTTCTTATGCGATTCAGAAGTTGGGAACCCAACCTAAAAATTACCGATGTCTAGTATACACTTATTTCTGCATATTTTCCTACTTCCCTCCAGTCATTTTCTGCATTTTGCAGCATCATACTTGACATGATAGTTTATTGTATTGCAGGGTGTGATGGGCTGTCATGAATGCAAGGACAAATTACAAGTCAGAATCTCTGCAGATGATGTGAGCCATTTTGGGATTTTTCTAGTGCTTGAAAATTATGTTGCTTTAATATTGCATTAATCTAAAATTCTGAATGCTCCAACTTGATCTTCACTTTTGGTGAGATGCATGATTCAACAATAGGATGTGAATTCATCTCTTGTTTCCTAAGTCTAGAACTCAGCTATTGATTGTTTCCAATTACTTTCACAGTTCTTTGTACATTAAATGATTTACTGTTAGAATATTTGGAGTTCGATTTAATATGTTATATTAGGGAAGCGTGTTATTTCGAGCAAACTTGTGTTAAACATTCAAAAGGAATTTTTATACGACAGCTGATACTTGAGTTCATATCCATTTAACTGGTTATGGATGAAAAACATGCTATATTTATGAAATATGTATATACTGTTTTTGGCAGCTGATTATGTCAAAACGCTACTAGCTATGTTACTTTTGTAAACAAAGATGAGTAATCAACAGGAGGGCGGCCCTTCACACCTTTAAATCTGTCATTTATATTACTCATACAATACCCATGTGTTGAAAACAACTTCTATCCATATACTGAGTGTGATTCTGACTTGGTTGAACAAATTTCTCCCAAGTTGGATCATGATCATGTATAGTTGTAAAGTGGACTGCCTTCAAAGTTTATGATTATTGATATTAGTTAGAATCATGTAAATTTTTTGAGCGAAATGCTGGATATAAAACTGCCTTTTTAGTTTCTCTGCTTCCATTTTTAAGGAGTTTGAACAGTTTCCACTTTTTTTGGGTCTTCCATTATGATCCTGTTTGGTTGAAGGTTGATTGACTCCTTTGCTTTCTTCCCGTTAAATTTAAGGACATATCATCCTCATATGTATTTCAGAGTTTCTATAAAGTATTAATAAATTCTTGTTTGTTTTTACAGTTGAGTTGAAAGAATTTGTGGTATTATATTATCAAGTTCTCTTATTTCATCAATTCATTCTTTATAATGCTTCCATCCTTATAAGCTCATGTCTTTTTATTTCTCCTTGCAGATCATGGAGCCTCCGTGGAAAGCCTACAATGTTTTGAGGAAGATGGACTACCCCTATGAGGCCAGTACCAATTCTTGTCCTGTGCCATCTGAATTTTGTTGTTTTGATAAGTATAATTACTAGCGAGAGTATTTTATAACAAGCTCCTATCTAAAATTAGGATGCGATGAAGCAATTTACCCCCATTACTCCCCTAGCTCTCTCTGAAAGACCAAGACTTCTTCCTCATGTTCTTAAAAGAAATTGGGCCTTTTCCCTTCTGCAACCCACCACAACCCAACAAAGGGTCCAATGATGAACACGATATGAATTTATCTATTCTCGGAATTGAAATTCTCTATCCTCATTTTCCTTAATTCTATCTTGATGACTCTGACTACAGTTAATAGAGTGAAACCTTTTTTAACTATAGGCTCTCTGGCTGCAGTGGTAAACATTCCTTTGACCAGCGTAACTGGGTTAAAGATTTAATCTGTTAAAAGAGTCAAATTTGGTGACTGTTGTAGGGTAGCATTGCTAGAAAGGATTCTTTGTGGATGAAGATAGTCAATCTCGTATTGGATCTTTGAAGGGGCAAAAAAATGTTAAGAATAATGGTCCCAGTCAAGGCAGTATCAAGGACTTAGAGTCATATCATCAAGCATGATAATATAGCTTCTAAAGACTCATAGAAATATTAAGAAAATAGATATCATCACAAATTGGGGAAGTGATTTTAATCAAAGACAGATGTGTTTGTAATCTTCCCGTTAATATTGTTTGTTTTCTTTCTAGACCACACATTTTGTTTTGAACATGTTTATGTATTTTAATTGGTGTTCTTTTATCAATCGGGAAGGGGGGATTCGAACTTGGGAGCTTAATTTGCCTTTTTATGCATATATATACAATGAATAGAACTAATGTTAGATATCAGTTTTGATATCTTGTTCTTATCTGATTTCCTATTAACAATCTTGTTAACTGGTTCAGCATATAGTTCACAGCATGAAAGATCCCAGCATCGCTGCATTTTGGCTGTTTACCTTGCCTCAAGTTGCGGGTGGATTCGACTTTGATGATGATGTCAAGAAGAAAATTTGGTGGCAATACAAGGTTGACAATTCATAAATACTGTATTTCAATTCAGAACGCCTTCTCAAATGCAAAACAGAATTCTATTAAACATAAATAAATACTGTATTTCAAATAGTATACACCACCTTATTTTTATGTTGTTATCATATTGTGATGGCAATATTTCCATGCTATAATTTGAACTTGAAGATACTATAACAACATAAGAAAAATGTGAGCTTTACCTTGGTTTGGTGAAAAATATATTTTTTTTTCTTCTTAAAAAAAAACCTACATATCCTTATTACCTGATCTCAATATCCCATTTCACATTGACATTTATTATATTTTACAATAGTTCATTTAAGGAAGATTGCATTAGTGCCTTACTATAGTTATCTATTCATCTGTTGCCTTGTTTTTTGATTCTTCTTGGATTAGGAGTCTATGCGGTATGATCAACTTCGTGATGTGGTGGCCAAGCGGAAACCTGGCTGGGAGAACTTGCAGGAAGTAAGAAAATTTGCGCATAATAATCAGTTATTATGAAACATTCCGTTAACGAGCTTGGTTTTTCTGTGTTCTTTATTGTTTGGAAACAAAGACACTGCTCAAGCGCTGAAAATGTTATCATGGTCCAATTGAAAAGTTTGTTGGAAAGAAAACTTCATATCTTAAAGATTTATGAGAAAACAAGTTTCGGTCTCTTCTATTGGCCTTTGGGCTCTTTTTATGAACTCCTCTTTCCTTTTCTTTCTTTCTTTTTTTTTCTTAAGAAGATTTTTTCTCTTAATTTAAGCTTCAGCTCTTAATTCCATATGAAAATGATTAGTCTCTTGTATAATATCTTCTTACTAAGGCAATATCTCATCACTATCTGCTTCATACTTTTTCCATTGTTCGAAAGCTGGATTCATATGTTGATGATTAAGCCCTTATACATATTAAGAGCTCATAGTTTCTGCAATTTCCTGTAATATGTTTCTAGAGAAAGATCTTTAATCTGAATTTGCTTATTCTTGATAGGCCTTGATCTCCATAGATCCTGCTCGAGCCAGGGAAGATCCTGTTATTGTAAAAAATATCCCTTACTATAAAGCCAAGAAAGCACTTGAAGCAGAAGTCATGAAACTTGATCCTCCACCAAGGCCACAAAATTGGGGTGTACGTAATCTATCTTCAATCAATAGACTAGTTTTTATTCTTTGTATGTATCAGAGAGAAAGATAAGGACGATGTTCACGCTTATTTTGGATAATTACGAACTTACTGTAGAGCATTGGCAGGAACTGGACCTTCCATTGAATGCATCTTCTTGGAGCAAGGAGGATCTCAAAAATCCTGAAAAGTTCTATGAAATGACTGTTCTTCTAAATGCTCAAAGAGAAATTGCTGATAAAATTTTGGATTCACAGTGGGAGAATAGATGGCGCCAACAGAGGGTTAGTACTTACAAGTTTATGTAGCTATGAAAATGAACTTGTTTCTCCTTTTTCTTCCTTAATGAACTTAAGAAATCCATAGGAAATGAAGCAAAAAGAATTTATCAATATAGCAATCTGATAGACTAATTGGACACCATGATGATGGTGAGTTAATTGGACAGAGTTCCCCATAAGAAGGCCAAAATTTTGTATGAGGCACGCAACAACAATATTTTGGTCATACAAGTAACTTATTCCTTATTCCAGCTTGTAGTTCCCAAAAACTGACGTGCAGATATCATTCTTACATTTGGAAACTTACTTCCTTCCCATTTTGTTTTCTATCAACCCAAAAACTGTTGTGTTAACTTGCTCTCCTTCTCATCAAAAGAATGAACTTGCCATCCCATATACTGCCTGTAATTTCCATGTAGATTGACTTTTCAGATTATGATTGCCATCTACTACTGTAGTTATTTTAGCTATGAACATATTTTATATTTTTATTTGTAAGTGCAATGACATTATTTATCCATTTTGATGCTCAGTTGAATGAGATGTTGGAGGAGAAGGTACGTCCATACATGCAGAACATTGACAGTGGGATCCTCTCTCAGCCTATTATATTACCATCACAAGATCAGAATCAGAAGGTTTTACCACTTTTCCCCTTTCATTTCACTTTTTTTATTAACTCTTGTTGAGCATTAATTTATCCCGAATCTAATTTTCTAATCATGGTTATTTGATGAATCCTATTGACCAAAAAGGAAAAATAATCCTAGTCCTATACCCTTTCAAAAAATATTTACGTTTTTCCTATTTGTCATTTCTCATAGTGCTCAACTTCTTGCTATTGCAGTATTTGCTCATCACTGTTAAGACATTTGGTCTATGTATATAAGGCTGCCTTCTCTTGTACTTGGTGTCTTAAATTTCCCATCTCACTCCACATACCCTAAAATCCGACTCTGAAAATAAACATCAACTTGGACATGGAATTTTAATAAAAGGGTTACATTTGACTAGACATGTAGTGTTGAAATTTTAAACTGCATTTTGGAAAGGCCTGTACGTCCAATATTCGTGTTATTCGGACAGCGGTTTCAGTGGATTCCAAAGCTTGATTTAGGCTTCTCTTTATGGTTGAGTGTCCAGTCGAGAGCTCCAAATTGAGAGTCTGTTTAAATACTGGTGAACAGCTATTTTGCCTCGATTAATTACTCTAGTGGTATGCTTTACAATTTGTATTGTACTGTATAATGAAAGTTCTAAGATATTGTTTGAACCCTACTTTGGTTTCTATAAAAATTCAAGAAAGTGCTTTCTACAAAAAAAGCTTTTGTAAACACCTTAGTTCAAGGGTGCTGAACCTTGGGACCACATTTTTCATTTTCAACGCATTGTTGGTGTTGTGAAAATTATCATGCTGTTTTAGCCCCTTATCTGTGAAATCTTGTTTCTTAACAATTGAGGTTTCACCTTATATCAAACAATGCTGTAACTCTTTTTGTGTTTGACGCCTATAATTGTTGCAGAAGACGCGACAACGGAGATGGTGGTTCTTTTGATGATAGTTTCAACAATTTTTGTACCCAGAAAGCACCGTGGACTGCCTCGAGCTCTTTTCATTATGTATGATTTTTTGGCTACACTGCATAGTTCCATCCGGTGTGTTTTGCTTATTTTAGTAATTAATTTCCCTTATAACTCTCAGCTTAACTTCTTCCATTTTTGAGGCTATTTGGGACAATAGTAATGTAAATGAGGAGCAAAGGACAAGCTTTTGATGTCAAATTGACAATGCATTCCGAAATTTATAGAGGAGAAAGAGTTGAAATCCAAATAGAATTCCAACCATTAAAATGGAAGGATCAGATATGGGACCAAGGAAGCTCATATGCAATAGCTTGAAGGGCTTAGCAATTAGATGGATTTTCATATAAAAAGAAAAGGAAAAAAAGAAAACAGTATTACATGGATGAGCTAGGCTTCACATATGTAAACAAAACCTAAAAAGACCAATTACAAGAGAGTGTGTAGGCAGGGCAAGATAAGGTAGGGTCAAGATCAGAGTCGGTGTGTCCACATGTACTGTGTGTGTGTTAGGCTTGTTTACTTTTCGTAGTTTCTTTTAGGCCAAGGCTTTCATTTCAAATTTCTCTTAAAAGCTCAGAACTTGATAGAATATTATTTTCCGTGTTCAATCCGAGTTGCCTTAAGGTATAAGCTAATGAAACACATCAAGTTTCGTCCTAACATCATTAGGTCAAGGTGTTCATAATATGTCGACCACAAGATCTTGGACTTGCTTGGAGCCGAACTTTGATTTGACAATACAGTCGATCATGCGGGTAACAAAAGAAAGAAAACCAAATTGGCTATATATTATTCAGTGTTTAAGATTTAGGTTTATATTTGGCAATGAGTTATCTTGCTCGAAACGAACATATAGACGGAACCTCACCCAACAAAGAAGTGGGGATTTGTGGATCGAACCTAAGACCTCTTTTAAATTTAAGCTGTTATGAATGTGCTAACGATGTATATCAAACTGGGGATCATCTAACTCAAAGTGTTAATTTGTGGTTACAAAGATGATCGCTGCTTGCCCTTGATATTTGTCTAATGACAACTTATTTTCTTTGATAGACATATATATTGGTTGACAACTTAAGAACTCGTGTTACACCATTCAACAAAGAGACAAATTAAACTCTATCAAATACATATTTTCTTATATATAATTATTTGAAGCTTTAATTAATATTGTTGAAGTGCTGCGTTTCCTATCACTCATTTGATCACTTTATCTGAGCCTCACAGGTGTCGTGCATTGACAAAGATGTCATTGGTTGCCACCTCTGTATATAGACTACGGACATATTGCCTACCTCTTTGATGATCTCTTGGAAAAAAGCATTTAATAAAACACGTACCACATGTCTTCTTAGTTCTTGCCGACACATTGCAAAAGCAAATGAATCACGCTTTGATCTCACCATCACAAATTTTATCACTATTTCCATGAAAATGAAAGCCTTGCTAGTTAGGATAATGCATGTTTTTTTTTTTAATAGCAAAAAGATAATCTAGAATGTTTATATTTCTTAATTATATATTTAAAGAAGACGTACAGACATGAGTTTAATCGAGTTGGTAAGAATAAATGTGCTCTCCACTCTGCACCCAAGTTCGAATCCCCCTCCAATTTATAACATTATCATAACATAAATTTGCAACAGTTCACTAGTGCCTTGTCGTGGAAGAAGGGGTGTCAAATTAAAAAATGATAATGACAATACGAGAAGGAAAAGTATATGGCATGCCAATTTTGAGTGAAGAGCTGAGCGAAGCTTCCAGTCAATGTTTGAGGTTCTGGGGTCTCAAGACATCCACAGCCAGCCACGTGGCCAATAAAAAAGTCCCCCTGGTAAGAGAACAGAGAAGTCCCTGGGTCTATTTTGCTTGTCTGAGGAGGTGTCTTGCAATTATACCCACCCATCTGATTGGAATTGAAAGATATGTGTGTAATTGTATTCAGTGCCCCAAAGTTTTTTCTCCATCTGCCTCCTCAGTCAAACTTGAACACACATAAATGCAAATATATAAAGATTTGTTTTATTTTTATTACCCAAAGGTAGAAAGGGAGTCGGGGTTTTTTCGCACACACACGTACTCAAATTTGAGATTACTGATCGTAGTTTAGATTAGATTAAAATAGAATATCATTTATATAAAAATATAAAAAATAGGATAAGACTATAAATAGTAAAACTCTTTTTAATTCCCAATTTTACAATTTTAATTCACAATTTAACCTTCCCAATAGCGAGAAGACACATGCATGTCAACCTTCTGATCAGAAACTCATGCCTACAGCATTGCCTACCAAAATTTTCACCCCAACCCTATGAAAAAAGATAAAAACTAGCTATTTTTAACTGGTCATGTAAAGTCTACCGCGGCCACTGAAGCATAGAAGAAGCACACGTCAAGAAGACGCGACAAGTCATGCAGTGCCTGTTAAATTCAGAAAAACGCCAAGAGCCCAAAAAGAGTTCACACTACAATCTACGTTTTCTACACGTACTAATTAATCACACACGATGTGACAATTTACGTAATAAGTGATTATGAAAATTAGCGCAGTAAGCTTAAGCCAAATTATAATTTTGCTCCCATTATAGTTTGGATGAATTTTCATGTGTAAAATTGGACTTCTTGAAAGCCTCGAATCGCGACAATTGAAATTATAGGAATGAAAGTGAAACTTCACCAAACTTCTAGGACCAAAATCATAACCTGGCTACGTAAACAGCCAATGTAGTATGCAAAAATGTGATCCATTTTCCATCACGTAAATTCTTCAATCTTCACCACTATTTATGCATGTGATGCGAAAAATCTATTGAACTACTCAACGACCCAAAGTTTGAATGACTTTTAGACAGTTAAACTGCAAAATACTTTTCAGTTATAATTCTACCCACTTGCTCTAATTTAAAATTATCAAACGCAAAACACCTACTAAACTTACATATATTACGTGAATACGATTTTTTCTCCTAATTCTCCTATAATTTAATATAATTTTTTTTCTTACAATTTGTACCAAACAAACTTTTTTACACTTCTAAGAGCATTTCTACCGCTGCGACTTTAGCCAGAGCAAGAGGCCCATTCCCTCGGTTTTGGACCTCTAGTGTAGCACCTGCAGTCCGGGCAAGTCTAAGGGCAGATCTTGCCTGGGCTTCAGCCTGAGGGCGCTGACGTCAGCGATAACACCATGCTGACGTTAGCGAGTAAAAAAAAATGAAAAAAAAAACCCCAAAAAATTATAGATGTTTTCCCTATAAATACATAACAATTTTATTCACTTTCCCTATAAATACATAACAATTTTATTCACTTTCCCTATAAATACTTAACAGGTTTATATTTTGCTGCATATTTTTCTTTTTCTCTTGCTCTTGCCCTAGTCTTTTGGGGTATAACAAAAAAAGACAGACTGTCATTATTCCGGTGAACAGTAGCAGCTCTTACCTTGACCTTAGCCTTTTGGAGTGAACATGCTCTAACTAATAATGTGGCGCTTGACCCCAAAAAAAAATAAAACACTAATCATGTGGCGCACGATCCCCCTCCTGTCCTTTTCAAACTTAAATTAACCAAGCAAATCAATCAAGGAGTGACTGATAGAAATATATTAAAAGATAATGTGGAAAATGAAATGATCAAAATTTCATAAATAAATAAAAACAAAATTATATCTCAGATAACAATTTATTATTACGATTTTATTGAACTAGAATAAATAAATAAAAATAAACCCGTAACAAATTCCTCTCAAGTTCTAAGGTATGTAATCAAATCTAAAATAAGATAATTAAAAAAAAACTAAAAAAAATAAAAATAAAATTATAAAAAAAAAAAAAAACACACATTTATTCCATTATTATTTCAAACAGCACCACCCTGCACAAAGCTGCTCATCAGAGCCACACTGATAAAAACAACAACGGAAGCCACCAACACGCTCGAAGGAGCCGTTACACTATGCGACGCTCCACTCCCCGCCGGTACCGGAGCCGTCGAGTCCGCTGTCCCGGGCGGTGGCGAAGCAACGGTTCCCGGCGGTGTGGGGCCCGCAGACTCTGAGGAAGGGGCCGGTGTGAACCCCTCGGGGGGCGGTGAGGGCGGAGAAAGAGATGGAGTAAGAGTCGGGGATGAAGATGGAACTGGCGCTAGCCCTGGAGATGATGTTGATGGGGATGGTGAGGTGGCAGGAGGGTAGCCCACTGGTGATGGGGAGGTGGCAGGAGGGTAGCCCACTGGTGATGGGGTGGTGGCAGGAGGGTAGCCCACTGGTGATGGGGTGGTGGCAGGAGGGTAGCCCACTGGTGCTGGTGATGGTGAGGTCCCAGGAGGGTGATGAGGGTACTGTGGTGAGGTCCCAGGAGGGTGATGAGGGTACTGAGGAGATGGAGATTTGGGGGATGGGGAGGTAGGGCTGGTGCTAGGGGGAGTTGTGGGAGCAACAGTAGGAGGGTTTGGTTTGTTGTGATGCCTAACAGCCAAGACAACTATGGAGAGTTTCTGGCCCTTGTCACAATTACCATCTTGCCCACTGATGAAGTAGAATGGCCCAGACCTATCAAGGGTGAACTCTGAGTCACCACCATCTAGCTTTTGAATTGGGTTCTTGGTGTTGCACTTGAAGTAGTCATCCTTGTTCACCACAAGCACTGAGTCTGTTCCTTTCTTGTACTTGAAATCTGTATGTGTCACAAGCATTCAAACAAGCAATTAGAAATTTCCAAGAAATTACCAAACTAGTCCAAAAAATTAAGCAGAAATATAGGATCTCTAATTTATGTTTTAAATTTTTTGTCCTACTATGTCTTCGTTTTAGACAAAAGCTCGATATCAGGAAAAAGCGAGAAATTTGCGCATCTAACACAAAGTGTCATTTTCTGTTCTGATATCGTGCTTATGTTGTTTTCAGTTTGAGAGTTCAAATGTAATTTTAGACTAAGCACAATACAAAAAAAAAGACATATAAAGAGGATCAGACTCAGAAAATGATCGAAAACAAAGAACCTATAAAATATTAGAGAGAGAGAGAGAGAGAGAGAGAGAGAGAGAGAGATTTGAGCATCTTACATAGAGTGTTATTGACCTGGAACCTGTTCCTCCCAGACCACTGGATGTAGTTCTCAGAGGGGTTCAAGACCCACCCATCTCTCCCACCAACATAGAATCTGTATCCTTGTGTGGAAGAGAAACACAACCCAAAGCAAACCAGCAACACAAGCCAAGCAAATCTCCCAAACTCCATGAGAGAAAAATGAAAACAAACAAATCAGAAAACAAGGTGATCAGCTTCACTGTTTCTGTTGCCCTATATGTATATATATGAGCAGTGAAAGTGAAAGGGATAGAGATTTAGATGCACAAGCACCAAAGAAAGAAGAAGATCTCTGCAGAGAAAGAAAGTTGGGAAGGGAGAGAGAGAAGATAGAAACAAAAGCTGGTAAGGGGCCTGAGTTATAAAGATTTGCCCACAAGGCCTTGTTTTTCTTACCGTTGCAGGAGCCTTTATGCGTGTCAAATATGATATAGCTACGTACGTTTCATGTATTGGCTGTCGTTGATTTTCTGCCATATTAAAGGTTCACACGTGGCGCCATCCTACCGACCTAACGGTTTTATTGGGAATTTATTGTGGTGTGTCATGTGTGGGTTGTCAAGGTTCAAAGGTTATGTGGATTATAAATTTTGATTTCCTTATTTGTCATGGTTCTTGTGGAGGTGGCATAGATAAAAAATTAAAGAAACAAAAAAACCAACCACAAAAAGACTCCTCCTTTCTTTTTTGACACTTCCTGTAAAACTTTGTAAAGAAACATATTTACTTACGAGAAAATCTAACATGTTATGTTGCAACCTAATTAAGTACATTTTTAATTAAATAGTCCCCTAAATTGGAAATCTAACAACACAATAAGATAAGATTGACAAGTAAATTTTTAATTAAATAATGTCCTAAATTGAAATCTAACAACGCAATAGATAAGATTGGCAGGCAATAAAACTCCATTATTTTGTAGTTCTTATATAAAGGATGGATGTGTATACAAATACTTATGTATAGAAACAATATATTTTGCCAATTCTTTCCTTAATTTGCATTGCGGATGATACTCCTTTATTTATTTATTTAAGATCTTTTTTATTAAGAGGGACGATAGCATACTAAATTCACATACACTATACGAATGTTAGGACTCGAACTCAAGACCTTTCCTGGAGGGAGCAATTGCTCCAACCCACCACACTAGTGAGTCGTTTATTGATAATTCTAATTCTATGTTGTCTACTTGTGATGTCAATTGGGAATTGTTATTATCACTTTTAAAAAAGACATCTTGCACTCCTCTATTTGCAATTTCTATCATATATTTATGTAAGGATGAGTGCACATGATGACTTTTTTAGAGTGTGAATAATAACTCTCTTTAAACTTTCCTTTGAAAATAGAGTCCCCACCCCACCCCCCCTCCCTCAATCTTCTTTGAGGCTATTGTCTTATTAATACAATCATACTTTTCTTAACCAAATTTTAAAGTGCCCCTTTCTTTCTTTGTAATTTCCTTCTTTCCCTTTCTCACTATCATTGCTACCCTTTCAACATCTCTTATTGTCGTACCTAAACTCTAAATTTTGTACCGTTCAAAATTTCTTAATGAGTATTTTTAATAAAGTACATTTCGTTTGATTTTTTTAATTTAGCATCCCCTAACCTTAAAACGATGTACGACACAAAGTAAATGACCGAAACAAGAAAGGCGGTTAAAGGGTTGGTTTGTTCCAGCTCAACCACCAAAACCTGGGACTAAAGAGCACTCCATGTTCGGTTGGGCCTCTATGCCATCATTTTCTTTTCTTTTTAAGAAAGAGTAACGGCACTGTCACCCAATGAACTACTCATGCCACCCACGTACTTTTCAATTGTTTCATTTACAATTTTGAGTATTTCAAACAAAAGAAAACTTGCTAAGCCATCAGCTTCCATGGCAGCACCTTCAGATGGGTGGCAAAAGAAATTGTACCCGGACTTTGTGGTCACATTAATAACAACTACGAGAAATGTCTTCGATTACGGGTTCCGTTAGCTCCGTTCAATGAAGTAAGAACAAATCAATACAAAGTCTGTTTTTCCCTTTTCCTCCATTGCTCAAAGGCAAATCTACAAAGAAATGCTTGCAAATACAAATATTAGAGACACCTGATACATATAATATGGGCAAGGTGCCAGGGGCCTCCGCCATATGAGAAAAAAATTGTAGTAAACGACATCAAGAACAACAAAACGGAAAATTATAAATAGAAAAAAGAAAAAGAAATTTCAGAGACGACGGTAGATAATGAATATTACAAATTCCTTTTTTAGCTGGCCAAATGTCTAGGAGAGCTTTTGAACATACTGTGCCACATGAAAGCTCTTGAAAGCACCATCTCCAGCTCTTGGTGAGTCCAGTTATTAGTGGGAAGGTGTTGAAGAAACATAACCAACTCTTGGAAATCAAGCTTCAGAAGCTCATCTGACCACTGCATATCGAATCATAGTGGATTTCAAGTTATTGGCATCCATTCTGTTATGAACGAAAAATCTAGAGCAGTTTAAGCAGACCATGGCTTTACAGCAAGAACATAAAGGAATATATAGCCAAATAACACAGAAAATAGCCTTTCAGATTATCGGCTGTCAAATTGACTCGAGCAAAAGAAAAGTAACAAAGGAACAAAAGTCATTCTACATGAATCTACAATTTATTCCAAAAGGAAAAGTGTTGTAGTTTTATTCAAGGGTAAAATTTGGAGTTGAGAGAATAAAAACAAAGTAAAACAATTAGTGGACCAAAAAGGGATCTCAATAGAACCACCACCCAAAAGTAGTTACCATCCCATAAGGTATACAAGTACAGAAAAACCCTGGAGAAATGGTAAACATGGGCCAGGAAATATAGCAAAAAAGCTAATGATATATATAAGGCTACCATGTGCATAGTGATACTTGATTGGTGAGCAAGAATGCATTTATGTCCACCATTTCTGTTAAATGGAAAGTAATCTACAGTGCATTTCAGTGATGAACGTGTTGCATGCAATGAATGCAATTCAAAAGGTCATTAAAACCTTATATAAAGAGTCAAAATTATCATAAACGATGAGATTTTTTCCATATCCAAAGCTGTCAAAAAGAATAGCCTGTCAACCCCCCCATAATTTACCAATTGGACAGCGAACTTGATAATGGACAAATAAATAAAAGTACACGCTTCCTTATCACATGCTCACAGCTAATGCATCCAAATATGTAACGAAACCAAGGAAACTATATGTTTGCAGTGGTAACAGTTTCTATCTTACCGTTAAAAGAAAACTGGCAAATATATACACAAGGAAATCTGGCAATGCATCTCCTTCGGCAAGATAGGTATCCCACAGACGAGAAATGAGATGGAAAGGAATCTAAGCAGCAAAAAGAAAGAATTTCCATTAGCTTTGCAATATATGATAAAAGCACAGGTCCAGGCCAAATCTGTTTAGAATTATTCTACCACAATTCAAGTAAACCTCAAGATTACAGTTGGTCAACTTTATGCACTGCGCACAAATATATTTTACAAAGAGGAAACGACAGCAAATACAGAGAAGAGATCTGTAGAAGCAAACCTCGCGTATTAAAAGACAGTTGAACCACCGGAAAGCAAATTGAAGAAATTCCAGCCCTTGCTCCTCCACGTGTCTGGATACAGGTTCTAGTGCAGTAGAGGAAAAAAAAATGAGTACGTACATCAAAGATGATAGCAGAACTTTGACGTGTTTCATGCATCCTAGAGCATGAGGTATTGCCAATGTCTGAAGATATTAAATGGAAGTCTGAGGAGTATAAGAGCAAAAGTTGGTCTTTCCTTCAACAAAACCAACTCCCCAAAAACTGCTCTCGCCAGAATTCACTTATAACAAACTCTCACTACATATGATGTGCAACAACATTTTATTGCATCACGAGATTCAGAGAAACTGAAAATGCCCCAGTGCGCCTAATATAACGAACAACCTATTTGATTTTTCATTATAATATGTGAAGCATTTTCTTTTTGGGGAAAATATATGAAGCATATTTCTTTTATTTTATTATAGTGTTTCTGAATTAACACTACAAATATAAACTTCCTTTGATCTGATTCTACATGCTTACAACATTCCATTCTTTAGCCCGGCCAAAGCCATATGTGAAGCCATGTCATTTGTATCTCTTGGTGGCTGTGTATAAGTCCAAATATACATACAGAAAAGCAAAGAGATTTCCATAATGAAAATTACGCCCGAGTAAATAGACTTCCCTATTTATTTATTTATTGAATAGAAACCTTATAAATTCAAAAGAGATAAACAAAGAAACAAGCAAGTGGATAAGGAATCCACAAGAGCAAAACAAAATAAAACAGCAATCTCAAGACCAAAACAAACAAAGGAAAGAAGGACAAGAACAAACAAGGAGGCCACCCAGGAAAAGAGAAAATAGCAACATATCACTTCACAACCGCTAACAAATCTCGCATAATAGAAGAGACAGCCAAATCCTTAAAAACAGGAGTAACCGAAGCCCATAACGCCGCCCAAAACTTCACTCTGTCCCACATCTCAGCTACCCCCACACATAATAGAAGAGACAGCCAAAAATAGACTTCCCTATTCAAAATAGGTCTAGCAAAATTAACCAAAATGAAGCTTATAAGTACATATACAAGCGTAGAAGCATCGGTTGATTCACTTGATCCAGTAAAAGGCGTGAAGAAGCAGAAAATAAAAGCAAAAAATGGGAGTTACCATCAATCCGCCTGACCACTTCCTTTAGCTTAAACACAAGCCTCTGGATTCCCGGCTGAGCAAAAGTGTAATGGTCTTGCATACCTTCTAGTAAATTTGATAGGCACCAATAGCAATCAGCCTCTATATTAGATATTTTATCAGGAGACAAATCGGAGATCAACCAATTATCCACACTCCCATCTAAGTATTCGGACAAGAAAACAACTAGAAAGGGAGTAACAAGATCATTTATTCCCTGAACATATCCACTTGCAGGATGTCGAATGGCCCTGAAATACATGAGAAGTAACTTGAAAAGACAAAACTAATAATCATAAAAATTAAAAAATTAAAAAATTAAAGAAAAAGAAAAAGAATAAAATGATGGCATCTTGAAACCAAATTCCACATCATAGAGACCTAGTTTTGTTTGGATTTTGTTAAAACTGTTGGACTTCCAAAAACTGCTCCAAAGAAAATATAAAAGAAAAAATTCATGCTATCAAGGTACCAGGAATTGTTATCTGCATCTGATAGGCTAAATTTCTCAATTAGAGGGAGAGGGAAGAAAAAGGAAGCGTCACATAACTGAGGCAAGTTATGCGTATAGAAGAGCTTTTGTCACTACTCACTATTTCTCCCTGCTTGGTCCACATCTACATAGAGACCTACCATGAAAACCCCATGAAATAAACCTAGGCCCTTTAAACATCCTGATTAAAATGACTAAATAGCAGCGAAAATGTAGCAAACATGTATAGTTAAGTGACAATTACAATATGAGAATCATGCCCCATGCCAGCCCTCTAAATGCACAATGTCAAGAACATTAAACCTACCAAAAGATAGTGTAGAGAACATGTACATATTAACTCAAACAACTCACTATCAACTTGACATACTATCTCAGACGGTTCAGAGCTAGACCTACTTTGGGAAAACCAATAGGGCAAAGACAGAAATTCTCATTTACGTCTGATTAGTAATAGTGAACCTCTAAATCTCTAAACAGGACAAAATGTAGAAAAAAAAATAATCGTATCACTGTTCCATGCTGTCATTTCAAGATAATCAACATGTGTAATGAACCAAAGCCCATTAGATGAACCCTATAACAAAGATAAATGGACTGGAATTCCTAGATTAAAAAATCATACACCTTTAAATCAGTTGCAGATTTTACACTTTTGTTATTAGGAATCAGCAGACCCAATAGATGCAACTTAGCACAATCAATAACACTTCATGCAATCATTTCTCTTTTCCTTGTATGAACACATTTGATGTTACAAAAAATCCAGCAATGACCAAGGATATATGGGCAAATGTAGTATTAACCATGTGTAAAGGATGCGCTCCAAGGATTTTTGGACTTGCTCTTGCTGAAAGAAAGATACATCTGGCACAGTTCTTGGGCAATCAACAGCAATCTAACAAGGACAACAAAGGTAATTGTAAAAACCAGGAGCCACATAGAACTAAGAAAGATGGGAGCTTTTTTAACATTTAAAACACCTGGCGAAGCATATTTATCTCATCTTCTGACCGCTCAGTATCCGGAATGTCATAGTACTGAGAAGCACAGTCAAGATACTCAAGGCGTTTCCTTCTTAGAACTCCCTCCCTTCTATCTGAATTAGATGGTGCATATCCCTGTTGTCAGTTCATATTTTAAATTCAAAAAAGCCACAATTTTTACTAGATAAAGGCAAATCAAGGTTAACAAAAAGGCAAATAAAGTGAACCCCTTTTCTAAGACATAATGCTATCTTCAAATACATGCTTCAGAACTTTCACTCCAATTATAGAAAAAAAAATTCACAAGAAAGAAAAAAGTTAAAATGAAAAGTGATATAACGAAGTAACACATGCATAAAACTTCAAGTTCAAAGCATGGGCTGAACATTGGACACCACTGAATGAACTAGACACCTATAACCCAACTGCATGCATCAAACGTTTTAAACTTGCAATGAAAAGAAATATAGAATACAAAAGGAAAAGACAAGGTAAATAAAGAAAGTGGGCCACAAGGAGGACCTTGCAGCTTCTATGTCATTATTATAGAAGCAGCGAGCTTACCAAAAGAAGCCTCCATACATCTGGCCGCATATATGGTGGTACCCCCACTCCAAGCCAACTCATGCAACTTCTCTACATAAACAATTAAAGACTAAATTCGAAAAAGAAGGAAACAAAAATATATATCCACAGCTCAATTAGTGCTAAAAGGAAATTTGTAGAGGTAACAAATTAATCAAAATAGTGGTCTAAGCTGCCTGAATGAAATGCTTCTGCATACCAGTAACAATAACAAGTGTGAAATTTAGATTTAACATCATAAGGATGCCCAGTAATCATGATGATAGGACTGTACAACATTGTGAAGCTAAAACGCAACAAACAATATGCCAGGGTATCATTTCGTTCTCTCCTTATCTCCGTGTAGTACTGGGGACTGGGGACGGATTAGGTTTTGGGAGGTCCCGTGCATAGCAGGGAGTCTCCTGTGTGCAAATTTTCCATGTCTTTATACACTACCCAACTCTCATAATGTATCAATTGCCAATAAGTCTTATGTCTCCTTTCCATAAAGCTGGAGTTTCAATCTATAGAAATTTGCAGTTTTAACACCAGATAGAATTGGACTCTTCAGTCCTTGGGCATTTTAGGTGTTATTTTACATAGGTTGATTGATGAGTCATCTCTGCACCTTTTCAACCCCTATCATATGATTTGGAGGGGCAAAAGTACTGTGTAAAAATATTCTTTAGATTATTGCTCATGGTAGAGTTAAAATTTGTGGTTCAAAAGAGGCCTAAAGTTAGTCTATCTCCTCATGGGTGTATTATGTGCAAAGGGGAGGCTGAAAATATTGACCCTTTTTTCTCCATTGCTCTGCTTCTTTAAAGCTTTGGCACAAAATGTTCATGGAAGCTTGGCCATGCATTTTTATGGTTTCTGAGAAGAACTATCCTTTTGGAGGGGAAAAACACGAAATCATGTGGAGTTGTAGTGTATGGCTATAGGGTTTGTATGGATGGAATGAAATAAGAGTATATTAATAGATTCTAACAAATCATCCAAGTACCATCAGAACATACTGAGAAAAAAAAAAACATTTTACCTTTATATAACCATAGAGTGGTGGGAGAGAAGAAAAGCAGGGGAAAGGGGGGAAGTTTAAAGAGAGAGTCCTTATACCTAAGATGACTGTTGTCCCTGAAAGGACCTTTGTGAACTTCATAACTCTTGTAGAATCCGTAGCTCTAGCTCCCATGACGGATTTTTGAGCTCCTTTGGAAAGATTCTCAACATTCGAAGTTGATGATTTTAACTTATTTGAATTTGCATTATTGTTGGGATTGCTTAGGCTTTCAACTTCTTCCTATTTTAGAAGTAAAAGTATCAGTAGAATTTTCAGCCCATCAACTATGGCAAATGGTATGTTCTTTTCAAATTTATTAGACAAAAAGGATATCAAAATAAACCTCTAACGCCTTGGCTATGTGATCACTTGTATCAGCATCATTGAATGAGAAGCTCCTTCCATAATTGAGAGAGGGTTCTTGTAATTTTGAATGATCTAGCATGTTTGATCTCCTGGTTAGTAATACTTTACCAGGCATACTACGACCTTTGAGCAACCTAGATATCAGAAAAATATAATCACAACATAAATAATAAGATATTGAACTAATATTACAAACAATACGTTTGATTTGTTTAGAACAACATTTAGCTTTCATCACAAACTGCTAGGATTCCAGACACTAGAGATATCAGATAGAAAATTATATAATGAAACAATGGAAAGGAGTCATGTTTTTAGAACTTAGAAGGCTTAGAAAATCTAATGCAATGTTCTTATCAATTTGATAAGCACAACAAGGGAATTTTAATACCAAATGCAATTATATTTGCCAGATTTGGATAATATTAATGGCAATAATATACCAGAATTTTCACCATACTTATGATTATTACATATAATGAACCAAACTATTTTACACTAGGAATCTAAGACACCTTAGCACATGCTTGGGTCAAAAAAATAAATCCAGTAAAAGTCAGAATGTAATCCTCGCCAATTTTCCGGTATGTGACATCAATTTGAGGTCAATCTTACAAAATCGGTGGCCGAGTAAACTAAGCAGAAGCAACAGATCAGAACTATGAATCACATATTCACCCTAAATTAAAATGGTCTGATTGCTTCTGTGTTGCCACATTTTCCCACCAATCAAAAAGAACAGAGCATGAATGAATTTATCCAATTTACGAACAGAGATCTCCCAAATCACACTACTTTTCTCACTGATTCTGATCTAATATATCGAAACCAAAAAATCCCATAATCCTTTTCTCGACCAACTCTTACAATTTGAAAAATCAAAAGCTATACTTTACGTGTTAGGACCAAGTCAAATCCTCAATGCAATGAACTGGAGCCATTAACGAGTGAGAAACGGCATTCTAATTAGTGACAGTTTAATAGTTGATTGGAAAGATAGAAACTTTTCCTGAATGGGTTTTCAAATCTGAGGAAAATCACAAGCAAATATCAATAAGAAATGAGAAACGAACAAAAATCATATATACGCAGGGAACTGGATTGGTACCCTTGAACATTTCTGAGGGTTTGGTTGAATCTTGAATCGAGGGTTGAGATAGGATTTTCTTTCTTTGAGTGATTTTCTTCTCTGTCGGAGCTTTGATTACTCTTCTTGTTCATGGTTGCTCTACAAAATGACCATGTTGCTTTTTTCTGTTTTTTCGGTGCCTGTTGGTGCTTCTCTCTCTCTGCAGTGTACGCATGTACAGAAGAAAGGTAGGAAAATAATAAATAAATAAAGAAGAAAAAGTCCAACATATTTTTTTTCCTCATAAAGATATATCATCTATGCTACCCGATCTGATTTATCCCAATGTCACTTTTTTTTTCCCTTCAAAAGTTATCACTTTCATGGCGGGAATGGTGGTAACTAATTGGGTGATTTGTGCAGGTTAAACTCAACGAAGGTAATACTAAAGAATCTTTAATTGATAATTAATTGTAAAAATTGATATATAAGCTGAACGCGGCAAACTATAGTTGCTTGTATATATATTTTTTATTTGTATATAGAATAAATTTGGAATTTCATTCAGAATGAGAAAAGATATCGAGTCAAATAATGTGTTTTTTTTGTAACCAACTAATTTTTGGTCTAGTGGTGTATTCTTCCACTTGGTTGTAATAGGTCTTAGTTCGACTTACATGGATAATGATGATGATATATAAATTTGTGATAAGTTCGATACTTAGTTGTGACTAACCTCATGTGGGGTGTAGTTTTGTTGTGGATGTATTGACTCCATAAAAATTCTATTATTTGTCTGAAAAAGAAAAAGATAATTATTTTATAAAATAATATTTACTTTTGTAAGAACTGGAGAATGATGATTCGAATAATTAACATATGGGATATAGGAATAACTTTTGAACTTTAGATCAACCAACGGCTACTAACATGATACTGAGCTACAAGTGTTTTACATGTGACGGACTCATGATTTTTTTAAAAAAAAAGAGGAAAGAGAGGTGCTGACAGAGAGTCTAGAAAAATCGAGTTATTTCTAGGTTAACACAACCACAGTAAACTTGGCTATCAATAAGAGTTAAAAGTAATGTCATTAGTTAGAGTATCTCCAAGGGAGATCTGGAATGCAAAATGTTAAATTTGAATTTGATGGCTTATGTGACAATTTGACGCTTTAGAAAAAATTTAACTCCACCCGAAATCCCAAATACAATATTATTTTATTATATTTTTAAAAATAAATAAGGCCCATATGATGCAGAAATTTTTAAAACAGAGTAAATGATAGTAGAGTTCATGACTAAAAATAACATTTAAATAATATTTGACGTTAAGCTTTTTGATATGTTAGCAACATTCTCCTTTGGATATTCTCTCTTTTTCTCATGATATGTGTCAGTCTCCTTACACTTAAAAATGTCAATTTAACTTAACTAACTAAAAAAAAAAAAAAAAAAAAACAATAATAATTTTCATATTTGCTCTTGGTAGAAGCTAAAGCGTCTTCTCGTTGCTTTATCGCTCAAAAGAATTCTCCATGACTTTCCAACTCTCAACCACAAAATGCACTATTTTTCTGCATCTCTGTCCATGAACTAATTTGACTGTGTTAATAAAATTTCAATTCAACCAACTTTGTTCTTTGCCAATAGTCTTGTTCAGCTTCCCTCACTCCAAGTCTGAGGCCAAAGGTATGGTTTTTTCATTTTTGAAGTATTATTGTGCTGAAAAGAAGTGAAGTTTGGGAAGATTAATCATCTTTTGTTTATACTACTAGACTCTGGAAATTTTTTTCCCCATAAAACTATAATATTGTATAAAGATTTGGTGTTTTGTAACCATTGCTAATATTAGATGTTTCCCGTTTTGAAAAAGTTGACATTTTCTTAAAAAAAAACACTGATGCTTTAAAAAAAAGTAAAAAGATGGTAAAAATGCTGTAAATTTTTTTTGGGATAAATTGAATGCATTTAATAAGGGTAAACTTGAAAATCAAATATTAGTTTGTATAATATATTAATGATATTGTTTTAAGTGTAAGGAAAATGACACATGTTATGAGAAAAAGGAAAAAGATCCAAAGGAGAAGGTTGCTAGTATTCCCATTTTGATATCTCTCTTCCAGCCTTCAAATCTATATAGAATTTGACTATTCGATTTGAGCAACTTTAACCTTCAATTTTTGCCATTTTATGTCAATGTGGCAATTTGATATATTGGTTGAAAATACTCTTAGAGCATCTCCAAGAGAGATGTCAAACATCAAACATCAAATTTAAATTTGATGGCTGATGTGGCAATTTGACATCTTACACAGCTTTACACTCCACCCGATATGTCAAATTAAATTATTATTTTATTACATTTTAGTGTTGATTCATTTTTAATTAAAAAGAAAAGAAAAGAAAAATTAATAAAATATTCATTTAACATCTTGCTTTTGGGATGTCAAAAATAACATCTCAACCTCCAGTCTTCATTCCACATCAACTTTGACATATCGGTTGGAGTGATATGAGATGTTATTTATAGCTGTTAAATGTCTATATGACACGTTTGACATATCGGTTGGAGATGCTCTTAGACGCTTGTTGAAAGAGAATAGAAAAAACAGAAGATATGAAGCCATCTAAAGATATCGTTCCGTGATTATTATTAGTGAATCGGTTGTATTGGGAAGGAAAGAGGTTGGTGAAGGCCATCAGCTGCTGAACCATAAACCTAAGCAAAAGATACAATGCCAAAAATCTGCGAAAAAGGTCTATGATTAACAATGGTAGAAATGCAGATGGAGCAGAACACACAAAATTTGCAACTACTACAAATATTCTCATAAGTAACATCTAACTCAATAACAAAAGATTTCATCATCAGGGAAGGATCTTGCGTCTGCGGCGGGGTGTTTCTCGCTTCACGTACATTTTCTCCATTTCATTCAGTGGTCGGCTGGAACCATCTGGCTGGCTTACAAATTTCCAGCCACCACCACCTCCACGCTTTCCTCTGGGTCCCAGTTTCTCCACTGTAAAATTCCACCCATCCGAAGTACGACGACGACTATGCTTGTGGCAGAAAACCTCCCCTTTCATCTACACACAAGTGAAACCATCAGTAAAAGGGCCAAAGAAAGCGTGAACACAAAATATGGAGGTATTCATTATAAAACTGCAGAGTCGATCTGCAGCTCAGTGGGCAGAACGTAGACAGAGAAAAAAAAAGCCTCGAATCACCCTATGCAAAACCTTGGTTATCAACACCAGTCTTTAATGGCAAAGAAAGTGGAGCAAAGACAAGCAGCAAAGCCTCATTCATTTGGTGAGTCAATAGAACCTGAGTGTCCAAAAATTCCCCTGCTCCTTTACCTTACCAGTGGCCATTCTTTTCTGTTTGGCAAAATACCACCCCTTCTCACTTGATAACCAATATCCCACTAAATTCATCTCCTAAGAACCAGAAAGTGGAATAATAGACAAATCCACAGCACAAACAATCAAAAGCTGCAAACACCCAATCGCACATGGCATTTAAACTTCAATCACCCTATCTGTCAACCCACATCACCAGTTAAGACTCAACCAATATCCCACTAAATTCAACTCCAATAACCAGAAAGTGGAACCACAGGCAAACCCATACGGTAAACAATCAAAAGCTGTAAACACCCCACTGGACATGGCACTTAACTTCAGTTACCTAATTGTCAACCAACATCACCAGTTAAGACTCACCTAATCTGTCACTTAAGACTCGCCAAATATAGCAGTAATACTTTGTAATACAATACTAGCTAAATTTTTTATTATTATTTCCAATGTTGGACTCTCTCTTTCTCATGGAAATGTGAGGCTTGTGGAACTTACTTTCTTTTTGTTGAAGTTCATCCTCTGGACAAATTCTTGATAAAGCATTTCATCTTCTTTCATGGAGATCTCATAGTGGACTTCGTCCAGATCTCTGGTGCTACCATCCCAACCCTCTGGCATAACCTTGAAGTCAGGTTTGTAAGGAAGGGAAGCGACATGGAATTCACGGTCATGAGAATTGAAAAATCTGAAAAGAGGAAAATATTCGAGCACTATGAGAAATACAAGGGGGTTATTAAATCAGCTATGCACCGCTAGCCAATGCATAAAGCAGAAGTGAAATCACTAATAAAGATAATTGCAACTACAATTAACACATCAAGAAACCTTTACTGTCAAAAAAGTAATGCCTCCAAATTGATATCTTACTCAGGACAGGTGTCAAGCAGGAGCTCAACAGAATTATCTAAAGGACGACCAAGCTTTTTTTCCTCTTCTTCCTCCAGCTCCTTGAGCCAAAGAATGGCATGCACTCTCTGCCTCATAATTCTATAATCCTTGGCCAGCCGCTCAACAGTGTAAACCTCAGGATTTTCCTTGTGCAACCGATACATCTCGGCCTTCTCTGAGTCCTTGAGATAAGACCCCCTTGCACCCGGCTCACGCACTTGCTTCAAAAGTGCACTTACCTCTTTTAATCTCTCTCCCCATCCATCCACAAACCGCTTACTTTTCCGGTTCTCTGCCTCCAGTTCCTTTATTCTATCCTCAATCTCTTGCAGACCAGAGATGACTGAAGATTGAGATGTGTCGTCTCCACTTTTCTGTCTGCCAACCACCTCTCCATCAAAATGCTCCTTGGTCAATCCAGTCGACCATGCGGATAAAGAATCCCAACCCAAATCACCGGATGCATTATTGCTAAATGTTCCACCCTGGGGTTTGTCCCACTCATCTTTGCCATTATTTTCACCATCACCTCCAGATTTGAAAGAAAAAAAACGGGAGGTGATAAATTGAGAAGCTTCGATACCATTCTTCAATGCAAGCCCATCATTGTTTCCCAAAGTGGGTTTACTTTTCTCTCTCAGAAACTTTGCAGCGCTCGTGCTTGTGCCAAGTGAAGTTGAGGAAAGACGGGATATAACACGGTGAAGATTCTGCATAGCCGCCTCGGTATTTTTGCCAAGGAAGTAATCTACTGTGCCACACCACCCGTACAGAATATCCTAAAATCATAAATAAACCTCTTAAGCATCCATGATAGACCTAAAGCAATTCCTCAACTCAATTAAGTTCAATATACATACACAGTGACACACACACACGCACACACACACCAAATTTGGAAACTTTACTAATTCAAAACCCCAAATCTTGATCTGATAGCAAAAGAGATGCAAGAGAGAAAAGAACGTCTAAATAAACCCATTTGAGTGAGGGTAATTAGTCCCCAATTCTGCTAAAAGAACATCAAATGAATTCCCCTCATTTGAGTGAGGATAATTAGTTGCTCACTTCACAACCAATAAACCCATTTGCCCATAGACCAAACAAAGCATTATAACATAAAAAAGAAAAGATATATGCGTCTGTATAGAGAAGCACAAGTACACATATAAACTTTGGGAACTTGACTATCTAAGTTCAGAACCCTGAATCTGGATGCGGTAAAATATAACAGCATTTGAATCTCATCCCAGAAGCTGCTCTTATAAATTGATGGATTGGAAACAAATTCCTAACTTTGGGTAAAGAAATTAACTCGGGTCTTTCCATTTTCCCAGCACCAAACAAGAGCAGACAAACAAAAATTGAATTGCAGTTCAACGACATAGAAGAAACCCAAACACGAAAACCGCAAAAACATAACGAAATATGCATACCCCTTTTTGTATGCACATACACTATTTTCTAATATAAAAAATTAGTGAAAATGTCGGAAGAGAAACAGAAAAAACCTGGAAGAGAGATAAGAACAGAGCTGTTGCTGGAACTTGTAAGAATCAATTCATTGCAGCCAAACCCAAATCAAAATTAAATCGCTTCATGATCCATTGATCGAAATCAACGCATTTCTCAGTGAAGAAGTGGAATTTTGATAATTTGAGACGGAGAGAGAGAGAGAGAGAGAGAGAGATGCTGTAGAAAGATATAAACCCCCCAAACCCTCGCAGGCTATGCATGACAAAACGCACCGTTTCGATGGTTGGTCCATAAATACACCGATTTGATTGTCGGGCGACCCGGATAGGCCTTGACCACGTCCTGGGCCTTGAACTGCACAGCTTGATGGGCCCAAAACCCAAAACCCGAGACCCGAGACCCGGGTCAAATGGGCAGAACCGTAGAAGTCAAAAAAGGCAAAAGGTAGAGACCGCTGTCGTCCACTACATCCAACCTCAAAAGCAGTTACTGAAAACACAGTCCGAGTGATCAGTTCACCATTTCAGCTCAGCTCAGATTTCGGGTATCCAAATTGACCCGATTCCATCGACCTGAAAACCATGCTGGCTTGATCGGGTTCAGGTTCGCGAACCTCGAAAACCGTTCAATTTCTTACTGAAAACTATGTTCAATGGCGTCAACATCTTCAGGTACTTTTCTGTTTCTTTTGGGTATTTTTTTTTTCCGTTATTTGCTTGTATATCTGTAATTATCTGCTGTTTGGTGGCTGAGAAAGTGTGGGAAAATACAGGTAAAAAGGTGCAACTTGTTATTGGTAGTTAAAGTTTTCCTTTTCTTTTCATTTTTCTAATATTAAAACAAATGTGAAATTTCCGATTTGTTAATGGATTTGGTTCCTTTGCTTTTACTTCCTTTCTTGATTCTTAAAAGGAGGGTAAAAGATTAAATTTTCAATTGGTGTTGTGAGCTGTCATGAGTTCTTTTAGCTTCCGTTCTCTCTGGATTTTCAGTTTTCTAGCTTCCTTTTTATTTTTATTTTTTATAAAAATTATATATATATATATATATATATATATAATTTTCGATTTTTGCGGTTTATCATTGGCTTCTTGTCAGAGAAATGAAAATGTATGGTGGTACACTTGAGTTCTTTGGTTTCTGAAGAATGGAAGAACATGGTCACACTACTAGACACACCAACCAGTATTAGGCCTATTTGCGAGTGCGAGTTTGTATCTATTTGGGTTTGTGATTATGAATTCTGTAACAGGTGGATTATGTATATATATTCTAAGAAAATTATTCATCCAAAAAAAAAAAAATTGTATTGGTAGTACATTTATATCTTTTTATCTGCACTCGATATGGTTAATGACTTTTCCTTGTGTATTTGCTGATCTTGATGGTTTCATAGGTATTGCTACATTGGCACGAGCAATTTTTGGGCCTATCACCTACTAAAGTACCATTTACTTATGTAAATCTCAATGGTACCCGAGGGCTTTGGGAGTTATGGACTGTTTTCAGACTGTTGTTCATCATAAGTGTAAGTTTGTATTTATTATAGCTGGCTTGCATAGGATTTCTATAGTAGGAAGAAGCAAAAAGATGGGTATTGTGAATTCATAGTACTTAATATGTGGTGATACATCAAGGTCCCGTTCCCTAGTGTAGTGCTGTTATGACTGCAGGATGGGTATCAATTAGGTATCCCTTAAGTTGATTCTTTTGGTACCTTTTTTCTTTAAACATATCTAAACTTGCAATATATGGGTTCTGTAGTTATATTCCTTGCCACAACCTCTGAAGACAGGCTTATATGTGGCTGCAGGTTATTTGTGCTGTCAGTTGTTATTCTTTATCTGGTTATCCAGTTTTCAAGATGTCGTGGCAGTGCAGACAGTATTTAACCGAAGTCATGTTTCTTCAATGGCAGAGCTAGGCCTGGCTAATCCACCTACTACTGGGTTTTTTGATCCCATAGAAATATCACCAGCTGTTATTCCACATTACCCAAATCCTGCAGATGAACCTTTGGCACCAATGTACCCAACTTTTCCGACAAGATATGAGCCTGTTTTAACTGGGAAATGTCCTGTAAATTTCTCTACTATATCAAGTGTAATGGAAAAAACCGCATCTGATTGTTCTCAACCCCTAGCAGCACTTGTAGGAAATGTAATATGTTGCCCACAGTTTAGTAGTTTGATCCGTATCTTCCCGGGTCTCGATAGCTTCAAGCCTGATAAGTTGGTTTTGCAAAATTCAGTCGCAAATGATTGTTTTACAGATATCATCAGTATCTTAGCCAGCAGGGGTGCAAACAGTACAATAGCTACACTTTGCTCCATAAATTCATCAAATCTTACAGGTGGGTCCTGTCCAGTGAAGGACATTAGTGCCTTTGATAAAACAGTAAATACAAGTGGATTACTGGAGGCCTGCACAACTGTTGATCCTCTTAAAGAGTGCTGCAGACCAATCTGCCAGCTTGCAATCATGGATGCTGCACGTCAAATCTCAGGAAAACAGTTGATGATGAATGAGAACAAAAATTTAGTGGGTGGGCTTAACTACACTGATACTCTAAGCGATTGTAAAGGAGTGGTTTTTACATATCTTTCGAGGAAACTCTCGTCAGATGCTGCGAATACTGCATTTCGAATATTATCTGCCTGCAAAGTTAACAAAGGTACACTATTAAATTATGTACACGACCAATTTATTTTAGACTTTAGGAACTGCGGTTTGAGCATCTATTTTCGTGTCAAGTTTTTTGTCTTGCCTATTGGTGGGAAATGAATAAATGAGGAATACAAAATAGCAACGCATGCAGTAAGAAGGTTCCTCCATTTATTGAAATCTGAAATTTTAAGAGCCAAGAAAGAAAAAGAAAAGACAATTTGTTTGAGTCGATGGTTGAAGAAAAAGGAAACTTAAAAAAAATCAGTATTTGGTACTTTCTTTTCTTTTATGAACCATACTATTAATTTCATGTCTAACCTTTCATGGGCCATGAAGGATTCCCATCTCTAGTATTACCATTGTCGTTTAGTTCTTTATAGTATGAAGTGTTTGAGTTATGTTAATTTTCATAGCCATCTTATAGGGTAACTTAATCATTTGTTCTTTTTCACAAATAATTATTTAACCTAATTTATATGTATACTTTTACAGTGATTAATGTTCGGTGATGGAAAATATCTCAAGAGATATATGCGCTGAATATCATGCCATACTTGTATGAAAATTCTAGATTTTGGTTGTGTTTTGAACAACAGTTTCACAACCTTGATTCACTAATTACCAAATCATGTGCTCTAATGAATTAGTGCGGCATCAAATATGTATATTTTTTCCGGTATTGTAATTTTGGTAAATATTCCAGCATTTGTATTATAATTGTTAACTGTAACCCAGGAACTGGAAACTGTTGAACACAAAAATCCACGTCAATTCCTGAGCAACAAGAAATTAAGATGCGCTGGCTTTTTGAACAGAAAAATGATAAACCTTTGCATTTGTTTACCCACTTTTGCTCTGGAGTTTTTAAGTTTGAGATTTGGCTTGCTTAACTAGTACGTGAACTATTCACATTTTATTTCGTTTGTACAACTTGATGATTACATCTTTAAGTGGTGTATTTTTGGACTTGTCTTGTAGTGTACATCGCTTCTCATGAAAATGATTCTCATCTGTGCAGTTTGTCCTTTGGATTTTAAGCAGCCTTCAGAAGTAGTTAAAGCATGTCGCAATGTTGCTGCCCCTAGTCCTTCCTGCTGTAGCTCATTAAACACTTACATCTCTGGAATACAAAAGCAAATGTTGATTACAAATAAACAAGCTATAATCTGTGCTACAGTGTTTGGGTCCATGTTGAGGAAAGGCGGGGTAATGGAAAATGTTTATGAGCTTTGTGATGTTGACTTGAAAGACTTCAGCATTCAAGGTACTGATCCTGCTATGTCATTCAAATTTTCTGCCTCTTTTCCTTACTATATCTGATCTATTTTTTTTTCTTCTGGATCCCTGTGGGCACTGAAGCAGCATATGGTCAAGAAGGTAGGATATGTTCAATTTTTTTTCCTGTTTCCTTTATGTATTCATTATATTCATTCCCATGATTTGATATCCAATCTTGTGTAGCATTCTGTATAGCTTTATTCGTTCCAGTAGTTATTGTCCAAGAAATATAAGAATACCTGATGCTTAAAAGCATTGTGTGCTTCATGTGTGACTGAAAATGTATTCTGGGAAATTTTCTTTGGACTGCGTTGTGGATGCTTTATAATAATGTTGGTTACAATGCTAATAGTGTGACTTACTTAAATGGGCGTTAGCTCAGGTGGTTTAACGTATTGCATCCTAAATGTACATATCCCAGGTGTTCTAGAGTGTGGGGTTGGTTTTCATGTTCTCTTGTTTGTACTTGACAGAAATGAAAGGAATTCCCTTGCATGCGAAGTTGGTAATCATTATTCTTATTCAATTGATAACTTTGGTTTTGCTCAAATGCAGGGTGTCTACTTAAAAGCTTGCCTTCAGATGTGATTTTTGACAATGTAACAGGCATCAGCTTTATATGTGATTTGAGCGACAACATTGCAGCACCGTGGCCTTCGTCTTCCTCAATTTCATCGGTGTCCCTTTGTGCGCCTGGTAACTGATTGGTCAAAGCATAACTGTTGTTGCCATTTTTCTTAATAATATCTACTATATGACAGATACTACTGAGACTATATTTATAGAATATTTACCGTTTTATGTGAAGTCCATGACATCATGGCTACTACTATTGTTTTGCAGAGATGTCATTGCCTGCACTACCAACGGCGGAGACTTTTAAAAATCTTGGTGTGTACCACTAGTTTCTCTAATTTCTGGCTCTTGTTAGTTTTCTCCGTTTCATTGATTTTAATGTGTTTAACAAAGTCAAAAAGCAAAATGGACAAACGTCATGACATTGGAAAAAAAACAAAAACAAAAGCTGCCCTGTTTTGTGAAGTTAACGCAATGAGGTATTTACAAAACCCGGGGTTCTTTCATAGGAATAAATGTTAGCCAAACCAAGGGAAAATCAATTCGATTTTTGGAAGAAGTCTTTGTGAAAATGGAATCAGTGCTAGTTGTTTGACATACTAGAATTCAGATTTATCATTTTTCATTTAATGTAGAGACTACAGCGTTGAGTTTCAAGAAAATAGTGTTGTTCAAGCTGGCATTAGTCCTGTGTTGTTTCTTCACAATCTTTTCTTTTCTAATGCATTAGCAGTTCCGGAATTCGCATTTCTTTTTGGCCCTTTCTTTAGTACTTTTTCCATCCTAGGTGAAATGTCTAACATTGTAAAGCAATGTTTTGATGCAGGCTGTCGTGGTGGTGAGCAAGAATTTATGTTACCCGTTTTTTCATTGTTTGTTTTGTGCACTTTGTTGTACTGAGGGTTGGGCCGGTTTGAATTAGGGGCTTTTTGAGATTGATGTTGTGTGTGGACTGCCCTGTAGATTTTGAGTAGCCACAATGTATAGCAGTTTTCATTTTATTTTGTCTCTCTTCAAACGTGCACACGCACCATGCATGCATGCGAAGCACGTCGATGGAGCTCCTTCTCGTTGTACCGAAATAGAGATCTGATTTATGGACTTAAGTCTAAGCAAAACCTTAACAAAGATCTGTTTTTCTTATTTGTTGGAACAGAAAAGATTGTCTATTGGGTATCAGATCAGGTAATATCGGATCGAGGGCCCCAATTCTTGAGCAACACGTTGAGCAAAATTATGCTGGTTTGACAAGTGATGCCACAAATTAGTCCAATCCACAACCCCTGAAACCATAATATAATGAAGATAAGAACAAACATCAAATAATGCAACACCAACGAAATAAACCAGAACAAATCAACTTAGCTTGGTATATAAATAACAAATGTCTCACTTTAGCATTTAGCTTGGTCTTGAACCCAAGAAGGCCGAAAATAGCCACGCCAACCAGATATGTGGCCAGATTAACATAGCAGGCCAACTTTTGCCACCCGCATCCTGTGACCACACCTGAAAGGAAGAACCCCCAACCCCAAAAATCATTTCTCATGCATGCTCAAGAAAATGAAAACAGGAAAAATGTAACCAGAGTTTAATGGAAAATGTCGATTTGTGTTCTTCTTTTTTACCTAAAACAACACCTTGTAGAGGTTCAAGGATCACCGAAACCGCAACGAAAGGTGTCATGGATGCAAATTCTTTTACTGTTTCTGGGTTGCCACTGAATAAGCCAGCCCAGAAATTGTGGCCGATTGCCAGTGCCAGACCAAGAACGAAAGCAACAAAGCCAGAGAGCTTAAGAGCCACAGTCATGGCCCTCTTGGCTTTCTCTGGATTGCCTGCTCCCAGTTCGTTTGAAACTCTCGCGCTGCCACAATGTTATATTTATGTAAACAAATGTGATTATTTTGAACACATAATTGATTGAAAAAATTCAATTAATTTGAAGGATAAATAGAGGGTTGTTATTTCACAGACCTGACAGCAGCACTGAGGCCGTATGACACCATATAAGCAATTAACTCCACATTGACACTATAATTTACATCAAAATAAATAAATAAATAAAACAAAGAATACTTTTGAGTCTCCAAGCGGGAAATATAACAATTTAATTATATATATTTTATAGCAGAAGAAAATATTTATAAAACTTACCATATCCCAAGTAGGGATGTGCTCTGTGTTGGATGTGGAAATGCTCCTGCCATGAACACTAGAATCTCAAAGGTCCACTCTTCTAAGCTGGATAGATTTATACGTAGCAAAAAGATACAAAGTTGATCAGTGCAACAAGTTCTAAAGATATACCTGAAAAAAACCTAAAGAATGGACTTATTTGGGCTAAAAGGCTAGGATGATCTTGCTTATGCGTGGAAGGGGATTCTCAAATTTTAATCAATTTGTTAGAGGGTGATCAACATCCCCTCGGCGCTTGTTTTCGCTTGTTATCGATACGCTGTTGGCAGATTTTTCAAGTAATTCAAATTAGTCATGTGTTTCGTGAAGCGAATATGGTAGCAGATGAGTTGGCTAATCTTGATCATCAACTTCATAACCTTTGTATCTGGTTTTGTAATTTTCCAAATAGTGTGGCTCTAAAGCTTGGTTAGGGATCCACAGAGGATCCTCTTTGTATTTGTTGAAAATACTAATGCTCATTTGTGATGAAAGGATCTAAACAATTTTAGATAAATCAAGATCTAAAGGATAGAGGAATGTCAGTTTGGAGTTGAAAACAACATCATGAGTATTAACTTGGAAGAAGATGCTCGGCAACACATAAATAAATATTGCAAGCCCAAGTCGGTGGCTGGTGAATGGCGGCAAGATTCAAACAAAGTGGAGCTACAAAAATAGCTACCCAACCTAATGGGGTGTGGTCTCGCCAAGAGAACTCCCTACCTAAGCTACTAAGGGAGCCAAGAGCTGACCCATCAACCTGGTTGATGGGTGGGAGTCATAAATTTAGAAGATAGGTAGCCAAAAGAGCGGAACTAGGAATTTTTCAACACGTGGGCTAGCTAAAGTGTTTAGGGTAAAATCTAATGAATTTTTTTTTTCTTTTGTACTTACAGTTTTTATAGCCTTTCTAGAAATAAAAGTATATATTAAATCATATAAACCACACTAATTCATAGCTCTATTAACTAATTTCCAATAAATTTTAACATAAAACAAATACATATTAAATGCAACAAGAAAACTGATATTATCAAAATAAAAATGTGTTCAACAACGAAATTGAAAGTGTACCTATTTTACTATGTATTTTTTTTACTTTCATGCAACTAAATTCATAGAGAATTGGTCTTTAATAAATTAATACATACTGAGCTATATTTAAAACAAGTCAAATATAGGTATGATTTTTTTTTTTTCCACCCAAAAGCATCCATGGGCTACATACCAGGTTAGCTTTTAACTTGGTTTTCGCCAGGGTCAATAGCTACACCACTAGGAGGCCAATTAGCTACACTAAACTATGTACTATTCTCCTCCTATCTAATAAACTCACTTTGTTTCATATGTGTCCTATTTTTCCTAAACCCCTTCACACACAAACCAACAATAGTATCAGAGCAATACACTCCGAACTCCAACAGTATTAAAAAGGAAAAACTTATACCATTCCACTGCTGCACCAGGGAGGCCAAGCCTCAAAACAGCAGGGACATGACTGAGTGATGCCAAGGAGAAACCTTCCCATGTAGACTCAAATTTCTTCGAACGAAGAACGTAGACGGCGAACATAAGAAGACAGAAGCAGAGGGAGATGGATGCTGCAAGTGGAACAGCTCTGAAGCCCAGAGCAGTGAAGTGGACAAGAGAATAGGTGAGGCCTATGTGAAGGGCAAGGCTGATGAAGGAGAATATGAAAGGGACGACAACAGCAGACTGCGTTTGAAGAAATCTCTGAACGTTTTGGAGGATTCCAATCGCAACCAACCCAGGAATGAACAACTTCACAAAGACCGCCAAGAGTTTTGAGGCCTCTGGGTCTTGGTGTAGCAACGAAACCAAAACTGGCTCCGAAAAGAACCAAAGCGAGGAAATAAGCAAGGAAGCTAGCAAGGATATTAGGCATGAGGCTTGCAGGTACTGGCCTAACATGCCATACTGCTTTGCACCAAAGGCTTGCCCACAAAGGGTCTCAAGAGCTCCACTTAAGCCACTCTAAACCAAAAACGAAAGAACAAATAAGTTAAAATAAAATAAGTAACTAGCAATTGTGTTATATTGTATTATCAATTCTTCAATACATAATCTAAGAAATTAAATTATGGTCAAGTGTAAAATTACCATTAAACTAATTCGCAATGCAAACGAAAATGCAAAAGAAATGAGTGAGTGAGCACATTAGAACATAAACATAAACACAAATTATATTCTTACTATTATTGAAACACACACACACACAGAGATAACTGGAGAAATTAATTATGAGTAGTAATATTATTACCACAACAGCAAGGCCGGTGGCATTAGCCCATGAAATGGCTAGGTTTGCAGCAGCTAGTTGAAGCTGACCAAGGTGGCCAGCAAACATCACAGACGCCAAAATAATGAAGTTAAACATCACATTGGTAAGAGTTGTTGGCAGTGAAAACAAGACCTGCTTCTTAGCCTCGCCCACGTCCAAAAATTTCATGGTTCTTAGACTTTGGTTAAGAAGATTACAGAGAGGCAGAAGAAGAAGAAGAAGAAAAGGAAGCAGCAGTTGTGGCATACATAGGCAACTTAATTGCTTTACACATATATAGGAAGTTCCGAAGTTGGGACCGGTTTTTTCCCAATTTGATTTAGTAACCTGAATGGCAGAATGGCATTTGGTTTCTTAAGAAAAATGACTAATATAGGACGTGTCAATTTAGTAGCCATTATATCAGTAGAAGAGTGAAGTGGCAAGCTACAATTAAAACCTAATCAGATCCAAACATACAATACACAAACAGAGGATCCGCATCCGATACATAATGTTCAAGAAAAAATAACTCTCAAACACATGGAGAAATAAATTCTGAAACCCCGGATTTAAAATTCTACTTAGTATAGGGAAGAATCAAGAACATGAGAGGAAAATCATTATCTGATTTGTTATTCTTCTCCTTCTTGGAGGAATTTACACAAGGCAAAATGTGCAAAGCTTGGAAATAAACTCAAATGATAGCCTAGTTATTATGAGCAATATCACTCTGAGAAACCTTGCCACCACAGAAAGTATCTGCTTATGCTTAATTTGAAGGGTTAGCCCAGTGACTTAAATTGCTATTTGGTAGTAGTCTTTTAGCAATTGTCTATCTCGGTTGCAAGAGCAAGCAGTGAACTTAAGGTTTGCTTTGGCTGTTCTCTCTTCAACATCGGTGATTTGCCAAATTTCAAAGCTTGTGCCACAAGAATAGTTGTTTCACAACTGCCTGTCTCAGTTAGGACCCCATTTTACTTTCTACTGGACTCTAAACATCCAAGATACTCTAATTTTAAGCTTTCACAACTTACGAACCCATTTTTCTAGTCGAAGCTGCTTCAAAGAGGGTCCTATATTTGGCTTACTTTTCTGAGGACACTTCCATTTTCCAGTGATCTCCATCGCAGGAGAATGAAGAAAATTTGTTGCATCTGCTAAGGGCTTTCTTTTCACTACTGCATCCCTTCCACCTGCTAATGGAGCTGTCACTTTACTGATCTCTTGTCGTCCTTCCGTAATATTTTCATAACTTTTTCTTGGAAGTTTGTCTTTCCTTGTTCTAATAAAACCATCTTCTGATATTTCTTTTCCATTATCGTTTCTGTCTTCACTTCCATGAGTTGGTTTTCTTTTTGACGCTCCATTAACTGGAATTAAATCTGCATCACCTTGAATTAATAAACAATCAACTTCTGCATGGGATTTTGCTTCTGAATTGTCCTGTAAAGTGAAATCCTTGTTATGAGTCATGTATTGTGGAGACTTCTCATTATTGCAGCATGAACTTCTTTCGATGTTCGATGGCTTTATTTTGGTTCCTTTATGCTCTAGCTTGGATTGAGAACCTATTTCGACATCTTGTGCTGAACCCTTAAGATAGTTTTCCAATGATTTAGGCATATGGTTGAGATACAAATCATTCTGACTAGGTAGGTTTTCATCTACTCGACTGGGGTGACCCTGTAATTTACAGATATTATTAGGGTAATGATGACTTGAGCAAGAATTATTATGTCAGTTATTGCTTCATCAATATCAATAATGTGGAAATACACAACTATCATAACCAAAGAAAACAAAACAGAAGAAAGAAAGGTTTAACAAAGAAAAGTGGGAAATTATAGGGAAAAGGGGAGATATAGGAAGAGTACCTCACTTACAGGTTTTGTTTCCTGCTTATTATCTCTCCCAGGGCTGACACATTTTGCAAGCCCTTCAGACTTCAACTCAACAACCTCTTCACCATCAGTTCTGTTTTTACTGAAATCCTCCAAAACCTCTTCTTTTCCTCTGTTTCTGTTTTCAACCGGAAACCGATCCTTCCCACTTCTATTTTCTTTGCAAACAAAATCTCCAAAACCATCATTTGTCTCAAACAAAGGAGATTCGTACACATAGCTTGAGAACCAGTTTCTGATGTCAATAGGCTCTAACAGATTAGGAAGCACAAACAGATCAATAACTTCATTTTCTTATATTCTTCACATAAAAAACCACATCTTACATTTTATTGCCAAGAAAACAAATGGAAGCAGAGAATACAGTTCAAAGATTCAATGCTTACATACATTTTCTCAGTAGCCCAACAATTCAACGAGGGAAAAAACAATAACTTCAGAAATAAGTGAGACAAACCTGAAAGGAGCGAAGGTGACTCCAAAGGACCCGGAGTCTACAAGAAGAAAATTGTGTGAGACTATTGCATATATTTGGGTTCTTGATAGAGAACAAGGGGAGAGACACAGATTATTTGTGAGTGTGAGGAAAACTATTCGCTTTTCATTGTAATGCACTTCTAGTTCTTTGTTTTAGTAGATTCAGGTTGGTAAAGGAGTGTAAATCCTTGTTTTCTATAATTGGTGATTGATCTTTATTTTTTCTTTCTCATTAGTTATATCCTGCAATCACTTCTAGATCTTGAGAATAAGGATTTACTGACTAGGTTGTTGAAATCTCTATAGGGAAAAGGAGAGATACAGAAATAGTACCTCACTTAAAGGCTGCCTTTCCTGCTCATTATCTCTCAAAGAGATGTTGCAATTTGCAAGCCCATCTGACTGTACCGTTTCACCAACAACCTCCTCGCTATCACTTCTGTTTATACTAAAATCCCCTAATTCCTTATCTTTTTCCCTGTTTCTGTTTCCAACCAAAAAGCCATCCTTCTCATGTTTACTTTCTTTGCCAACAGAATCTCCAAAATCATCAGTTGTATCCAATGAAGGAGATTCATACACATAGCTTGAGAACCAGTTTCTGATGTCAGTGGGCTCTAACAGATGAGGAAACACAAACAGATCAATTACTTTGTTTTTTTTTCTTAAATTGTTAACATTAAATGCCATATCTGCTGTTTGATTGCCAATGAACATTATTCAAAGACTGCATTGCTTATATTATCCATTTTCTCAGTAGCCAAACAATTCAATAAATTGGGCGGGAAAAAAAACTACGGATATGAGTGATACAAACCTGAAGTGAACGAAGTTGATTCCGAAGAACCTGGAATCTGCAGCAAGAAAATTGTGTTAAATGCTTAAATGTGGGACATTGGTTTATCCCTTAGTACCATATTTCTTTATTGCTACTTTTAATTTACAATCTTAAAATCCAATTCAGAACCATAAATTATATCTAGAAACTATGAAATCTTTTGATTGTGTTCCATATGAAATAGAACCCATGAAAGAAAAAAGGACAAGAAGCAAGGCTACCTTACTTAAACATTGGTTTCCATGCTCATTTCCAGAAGAGCTGCCAGATTCCACAACCCCATTTGAGATTTGCTTCTCATGGACAAAAGCTCCATCTTTATTTCCATTTCCCCTGAACCCAACTGAATTTTCTTCTTTTTCTTCTCTTTCGACTTCATCGATGCTGAAATCATCTAGCAACGACTCGGAATTCAGTGCAGGTGATTCATACTGGTATCTTGGGAGCCAGTTTTTCAGATCTGGAGGCCCTCCCATGGCTAAATAAAAAATGAAAGAGGATAAAAAATTTATCTTTCAGACACTTGAGAAAGATCAATACAAACCAGAAACGATGGATCAAGTGGGAAGGGGCCTTAATCTGCGAACCCAGAAAGAAAAAAAAATTTAAGAAACAAAGTTTGTTGAAATTATGCTGCTTTTGTGTTGGTACTTGTGTTTAGGCGATGGCGCACAAGTTTGTCCCGCGTTTTATTTTCATTTGAATCTCCCGCCATTTATTAGCTATCATGCTGGCATGTCTAGTTGTGGAGCAAGGGACAATGGGCTATGCCCTCTCCAAAGTGACACTATTAGACCACTACCACCCGTGCAGGCCAGTACGGGCAGAAGGCCCCTCAGTTCCCAAAACCCAACTCCAGCGGTGAAGGCCAGCCTGGGCAAGAAGTGGGCTCTGTCAGCCTAGGCAAGCCCAAAGACAAGATTTGCCTTGAGCTGCTGGCTGGGTTTGCTGATGTCAACATGACATTAGCGACTAATTTAAATACCCAAAAAAATTTAAAAAAAAACCAAAAAATTCAGAATTTTTATTATTATAAATACCTAGCTATGTTTTTCACTTCCCACACCAAAACTCCATACAAATTTCTCTCATTATATCTCATATGAATAGTGTTTGTCTTTACTTACCATGACAATAGGTGGAAAAGCAAAGTAAAAAAGGGTAGGGTAGTCACTATTCATATGAATAGTGTCTGCCCTTACTTGCCCTTTGTCATGACACTATGGGTGGAAGTCCTCTTATTCATAATCTATCCCCCCAAAATTTTTATTGTTTCACACTGTCCATGAAAAGAGGGTGCATTGAGCATTTTGACATAAAACTGATTACTGTGATGATTTTTTTTTTTTTTTTTTTTTTTTTTTTTTTTTTGGGGTTTGAGGATTGAATTGTGACTAGAAACAATAAGTTCAAAGAGGTCTAGTTCAGTGTAAAGGAGTGACTTGCAAACCGATGGAACCCCTTCCACTTTGTAGTTTACATTATTGATTATATTAAAAAAATACGTTAAAATTGATACTTGTTAATTTAGAAATTTAGAATTACCGTCTCCAAGATGACTTATACAAGTACCAATTTAATTTAGAGTGGGTTAGAATTACCGTCTCCAAGATGACTTATATGAGTACTAAATTAATTTAGAGTGGTGATTTTCTCACTCCAATTTTATCTACTTACAATCCATTTTATAACTAAAAAAGGAGTGTAAGTGGATAAAATTGGAGTGGGGAAATCATTACCCTTAATTTATGAGTTAATTGGTCAATAAAAACACAATTTCCTTTAATATATAGCACAATTTTTTTTAATCTACCATTTTTTTATTATTCCCTTTTATCAATTCATTCCAACATAATATGTTGTCGTAGCAACTCATTCTAAACGAGAGGAAGGGTCTTTCACTCGAGTTACTTATTCTATAGCCGTCCAGGTCTACAACTCTACTTATAGACCGTTTGGTTCCCGAAATGAATTTGATGGGAAATCATTTCCCATGTTATTTCCAAAGAAATGGCTTTCCTCTATTAACCAGAAAAAAACAGAGAAAAAAAAAATGAAAACCAGAAAACCAGAGAGTATAAAATCGCTAACTGGTTAGTGCTTCAGTCTGGCATTCTCATTCTCAGCAGTCTTGGACATATGATCGTCCAGGTAGTGCTGATAAAGATCTGAAACAAAGCCTCAAATGGCCAGAACCATGGCCACTACCTTAATTCGGAACATTTTGTCATGGAAGAAGATCACAGGTAGAACTGGAACCACAGGCAAACCTAAAGTACCTACGACATTGGAGAAGAGGGAAGATGCCTAAAAAATCAACCCTACTCCGCAAATAGCAAAACAGCTGCCACACTATATGGCTGACTATGTGAGGTTCATGATGTAAGAAACCTTGATTAAAACTCCCCCATCTATTTCTTTAAACCCTTCCGCTCTCCACTGACCAAAAGTCCTACCAAGATAGCAAAGCTTGCAACCAATGACTGACAGACTATCACGTCCATGACTGCTGTAAACGTTTCCTTTCTTATAACCTTTCTGAATGCGAGCTATGTTAGGGAAAGAGTCAATCTATACAATGCTGAGGCCGCAACGGTGCATACAAAACCAGTTGAAGGCTACTCCGGCTGCGTCTGCAGAGTCGGAGTCGCCTTGAAACACAAGGAGACAGAGGAGATGGTGAGCAGGACGAGAGCGTTGAAAATGTAAGGAGTGAACTTCTGTGAGTTGAGGAAGAAGGAGAAAAGCGCATTGAAGGCCAACTGGAATGCGCAGATGAGGGAACATGTGGACACATGAAGGTAAGATAGTCCTAGAGAGAGAATACAGGAAGCAACCAAATGCTACTAGGAGGGCAAGAGAGACAGAGACTGCGAAGGCCTTGGGAGTTTGCTCCATTTGCTTCCTGATATGAACTGATAAGAATGGTAATAATGCAAGGATCAGTTCTGTTAATTGCAACTTATATGAGACTGATCATCTCTACATATTGAACAAATGAATGCGTCTATTGCTTACGTTTATCAAGAAAATGTTTACCAGCTCTATCCCAGATACAAAAATATTTGCACAAAAAACTCTGCCATGGGATTTTACCCTTAGGCTAAGATGATAAGAAGCCAAGTAATTTCATGTCCAAGCATGCACAGAAAAGACCTATGGTTCAATTATCTCTTTCTTTAAACCCTTCCACTCTCCACTGGGAACAGCCATTGTTTGGCAAAACGAGCCAAATAATGGTCTAACCTTTTAAACCTGGATTAAAACCTTGCTAATACAAATTTCCAAAAAATTGAAAGGCTCCCCAAATTTCAGAAACATAAGAGAGACCTAAGAGTTTCACATAAAAATATTTCAAAAGAACACACAAAAACCATATTGTCAAAGCCTATGTTGCACGGACACGCGTACACGGGGATACGGAAAATATAAAAAAACTAACTAGGATACGGCTTTGACTCAAAGCTACACATGTACCACTCAAAAATTCCCAAACATGGGAACCAACCATATAAGAACAGAGGTCTAAGATTTTGACATCAAAGAAAAATTCAAAATTCAAAAGAACATTTACATACTTATATAGGAAGTTAGCACGACACACACATATGCATTAAGTAAGCAAAACTAAATTATTTATCAATTGTTCATCATCCTTACCAAAAAGGACAAGACAGAGAAAATAAAAAACTGTGCAGCCCACATGTTTTATTTAGTCCTCTGCTGCGATCAAGACCCTGCCAATTTCGAAAGAAACAAAGGCATCAACACAAGCATACTTGACTTGCGCAGGGGAGAGGTATGGCTTGTCCCAGTGACTCAAAGTAATACTCTTCGGCTTCTGAAATTCCTGCCCTAGAACCTCCGATGCCATGTCCTTCAGGCTCACGCTCCGGGGCCGGTCCCACCCGTAGCGCCTCGCCTCCAAAACCCTAAGGTCCACAGAGTTCGCTACCTCCAGGCCATAATCATCCGCCAGCTTTCGAACATCTTGCCCTACCCCGACGCCCACAAAGGTAAAGCTCGGATTCGCAAGAAAGTCGAAAAGGCACTTGGGGATCCGATCGCAGTAGCAGAGCTGAAAAATGAGGCAATTGTGGCCGACGCATAGTTGCAGGGTTGCTACAGGGTTGGTGACGCCTTGGGTGAAGGATGGGCGCCACTCAACGTCGAGGCCGACGATGAGTTCGTGGAGCCGGAAACGGTGTATGTATTTGATTTTCTGGATCCAAGACCTCACCTTGGACGGAGTGTGCGTGACTAGGGTTTCGATATTGTCATCGAAGAAATCTACTCTGTAGAGGTCGTGCGTGTCGCAATTGAATTCGTAGTCTGTGATGTTGATAGCCATGGCAAGGGCCAGGGCTGTGTTTGTGCTTTGCGAAGAAGACGAGTGAAAGATTTTGACGGTTGTTGACTCGGGAAGTTTGATGGTTTGGGGAAACTTGTAAAGGCGCAAAAGGTGTGCCGATCAAAGAGGAACAACAGCGGTAAATGACAAACAAAAAAAAAAAAAAAAAAGAAAAAGAAAAAAAGGGAAAAATGTGTGGTTTTTGGGATATAAATTTCGAGTAATTATAGTCTAGTACTACCACATGCTATAATATAAGTAGATATCTATTGATATTATTTTTTAAAATAAAAAATATTAATCATGTTGTTCACTCACATTATAACACTTGCACAAGTTATATCAAATGGCCGTACTTGCATACCATTTTATCATTTCTCTAAAATTTGTTTTTTTTTTTTTTTTTTTTTTTTTTTTTTGATTTATTAAAATTTATTTATTTATTAATAAAAAAAAACATAAAAGTGTATAAATATAATATATCAAACAAACAATACTATCCAAAACCTAGCATGAGAGATATGAACATATGCGTAATCTTTAAATAAAAGACTCGCGCCTGAACAACTCAAAGGGAAACAATAAGAAAAAGGAAGAAAGAATAGGAAGCCTATACATCACTTCAATCTACACATCAACTGACAGGACCCGTCCCGAATTTCCCGGAACCCGAGACGAACCCTGTGGAGACCCCGGCGTCACACCCACGCCGGGTTCACTCCTTAAAACTATGTCCTCTTTTACCAGAGAGGATTTAGGGCACTAGACTTTCTGCCAAAATTTCGGCAGAGTCTCCATCGTAAATTGAACATTCCCCAAAATTTCCACCTGCATAACACATCTGATAACCCAACCAGCAGCACGCACAATATAATCTCATGCAATTTACATAAATGGCATCCGGCCTTCAAATGATTTTAGCAGAACTACTCACACTGTTTTCAAAATAACTTAATGCATCACACATGCACAAATCCAATTCGAAATCCATCCATACACACCTTCACTCACTCAGTCACCGGACAAGCCTCGATTCAACCAAGTGTCGGGACCAACCACGAGGTCCACATCATACTCGATAAAACCACCTAAGTGGTGTCTAGGTCGTGGCTGCACCTAGGCGCTATCCCAGGCTGCCTACGTACCCTACTAGGGGATCAAGCCACACGTAGCTCTTTCCTATCAATCATGGCTCCTGATATCAATTAAACCATTACCTCCATATAAATTCATACATTCTCGGGTTTATCCATCACAACACACCCAACATAATCACATAGCTCCCACTCATACGTCGGGACGCACCCGGCCACGTACGGGGTCTGTCAACACGCCGGCTAACCCAAAGACGCGTGCGACCTCACACTGGGCCTGGCTACATTCTCACCAGCCATCATACCATCATAACTCCCACTCATACGTCGGGACGCACCCGGCCACGTACGGGGTCTGTCAACACGCCGGCTAACCCAAAGACGCGTGCGACCTCACACTGGGCCTGGCTACATTCTCACCAGCCCTCACACAACCATAACTCCCACTCATACGTCGGGACGCACCCGGCCACGTACGGGGTCTGTCAACACGCCGGCTAACCCAAAGACGCGTGCGACCTCACACTGGACCTGGCTACATTCTCACCAGCCCTCACACAACCATAATCTCCCACTCATACGTCGGGACGCACCCGGCCACGTACGGGGTCTGTCAACACGCCGGCTAACCCAAAGACGCGTGCGACCTCACACTGGGCCTGGCTACATTCTCACCAGCCCTCACACAATCATAACTCCCACTCATACGTCGGGACGCACCCGGCCACGTACGGGGTCTGTCAACACGCCGGCTAACCCAAAGACGCGTGCGACCTCACACTGGGCCTGGCTACATTCTCACCAGCCCTCACACAACCATAACTCCCACTCATACGTCGGGACGCACCCGGCCACGTACGGGGTCTGTCAACACGCCGGCTAACCCAAAGACGCGTGCGACCTCACACTGGGCCTGGCTACATTCTCACCAGCCCTCACACAACCATAACTCCCACTCATACGTCGGGACGCACCCGGCCACGTACGGGGTCTGTCAACACGCCGGCTAACCCAAAGACGCGTGCGACCTCACACTGGGCCTGGCTACATTCTCACCAGCCATCTTACTGTCACTTACATTCTCACCAGCCACCTTACTGTCACTTATAATCACAATATGAGGGGTACGTGGGGTAGTGCGTATAGCACTGTAAACTAATATTCAATCTCCTTATATATCATTACACATCCACACAATTAATTAAATATATCATATAATTTCTAATCATACAACAACATCAACCAATAAAACATTCCATAAACTCCCCCCCATTTAAATTCACCAATTTATATCCTAAACCCACAATATCCATTTAACTCAACAACGCTCAAGACCTGTCACTAAGGTCATCCTAACCCTCAAGGAAAGGTAAGACTATCTCAGAAGTCTCACGGTCAACCTAGGGTCAAACTCCAAATTCCGATCCGATAGTTCCTAGAGGTTCTACAAGCTCTAGGATACATGTCCTGCAAGTTTGGTCCAGATCGGACGGTCGGATTGCTCACGACCGCACAATCGGACGGTTACTTAAACCCTAACCCCAGGGTTGGCATTTCTGGAGTATCCGGGACTCCGTTTTACGATCCGTCGAATCCTACACGATCCTGGTAATACCTAGATCAACATATTATAATATCAGGACCATCCAACGGTCCAAACCCAGCGAACCCGGAAAACACGCGATATGCGATATCCGTTCGGGACTCTAACAATATCCAAATTGAGATCCGAGCACACCTACGCGCTCATGACAACCTGAGGATCACATTGGGACAAAATTGCCCCTCGACTACAGTGCCCACGCGCCGCCACACGCGCCGGCAGCGCGTGGGTGTCCAAAGCGATATCGCATCGCCGGAAAAACCACGAATCACGGCTCATGACTCCTACCCTAGGTAAAACACCTAATTTGGAGTCACTTTTGTTCTTGGACGTACCCCAAAAACTGACCGGAAGTGGCCGGAATCGCGAACCCAAAACCGGCCGAACCCTAACTCGAAAATCAGATAATCTACGCTCAAAATCGATGCAATCCTACCCAACCATCAGCTAGATCACGGAAAATAGGTAAGAAACCATACCTCACTTGCCGAAATCGGTGGCCGGACGACGGAGAACGAAGCCGGCGAATTTTCTGTCAAAACCGGAGCTTTTCTCCTTGTTTTCCGGCGGAATCACGGCGGCTGGCGACGGGACCTGGCTGGGGTAGGAAGAGGACGGCGGCCTGGTCATTTTGGTACCGGCCCCGTCAACTTTGGTGGCCGGACGAGCGAACGGCCGGCCAAAACGTGGTCGGCCACGGTGGCTGTCGCGAACCAGAGGAGAGAGAGAGCGACGCGCGGGAGGGAGAGAGTGTGAGAGAGACGGGGGCAGTTCCGTCTTTTAACCAAAAATCCATTGTCCAAATATTTACGATTATGCCACTGAGCTTCTTTTGATCATATCTCTCTCGTTACAACTCCGATTCGAGCCCACTACGTGTCTACGGACTCATCTCGCCGTGCTCTACGCAACGGTACATCCAGAATTCCCAAATTCATTCCGGGTAAGAAAATGACTAAAGTACCCATCCCTCGGGTAAATTCTTAATTTCACTCAAATTAATTAAAACAGGGGATAAATTTGGAGTCGGGGTGTTACATCAACAAAACATTGGCAGCACCAGAAACCTGCAACTAACAAAGCATTGCCAACATCAACATGGATCTAAAAATGACGTGGCCGTGAAGGCCAACAACTCGAATACAATTGCAAAATTCAGCAACGAATTCACAATCTGCAACAACAACCGAATGAAAGAGAGAACAAAGAGAAGTAGAGAGAAACAAACAGGCATGGGTAGAACTACCACAAGGGCTACAGTGGGATGTAGCCCAGCGAGGTTTTTGGGTAAAAAAAAATATTAAACCTATATATTTGCCTTATTTCAAATATAGCACAATATCTATTAACCTATTAAAGTAAAAAATAAATAAATCCAATTCTTTATGAATTTAGTTTCATGGCAACAATAAAAATACATATTAAAATATGTACGCTTTCAATTTTGTTGTTGAACATATTTTCATTTTGATAATTTTGGTTGCAAATTAATATGTATTTGTTTTAAGTTGAAGCTAATTCAAAATTGTAAGGGGTTTGTAGCTCAAATAGTTAATACCATTTACCATGGTCTAAGGTTCGATTTTCCCTCCCTCAATATCACTTGTATCCAAATAATTTTTTTTAAAAAAAAATATTGAAAATTAGTCAATTGAACTATGAACTAACGTGGTTTACATGATTTAATGTATATTTTTAATTCTATAAAAAAGAAAAAAAAAGAAATTGTAAGTACAAAAACAATGATCATTAGATTTTTAGCTAATAAATGTAGCCCACTCATTGAACAATTCATGGTTCTGCCCTTGCAAACAAGGAGGAAAAACAAAAGAAAAAGAAAAATGAAACTTCCTCTTTGCTCAAGAAGGAGAAAAAGAAAAATGAAACAAACAAAGAAAAATGAAAAGGAGAGGAGAGAAAAAAAAGAGAAGGAAAAAGAAAAAAAAAAGGAGACAAACAAAGAAAAATGAAAAGGAGAAGAGAGAAAAAAAAAGAGAAGGAAAAAGAAAAAAGAGAAAGGAAAAAGAAAAAGGAGAAAGGAAAAAGAAAAAGGAGAAAGGAAAAAGAAAAAAAGAGAAAGAAAGAGAGAAAAGGGACAGGAGAAATAGGAAGAAGAAAAGAAGAGAAAAGGAGGAGAGGGAAGAAGGAGAGAAGAGAAAAGAGAAAGAGAAGAAAGAGAAAAAGGAAAAAGAAGAGGAAAGATCGGTGTTATAAAACATGTAAACCAACGATTGTATCTCGGCACAAACAAACCATCAATAAGACCATCTCCAACCATGTTAGGGCTAAACTCAAATTTTCACCCTCCAAAATACAACTATTCATGTATTTTTAGGACTCAAACTGTTTTTTCCTCCAACCTTGCGGACTCATAATTTGAGTCCGCAACTTTATTAAATTGTTTAAGAATGATTAACGCTTAAATTTTTTTTGTCATTAATTTTTCTTGACATTAATTTTGTTTCAACATTCGTGAATTAATTTTCTAAACATTTTAATCTAAAAAAATTAAAATTCCATGAACATAACATTTTTTTTGGCTTGAAATTAAAATGAGAATGATTGTATAGTTTGAGAGTGGGTCTCATTTAGATAAATTACAAATATTATTTTAACCATTTGATTTTAATTTTGATAATTGGATCTTCTTTTTCTCGTTAAAAATCAAGTTGAAAAAAATATGGGCTGTTTATATCTATTTGAGAAAGCTTGAAAAATGACAAAAAGTTGGTTCCCATTGCTTTACACGTGGCTAGCTTTTAAAGGCTCCAAAAGATTATATAAAGAATTAAAAAAAGAACAAGTAGATGCATAATTGGTTTTCAAAGGGAGCTGTTGGATTCCAACGTCCCTTTGATGTGAGCCTTCCACGTGTCCAGCAAATTTGCTCTGTCTTGTCATTCCTTCACATGCTGCACAAGTTGGCTTCGACTTGGGGCCCACAGAAATTCCACCCGGACTGGAAAGTTGGGCCAAATTCCACCCAAAATTTCAGTCTGACCCAAATTACCACCCCTCATTATACATGGTTGGAGAAGGTTTTTGGGGCTATAATCCTAAAATTTGGGTTTGACCCTCATGGTTGGAGATGGTCTAACTGCTCCAAGACCGATCATACTTGTATACAACAGCCACACCACTTCCTGCATAAATGCCACACCAAAAAAAGAACACAACAAAACCAATCGACAGTAAAACTGTGGCAGACCAAAAACTGCGGAACAACACAACGAGATGGAACAATTGTCTATGTCAACAAAACGAACCCAAACAGTGGTGATAATAAACCCATTAAGGGCAGTCTTCAGAAACAACAATCATGAGAAGTTCATTCAAAAATATTTTTCACTTCTTGACTAAAGCAACTGCCACCCAACGAATTGTATCCTTGCACAATAAAACTGACAATAACTGCTCTTATCAATTATACTTTTGTGCAAGAACCACACCACTTCTTGTAGAAATTTCCCCGGCTGGTGTCACCAAAAAAGATGAAACCCAACTAAACAATCGATAGAAATGATGGTGGTTAAAATAGATGAAATCTTGAAAAACGCAAAACATACAGAGAGAAAGGGAGCAAACAAAGATAGAGAGAGAGAGAGAGGGTTGGACAAGGAAAGCGTCTTTGTTTTTCTGTCTTCTTTCCTTTGCCCTTTTTTTAACCGGGGAGATGATAAGAAAAACAGGGAGAGGGGAAAGAGCTTTTTTTCTTTTCTTCTTTCCCTAACTATCCATTAATTATTCTAAAAATCTTGAATTCTAATGTATAATAAGAGAATCCAAGAAAATAGTATACAGTGTAGTCATATATCACCCAAATTTAGTAAATCAACATCCAAAGTTTTGTCAATCGACTACATGAAAATCAAATATCTTTAGGAATTGGGATGAATGATTTCAACTTTGCACTGGTGCTGGTATATATAGATATACCGATACAATGTGATACAATGTGATACAACGATACATTAAATTCTAAATACTAATATATGAGTATGGCAAGAATACGGCAATTAAAATAATATATTTTATTAATTTTTTTGAATTATTATTAAATTAACATAGTAGTTTTAATTTAGGCCAGACTTATTATGCATTATTGTATGCCCATACTTGTTAAAAAGACTTATTATGCATTATTATAAGAGTAAAGTTAGGGATGACAAAATTCCTCTTCAAGTCACGTCAGGTCACCAGCTCTAACAAGGGAAAATCGAGGGCATGTATCTTTGAATTTTAAATATTCCTAGGCTGGGACAGTATAATATTAAGATGATTGTGAGTAGTTGAGTTGAATTTTAGAGTTGAATTAAATGTAATTGAGTTGAATGATATATTAAAATGAAATTAGTGTTTAATGTAGCCCACAATAGAGATGGGGATGGAGATTCCCCAATAATATTTTTGGGGATGGAGTGAAGATGGGTATGGTATTGCTATAATTGGCCCCGAATCGGCGTGTTGCCATCCCTAGTGGTGGCAGAAGGGGTTTAGGGGTTAGGAGCCATTTTTGCCTCCCAAAATGAAATTATTTATAAGATCTACTGCCTCCAAACTTTCGTTGTTCTAGTGATGAGGGATTAAGGGGTAGAATTCAAAAATATTGTTGTATCTATGCTACATTGAAGCATTTCGTCAAACATTTGGGGAATCGGCCAGTACTTATTTGTGAGTTTAGAAATTTAGAATCACCGTCTCAAAATTTAAGCTTGCACAGTTACCAATTAATGTATGAGTTAGTTGGTCAATAAAAAGGATCTTTCACTGGAGTTACTTATTATATAGCCGTTCACGCTCCTCCATTGTACAAAACTTTCTACAACTCTACTACTTGTAGAAATTCCAATGAAATGCTTTTGCTCTTTTAACCAGAGCACAAAACAAAAATTGAGAAAGAAAAAAACCAGAAAACCTGTTACGCAGGTATAGAAATCTGACTTACCTATGATGTGAGCCTTAAAATTCTAAACATGTTTCAGGCACTTGGAAAGAACAATGTATATATAATCGGTAACCGGTTAGTGCTTGAGCGCTGGAAAGAAGCTTGTTTCAAGGTGGGAGAATTGTAGAAACCTCACCATTGGCATTTTCATTCTCAGCAGTCTTGGCCTTTCGATCGTCGAGGTAGTGCTGATAAAGATATGAAACAAAGCCCCAAATGGCTAAAACCATGGCCACTATCTTAATTCGGTCCATTTTGTCATGGAAGAAGATAACAGCTAGAACCGGAACCACAGGCAAACCTAAAGCACTGACGACATTGGAGAAGAGGGAAGATGCCTCAAAAATTAACCCTACTCCGCCTATAGCAAACAGCTGCCATACTATAGCTGACCATGTTAGGTTCATGATATAAGATACCTTCCCGGATTTAAACTCCCCCATCTCCTTCTTCAAACCCTTCCACTCTCCGCTAGCGAAAAGCCCTATGAAGATGGCGCAGCTTGCAATCAGTGACTGATAGACTATCATGTCCATGACCGCTGTAAATGTTTCCTTTCTTATAACCTTCCTGAATGCAAGCTGTGTTAGGGAAAGCGTCAATCCATACGAGGCTGATGCCGCAACGGTGCATAGGAAACCCATTACATACTTTCCTTTGGAGGTTAATCCGGCTGCGCCTGAGTCAGAGTCGCCTTGAAACACTAGGAGGACGGAGGAGATGGTGAGCAGGAAGAGAGCGTTGAAAATGTAAGGAGTGAACTTCTGTGAGTTGAGGAAGAAGGAGAAAAGTGCATTGAAGGCCAATTGGGATGCGCAGATGAGGGAATATGTGGACACAGGAAGGTATGATAGCCCTACAGAATACAAGAAGCAACCAAACGCTACTAGGAGGCCAAGAGAGACATAGACTGATGCAAGGGTTAGGGTAGACGGCGGCGGTTCCGATTGAACACTGTTTGTGGTTGGATTATTTCTTTTGCTAAGTGCTGGGATGCAATAGTAGGGAAGCAGGATGGGGAAGCCAGCAAGGTTCATAAGGGCTTGCAGCCAATTGCTATGGCCGCCTTTGTCGAAGTACAATCTTCCCAAGAGTGTTGCAACTGACTGGCCAGAGAGCACTAGGCATGTATAAAGGGTCATTCTAAGCCACCAGTTGAAACTTTTGCCCCGAGGAAGCACCGATGTGTTGCGAATGCTTCTGGAGTTTGCTCCATTTGCATCCTGATGATGAACTGATAAGAACAGAAATGCAAGGATCAGTACTGTTTGTTGCAACTCATGAGATTGATCATGTATACATATTGAATAAATCCAAATGATTATTTCTTATATTTATCAAGAAAAGGTTTACCAGCTCTATCCCATATAATTATGTCATGGGAATTTTCCCTTGGGCCTACCATCCATTGATTAGTTCGGTGACAGAAGATGATCAGAAGCCAAGCAACCAAGCAACCATATTCTTTAAGGCTTTATTTGGATGGAGGGATTTGGAAAAAATGATTTGGATTTGAGAATAAGGCTAAATGTGCTACGAAAATAGAACCAAATTAGATTGACTGAATTTGCAATAACTAGATGCAGCACATTTGAAACTTTATGCAATGAATTATTTGAAATTCATCTGTTTTCTTCCTTCCTTTCACATCTAAAATCTTCGCATATTTGAATTGTAATAGTCTTAACAAACAATTTTACCTTGTAATATTTTCTAAATTCATGAATTTGGAATCCCTTAATCCAAATGGAGCCTTTTTCTATAACCAAATGATTTACTCGTGCTATAGCCTAGCTTTCACAGCTGATTTCATATCCAAGCATGCACAGAATAGACCTCCTAGTTCAATTATCTAAATAAGAAAGTAAAATAAAAACCAGTAAGTAAATGAATAAGTGGCATACGTACCCATGATGCTGAGTTGCAGCTGGTGAGCTTCTCCCATATTGTGAAAGGTAAAGAACGTCTCTCAAATGATGTAGGGGGAAAGAGAAACCAGAGAGAGAGAGAGAGAGGCTTTTTTCAATTCACATGAAATTTTGGCATCTACATATGCACTATGGTGTCGTCTAGCTAGCACAGAATGAAGAGAGACAACTTATGTTTTCATCTCCATGAAGAAAACATTCAAAATTGTGAAAAAAGAAAACAAACAAACACCCCCAAGCCACCAGCGGGATGCAGAAGATAAGGAAAACAAAGAAGAAAGCAACTTTATTTTGTAGGAAGATGCAAACCTGAAATGGGATGTTCCCGTACTTAAAGCTAGGGAAGCTTTATGAGGAAAGCAACTCTATCATCACACCATGATGCGCAGGTTGTGAAAGCTTTTCTGAAAGCTATGGAAGTATGAAGCCGAGGAAGAACTTTTCCCCCTTATTGGTTGGAGTGAATATTTGATAAATAAATGATGGCTGAAAAGTGCCATGAATAATAGAATATTAGAATACTATGTATACACTCCACTTTTTAGTCATCATTCATCAAATATCAAAATGAGTAATTTCTCAAGGACAGATCTATATATGTTGGCAATAAAGATCAAATCGCAAAGGAAAAACTGCCAATTGCAATTATAGGCAATAAAGAAATTAACTAGCCTTCAAGGCGGGATCTCAGGAAAATTAGCATGGTCGCTGAGCCAGTTTGTTATAATGGTGTACAAAACGGGGTGAACCAAATTAGGTATCAAACTAATCACAAATACATTGTCATTGTATCCACCTGAATAGAACTCATCTCCTCAAACCATGTGAATGACAGTACTGCTATGTATCAAAATTTTTTTTTTTGGAGAGAGAGAGAGATTACTATCGTTACACCAAAGGTTAGTCGATTACCAAGGCGTATGTTTGAACTTTTTCAGACAGAAAAAAGAAAAAGAAAAAAAAAAGGTGCACAGATACTTGGAATATATTGGTGTAGATATGGAGTTTGAGATATTGATACGGTCCTAATACTCCTTGCAACTCATTACCTTATTTATTATCTGATTTGCTTGCCTATTGACTTTCCAGTCAAACAATAACGACGTCGACCATTCATAAGCAGAATAACTTTTAATACAAGCATGCAAACTTTACTAATACTGAAAATTGGAAAATATATATTCTTGCTTTAATGAGACCCTCCTTGTCAATGGAAAAGATTCCTCAAATTTCTCCATTTATTTCTCAATCTAAGATACTATCAAACAAGAATTTCTCTCAAAATTTCAAGATAGTAAGAATCTCTCTCTCTCTCTCTCTCTCTCTCTCTCTCTCTCTCTCTCAATTGGCGGTTGGTGATGGGGTGCAGAAGGCGCAGCTTCTGGTTGCACTCTTGGAGTTTCAGCAACCAGCCCTTTGAAACGAGTCCCATATAAAGATATAATTTGTTAATTTATGATGGCAGTATACACGTGTGGCTAATTATCCTTCATTGATGATATTAGTGTCACAATAAATAAATAACTGTAGGCTAGAATATCTTATTGAGTAAAAGCGGTATGTATAGAAAGGAATCCGTATAGAAAACCTTACAGAAAAATAAAAGGGAGCTTTAGTTTTAAAACACAATATAGTTTACTAATTTGGAAGATAGGAATACAATTTCATTTAATTAGCATAAGGGACTCGAACCTTTAAAAAAAAGAAAAGGTTTTGTGTCATTTAAGGGACTCGAACCTTGACCCTCAAAGGAGGAAGGCTCACTTACAAACCACTACACCAAACTTAATTTTGTAATATTTATTCAGTTATACAATATTTATATAAACAATCACGGTTTAAAAAAAAAAATCATTTCAACACTTATTCACACAAAAACTGTAAATAAAAACAGAAACTGCAACAAAAATACAACGTAGATATCAATTATGTTTTTTATTATTATTAAAGGTGGTAGTATTTATTGATTATAGAACGTAACAAGTACAAAAACTGGGCTAAGTCGTCAGGTATTATGCGAGTGTCTCTACTCCAATGGGCTTGGACGTCGGGCTAACAAGTAGCCGTACCCGCTCGACCGCAAGCAGGAGTCATCTAACGTAAAAAACATAAAACGAAAACGAAAACATCTTCAAAAACAAAAATTAATTTTATTGAAGCAAAATGGAGGAACCAAGATGAAAGTACTAAAATGGAAACTGCAATGCAGAAACGGAAACTGCAATACAAAAATGGAAACTGCAATGCATAAACGGAAACTGCAATACAAAAATAGAAACTGCAAGGCTGAGTTTGGGCAAAAATGCTCAGCTCTAGAGTTAAACAAAACAAAACTATACATATTTTTTAATTCAAGACATGTTGGTAAAATACTTTGTTTCTAGCAATGCACTTTCCAAAACTGCAGTGCAGTTTCCAAAAGTCCAATTTTGAGTTCCCTTGCTCTTGGGTAGTTCTACTCCTCTCTTGCCCACCCAATTCCTCATATGGGTAGCCTCTACTCTTCAAATTGGTGAGGTTAAAGGCCAATGAAAGAACAAAAATCAAATTGTAATTAAATGAAAACTGTAATGCAGTTTCCAAAACTATAATCAGAACCTGTACAATGTAGTTTTGCAATACCATTTCCAAATCAAAAAGTTCAAACCCATGCACCAAAAAGCTAAACCAAAACTTGATAAGAATTTCAATATTAGAGACCTTTTGAAACATATTGTGTGTGCCAGCTCCATATTTTGGATTCGTTCATAAAATTGAACAAAAAACACAATTTGACATTCAATTTCCAAGCACTCGCCCAGGACAAATTGATCTGAATCCTAATATTCAAAGACTCGTATTTACAAAATAAACAAAAAAATGAAATTCAAATAAATAAAAAAAATAAAAAAAAAAAAAAAAAAAAAAAAAAAAAAAATGCATGCAAATTATAGGGATCAAAAGTGTAAAGTGATGAATGACAACATACCTTTGACGACCAACCTGGTTTGACAAAATCTGACAAGCCAAAGTCTATAGCCTTCAACTGTGAATCCTCATCCTTTGACGAAAACAGAAAATTCTGAACAAGATACACTTAGATGAGTATACTTGAATGTGAAATGAATGCAAGTTACAAACAACAACTGAATGCTTGAAGAAAAAATGCAGTTATGAAATGAATGCAAGTTACAACTCCAGAGGACATAAGGTTTAAGATCCCGATGCATCACGCCTTGAAGGTGGCAAAACGCAACAACATTTAATATTTGTATCATGACGGTCCTTGCATCATCCTCCGTGTATTTCCCACCCCTGAAGAAAGGAATAAGAATATCCTTAATATGATAGGCCACCAGTTGCTGTTGAATTACCAACCATTTTTCCCATGACTTTCCTATATCCCAGTCCATCAAGAACAACCAAAACATAACAAGTTCAAGACACGTGCATTCAAATTAAATAGGCACCAGAAGAAATACATTGCAAGTATCCTATCTAAGAGCTCCCCCTCCTTCACGTACATTCAAACCAAAATTGTTTCTGTGTTTCCTGTAAATCATGCGTCCGCCAACAGATCCAGTTCAAACAATGCCAACGAAACGTTTTAAGGATCCATATCAATCACAAAGACGACTGATCATCCTCAGAATCCTCAAAACCCACTAATTCACAAGTCAATTGATTAGTAAACTCAGTCAAACTGAAAAATTGCAAACTAGGTTGGTTGACTTCGGCCAGTCAAGGCCGAAGGGATGAGCCGCGAGTCAAGCAGCTTTAGAATTCCATCGCAGATCGGTCTCTTGATCTTGGATTGATGATCATAGATCATGGCAACGTGGTCATCTTTGCTGCATAGAGAGAGAGAGAGAGAGAGAGAGAGAGAGAGAGAGAGAGAGGGAGGGAGAGATCTGATCAACAAAAAGGGAAACCAACAAATTTGGGTCAGGCTTTTAAATAAAAAAGGTATAATTGTCTTTTTAGTGATTAATGTAAGGTGGGCCAACGAATATGGGCCTCCTCTTTGGCCAAATTCAAAACAAAATTCAATTCTTAGGTATTAAAACCAAAACAGAAATACTGTTTGTCTCAAATACTAATTAGTAAGGATAATTATGTCTAATACCTAATTTTTCTAAAATAAAATGTATAGAAAACATTTGTGTTTTTATATAGAAGCAGGATCTTGCTGATCTTCTATTCCAACAAGGATCTTGCTGATCTTATTGTTGATATTGTGTCTATGTACGCGACATTGTTTTAACTTTTCATTCGTATTATTCAAGATTCCACTCGAAAAACCCGAAAAGAAAGAAGAGAAGGAAGATGGAGATGTTAGCAGATTCCAAAAGTTCAGATAGATATATTACTACGGCCTTATTAGAGGCAGATAGTCATGGAGAAGAAGTAACAGAAAGAAACAGGCGGTCATGGAAGAAAGCGTACTTGGACGTGGACGAGGCAAAAAAACAGGTATTGTATATTTTCGATCGTTTCCCAGTAATTTTTCTTTTTCTTTTTCTGGTTGATGAAACTGGGAAATCCAAAATTATTTGTTTTAGCATATTAGTGCGCACACACAATCACATGCATGGAATAATGCAGTGCATAAATTGCACAAACATATCATGTACGGTTTTGAGTTGTTTTTTTTTTCTTTTGGGTAAATTAGGGTAGGATCTAATCTATTCATAATCCTAAAAACATTTCATGTATTTTTATTTTATTTTTGAGATAGGAACTTTACCAAACAGTACGGATAAAGTAGTGGACTAAATTCATATGTAGAGAGGGGATTCGAACTTGAAAGTTTATGATTGAAGTACATACCTAAATATTTCACCAATAGAAGAAATAGATACCCAAAAAGTGTCCATGATTGAATTCATGATCAGAAAACAAAAGTCTCTTCTTGTTGGTTGTACTCTACTTAATTTAATTATGATAGTGCAATGGCTCACACTATGTATGTTTATCATCCGCCATATGAATTCCTCGGACCGCTGTCATTGAGTTTTCATTTAAAAACAAATTGGTACTATTTTTAATTGTTAGTTTATTGTTGATTTGTCTTTATTTATAAGTTCATTTTTTTTTTTGGGTCAAAATTTATAAGTTCATTTTTTACAATCTCTATTATTCGTCTTCTAGGTTGCGGAGAAAATGATCGCTGAAGGTGAGAGATTCGACCTTTCTTTGTTGTTACTTTGTTTATTGTTAATTTTTCTTTTCTACCATTTTCTTGCAAATCAATTCTATTAGGCCTATCTTTTTGATTGGATATTAAGAACAAAATTTGCACAAAAAATGAATTTTTAAGACATTACTAATGCACCCATATTGTAGCTAGGCAGATGGGCTTGGAGAAGAAGGATCAAAAAGAAGGTGGTGGAACAAACTGTTAGACGTTGAGGAGGCCAAAGTACAGGTCTGCTTTTCACTGCCAACAATTCTCACCAATGTGTTCTTCTCCTTGATCCCATTGGTCTCAGTCATGTTTGCTGGCCACCTTGGTGAGCTTCAGTTGGCTGGTGCAACTCTGGCCAATTCATGGGCCAACGTTACCGGTTTTGCGTTCGTGGTAATTTCTTAGTCATATTGGAAAATGTTCTCTTGTCAGACAGTTTGTAATATTGTATCTTTTGATGACGTGACATAAAATCAAATAACACTATTGTATCTCTTGTCTATCTTTTATCTGTTTAGGTTGGGTTAAGTGGAGCTCTTGAGACACTTTGCGGGCAAGGCTTTGGTGCAAAGTCGTACAGAATGTTGGGGATTTATCTACAAGCTTCTTGCATCGTATCTTTCCTCTTCTGTTTCATCATATCTATAATCTGGTTCTATACAGAGCCCATACTAATTTTACTCCATCAAGATCCTCAAATTTCAAGATGTGCTGCTGTTTTTTTGAAATTTCTGTTCCCCGGACTATTTGCATATGGATTCCTCCAAAACATCTTGAGATTTCATCAGACACAATCTGTTTATGTCATGCCAATGGTCTTCTCAGGGATTGCCTTTGTTATTCATATTGGCATTACTTATGTTTTGGTACATTGGACGGCTCTTGGTTTCAAGGGAGCTCCACTTGCAGCCTCAATTTCTCTATGGATATCTGTTCTTATGATGGCCTTCAATGTTAATTATACAAAGAGTTTTGAGCGTACATGGGAAGGATTTTCGATAGAATCGTTCAATCATATCCTCACTGGCTTAAAACTTGCCCTCCCCTCTGCAACAATGGAATGGTAAGCGGACAATCCTTAAAATAAATTTATTTTCATCTCAAGTAACGTTCTCTTGCCAAATATCTAACATGTTATCTATATGTAGCTAAATACACATGTACATTGAGACAAACTTCTACATGATCGATATATATATCGGATTAATAGTATGACAACATAAAGCACACTTTGTGACATCTGAACATCTATCCTCTATTTTTATATTTAATGTTCATGAAGCCATCATTTTAGTTATTTATTTGTGTTTATAGTTTGGAGGAATGGGCTTTTGAAATTCTTGTGTTCATGGGAGGACTGATGCCAAACTCAGCAAAAACCACTTCACTACTTGCAATCTGGTAAGCTTCGATATATTTCTCCTTAGAATTAGTCATCTTCTAAAACATGTTCATTCTGCCTTACTCAAGCAACATTTGTTCAACTATACCTGCAGTGTGAATACGCAAGAAATTGGTTACATGGTTACATATGGCCTCAGTGCTGCAGCCAGGTTAGTAGATTGAAAACTCCCAGCAAGTTTGAATTCCTTCAAGTTCTTCATTATATGCTTTCTATATTAGTTTCATACATTGAAACAAAACATGCATATTGTGGCAGCACAAGAGTGTCAAATGAATTAGGAGCAGGCAATCCAGGCAGAGCTAAGAATGCAATGGTTGTGACTCTTAAGCTCTCTGTGCTTCTTTCTTTCGCGATTATTCTGGCCCTTGCGTTTGGTCACAATGTTTGGGCTGGCTTCTTCATTGACAGCAATGCAAGTTATGCAGTATTGAGAGAGGACTTTGCTTCAATGACACCATTGCTTGCAATTTCTATAATTGTTGATTCTGTTCAAGGAGTCTTTGCAGGTTGAGATCACTCACATTTCATCAACTTTGTTCTTTTTTTTTTCTTCTTGGTGCAGAATAATTTGATTATGGGTTTTTTCAGGTGTGGCTAGAGGATGTGGGTGGCAACACTTGGCTGTGTATGTAAATTTGGCAACTTTTTATTTGATTGGTATGACAATTGCTGGTCTTCTTGGATTTACGTTCAAACTATATGCCAAGGTGAGGCAGCCTTATTATAACTTCATTTGATTTGTTTTGTTAAATAGTTCAATGAATTCAGATTTTTGTTGCGCTTTATTTTGGTACAGGGCTTGTGGATTGGTATAATCTGCGGTCTCTCCTTTCAAGCAAGCACACTCTTGCTGATTACACTGCTCAAGAAATGGACTCAATCAGATTCATCTGAACATCCAGAGGAAGGAAGCCCAGTTTTGGTCTAGATAAATGTAATTGTTAAAGTGTAGCAACATAGACCATTTGGGAAAACTTAGTTTATGCATTTATTCAGTTAATTTCATAATAAAATATGGATTAGTACAGTTGACATAGTTGAATACCCATGTTGAGTTGCAGTTCTGGAACTTCTCCCATCCCATGTCAAACCTGAAACGGGATGGTGTGAGGGGGTGTGGGGTTGCCGTGGATGAAATTGTTAAGATATAGATTAATAGTAGAATATGAAATTACGAACTCAACCAATATAAGCAAGAAATAAAAAAAAGAAAAATGTTAGGTTTACCACATTTATATACCACATTGTGTATACTTCTCTAATTGAAGTGGGTCTCATGTATTGGTGGACTCCACCTCTACTAGTTCGGTAACGTGTTACATCATTTGAAAAAAAAGTATATTTTATTTTATCTATGTGGTACTGTATCATTGTACTTGTGGGCCTCACACTCATTCTGTGTCAACAAACTAAAAGATTTTTCACAGAACGCAACGTCAAATACACCAAATCATGTGCAAGGCTTACAAGAAGAGAACAATGTTACCAAACCAATTCCCAAAACTTGATGTATACAAAATATAACAAGAACGTAGACACAAGTTACTAGAGTCTAGAGGTGTCAAACAGACTGGATCAGCCCGCGCATGGCACAAGCTTGGTCCGGCCCTTAGACACCTCTACAAGCTACAAATCATCAAGATAATCTTCCCCACACTTAGCTCTCTCGATCTCACTCCTGTGTGTATCTGTCTCTCACTTTCATTTTGCTTTGAATGGAACGCTGGAGATTCAAATGAAAATAAAACGCGGGACAAACTTGTGCCCCATCTTCTAAAACCAAGTACTAACACAAACTCAACAAACTGCAAAAGCTGATGGAGAGGTATTCGAAGCAGAACCTTCAAAGCCACAACTTCTCAGTCACTGATGGTGAAGAGGTTGTTGATTTACAGTCTGAAGGGCTTGCAAAATGTGTCAGCTCTGGGAGAGATAATAAGCAGGAAAGGAAGCCTGTAAGTGAGGTACTCTTTCTATATGTCTCCCTTTCCTATCCCTACTTCTCTTTGTAAAACCTTTCTTTCTTCTGTTTTATTTTCTTTGGTTATGGAGTTGTGTGTTTCCACATTTTTTATATTTATGAATCGATGAACTGGCATAATCATTCTTGCTCAAGTCATCATTGCCCTAATAATGTCTGTAAATTACAGGGTCACCGTGGTGGAGTAAATGAAAACCTACCTAGTCAGAATGATTTGTATCGCAAACATATGCCTAAACCATTGCAAAACCATGTTATGGCTACAGCACAAGATGTCTAACATTGAAAGAAGTTCATGTTTGAATGATGAGAAGTCTCCAAAATACATGACTCATAGCAAGGATTTCACTTTACAGGAGAATTCAGAAGCAAAATTCCATGCAGAAGTTGATTGTTTATTAATTCAAGGTGAAGCAGAGTTAATTCCAGTTAAAGGAGCGTCAAAGAAAACCAACTCATGGAAGCAAAGAGAGAAAAGATGACGGAAAAGAAATATCAGAAGATGGTTTTATTAGAACAAGGAAACACAAACTTCCAAGAAAAAGTTATGAAAATATTGTGGAAGGACCACAAGAGATTAGTAAAGCAACAGCCACATTAGCAGGTGGAAGGGATGCAGTGGTGAAAAGAAAGCCCAGATGCAACGAACTTCCATCATTCTCCTGTGATGGAAATCACTGGAAAATGGAAGTGTCCTAAAAAAAGTAAGCCAAATCTAGGACTGCTCTGCTTGCAACAGAGACAGACATTTGCGAAAAGACTACTTCCATATAGCAATCCAAGTCACTGTGGGCTAACCCTCAAAAGTGATCAATATCGATTCTACTCACGTGCAATTTAGCTGATCGGTTGATTAGGCTAATTGGTCGTAATAACTAGGCTATCATTTGAGTTTATTTCCAAGTTTTACACATTCAGTCTTGCTTAAATTCCTCCAAGAAGGAGAAGAATAACATATCAGAAAATGATTTTCCTCTTATGTTCTAACATTTCATTCGTCCCTCTATGAATTAAAATGTTGGGGTTTCAGAATTTATTTCTCCATGTGTTTGAGAGAGTTCTTTGGATTGAACATTATGTATTGATGCCACTTCCGTCTTCTAATATAATGGCTACTAAATTAACACATGATATATTAGTCTCTATTGATGAGAAATCTGGAATTGTGTGTTTGGATGCTGAGAAAGTTAGCTCAGAAAATTAGAAAGAAAAGTAAATCTGGAATTTTCCTCTGATTTCATTCACTTTAATAATAATAATTGCAGTAGTTTTCTTTTATACAAGATAGAAACCCAGCTATGAATAATAACCTGTAACTAACATCTAACAACAGATTTAAGCTAAACACACAGGTGTCATCATCTGAGCCTTCTTGATCTACATGTGATTTTCTGTGTGCAGGTTCAGAGTTGTTAGTATGAACTTGTATTGATGGCTGAGACATACTTGTAACATCTATATTTGTCTTTTTCTAAGAATCCAAATACCACACCAGCGAGGTAAAACTTATATGTATTTGGAGATAGAAGGTTTGGTTAAGGTGCACTTCAAAATTCAGGTTACCAAATCAAATTGGGAAAAAAATGGTCCCAACTTCCCATATATGTTTAAGGTAATTAAGTTTCCTACGCATGCCACAACTAGAGGGTAAGACTTCTTCTTCTTCTTCCCTGTAATCTTCTTTATAAAATTTCTTCTCTCCTAAAGACCTTATTTTCCTCTGGTGAAAATGAAGTTGTTGGATGTGGAGGAGGCCAAGAAGCAGGTCCTGTTTTCACTGCCAACAACTCTCACTAATGTGATGTTTTACTTCATCACTTTGGTGTCCGTGATGTTTGCTGGCCACCTTGGTCAGCTTCAACTAGCTGCTGCAAACCTAGCCATGTCATGGGCTAGTGCCACCGGCCTTGCTGTTGTGGTAATAGTATTACTCATTAATTTCTCCAGATAAATATATTAGCAATTTTCCATTGCCAATTAGTTAAGGGTAATTTTACATTTGACCATAATTTAATTTATTGGATAATGTATTGAAGAATTGACTCTCTCTCTCTCTCTCTCTCTCTCTCTCCTCTCTCTCTCTCTCTCTCTCTTGGTTTAGATTGGCTTAAGTGGAGCGCTTGAGGCCCTTTGTGGGCAAGCCTTTGGTGCCAGGGAGTATGGCATGTTAGGGAAGTACCTGCAAGCCTCATGCCTGATATCCTTGCTAGCTTCCTTGCTTATTTCCCTACTTTGGTTCTTTTCGGAGCCAGTTTTGATTTCGTTGTTACACCAAGACGCAGAGGCCTCAAAACTCTCTGTGGTCTTTATGAAGCTGTTCATTCCTGGATTGGTTGCATTTGGCATCCTCCAGAACGTTTTAAGATTTCTTCAAACCCAGTCTGCTGTTGTCGTCCCTTTTATATTCTCCTTCATCAGCCTCGGCCTCCACATAGGCCTCACCTATTATCTTGTCCACTTCACTCCTCTGGGCTTCAGAGGTGTTCCACTTGCAGCTTCCATTTCCCTCTGCTTATCTCTTCTTATGTTCGCCGTCTACATTCTTCGTTCGAAGAAATTCGAGTCTACATGGGAAGGTTTCTCCCTGGCGTCATTCAGTCACGTCCCTACGGTTTTGAGGCTTGGCCTCCCTGGTGCCGCAGTTGAATGGTAAGTGTCCTCCAAAATGTTCATTATTTAAAGTAGGTTGCTTTTGGTATATCTTTTGTTATTTATATAAATCAATCCAGCTTGGAAGACTGGACCTTCGAGGTTTTAGTCTTCATGGCAGGAGCATTTCCACATCCAACACAGAGCACGTCCCTACTTGGGATATGGTAAGTTTTATTTATTTATATATACAAATAATTAAATTGTTATTTCCCGTTTGGACACTCTTTTGTTTTATTTATTTATTTATTTTGATGTATATTAATCATAGTGTCAATGTGGAGTTAATTGGTTATATGGTGTCATACGGCCTCAGTGCTGCTGTCAGGTTGGTGAAATAATAGTAACACTCTATTTATTTTTCAAGTAATTTTGTCAATTGATCAAGTGCTTTTATATAATTTTGATTCATTGTTTACATAAAATAATAATATTGTGGCAGCACGAGAGTTTCAAACGAACTGGGAGCAGGCAATCCAGAGAAAGCTAAGAGTGCCATGACTGTGGCTCTTAAGTTGTCTGGCTTTCTTGCTTTCCTTCTTGGTCTAGCACTGGCAATTGGCCACAACTTCTGGGCTGGCTTATTCGGCCGCACACCGGAAATAGTAAAAGCCTTTGCATCCATGACGCCTTTGGTTGCGGTCTCTGTGATCCTTGAACCTCTACAAGGTGTTGTTTTAGGTATAAAAAAACTTTGGTTTCATTTTTCCTGTTTTCTTTTTCATGGGGTGCTTGCAAGTTGCATGAGAAATGATTGGGGTTGGGGTTTTTTCTCTCAGGTGTGGCCACAGGATGCGGGTGGCAAAAGTTGGTCTGCTATGTTAATCTGGCCACATATTTGGTTGGCATGGCTATTTCGGGCCTTCTTGGGCTCACGACCGAGTTACATGCCAAGGTGAGAGAGAGACATTTGTGTTGTTTATATGCTGAGCAAGTTGATTGGTATTTTTCAATATTGAAGTTTGTGCTTAATTCAATCTCTTATCATTTTTAAGGGCTTGTGGATTGGACTAATGTTTGGCATTTCTTGTCAAACGAGCATAATTTTGGTAACTGTACTGCTCAAGAATTGGGCTCCTCGATCTGATACCGCCTGAACCAGCCTCCAAGTCTTAGTATGTTTTTTTAACAATCTTTTCTTTGGGCCTCTGGCCCGCCATTGTTCCAACAGGGGAAAAGGGCAAAAATTCAATCTCGGTATTTCTTCGCCAGTTTTAATTTTGTCAATTTTATTCTTTATGAGAGAGTCAATTCCTCCAACATTTGCCAACACTGCGCAATGCCTTAATTTTGTCAAAGCTTCCTTCACATCCACAAAGCTCAAGCTTTACCAATCTAGTGCACCCTGAACTAAAATGAGTAGATGACCTTGTGAATAAATTTCAGCATGGTTGTGTTGTGTGTATGTCTTTTTTTGAGTCAATCTGCTCACCGGAGAGCTTCGTAAGCAAACTAACATATTTTTTGACAGAATCCAGCAGTAAGTACACAAGTAATGTGTGGGGTTAACATGAAGGATGATTCCAGACAATAACAAAAAAGAAAGATGAGGAATTATTACTAGTAGTTTCATGAATCTTAGGACGTTTTGTGATAAAAACCCTAAAAAAAATAAAGTAACTTCAGAGATCTGTGGGGCTACGCAGAGCTCCTACATACATGTATCATTTGATTCATTCTCTCATACATACTTCCAAACACATTCATTCATTCCAGTTAGCAGCTAAAACACGTGCCTACATATTAAACGTGTTCAACAAATCTTTCCAAAAACTTAATTGTTGGAATTGACTTCAGAATTGGTAGGAAGTCGAGGAGTATGCAAAGAACCGTTGGGATCCAAACATGAAGTTCGAATCGGCCATGACAGCCCTTAACCTCAGCCCGACCATACTCACAAATGCTATTGCAAGTCAAAAACCTCACGTGTCTCAACATTTTTTTTTGGGAGTTTCACTAAAATACCCAAAATGGGGGCTGAAATTATAAAAAAACCCAACACCCAAAACACTTTATAAACACACCCAAAACCCATCATTACACACACTCAAAACCCATTTATAAACACACCCAAAAAATATACAATTGTTGATTTTGAGGTTGATTTGGGTGTGTTTCTATGTTTAAATAGTGCTTGGGTTTTTTTATAAATACATGTATAGGATGGGTTTATTTATAAATTTGTATTTTTTTTTTGCTAAGCCAATAATATCGATCGAAGCAGAGAATAACCAAATTCCTGAATAAATTACAAAAATTCAATAAATGCTAGGCCATCCATATCTTAATAAGGTATGGTCAGGGTTTCAAATGTACCCCACTTTTTCTTAAAACAAAAAGTTAATGGAGCTTTTAAACCTAATTATGAAATCATCTTGAAACGTATTATCGAACATATATTATCATCAATGCATTACTAGTAAGCCACCTCCATCTACGTGGGCAGAGGTTTAAAATTCTCAGACACCTAATGAATATTTATGTAAACCTCCCACTCCCAATCACTTGTACTAAATTAAAAAAAAAAAGTATAGGTTTTTACAAATAAGCCCATTTTAGCATGACATATTATACAAAAACCCATGTAGAGCCTATTTAGAGAGAAAAATTCAAACCTAGTCATTTGTCATTTTCTAATTTGATCTTTTACTTATTAGAGTTCGGAGATAGGTTATATGAGGTGTGCATTTGTTGGCTCATGCAATTATGTGAGGTCCCCCCCACTGGCGGACCTACATAGAGCCTAGTGTGGGCAGCTGCCTAATTTCTTCTTCAACCATGTAGGCTACCATAAATAAGACATTTGGTCAACAAATAAATAAAACCTTCAAGATTTTAACCCCAATTTCTCATATTCAAAATATCATGGCCTCAAAATTGACAAAATATCAAGGCCCAGTTCAAGAAATGACTTAGTTTGTCCTCTCTCGCACATGCATTTTGTGTTTATAAAATAAATAGTTATATAAATATATAATATTGTTACATAAATAAATATTATTATATTATTATATAATATTTATGCCCACACTTTGACAAGATGCTGCGTCCGCCACTGGTCCCCCCCATAGTGGTACCGAGCCTCATATGATTTTGTATGAGAAAGAGAAAAGGCATACGCCTATGCAGCAAAGCACATCTAACGTTATTGTAGTAGTCATCTAAAACACGAAAATGCTAGAACCATGATAGGTAATTGTGAATCACATGATGATCATTGTACATGTGGATAGTTTTTAATCGGTGATTGATATGAGTCTCACAATCAGTTTCATTTAAGGCAATAGATAATCGGTGATTGATATGAGTCTCACGATAGGTCTCATTTAAGACAACAACTAACAAATGTTCACACATAAATAAATAATATTGCCTACTAGAGTTGCTCTTTAGGTTTGGGATTTTGCACTTTATTATCAGCCATGAAAAGGACTTTGTTTCGGTCTTAGAAAAATCTAAAACCACGTAGTTTTTAACAAACAAACTATCAACACCAAAAAGAAATCAGGAGATGATATGGACTTATATATATATATATATATAATATATATATATATGCATAGTGTCTGAAGCAGGAGGTATAGGAGGAGGAAAAACAAAGTTCAAAAACATCGCATCCCATAGAAAAAGAAGGTGAGGGATCGCAAAAAAAAAGATGTTAGCAAACACAGGTCACTCAGATAGAAATATTACTACACCCTTATTGGAGGCAGGTAGTCATGGAGAAGAAGGAACAAAAGAAAGAGGAGGTCATGGAAGAAAGTGTACTTGGACCTGGTGGAGGCCGAAAAACAGGTATTGTTTTTACATTAATGTTCTGGTTCCTATCACATTCGATCACTTTTCTGGTCATGTTATAGTTATCAATTTATTTTTTCTTTGGTTGATGAAACTGGAAAGTCCAGATTCTAATTTAGCAGAATATTGGTGTACACAGAGTCACATGGATGGAATAAGGCAGTGCATGAAATTACAAATATATATAACGTATGATTGAAGTATGTACCAAACAATTTGACCAAGAAAAGAACAAATATACCATAAAAATGTCTATGATTGGAGTCTTGAAGATCAGAAAACGAAAGTCTTATTGTTGTACTCTACTTATACAGTGGTTCATGACTATATATTTGACATAATAATTTCTCCGAAATCTTTGTCATTGAGTCATTGACCACCATTGACCTCTCCTTCCCAGCTTGTGCCTATTTTACTTCTTTTTTTGATTTTTTTTTTTTTTTTTTTTTTTTTTTTTTTTTTTTTCTTCTAACAATTCAATTTACAAGTTCAATTTATTAGAATTTCTATATCTAGGTTGCGGAGAAGATGATTGCTGAAGGTGGGAAATTCAACCTTTCTTTTGTATTACTTTTCTAGCTAGCATTTTCTCAAAAATCAATTCTACTTGGCACTAGTTAAGTACATCTAGCTAAAAATTAAGTTCAGAAAATTCCAGTTATAACTCTTTCTGGTATGGATACTGTAAAAAAACTGGTCATCAGCTGTTTTTGTTTTCATTTTCATGAATACACTCAGAGGGGCAAAACTGAAATTTTTTGGACAATGGTTTGAGTGCTGGGTGTGCTGATCAGTTTCTTGCGATGCATGCATTTCCCTATAACCAGATTAACTATTGAGCTTCTCTATTTAGTAACATAAGTTTTCTGATCAGATGTACTATTTGCTTTTTTCTTCTTTTTAATTCTGGAAATTTGATATCCAAAAATTGCACGAATATTCCAATTTTAAGTCATTAGCTAGGCAGGTGGGCATGGAGAAGAAGGATCCGAAAGAAGGTGGTGGAACAACCTGTTAGACATTGAGGAGGCCAAACAACAGGTCTTATTTTCATTGCCAATAATTCCCACCAATGTGTTCTTTTCCTTGATCCCATTGGTCTCAGTCATGTTTGCTGGCCACCTTGGTGAGCTTCAGTTGGCTGGTGCAACCCTGGCCAACTCATGGGCCAATGTTACTGGTTTCGCGCTCGTGGTAATTTCCCATACACATAAGAAAATGTTCGGTTGTCAGACAGTTTGTAACATGATGTCTTTAATAAAGTGAAATAAGATCATTGATGGCCTTTTCTTTTAATTGTTTTCTTGTCTGTTATTTTTGGGTTAGGTTGGTTTGAGTGGAGCTCTTGAGACACTTTGCGGACAAGGCTTTGGTGCAAAGTCGTACAGAATGTTGGGAATTTATCTACAAGCCTCTTGCATCATATCCTTCCTGTTATGTTCCATCATATCCATAATCTGGTTCTATACAGAGCCCTTACTGATTTTACTCCGTCAAGATCCTCAAATTTCAAAAACTGCAGCTCTCTTTTTGAAACATCTGATCCCTGGATTATTTGCATATGGATTCCTGCAAAACATCTTGAGATTTCTTCAGACACAATCTGTATATGTCATGCCAATGGTCTTCTCAGTGATTGCCATTATTTTTCATATTGGCATCACATATGGTTTGGTACATTGGACAGCTCTTGGGTTCTTGGGAGCTCCACTTGCAGCCTCAATTTCTCTATGGTTATCTGTTCTTATGTTGGCCTTCAATGTCAGTTGTACAAAGACTTTTGAGCGCACGTGGGAAGGATTTTCATTTGAATGTTTCGATTATATCCTCACTGGCTTAAAACTGGCCCTCCCCTCTGCAACAATGGAATGGTAAGTGGACATCCTTCAAGCTCTTGTTACTTATATTCCGAATAATGTTCTCTTGTCATACATACATGAGATGAATAGTCTGACAGCATAACAGCCTGACTCTGTGACACAAGAACACTTTATCTTTTATAGATCTTTATTGTCAATGTTTAAGTCCAGCAATTTTTTTCTCTATTTTTTGGCTTTCTAGTTTGGAGGAATGGGGTTTTGAGATTCTAGTGCTCTTAGGTGGATTGATGCCAAACTCTGCAAAAACAAGTTCACTACTTGCAATGTGGTAAGCTGCCTTAATATATTTCTCCTTAGTTTTTCTGCTGTAACATGTTATTTCTGGTTACTAAAAACAGCTTTTGCTCAATTATATATCTGCAGTGTAAATACACAAGAAATTGGTTACAAAATTACATATGGCCTCATTGCTGCTGCCAGGTTAGTAGACTAAAAGCTCCTAGCTGTTTCTTCAACTCCAAGTTTTCTATTAATTTCATACATTGAAAATAAATTATACTTATTGTGGCAGCACAAGGGTGTCAAATGAATTGGGAGCAGGCAATCCAGATAGGGCTAAGAATGCAATGGTTGCGACTCTTAAGCTCTCCGTGCTTCTTTCTTTCACGATCATTCTGGCTCTTGTGTTTGGTCACAATATTTGGGTTGCATTCTTCATTGACAACAATGCAAGTTATGCAGTATTGAGAGAGGAGTTTGCTTCCATGACACCATTGCTTGCAATTTCAATAATTGTTGATTCTGTTCAAGGTGTCTTTTCAGGTAGAGATCACTTACATTTCAACTTTGCTCTCTCTCTCTCTCTCTCTCTCTCTCTCTCTCTCTCTCTCTCTCGCTTTTATATATAAATAAATTGGTGTAAATTAATTTGATTAGGGGGTTTTTCAGGTGTGGCTAGAGGATGTGGGTGGCAACACTTGGCTGTGTACGTAAATTTGGCAACATTCTATTTGATTGGTATGACAATTGCTGGTCTTCTTGGATTCAAGTTCAAACTATATGCCAAGGTGAGGCAACCTGGTGTTACATACCAAGCAGCTACTTACTTCATTTGATTTGTTTTGTTAAATAGTTCACTAATTCAGATTTTTGTTTTGCTTTGTTTTGGTACAGGGCTTGTGGATTGGTATAACCTGCGGTCTCTCCTTTCAAGCAAGCACACTCTTGCTGATTACACTGCTCAAGAAATGGCCTCGATCAGATTTATCTAAAAATCCAGAGGAAGGAAACCCAGTTTTGGTCTAGATAAATGTAAGGCAAAAGTAATTGTTAAACAACAAATTACGATTTGGGGAAAACTTAGTTTATGCATTCATCGAGAAATAAAACAAAATAAGAGAATCCATGAAGTAACATGGTTTGGCGATATGTCTACGTTCATGAGATAGCAGTATTAAATTCTTCGACTATATCAAGCAACAGGTACAATGAAAGCAGTCTTGTTCTCCTGGACCCCCCCTGTGGTCCAAGGAGTTTGGTCACCCACACCCACCTTGATTTCAAATCTGGGTTCCTCCATCATTCAAATCTAGGATTTCAAATCATAAAAATTGAATCAAAGGTGGTGAAGAAGAACAACATGTCATAAAAATTGAATGAAATAACCTTATATGGATTCAAAATCAGTTTTTTCTTCACCCTCAGATTAGATCCAAGGATGGGTAAACACAAACTCATTGGACCATAGGGGTGCAGAAGAAAGGAGAACGGGACAACCAACAAAAGGACCATCTTACCAAGACTTGATGTATATGCACAAGAAAGTACAAGAATGGAGGCCACACGTTACAACCTACAAATCACCAAGATTATCCACACTTAACTCTCTCTCTCTCTCTAAAAAAAAAAAAAAAAAAACTCTCTCTATCTTACTCTTTCTCACTCACTCGGTTTCTATGGTGCACCCTCGGATCATATAAGATTGGATTAAGAGGATTTCACTAATAAAACTCTCTCTTTATATAACTTTTGTATGTTTATATATCATCCATTGAACGTAGCCACGACCTAAGAACACTCTCAATTTGTCGCTCTACAGCTCCTCCGTAACTCCTTTGTAGTACTGTCACCATCATCGCACAACTTTTGCGGAAAAATTTAGCTAAAACAAACTCCAGTTTTTTGAACACCATTAGATTTAACCTTACATGAAAAAAAGAAAAAAGAAAGAAGATCCAATGCAATGGATATACTCATCTATGTAATCCATAACATTAGTTTTTTCCTTAATTTTTTTTTAACGATGTCTGGAGCCATGACATATCTTCTCTATATCTTTTGGAGTGCAAAGAAGAAAGAGCAATAATACAGATTCACCAACCCAAATAAACTTCAAAATAAAGACATAATGAAACTAGTACGAAAAAGCAGATATGAGTCTCATCAACTATGAAAACTCGAGCAAGAAAGATAGTCGGCTTTGGATCCAACACACACATCTTCCTCGTTTCTACATCCACAATATATGCCGCTTGGTACTGGCTATGGGTTGGGTGACTGCAACAAGGACAACAATGGTCCCAAAGTTGAAACATTTATTTTTTATTTTATTTTTTAAAAGTTAAGAATTTAACCCTTAGGTAATTAAATAGATGATGTGGTAAATGACATGGAATGCCATGTCATATGCCACATCAGTTGGTGCCTCTAGCATTACCACAAAAAAGTTTATATGCTGTGCAGCATTTTGAAACCTAATTATCTAATAATTATTTAAACGTATTAGTGACCATATATATTATCATCACTGATATGTGAACTATTGGTGACACACTTTTGATCATTTAATAGAAAGTTCTTCAAGTTGAAAGTCTTCTTCTCCGGTCTATTTTCTCGCTCTCTCATCAAAGGGAAAAAATTGAAACAGCCATAAAAATTCAAAGCTATCATTTACTGATTAGGGTAAGAAAATCCCACATCGAAAATCTACAATCCTATAAAGATGTTTATAAACAAGGCACTATGATGGTTTGGTAAGTGTGGTCAACAGTAGAGAGTTGTACTATATTATACTTTAATATAAATTATTTACAATTTTTTTAATATATATTATTTTTATTCAATAATATGTGAGAATTATGTGTATAATACGTGAATTTTGTGTGCCTTATTGAAATTTTTGTAAAAAAATGTGTATTAAACATGAAAAATACATACGTGCCTATATAATACGAGAGTATTGTACATTTGATTTTAAAAACAATGTGAACTTTACCGAGTCTTTAAGACGTTTGCAAAACACGGATGTATTATTGAAAAATATGTACGTACTTGTATAATACATTATTAAACTAGAAAGTGCTAAAATCTTTATATGGGTAACTTACTATTTGTTAAGTCATTTGAGAAATCAATAACATATTTAAATATTAACTAAAGAAATAATAATTAAAACATAATTACTAATTAAAGTAATTCAAAAAGGCTAAGATATTACTTAATTACATAAATTAAATTAAAGAAGTTGGCAAAAAAAAAATAATAATGAAACTAATTTTATATTTTCAAAATTAAAACAAAACTTAAAAACCTCTCCCAACGAAAGTTCGTCGGCACAGGTCTATGCCAGCGAAATCTGAAGGCTTAACAGAGTATAGCCGGGCGGCACTATTTTCAAAAAAATTAGGAAAAACGAGTATAGCCGGGCGGCTATACTATTTTAAAAAGAAATAATAGAGGTTCCGCTTAGCGATTAGGCAGGCGCCACGTGTCAAAATAAGTATAGCCGAGCGGCTATACCATTTTTAAAAAATAAATTAAAAACCAAGTATAGCCGGGCGGCTATACTATATATAAAGGACCAGCCCAGCTATAGGCTCCACGTTTAAAAAAAGTAAGGCCACACGCTATACTGTCTTTTTCTTAATTAAAAAAAATTAGGAAAAAACGGAGTATAGCCAAGCAGCTATACTATGTATTTAAACAAATTTAAAATTCCGAGTATAGCCGACCGGCTGTAATATATTATATTTTTATATAAATTATTTACAATTTTTTTAATACAAATTTATAAATAAACCCAATCCTAGACATGTATTTATAAAAAAATCCAAGCACTATTTAAACATAGAAACACACCCAAAATCAACCCCAAAATCAACAATTGTATATTTTTTGGGTTTGTTTATAAATGGGTTTTGAGTGTGTGTAATGATGGGTTTTGGGTGTTGGGTTTTTTTATAATTTCAGCCCCCATTTTGGGTGTTTTAGTGAAACTCCCTTTTTTTAATCTTTTTTTTTCTTCAATAATATGTGAGAATTTTATATATAATACGTGAATTTTGTGTGTCTTATTGAAATTTTTGTAAAAACTACGTACGTGCCTGCATAATACGAGTATTGTACATTTGATTTAAAAAAAAACTTGAACTTTACCGAGTCTTTAGGACGTTTGTAAAACACGGATGTATTATTAAAAAATACGTACGTACTTGTATAATATATTATTAAACGGAAAAGTGCTAAAATCTTTATATGGATAATAACTTTGGAGAAATTTAATTAAGGCAACCAAACGAAAAAAAGTAATTTATTTTTTCGACATCCATTGGCATCCATTACTTACTAATAGTAATGGATAATGCTCTAAACTATCGATAAACAAAAATCGGGGAAAACAATTTATATAAAAAATAAAAATAAAAACAAACAAACAAACAAAACACAATATCTATGTCAAGAGTATACCCACACGACTATACTATTTATAAAATTTTAAAAAAATTTAAAAAGACCCCAGTAAAGCCAGATGGCTATACTATTTTTTTTTATAAAAGAAAATCCCAAGTATAGTTGCACTGCTATACTATTTATTTATTTATTTATTTTTAAAAAGGCTTAATATCACAAAACGTCATTAAGGTTAGTATGTGTGCTCACAAATGGTCCCTACCATCAGGGTCCATAAAAAACTCCGTTAGTTTGCTGATGTGGCATATATACATATATCACAAAACATCTTTGGGGTTCACACACCTATCACAAATGGTCCCTATGAAAATTTTTTGATTTAAAATTTTGGTTTTTTTTTAAAACCAACATTTTATGAATTTTAAATATACGTGGCACTATATTATTGGAGATATGGGCTCCACATATATGCCAAATGAGCACACTAAGGGAGTTTTTTAAATTTAGAAATGAAAAACCCAAAATTTTATGCACCAACGTTTTTTCATTTTTAAATTTTATGAAGGCTTTATATCACTAAAACTTAAACCCTTGTTTTTTCATTTAAAATGCATGCCATTTTGGTTTTTTTTATTTTTTATTTTTAAATTTTATGAATTTAACTGAAAAAACCAAAATTTTAGCAAGGTCCATTTGTGAGCACACATATTAACCTCGAGGACCATGAATGACAAAAAAAAGAAGAAAAAAAGACTCATATAATTTTATGAACCTCAAGGATGTTTTGTGATATAGTATTTTATGATTTTAAAATTTTAAAATTTTAAAAAATATATACATAGCAAACTAACAGAGTTTTTTACGGAAGCTGATGGTAGAGACCATTTGTAAGCACATATACTAACTTTGAGGACCACGAATGACCAAAAAAAAGAAAAAAGAGGATGCAATCTGATAGTTTCGAAAACCTTAGGGACATTTTGTGATATTAGCCAAAAAAAGAAAAGAAAAAGGGGATCCGCCTAGCGTTGTTGCCCAACTAGTGATTCGGTGCCCACATGTCAAAAACAGTATAGTCGCGTGGCTATACTGTTTTTTATAATACAAAAACCGTAGTATAGCCGCATGGTGTGCATCTATACTATTTATTTAAAAAAAAAATTACAAAAAAGGACCCTTCTAGTTGCATTAGTTTATACTTTATGGATATTAATTTGCTAGTTTCGATATGTATACTTTATAGATTTAAATTTTTTAATACGTATTATTTTTATTCAATAATATGCAAAAAGTATGTGTATAATACGTGAAAATTTTGTAAATAACAAAGTGTATTAAACATGAAAAATACGTACGTATCTATATAATATGAGTATTAAACATGAAAATGCTAAATTCTTTATACAAGTAATAACTCTAGAAAAAGAAAAAACTCAAAAGGGTACAATAGAGACTCGGGTAATGGCCCAATAGTAATGGATAATGCTCTAAATTATCAATAAACAAAAATCGGGAAAAAATATATATATTTTTAAATCTCAATATCTATGTAATTTTTTTTTAAAATGACCCCAGTAAAGCCGCATGTCTGTACACTTTTTTATATAAAAGAAATAGCCACGTAGCTATATGATATATAAAAAGGGGGACTCACCTAGCACCTAGCTCCCAGCCCCCAACTAGCGATTCGGTGCCCATGTGTTAAAAACAGTATAGCCGTCCGGCTATACTCTTTTTTAATAAAAAAAGCTGCACGGCTATAATATTTAAGTACATTATATTCCAAAGGAGTATAGCCGCGCGGCTATACTATTTATTGAAATTTCTGATCCCTGGATCATTTGCATGTGGATTCCTGCAAAACATCTTGAGATTTCTTCAGACACAATCTGTACATATCACGCCAATGGTCTTCTCAGTGATTGCCATTGTTTTTCATATTGGCATCACATGTGGTTTGGTACACTGGAGAGCTCTTGGTTTCTTGGGAGCTCCACTTGCAGCCTCAATTTCTCCATGTTTATCTGTTATGTTGGCCTGCAATGTCAGTTGTACACATAGTTTTGAGCGAACTTAGGAAGGATTTTCATTCGAATCTTTCGATTATATCCTCACTGGCTTAAAACTTGCCCTCCCCTCTGCAACAATGGAATGGTAAGTGGACATCCTTCAAACCTTTATTACTTTTATCCCGAATAATGATCTCTCGTCATACATACATCAGATGAATAGTCTGACAGCATAACAGCCAGACTCTGTGACACAAGAACATTTTATATTTTATAGATCTTTATTGTCAATGTCTAAGTCCAGCAATTTTGGCTTTCTAGTTTGGAGGAATGGGGTTTTGAGATTCTAGTGCTCTTAGGTGGATTGATGCCAAACTCTGCAAAAACAAGTTCACTACTTGCAATGTGGTAAGCTGCTTTAATATATTTCTCCTTAGTTTTTCTGGTTACTAAAAACGGCTTTTGCTCAATTATATCTGCAGTGTAAATACACAAGAAATTGGTTACAAAATTACATATGGCCTCATTGCTGCTGCCAGGTTAGTAGACTAAAAGCTCCTAGCTGTTTCTTCTACTCCAGGTTTTCTATTAATTTCATACATTGAAATAAATTATACTTATTGTGGCAGCACAAGGGTGTCAAATGAATTGGGAGCAGGCAATCCAGATAGAGCTCAGAATTCAATGGTTGTGACTCTTAGCTCTCCTTGTTTCTTTCTTTCACGATTATTCTGGCTCTTGTGTTTGGTTACAATATTTAGGCTGCCTTCTTCATTGACAGCAATGCAAGTTATGCAGTATTGAGAGAGGACTTTGCTTCAATGATACTATTGCTTGCAATTTATAATTGTTGATTCTGTTCAAGGTGTCTTTTCAGGTTGAGATCACTCACATTTCATCAACTTCGTTTTTTTTCTTCTGTTTTTTCTTGGTGCACAATAATTTGATTATGGGTTTTTTCAGGTGTGGCTAGAGGATGTGGGTGGCAACACTTGGCTGCGTATGTAAATTTGGCAACTTGTTATTTGATTGGTATGACAATTTCTGGTCTTCTTGGATTTAAGTTGAAACTTTATGCTAAGGTAAGGCAACCTCCTTGTTCCTGATTTACATAAAAAGCAGCTAGCTAGTAACTTCATTTGTTTTGTTCTGGTCCAGGGCTTGTGGATTGGTATAATCTGTGGTCTCTCCTGTCAAGCAAGCGCTTTTTTGTTGATTACACTGCTCAAGAAATGGACTCAGTCAGATTGATCTAAAAATCCAGAGGAGGAAAACCCAGTTTTGGTCTAGATAAATGTTAAGCAATAGTCATTGTTAAACTGTACAACATAGACCATTTGGGAAAACTTAGTTTATGCATTTATATCCAGGTAATTTTATAATAAACATGGATTAGTATTAATCTTCCCAAAGGAAGGAATGCAACGATTGAAATCTGCTAATCAATCACATTTCACACATCTAAATCTTACATCTAAAACCACCCATATCAGTCAGATATTGTCTCTCCAACAACTACCATACATAAATCTGAACAATTCCTAAGTGGCTTCCCACAATAAGTCCTAAAATTTACTGATCATTGCAATCAGGCTCTGATGCCAACTACAGCCTTAATATTCTACAATGGAGGCATCCAATAAAACATAACTGTTTCCTCTGAAAATATATATTTTCGTTCCACCGCTCTTTGCGTTGAAAAGCTCAAAAACCAGTGTGTCCCCAAGTGAAATGTTGTTTGCATGAAAACATTTTGACAGCCATTTTTTCATGAACAAACGATCACAGCGATGTTCCTTTCCATCGAGCCTTAGTTTAACATCCCATGATATCCCATTTGGATCTTCAACCTTTACACTCTTCTTAATGAGACCTTTAGCTACAGCCAGCGCCTTTGGGATATTCTGAAAATATGAAAAAGAAAGAAAATGCTCAGATACTTGAATTAGACATTTTTTTAGTCCATGAAAAGGTTTTCTAATATTTCTTTTACTATTTTTCCAATCAATAACCGAATTGGATTATAAATTTGGGTGAAGAAAGTACTCACTAGGCGATAGTGGTTCTTCGTCATAGCTCAAATGAGCATGGATGCTTCGATCTGAACACAACATGTGCATTTGATTTTTCTTTCCTACCATCAGTTGCAATCCTCTTTCCAGACTTGCCTATACAATTCCAAGGACATGATATAAAAAAGAACCTATATAGGTTATACAAAACTCCCCAAACTTTAAAGAAGTAAAATAGTATACAACTTACACTTCCTTATGTTCGATATACGAGCATCTTCTTCACTCTCTTCATTGGGTTCTTCAGTTTCAAGCTCAATGATTTCCTCCTCTACTCGAGCTCGATTTCCCCTTCTCTTCTCGGCTGGTTCCAACTCCTTCTCAGTGCCAATTGGATCATACATTGTGACATCAAACTTGGACTTGCCATCATAATCAAAAACCAAAAAATTTGCAATTTCCAAAGAATGGTCCTTCACAAAACCCTGCCAACCTTATGGAAGACAAATCGATCCCCTCTCAGTTCCAAACCCACTATCCAATACCTCTAAGAGTACATGTTGGAGGCAATACATAGTTCATAAATTCGGGTGGTATACTCTACAAAATTCAATAACATAACATTCACAAGATAATACACAATTGAGATAGGTAGGAAATTGATGCCTAATTGTATGTAAAACAGAAGCCATAAAATGTGTGAGTTTGACGAGTCTGTAAATTGTGCTACTGGTCATTGAGCCATAGAGGTAAGGTGAAGTAGCAAATGTTTCTTTGTGTTCTAATTTCTAATAGCTCACCCATACCACAATCAGTTAAACAATCCATAATATTGTAGTCATTTTAAAGCAAAAGGAACAGAGATAAAAGAAACAGGAAATGTAAGAAACAAAGACACAAAAAAGCCAATCCATGATATTTCAGTCGTTTTAAGAAACCAAAAGAAGAGAGAAAAAAGAAACAGATATGGAAGAAAGAAAGAAAAAATTAAGGCAAGCCGTGATATTGCAGTCTTTCAAAAAGCGAAAAGAACAGAGACAAAAGAAACAGAAATGGAAGAAAGCGAAAAAAAAAAGAAAAGAAAAGGCAAGCCATGATGATATAGCAGTCCATTTAAAAACCAAAAAGAACAGGGAGAGAAAAACAGAAATTAAAAAAAGAAATTAAAAAAAAACACACACACACAAAAATCCTGTTATGAACCTAAAAGATGAGTAACTTTCAGTCGAATTAGTCAGTTACTTTCATTTAACTAGAGGGTTTCATCTCTAAATCCAGAGAAAACTCTGTTTTTACAGAACAATACTCTTTTTGGCAAACCAACAAAACACAGAGAAACTGTACTGATGATCAACATAATTTTCACAAAAATCTACTTGATATATCTCATCATCAGGAACAAAGATGTTACCAAACAGTGAGAGAACTCGCCAACCAGAACCTTGAAAAATGATGGTATCTTTGGTGAAAGCTTAGAACTTGCATTTCTACCCATCTGGATGATCAGCTGGAATTTTACGAAGATGAAGATGAAGATTAGTTTCAGTTTCAGTTTCCAACTGAGGGAGCTCTCAGGAACAGCTTTTTCAATTGTGGTGACTACAGCTCTTTGGTTTGGGAGATTTTAAGGAGAAGAGGGTCTAATGTGTTAAAAATTTAATATTATTTTATTTAATATTAATTTTCTACTTGAATGGAAATTAATAAAACGCATTGGGTTAAAGACATGACCCTTGGGTTAAAGACATCTACAATTAGGGGGTGATAACTCTTCAGACCAATGGATGCATTGTTTGCATTTTCAGATTGAGATACCTTTTTGGAAAAGTATTTCATCATCTATAAATAGAGCAATCCCCCTGCAGTTTTATTCATTCAATTAATTCTCTACATACATACTTCCATATATAGAGAGCATTAGATTTTTCATAAAGAGAGGTTCTTGCATAATTTTGATTCAAAGTTCCTTGTGAATTGAAGTGCTTCTTTCATAAGGAGGGGAGTCATTGTATCCTGGGAGGCGAACGCTAGTGAACCATAAGCACCAGTGTGGAGCGTAATTTGTCTTAAGGTTAGAGTGTCCAACACTTGTCTCGACTCAATTAAGGTTCTTCTAATTCCATTCTCCTTCTGCAAAAATCTGTTTTGTTTGCAGTAATTATTTATTTATTTTATTGCAATTTAGCACTCATCTTTCCAACATAATGTTATGCATTAGATTTTTCCCACGTAAGCTCTGTTTGGACTTTTTCTTTGTCTTTAATTCGTTTGTTTATTTCCGGTTGGATTTGGAAAGTATGTTCATTGGGCACATGCAGGGGAAAACTTCATACCCAAAAAAAGAAAAAGAAACAAAAAAGAGCAAATAATTTCCGGTGTTCATGGTTAAAGTAGGATACTGTATACGAATAAAGGTTTTTAATGTATAGTATTGTATTCACTAACATGTGAAAAATACGTGAATTTTACTTGTATTATTTAACTTTTTGTAAAGAAAACATGAAGAAATAATACATAAGGACATATATAATAATTATAAAGAATGTGTATTTTACTGTATATTTAAGAAGCGTATGCCAAAAAAATAATATTTTTAAAAATATATAAGTACGCCGCACGTACAATATGATATGTGAATCTACTAACCATGCTAGTTGTTTGTTTACCTTTTTTAGTTTCTTATTGTTGGGGTCTTTTTCCGTCAGAAGGCTCATCCGAGCTTGTTGATTCTTGTACCCCCATAGAGTGGTGAATCAAGCCTTCGTTGCCCCTTTTTCTGAGTTAGCGAGAACTATGCCCAAAGCATCCAGAGGGAGAAGCAAGTCCTAGGGGAGTACTTTGTTCTTCTTCCAGCAGTTGTGTGTTTTGTACTAATGTTTTTGGCAGCTAGACAAAAAATTGGAGATGGTGCCTTGATGTTGCACAGGCTTGGTACGAGAGTTTGCTTTGGTGAATCAAGATAATACTAGGCTTGTGGCTTGGGAGCTAAGAGAAAATGGGCATGAAGAAAGGATTAAGGCTTGAGATTTTGGGTGTTTTCGACAGCTAGACGAAGAGCTTGCGATGTCTACGTTTTCTTACCAAAGAGGTAATGACTATGTTTTCAACTTAGCTTGAGAGGATGGGTGTTTCAGACTTAGGATGGAGCTTTTTTAGAGAGAGAGAGAGAGAGAGAGAGAGAGAGAGAGAGAGAGAGAGAGGATGGGTGGCTTTAGCAGATTTCCAGCAGCTTGATGAAAGCTTCATCAAGCTCTTGGGTGGCTTGCTAGAAGAGAAAAAGGGGAAGAAATGGAAGATTCCAGAGGTGAGAGGTGATGCTTGCTCTCTCTGGATGTGTTTATGGGAAAGATAGAGAGAAGATGGAAGAATACAGCTTGAAATTGAAGCTTCTAGCAATGAGTAATGATGTTTCTTGCTCTAGATGAGTTGAAGATGAATTGCTGATGTTGATATGAGATTATATGAGCTTGGCATGAGAGGTTGGAGTGTGAGAGCTAAAGACCCACAAGTTTAGCAAATGAGAATGCTTGTGCTTGGCTTGTTGTTTGATATGCTTGAGTTTGGGTGTTGAGAATTTATTGTTTGTGGCTATGACTATGGGGATTTAAGAGTTTCAAGAGAATGAGGATGGGAGGAAAAGCTTAAGGTTTGAAGACTATGGTGTTTATAGCTTGTAAAGAAAGAAAAGCATGGCGTTATGCTTGGTGAGGCTTTATAGAGAAGATGATGGATTTCAAGGAGAATAGGTAATTATGGCTGGAGTGCTTGCAACAGCTAGGAAGGAGGTGTGATGATTGAAGAAGGGGGTTGATGGCTACTGGGATGCTTACAGCAGCCAAAGCAAAAAGTTGTTGTGCTGCTCCAACAGCTAAAGAAAGGGCTCGATGGCTAAAGAAAGAGGTTGATGGCTGCTATGTTGCTTGCAACAGCCGAATGAGGGGGCTTGATGGCTGAAGAAAAATTGGTGCTATTTGCCTGAGCCATGAATGCCAATTTATAGAGGGTGAGAGTTTTCCTTTATTTCCAATAGGTAAAGGGAGGTGCGGGAATCAGCCTATTTCCAATAGTTAAAAGGGAGCACTTAGGCATGCTATTTTCCAGCAGGTGAAGCTAGGTACTCTAAACTGATTATTTCCTATGGGTAAAAGGAAGCGTTGGAAACGGCTTTTTTCCAACGGGTAATAGGGAGTGCTGGAAAATGCTTGTTTCCAACGAGTAAAGCTAGGCATTTGGAAAATGACTATTTCCTATGGGTAAAAGAAAGTGCTTGAAAAATATCTCATTTGCTCACCCACGTTTGAGAACTCCAAGTAATAGGCTTGGACTTTGGTGCTCCCAAGTAGCTAGCCCAAAGTCTCTATTATCCAAGAGCTTACGTGGGCCTTGTGAACCTCCGTAACCTTCCACACCACAATCCCTCGTGCAAGCCCCATAAACCACATGACTTGGGTTCATGTGGGCTTGGTAGGTGATTGACATATGAAAAATGTATTATTGGCTTGGCATGGCATGCACACTATTTTTATATTTATTTAATGAATTAATTCCCAAAATACAGCTTGAATTAACGCATGACCAACATTATATGTTATATTGGACTTTAAATACCTTTGAATTTCTCGTGACTTTTTTGGGCCTGAACACTTATCAACTCATATTTGAATCATAATAAAATTCATCAACTAGAGAGACCTATTATTGACTTCACCTATGAATTTAGGTGAATTGAATATATTTGGTACCAACAAATAATTTCAATATCCTTTCATAACTTTTCACTTTCTTCCAAATCCATACATTTGAAATCAGAAATTCTAAATTGACTTACATGTGCACTCTTTGAATGAAAACACATCATATACTCAATATAGGGTTCACATATCCAAATTCAATGAAGCTTCCCCATATTCTTACCTTAAATGTATATTTGATGGAAACCAACTAATAATTGAGAAGGCCAGCTTGCTAGCTATGTGTTGGTGTCAGCCAAGTTTCGTTTTCTCTTTTCGAACATTGCTTAGTAAAAGTGATTTGCTCAAAAATGGAGAAGGAAATTGAGATCAACATCAACCATAACCAGCATGGGATTCTTTTACTACTCATCACCTGATGAATGATTTCATCATGTTAAATTATCTCATCTATGGTCTAACTTTTGGAGAAAGTTGCCTCTCTCTCTCTCTCTCTCTCTCTCTCTCTCTCTCTTACTAAATTCTTCCTAAACACTGACTCTTGGGTACTTGTTTGTTTTATATAATTTGGATGTTTTTCGAGCATTTTGCCTCAGCAAATCTTGTGCACTGGTTGCATTAGGCTTCTCTTGCTTTGCTTTAATCTTTTTTTCCTTTTGTTTTAATTTTTTCTGTGTCAGACCTCTCTTGCTTTTCATGAATGAAGCTTTTCAGACCCAAAACAAATGTGAAAACCAGTATGAAAAATTAGCAATGATACAAACAAGATGGAGAGATCAAGTTGAGTTTGAACCATCATTAGTCCGTGGGATTGATATTCAAATTTGAAAGCTGATTTATCTGAGATTGGTGTCCATCTTAACCTTTCAATCAATTCTAATTTTGATAGACTTTCCCTTTCATAACCAAACAAAGGCGCATACAACTTTAATCATGGGAACCAAATACATGCTATCCAGCGCAACATAACATTAGACAATGAAGTAAACTATAGGTTTAATGTTTGACACTACTGGAGGCATCAAGCACAATAGAACGCATATTTCCTCCTGCTCTAGTTATGAAAATATGAACCTCCATTTCACTCCTCTTGACAAGCTCGAAAACAATTGTATCTGTTGATGCTCTTTTTGGGAGGGTCAACTTAGATAGAGGTAGAATGGTGGATGATGGGTAAAGGTGAGAACCTTCAGCATGTGTGTGAAGATTTAGGCAAGCGATAAATATAAAGAAGACGAGATATACATGGTTCACCCTTAATGAATGGGCTACGTCCACGGAGAAGTATGTTCTCATTATAATAATGTATGATTACATTTGTACATAGAGTTGGACCCAAATATAAAGATAAGAAGGGGGAAGCCCAGCCCAGTGATCCAGAAGTGTGTCCTTTTCTCAGAGGAGAGTAGTCTTCTTTTATAGGTGATGGGGAGTCTCCATCTTTTGTAGTTTTCCGATGTGGGACTTCTCTTGCTTTGCTTAGAGTTGTGATTTGTGGTAATGCTTCTTTGGCTAAGGTGATGACCTCTCAAAGCATGGCACGTGGATGATCTAACCTAGTTAGTTGCTCGGTCAGTTACAGTACTAACAAACTATTCACACTCTCCTTAATTCTCAGCTCCCTTATTTCCCTAAACTGAATTCAGCCAATCTTCTAGCTTCTTCTCAGCTCTCTCTCTCTCTCTCTCTCTCTCTCTCTCTCTCTAAAAGGAAGCCTTTTCCGGTCAAATGGCGAGGAAGCCAACTAAGCCTTCACCGAAACTACCATCATTTTCCAAGGTCCTACTGGGTGATGACTTCTCTCAGTAGCTGGTAACATCCTATATATGCTAGCCCTCTCTTTTACTTTAATTTTTTTTCTTTCTTTCATGTATTAGTATTTAGTACTTTGACGTCATACAATTTGCACTCTGTGTATTGAAAATATATGGTCAGTAAAGAAGCTTGTAAACTTTGCAGTGTCTACCACCTGCCGTTATGATGCATTACAATGGACCATCTCACTGCAAATGTGCCCTTAGAGGCCCTACTGGAAAATGGTGGGCAGTGGGTTTGGAAGAGATGAAGGATGAGTTTTACTTCTATGAGGGTTGGCGGCGTTTCGTGACAGATCATTCCTTAAAAGTTGGATACTTTTTGGTGTTTGATCATCAAGGTGGCTCAAAGTTTGATGTTACAATCTATCATCCAATGGGTTGTGGCATGAGGAGAAGTATAGACAACTCTGTTAGGCCTAGAAAGAAACCTGCAATTGCTGCTGTTGTGGAAGAAACATTAACTGGATCCATCGTGTTCAAATCAAAGCATCCATGCTTCATGGGAATTCTGGGCAAGAACCAATACCGCATGGTGAGTAGTACTTTTGTCAGCCGAATTTCTACGCCAATTATGTTTTATCAACGTTATCCCTTATTTGTGATTGGAAGTTAGTAAAAGAGATCTTTGAAGGGTTCAATTGAATGAGCATTTTCTTTCCCTCTAATGATGTTCCATATTGCAGAACATCCCAAAGGAGCTAGCTGTAGCTGAAGGCCTCATTGGAAAGGAAAGGGTGATGCTTAAAGATCCAAATGGGAGATCATGGAACATTAAGCTTAGGCTCGACACAAATCAGCATCATGGTGGTCGTTTGCTCATGACACAAGGGTTGGTAGCATGTTGGCAAGCGAACAACATTTCGCTCGAGGATACTGTTGATACTTTTTTTGGGATGGTCAACTTAGATAGAGGAAGAATGGTGGATGATGGGTAAAGGTGAGGACCTTCAACATGTGTGTGAAGATTTGGGCAAGCGATAAATATAAAGAAGACGAGATATACATGGTTCACCCTTAATGAATGGGCTACGTCGATGGAGAAGTATGTTCTCATTATAATAATGTATGATTACATTTGTACATGGGGTTGAACCCAAATATAAAGATAAGACGGGGGAAGCCCAGCCCAGTGATCCAGAAGAGTGTCCCTTTCTTAGGAGAGAGTAGTTTTCTTTTATAAGTGAAGGGGAGTCTCCATCTTCTGTAGTTTTCCGATGTGGGACTCCTTTTACTTTGCTTAGAGTTGTGATTTGTGGTAATGCTTATTTGGCTAAGATGATGACCTCTCAAAGCATGGCACGTGGATGATCTAGCCTAGCTAGTTCCTCGGTCAGTTACGGTACTAATAGTAGTTCCCCAAGTTCGCGAGTAAGAAGGTACTTCTTGATTGGGGACTTGTAATTTTAAGTGCATTGGCCGAGCAACACCACAATTCGTCTTCCAAACTGTATAGTGCACTACCCATAGTCCCCCAAGTCCCCAGGTAAGAAAGACATTGGAGGGAGGGAACTTGCAACAAAATGTCAAGTGGTTTGCAAGTCCCCATTTTGTTATGCAAGGGTGCTGAAGGGAACGTAGGTGTCAAAGGCATAAGACTTGCATGTCGTAAGACGATGTGCCTAGGCAAAAAGGTGCCGAAGGTGTAAGAATTGCATGTCGCAAGGCGATGTGCCTAGGCTTGAGGGTGCCGAAGACGACACAAAGCGTGCATGTCATCAGGCAATGTAGCTAGGCACGGGGGTGCCGAGGGCGACACAAAACTTGCATGTCGCAAGGCAATGTGGCTAGACACGGCGGTGCCGAAGGTGACATAAAGTTTGCATGTCGCAAGATAATGTGGCTAGGCACGGGGGTGCCGAAGGCAAAGGGGATACCAAAGGCACAAAGCTTGCATGTCGCAAGGTGATATGCTTAGGCACGAAGGTGCCGAAGGCGACACAAAGCTTACTGTTAGTACCATAACTAACCCAGCAACTAGTTAGGCTAGACCATCCACGTGCCATGCTTTGAGAGGTCATCATCTTAACCAAAGAAGCATTACCACAAATCACAACTCTAAGCAAAGCAAGAGGAGTCCCACGTCGGAAAATTACAAAAGATGGAGACTCCCCCTCACCTATAAAAGAAGACTACTCTACTCCACTGAGAAAAGGGACATTCTTCTGGATCACTGGGATGAGTTTCCCCCTTCTTATCTTTATATTTGGGTACAACCTCATGTACAAATGTAATCATACATTATTATAATGAGAACATACTTCTCTGTGGACGTAACCCATTCATTAAGGGTGAACCACGTATATCTCATGTTCTTTATATTTATCGCTTGCCCAAATCTTCACACACATGCTGAAGGTCCTCACCTTCACCCATCATCCACCATTCTACCTCTATCTAAGTTGACCCTCCCAAAAAAAGTATCAACACAGTTCACTTGTAATGACGACACGTTGTTTAATTTTGTCTAGTTTACATGTGATATCTCATAATTGTGTTTTAATATTCACCACATGGTTTGCAATCGAAATTGACCTTCATGACTCAATTTGGTTTACTTATACCAGAGACGTTTTCCTATAACATTGCTTTAAGTGTATATGCTTACTCTGTACAAACTTACAAAGTCATTGAAAAGGGCAGCAAGGCAGTTTCCTAGTTTTGGATTGCTTTACACAATTGATATTTCCCAAAATGAAGAACAAATTGAGGTAACCTTACCCCCAACAACATCAATAATGCGCACTAGCATAGGATCCTTAGCTTCTCATCTCACCTTCCCCGGTCCACACATAAACTATAATACAAATGCACCCATTTTGAGAAAAAAAATTTCAAATACACATTGGAGAGAACCAACTTTTGAATACTAGCTAGGTTTTTTTGTTGTTGTCAAGAAAATACTAGCTAGGTTGGATTTGAAGGAAGGTGTCAAATGAATCGGCCCAATTCCTTTAAGTTGGGTCAATTCATGTTTCATTATGTATGCGTGTTGGCCCATTTACGTTAATCATGCTCGTAATGGTCTAGTTAGTTAAGACCTAGACTCGGCATGGCCCACAACCTAGTTGGGCTCGTGCCATGTTTGTATCATGCATTAAGTGAGCTGGGCCTATAAGCTGAACTTTATTTTTATTTTTTCAGGGTTTCAAATTTATCCTATTATTATTTTTCCTTCATGTACTCGAACACTAAGATTATTTTCGACATGAACACTAAGATTATTTTCGCTTGAGTCGTGCCTAGTTCGGGTCTATTTCGTGCTGAGCTCGTATCGTGCCTAATGCATTTAAAATTCTGGTCGAACAGCCTAGCTCATGTATTATGTCATGCTCGTCTCGAGCCTGACCGATGTCGTGACCATGCCATTCCTTGCACATTTTAATCATGCCGTGTCCATGCCATATTGGGGCCAACTTGGTTGGTTTGACAGCTCTAGGTGAGCTAGAACAAGCGCCCAAATTTTAATTATGACCTGGGCTGGGCTGGAAAACTGGAAAAGATGGGCCAGGCTAAAAATTGACCATGCAATTGGAGTAAAAAAAAGAGAAGAGATATGCCCCTGATAGCTTTACCCGTTGTACAAATTCAACTAGACAGGAAATTCAGAGAAATCAAAGAGTGGAGGAATGAAACATAACGTATAATACAATGCAAGACAACCATCGTTTACTCAAAATGCTAAAGTAAATGTTGCAGTCAAAGCATTTTTTTAATAAAAACATTGCAATGTGAAACTCGAGAGTCAGCTAGCTTTAATTTTCACCATTGGGGGCATCAAGTACCACAGGACACCTCTTGCCATTCACTGCTCCGAAAATATGAAGTTGAATTGCACTTTGCTTGACAAACTCAAAAACCATAGTGTCCCCAACTGAAATCTGGTTCGCTTGACAGCATTCTCCCCAACCTGTCGTGAATTCCACACGTTTGCAAGATGTCTTGGGACGGATTACAAGTTTAACAAGCCATAATCTCCCATTTGGATCTCGAAGCGTTACATTCCTTGCACTATTAAGACCTTCAGCTATGGCTAGTTTCTTCGGAATCATCTGCAATTTGGAACATAATTGATATCTAATTAAGGACAAAAAAAGTTCAAGCCTACGAAGATAAATTAGCTGGGAAAACAATCAAGAGCCTAACAAGGGGTAGAACTTCAAGAAAAATTTATTGAAGATGTTTTTCCATTAACTTCCATACTGCAACTCTTTTACTATGTTTTCTCCAAAAAAATATATATATCTTTTACTCTAATCCAACCAAATATGGAAAGGTTCTCAAAAAACACAATGGCTCAAGAATTGGTGACAAAGTACTCACCAAGCAATATCGGTAATGCCTCTTCATACTTTCCATAAAACATCGATGATCCGATTTGAATGAGATGCATTCACTTGATGTTTCCGCTACATAATCAGTTGTAGGTTTCTTTCCAGACATGGCATTGCCTATTAATCACCAAATTGAAACATAATTAACAGTACAGAAAATACACATACAAATCTTCCCTAGATGTTGGGAAGTAAAATAGAGTATAACTTACAATTTCTTCTGTTAGCAATACTTGTTTTGTTTTCATAGTCTTCGTTGTAGTTTTCAGTTTCAAGGTCTATAATTTCCTCTTTTACTCTAACTTGATTTCCTTTACTTTCGATGGAATCTGAACGGCCAAACCCCCTCTCGGCTACCTCTACATCCTTCTCACAGGCACTTCTATCATAGATTGTGACTTTGAACTTTGATTCGCCATCATAACGGAAAACCAGGAAATTCCCAACTTCTAAATGATGATCCTTCACAAAACCCTGCCAACCCTTAGAGAAGAACAAGCCATTCTCTCTCTCTTCCAATTCCACAGCCCTCCCTTTCCCACTTGGGCCCCTAAGAGAACATTTGCGAAGTGATCCTCCGTTGAAGTTCTTGATAAATGCAGGTGGTATACGCTGCAAAATTCAATAGCCTTTTGAAAAACCACGGTACATGTGCTTAAAACAAAGCAAGAATCATTTAATAAACATAATCCAAACTTAATAGCATCGCAATACTACTACAGGAAAATAATCAAACACTTGGAAATCATTCAAGCAATTCTTTGAAAACCTTCCAAATCATTTAAGCATTTCTTTGTTGTAATTTGTCAAACAATCCACAGAAAAGCAACTCAGTCATCTCAAGGTCAAGGCTTGAGTCAAATAAGTCAACTTAGTGAGTTGTATGCTAGTATAGTTGCCATAAATTTTATCTCCGACTTCTCTCACTTTCTTGGCAACCAAACACATAATTGTGATTTTATTCATGATTGACCAATATAATTAAAAAGAAGTCGACCCAAATGTAAACCATGAACAGGGTATTAACTATATTAACCATTCACTCAAATTCGCAATTAATCTTGAAGTATGAATCCAAAAAAACACAGAAAGAAGACATGCAATCGTGCATCCGTTCAAGACTGTAAAAAAATTGATCCTGAAAAGTGAAAAAAGGAAGGCAAAGATGTTACCAGATGCTTAGAGAAGTCACCAAGCAGGATCTTGAAAAACGATTCTTTCTTTACTGAACGCTTCATAAGTTTCCTTGCCATTTGAACCAAGTCTTCAGTCTTCAACGAAACCTTCAAAGATCAAAGCTTTTTAGGAGTGGGTTTTCTGTGTAGCTAGCTTTTGTGGGTAAGTTTTATCCGCAGGGAAAAAGCAGAACAGGCGATGCTTGCTAGCGCCTCTCTGTTTTTCTCATCGTTGTTCAGCCGTGTCATATAAACTTATAACCCAAGGTATTCTGAAAAAGGGTGACATTAACTTTTTCCGTGTTTAGGTAGGTTTCAAAAAACATAAATTCCCTTTATTCCATATATATGCATAATAATGCCTTCGATCATGTTTTTTTTTTTTTTTTTTTTTTTTTTTTGGTGGGGGGGGGAATATCACTCACAATTTTTTATCTTTATTTTTAGAGTCTTTTTATTTGTAATTGTTTATTAATACTTTTCCTCGTTGAATTGAGCTTTCCTAAAAAAATTATTTTTAAGTGTATTTAGGAGTTAATTAGATTTATTGAAGTATGGATGTGTGAGGATTTTGAGAATTTGAGAATTACATTGGTATATGTTTAGATTTGGAATTTTTGTTAGTCGGAAGTAGGAAAACAAGTGTGACTAGCAGGAAGTAGGAAGACAAGTGTAGATTTAGAATTACATTGTTACATTGGTGACGAATAAGGAATTTTTTTTAATCAAAATGCTACATTGGTGATGAATAAAGAATTTTTTTTCATCAAAATGTGAAGACAAGTGTAGATTTAGAATTACATTGTTACATTGGTGACGAATAAGGATTTTTTTTAATCAAAATGCTACATTGGTGATGAATAAAGAATTTTTTTTCATCAAAATGTGATTGGCAGGAAGTAGGAAGAAAAGTGTTTTCCTTATTTTAGACTCCTAGGAGCAAGGTGTTTCAAACCACTATTTTTGTAAGTTTCTTTAACCGATTCTCTAATCTCATTCCTAGCAGAGTTTAACTCTCAAGTTTTGAGCTACTAAAATTGGAAGCTAAAACCTAAAATCTAAGCGAAAAACTTTTCCCGGTTAATTGGTAACATTGTCACACCCAAGGTCCTATGTTTGATTTCCCCCTACCCCAAAATTTTAAAAAAAAAAAAAAAAAAAAAAAAAAAACAAAAACTGTCTCAATTGACTAAAACAATCATGAAATATTTCACAGGCGCTAAAGAGTAGTAGAAGAATGACTGGAAAATGGAAAACTAACCTAATAAAATACAAGAAGATCATCACTTAGCCAAAATGGATTGCAGAAACATTTTTTAAAAGTCTTGCAATGCGAAACTCTAGAGTAAAAATAGCCTAGGTTTTCAGGCCGGTGTTAACGAGTACAACAGAACACCCACTGCCTCCCACTCTTCCTCCTCTGTAGATATGAATTTGCATTACACTTGGTTTCACAAACTCAAAAACGATGGTGTCCCCTTGTGAAATCTGGTTTGCTCTACAACATTTTGCCCAACCTTTCGTCATGTCGAAACGAAGATACGGTGACATGTGGACTCTAAGTTTAACAATCCATGATCTCCCAGCTGGATCTTGAAGCTTTACAGTCTTCTTCCTCACAAGACCTTCAGCTATGGCTAGTTCCTTTGGAACTGTCTGCAATTGGAACATCAAAGTAAAAACTTATTCACAAACTTTGTACCCAATACTAAAACTTATAATTTTGTATACCCCTAACAAATGGTGGAACTGTCAAGAATGATGTCTTTATGATAGTTTTTCAACAACTCACCTACTGCACACTCTATTGCATACATTTGAACATTTCATCTTAAGTCAAGGTTGTGTCTCTTTTACCATTTACCAACCACCACATTAAAAGGCTTTCGAAAACATGATTAAGTATTGGATGACAAAGTACTCACCACTGGATATAGTATTTTCGTCAGAATTTTTATAAAACATGAATTCTCCGATTTGAACAAGATGGATCCAGTTGATGTTCCTTCTACACAGTCATTTGCAGGTCTCTTTCCAGACATCACATACTTGCCTACACATGCCAAATTGAGACATGATTTAAGAAGAAAAAGCACGTAAACGAGCCGTTAGAGTAAATACTAAACAGCACATACAAAACTTCCCTAGCTGTTCAAAAGTGGATTTAAGATGGAGTAGAACTTACGACTTGTTCTTTCAGCATTGATGGTTTTGCTTTTACTTTCTTTGTTGTAGTTTTCAGTCTCAATGTCAACAATTTCATCTTTGACAGAGGAAACAGGATTACCATTTCTCCTCTTGGCTGCTTCTACATCCTTTTCACAGCCAGTTGGTTCATAAATTGTGACATCAAACTTTGAGTCACCATCAAAGTCGAAAACCAAAAAATTTCCGATTTCTAAACAATGAGCCCTCACAAAACCCTGCCAACCATCATGGAAGACAAAGCCATTCTCCCTCTCTTCCAATTCCACAGTCCACAGTTTCCCATTAGGGCCTCTAAGAGCACATTTGGGAAGTGATTGCCCATCTAACTTCTCGATAAACACAGGTGGTAAACGCTACAAAAATGAACAGCTTCTTGTAAATCATAGAACATATGCTTCTTAAAACCAAGAAAATCTCACATAACTCAAGTTGCTTATGCTAAGTATTTGGTAACTGAAAAGGAGTGGACTTAAACCATGAACAGGGTAGTTAACCTTTCAGCTGAAATTTGTGTGCATCACTCTGAATGTAATATACTGATTAAACTTGAACACATACAGAAAGTTAAGATCTTATTCAAATGAACCAAAAAAGAAAAAAGGGCAACCATGCATTGATCATGAATGTAAGAACTGATCTTGAAAAAAAGGAAAAGAAGGTAGGATGCATGTTACCAGATGCTGATAGAAGTCGCCAAGCAGGACCTTGAAAAATGATTGTTTCTTTAGTGAAGGCTTACTTAGCTTCCTAGCCATTTGAGCCTCTACCAAGACCAAGAGTATCCAAACTGGGGCAGATGGTTCTCTGTGGCAATGAGCTTTATTGAAAATTTTAAATTTTAAATAAAAAAAATAAAAAAACATGGTTCTTAATTTAAGTGATGAGACAATCCTGCAGCTATTTAGCCTCTTAAATGCCGGTCTTCAGTCATACAACACCTTCTGCTGCCATGTGTATAACATGCACTTGAAAATAGTGAGCTGTTGTTTTGAGAACCTAAATTCAGACACGCTTTTCAGGAGTGGCTGCTCTGTGTAGCTCATGTTTTGCTTTTATTCTGTCCTTTGTTTGCTGCTTGTTCTGCTTCTGCCATGTGTATGGCACGCACTTATAGGTTATAAGATAAAACCAAGCTGGTTTGGAAAAACATTAATTATTTTGGTCAGTTTGGAAAACATTTTATCTTCTTCCAATGTTGTCCTCACTTTTCCCAGGAAGAGATGGATCCTCCAGATCAGTTTCCTTCCCAAAACTTTGACCTTGAACTTAAATACATGCACTGAAATTAGATTTCATTCAAATCTAGTGTTAATGAGTCATAGACCATCAGTGGCTTTTGATCCAAGCATTGGATCTCAAACTGTGTTTTGGTGCTGCTGCAATTCTTTCAAAGTCTAGTTCTATTTTGCACATTAACAAGGATTACTTCTTGTGGTGGCACAGGGTCTCAAAGAATGAACTCAACTATCACAATTCTAGTGCATCTAACTCAGCATAATTAAAAAAAGACCTACCCAAAGAAAGTAATAGAAGAGTGGTTGGGGAAGCAAATAAGATCATCCTTTACCCAAATTCTGCAGTCTCAACATTTGAAAAAAGCATCAACAAGCTTTAATTTTTAACATTAAGGGCAGCAGTTATCACAGATAACCTATTGCCTCCCACTGCTCCTCTGAAAATATGAAATTGCATTACACCTTGCTTGACAAGCTCAAAAATGATGGAGTCCCCAGGTGAAATTTGGTTCGCTTTACGACATTCTGTCCAACCTATTGCCATGTCCAAACGATTATGGAATTCCACTCTAAGTTCAACAAGCCATGATCTCCCAGTTGGATCTTGAAGCATGACAGCATCTCTCCTCCTAAGGCCTTCAGCTACGGCTAGTTCATTCGGAATCGTCTGCCATTTAGAACATCATGGATATCAAGGAGGGTTAAGGAAAAGTTCATAGAGCTGATTGGTACTAAATGAGACAAGTTTGCTTGAAACTTGACCAAGAAATTTAAGTACAAAACATGTTACATGCTAGAAGCACTTATACATAAAACGATTCATAGTGTTCGTATTCAAGCCTAAAATTCGTAATTTTAAGTGTTATGAAAAGGTGTTTCTAAAGATCTATTTGACTGTTTTCTGATCCCAATAGGAAAAGTTTTTCACAAGCACAATTGACGTAGGAAATAGGGTGGCAAAGAACTCACCACACGATATAGTAAATGCTGCTTCCTCGAACAAACTAGGAAACATGGATTCTCTGATTTGAACAAGATGGATCCAGTTGATGTTTCTTGTACACAAAAACTTATAGGCCTCTTTTCAGAAATGGGATATTTGCCTATACAATGCAAAAATGAGAAACAATTTAAAAAGTAAAGGAGTAAACAAAACGTTACAGTAATTAGCATATACAAATCTTTCCCTAGATCTTAGATGCAGAAAAGTAACTTACAACTTCTTCTGTTGGAATCGATCGTTTTGTTTTCGCAGTCTTCAGTGTCAAGCTCAACAATTTCATCCTTCACTTGAGCTTGATTTCCTTTGTTCACCAAAGAAACTGGACTACCACTTCTTCTCTCGGCTAAATCTACATTCTTCTCGCATGCACTTCTATCATAGATTTTGACCTTAAACTTTGATTTGCCATTGTAACTAAAAACCAAAAGATCCCCAAATTCTAAAACATGATCTTTCACAAAACCCTGCCAACCATCACGGAAGAACAAGCTATTCTCTCTCTCTTCCAATTTCACATCCCACCATTGTCTACTAGGGCCTCTAAGAGCACATTTGCGAAGTGATTGCCCATTGAAGTTCTTAATAAACTTAGGTGGTATACGCTACAAAATTTAACAGCTTCTTAAAAGACCATATATACTTAAAGCTTCAGGTTAAAAACCAAGCAAGTAATGTCATAGTTAGGCTATGTATGAGAGGTCAAAAATTTATGGTAAACAGAATTCAAATTGTATAACTTGGGAACAAATCATTGTAAACCTTACAGATAAAATGGTTAAATAAAAAGTTCATAATTAACATTTCCTTTTTCTTGTTTACAAATTTATGGGCAGACAGTAGAGCACAAAAACAAGGAAGTAAACTAAAACAAAATTTAAGTCATTCATCAACAGCATGTTATCAAAACAGAAATTAAACCACTGTCATGTAGCAAATGTCTATTTGTTCTAACTTTCCCCCAAAAACAAAATCAAGATCTTGCAAAAATTAACCCAAAAAGGAAAAAAAAAGAAAACAAGAAGAAGACAAAAGGCAATCATGCATTAAATCATGACTGTTAGTATTGATCTTGAAAAGTGAAAATGAAGGGGGGATCGATGGATTTTACCAGACGCTGAGAGAAGTCACCAATTAGGATCTTGAAAAATGATGGTTTCTTTGGTGAACGCTTCCTAGGCCTAGCCATTTGAATCTTTGTCAAGAGTACCAACTAGGTCTGCCAAAGAGTTCATCAGAACAATTTTTACTGGTTATTTATTTAAGTGAAGAGACAACATACCGGCTGCTATTTACCTTATTTTCACTCTTCTGCTGCCATAAGTTGAGCTACTCCAAGACTTTGGTCTTGTCTTGCTGTTCTTCTGACTTTTACTTGTTTGCTTGCTTCTGCCATGTGTGTCGAATGGACTTATAACGTATAACCAAGGTGGTTGGAAACATAAATTTTCTTTGTAAATTTGGGAAACATGAATAAATGCCTTCAGTCACTTTTCACCAGAAGGAAATGGATCCTCCAGATCACTTTCCTTCCTAAACTTTTACCCCTTGCACTACATAGGAAGGGTGGTCCCTATGAGGATTGCCATGTAGGTCAAACTTTTACTTTATTGTATTTCAAAACCCTTTAAATAAAACCATAATTTTTAGTGTATGTGTTAAATGAGACAAACAAAGATGAGCCAATGGTGGTAAATTAGCAGGAGGCTGGATGGAGTGACATGATACGGGCTCTGTTTAGAACCAAATAACATAAGGATGGTTTTGATTTTTCCATTTTTGGATTATGAAACATGGTTACCAATCTAACTATAGAAGAAGAAGAAGAAAACTCTGAACAAGGACAAGGAACATGGTTACCGAAAGACAAAATACTATACATGTACACACCACCGAGTTATATAAACTCAACTGTCTCAATCCAAGTGCATCTGCATCACATTTACAAGAGAGAAATCTAAAGCACTACAATCAGAAAATATTTCACACGCACTAAATAGATATGTGGATATTGCAGTCAAAACATTTCCAGAAAGTATTACAAGTTGAGGCTTTGGAGTCGGCTAGCTTTAGTCTTTTACATCAGGTGCAGCTAGTACCACAGAATTGCCACCCACTCTGAAAATATGAATTTGTGCCAGACTTGGCTTGACAAATTCAAAAATAGTGGTGTCCCCGGGTATAATCTGGTTCGCGTTACAACATTCTAACAAAACTGTAGACATGTCCACATGACAAGAAGATAATTTGCCCCGGACTCTAAGTTTAACAGGCCATGATCTCCCAGTTGGATCCTGAATCATCATACTCTTCTTGCTAAGAAGACCTTCAGTTACAGCTACTTCCTTGGGAATTGACTGCAATTTGGAACATCATCGATATCAAGGAGAAAAAAATTATAACACTTTCATGCTAGAAGCATTTTCACTTGAAAGGTTCATAAATTTGTACTCAAGCCTAATACTTAGAAGTTAGTGCACCCCTAAGAAATGGTAGAACTTTCAGAACGACTTCTTGAAAATGTTTTTCCATAACTTCCATACTGCAACTCTATTACATTTTATCACATTTCATCTTCATTGAGTAGCATAATCTTAAAAAGGTATTTTAAAGATCTCCTACTATTTACAATCACAACGAGGTATCTTTTAAAAACAAAATTGGGTTAAGAATTGGGTAATAAAGTACTCACAACGCCATATCGAAGTTTCCTCGTGAAAGTTATTATGAAACGTGAATACTTCGGTTTAAACAAGACGGGTTCAGTTGATGTTGCTCCTACATGATCATTTGCAGGTCTCCTCCCAGGTATAACATAATTGCCTATACAGTATCAATATGAGACACAATTTAAGAAGAAAAATGTAAATAAGCTGCTAGAGAAAATAGCACAAACAAATCTTCCCTAGATGTAGAGAAGTAAAATAGAGTATAACTTACCACTTCTTCTGCCAGAAACAATTGCTTTGTTTTGACAGTTTTCGTTGTAGTTTCTAGTTTCACGGTCAATAATTTCTTCTTTAACTTGAGCTTTCCCTTTGTTAGCCAAGGAAACAGGACAGCCACTCCTCTCAGCTACCTTTACATTCTTCTCACAAGCAGTTCTATCATAGATTGTGACTTTAAACTTTGATTCACCATCATATTTGAAAACCAAAATATCCCCATCTTCTAAATGATGATCCTTCACAAACCCTTGCCAACCATATTGGAAGAACAAGCCATTCTCTCTCTCTTCCAATTCCACAGTCCACCGACACTAGGGCCACTGAGAGCACATTTGTGAAGTGGCCGTACATTGAAGTTCTTGACAAGCTTAGGTGGTATACGCTACAAAATTTAATAGCTTTTTTAAAATCCAAACAATCACACATGATCAGTTTTTTTTTCTTTAGTCTAAATTACTCTAAATAAATCAAATTTATATGAAGGGGACTCGAACTTAGATGAAAGGACACTTCCCTGGCGAACTGACCTAACCCTGTTCAGTTATTGTCTCACTATCATGAACATAGCATACAATATGCATGAATAGGTGTGAGAAAGTGATCAATTTCTATGAAGTAAAAATTCCCCCATTGTGTTTAGCGTGGGCTAAAAAAGTGTGCTCAAACATGAACCATGAACAGGGTATCAACCTTCAAATATAAATCACGGGCATCATTCAGAATCTAACAAATTGACTAAACTTGAACACATGCTAAAGATTAATCTTGAAAAACGAACCATACCAAAAGAAACAGAGAGCAATTTGTAGTTGATCTTGAACTTAAAGTAAAAAAGAAGTCATGATGTTACCAGACGCTGTGAGAAGTCACCAAGTAGGATCTTGAAGAAAGATTGCTTATTTAGCGAAGGCTTAACTAGTTTCCTTGCCATTCCAACCCTTGAAAAAAGCAAACAACTTTCCTGAATCTCTGATCTTTATTTTTGGACGCTGTTGCTTCAGAATCAGATCCTCCAAAGCTTTTTATGAGTGGCTGCTTTGTGTACTTTGCTTCTCTAGTTTTTAATTTGGTATTTTCATGTTCCTTCTGGCCCGCATGTGTATAACATGCACTTATATATATGTCTTGGGTTGCGTTAAATAAAAGAGATATTTAGTAATACATTCATTCTTAGCAGTAATGATATAAATAAATCCAACACTATTTAATTTATATAAACAAATTAAAAAAATGATAGCTGACCTTATTGAATTTAATTTTGATTATTAAATTACTTTGATGCCCTATTGAGTGTTTTGGATTTTTTTTAATGAGGTTTTGAGATTGGGCTTGTTTTAAGAAATTGATGGTAATTTTGTAATTTACAAGAAATTAAAAGTCTATTTGTTATATTGTAAATGGACTTCAAGTGTGTTTCTAAAGTCCATTTCATATATATATTTTTTTAAATTTGAGCCCCTATATTAGGTATAATAGTAAATCTCCCTAAAAGAGAAGTGTTGGGTTTTTTTATTTATTATAATGTTTTTCCTTATGGCTCTAAGAGAAATTTTTTAATCAATGTGGTCTAGCCCAATAGAAAAAGGCATTAACTTGTAGATGAGTGTCTTTGGTTCCAACTCGTAGTATAACTTACTATAAACATAACAATTTAAAGGCTTAACCTTGTGTATGCAATCATCCAAGTTTCTTGAGTGTTCCGCTTTTTTAAGGATTAAAATAGGACCATCTCCAGGAGAGTCTCTAAATTTTAGCCAAATGTTAGCTAAAATAGGTAAACAACTTCAATAGGAATCCGGAATCTAATTCTCCTCAATCCAACTCCTCCTCAATTCAATTCATCCTCAATTCAATTCCTCCTAATTTAATTACGAATTAGTAAACATGCCATAAATATAGAGAGCCACCAAACTCAAATAGGGAGTTTTCCAACATGGAAAGTCAGATACCAAGTCTATTGAAGCTGCTTTTTGCGCTTATTCTCACCAAAATGGGTAAGGATCAGAGTATAACAACTATGCTGGAGATGCTTAAGATAATTTTTATAGTTCTTGGAATCAAACATTCAAGCTCAACATGTGAACACTATGTATTGGGCAAGGATAAACATTTAAGCCCAACATGTAAACACCACATATTGGATAAGGAGCATGTAACTCAAGTAGTTAAAAACAATTATTCATGGACAGGCAGTTCTTTCATTTAAGCCGGGCATGTACCGAACACATCTCTCCATGGTAACTTTACTTGTCCTGTCTCTCAAAAGCTCAAAATTTTGTTAACAAAGTACATGCTTTCGGCTTTACTTCAACACACCACAAAGGCAATGCACAAACTAGTCTCACAGTTGGCCCAAGTGGTATTACTTGTTTACACCAACACTGGCTTTTCTCTCTCTGCAATATCAGATGAATCCAACACAGTCCACTTTGTGCTCTGTGTAATATACAAAACTGTGGCAGCTTGACAGGAGAGACCACATATTAAACCAATCCACAAGCCCTGTAACAAAATCAAGCACCAAAAATGTACCGAATGTGAATTGAAAAGCACAAAACAAAAAAACAACAGAACAAACACACCAAATCAACTTACTGGTGTTGTCTTACCTTGGCATGTAGTTTGAACTTAAACCCAAGAAGACTGGAAATTGTCATGCCAATCAAATAGAATGTGACAATGTTTACATACACAGTCAAGTGTTGCCATCCACATCCTCTGGCCACACCTGAAAGACAAGCAATCACTTTCATGGAGAAGTTAGGAAAAGATAACAAATTTCAAATGGGAAAAACCAAAGTTGAACTACTGTCCCTACTAGAAAAGTAGATGATCTTAACCTGATAAAACACCTTGCACAGAATCTACAATTATTGAAATTACAAGCAAAGGCACCATGGAAGCAAATTGCTCTGCTATTATGTGGCTGTCACTGAAGAAGCCGGCCCAGATATTGTGACCGACTGCTAGAGCGAGAACAAGAACTAAAGCAAGAAGCATAGAGAGCTTAAGAGTCACAGCCATTGCCTTCTTAGCTTTGTCAGGATTGCCAGCTCCCAATTCATTTGACACCCTTGTGCTACACCACAACAAGTAACTTTTGTTTCAATGTGCGAAACAGAATATAGATATCGAAAAACCTGGAGCAATATAAAAAGCTGGATTGTTGTTCTACCACCAACCTTGCAGCAGAACTGAGGCCATATATAATCATGTATGCAATTGCTTCCGTATTCACACTGAGGAGATGATATTCAAAGAAAGACTAATTTGAGTCGGCCTGCAATATTATAACAGCTATAAAAAAAGGAGAAAGAAAAGAAAAAAGTATATTGAAGCTTACCACATTGCCATTAGTGAAGTTGTTTCTTCCGAGTTTGGCATCAATCCTCCCATCAACACCAGAATCTCAAAAGCCCATTCCTCCAAACTGGAAAGGTTAAAAAAGTTTGTGAAGTTTAACCATGCAAGTTCTATATCGTACTCCTAGAGATAATAATGCTGCTATGCTATAGTTGCAGGGCAGCATGCCAGCATCTGACTTAATACTTCAAGAGTTCAAACCCTCAATTGATGTTATACGTCCACAGTCCAGCCCTTGAATTCAATCAGGTCAGAGTGCTAATTTGGATAATAATTGGGTTTAAATGTCCTTTCACTGTAAGTACTATATCTTACTAAGTTATGGTTTTTAACCTGATGCTGAAAAGGTTTTCCACCGAGCTTAATTAAGCATTGTGAACTTTATAAAAGTAATGAAAGCATTGACACTTACCATACCATTAGTGCTGAGGAGAGGGCAAGTTTCAAATCAGTGAGGACATAATGAAACGATTCTAACGAAAAGCCTTCCCATGTGTGCTCAAACTTCTTTGAGCAGATGACATACATGGCCAACAAAAGGGCAGATAACCATAACGAAATTGAAGCCGCAAGTGGAGCTCCCTTGTAACCAAGAGCTGTCCAATGTACCAAACCATAAGCAATGCCGAAATGAATAACAAGGGGGACGAACGAGAAGACCAATGGCAGGACAACAAATTGTGCCTGAAGAAATCGCAAGACGTTTTGCAGGAATCCATATGCAAATAACCCCGGAATCAGAAATTTCATAAAAACAGCAGCAGACTTGGAAATTTGAGGATCTTGGTGGAGTAAAATAAGTATAGGTTCTGTGTAGAACCAGATTATAGATATGATGAAACAGAATAGGAAAGATATGATACACGAGGCTTGTAGATAGATCCCCAACATTTTATACAACTTTGCACCAAACCTTTGTCCACAAAGCGTCTCAAGAGCTCCACTTAACCCAACCTAAAACAAGAACAGACAAGAAAAGAAATAAATGCAAAGGTCTGCAATCATACTGAGTATATAAGGGTCAGAGGGTAGAGAGAGAGAGAGTTACCATGAAAGCAAAGCCAGTAACAATGGCCCATGAATTGGCCAGGGTTGCACCAGCAAGCTCAAGCTTCCCAAGATGGCCAGCAAACATGACTGACACCAAAGTTATCAAATTGTAGAAAAGATTGGTAAAAATCATTGGCAATGAAAACAAGACCTGTTTCTTGGCCTCCTCCACATCCAACACTTTCTTCCACCACCTTGGTTTGTTTGCTCCTTCTTCATCTCCATGACCCTTTGCATTTATCCTCTCTAAATCTGTGTTTGCTAACATTGCCATCTTCTTCTTCTTCTTCTCTACTTTTCTTATAATTTTTTCTTGTAGTTTTCTTATAACATTGCCATCTTCTTCTTATAATGAGAAGGTACCATTAAAAAAACTGGGACCTTTTATCTTTTTATATGTTTATTTGATTCTTTGGTGTTCCCTTTGTATTGTTCTTCTTTTATCTCGTGGAAGATAGATAAAATTTAGGGAGATTCACTATTATACCGAATATAGGGGCCCAAATTATAAACAAATAAAAACATATATGAAATGGACTTTAGAAACACACTCAAAGTCATTTACAACATAACAAATAGGCTTTTAACTTCTTATAAATTACAAAACTACCATCGATTTCTTAAAACAAGTCCAATCCTAAAACATCATAAATAAAAAACTCAAAACACTCAATAGGGCATCAAAGTAATTTAATAATCAAAATTCAATTCAATAGGGCCAATTGTCATTTTTTGGATTTTTTTTATGCATAGAAATTAAATGGTGTAGAATTTATCTATATCACTAGTGCTAAGAATGGATATATGACTAAATATCTCTAAAATTTACAGGTCTTAAACACTAGCGGATCTAGCAAGGGGCCGGTGAAAGCCATTGCCCTCACTGCTTTTTCCCCACCATGAACTTGCCTAGTAATTTATGTTGATTTGTTTGAGTGTGGGGTCAACATGTTTGATAAAATACCTCACATAAGGGGCTGAGGTAGGTAGGTATTCAGGGGCAAGCAACTCTTGTGGGCAACAGATTGAGTTCCTCAAAATGGGTCGTTCTTGAGAGTCATTTAAAAGTTAAAATAAAGAAATTAACTAATAGCCAAATATTGATACACAATATTAAGAGGGTAATGCTTACACTGTAATTTCTACAAATTTTGTGCTGGACTTTGGATTGGCTTCATGAGAGCATCCACAATGGGCTCTCTAAACCACCTCCTCAGACAAATTTTAGAGAGGAATCGTAAAAATACAACTCCAACCACACTCCCTATCCACCTCCTAAAATAGGGAGTCCTCTAGGAGCTCCTAAATCTGAGGAGAGAGAAATGACTTCTAGTGGCTCCCTATAATTTAATGTTGCTTTATTTAATATTTTTTATTTTATTTTATAATAGAGATGGACCAATTAAAAAAGAGTTAGAGCATTTATGACTCTCCAAATTAGAGAGTATAGTTGGAGTTGAAATTTTTTAGAGAGCTCTTAAAATAGCTTTCTTATATTCTTAGCCAAATTTTGGCTAA